GAAAGTGCTTCAGCCTTAGAAGCCATGCAGTCAACTAGTGGGAGAGTAATCTTCTTACCGTTCAGTCTGGCTACTGAAAATTCCGAGTGCAATCCACAAGGTTCTCACCATCGGCACTGCCCGCCCAGTAGTAATTCTACCGACCTTACCAGTACTTTGTTACCTAGCGGCCACAGCACAGTGGCCTTATAGGTAAAAGGAGCCCATGGCTGTTTAGGGTCCTGGATTATCTTGTCCACAGGTTTTCCATAAGTTTGTATTGCTGTTACTTCCACAAATAGGCTACTGTTCGGCAAGTCAGTTACTATATGGGTGAAAAAATTATTCATGGTACCTCTTCTGTATGATAATTAGACGAGCATTAGGTGACCTCTTACAGTATTTTAAATATCGTTATGAAAATCTGCCCCGCCGAGTTTTGTTGGAAGGTTTCCGGAGTTAAAGTAAGTGTCGCTGCTCTGAATGAGCTGCACTCCCTTGGCGTTATCTGAGTGCCAGAGAAGATCTCAGTGAAGATCTTTCACTGAGTGAATTTTGTTTACCAGGGTATCATCCACTATTCAGAAAGAACAGAGCTACAAGAGATCTGAGATGGAGGTGAACTACTATATGTCAAGGAACACCTGATAATAACTAGTAATGACGAATTAATGAAATGGAATCATCCGAATCAATTTGGTGTGATTTAATAGCACAAAATAACAGTAAACTGACAATAGGTGTATGTTACAAGGCTGACTCAGCATCAGAGAAGGAAGAAACAGATCTTCAAATAGTCATCAAAACAGCATCCAAATCACAAGCTCTTATCGCGGGATATTTTAATCACGAGACGATAAACTAGGAGAATCTTTCCTCAGAAATTGAGGGAGAATTCCTTGACCTTACAAAAAGACTTAATCTCCACACTACATGTGATGGAACCTACGAAGAGAAACAACAATTGGGATTTGGTCTTGACTGAGGATGCAAGGTGGAATAAAATCTTTGAAAGTCGGATTTAAGTAGTTGAAGAAGAATATTATGACTTCAACCGTGGGGATTAACAGCTAATAGAAATCCTTGGGACAGCAATAAAATAATGTATACACCAGAAACCAAGGAAGAGAGGAAATAAGATCAAGTGGATGAATCATAAATCCTAGAGAGCCACCAAAAGAAAATGTCTGTACCACCTGTGGAAGAAACACTAGAGCACAAAACATGGTGTAGACCAGTGGTTCTCAACCTTTTTCACTCCATTCCCCCCTTGAGAAATTTTCATTTTTCTCCCAGAACAGACAAACAGAAAAGTGATAAAGACTAAAGAATGATAAAGGACAGATAAATATGACAAGAGTTAGAATGGCAAACACACACACACATTCACATACATACACACATACAGTCATACATAAACATGCACACAGGTAAACATTCACACTCAAGCTAGCAAGCTGAAGTGTACTTCCTGTAAGCAAGAACACGCCTCCTTTGACAAGCACTGCCCAACTTGGAAGAATGAGAAGGATAGTGAGTCATACCAATTTAGCACTAAAAATGGTAGGATTATATAAGTAAAGAATGAGTATGAACAACAATGGCACCAATAAATAAGGAAATAATTAATAAAGGAAGTGTACAAATATTTCACCCACGTAAAGCAGCGACCACATGAATTATGAAACAAAATAAGTATAACACCAATTATGGAGTATATTATACTTGAGTCAAGCTCAAACACAATATATGGTTCAGAGACAATACACTCCACTGTTTTCGTGATGGTATCTCAGGCCAAACTGAGATTATTCGGTCCTATCACCACTTGCAAAGGGATGACACGCGGACACGTAATGAACAAGTCAGTTCAGCAGCCCGGTCCAGTGCCTGTCACACAGACAGGGACTGGACCTGTGGAATCTTAAATAATCCGTAAAAAAATGAAAAAAATTAGCACCAGAGTATGTAAATATTAAAATTGTATTGTCGTTATGATTAAACAAAATGACAAAAAAAGAATGAAAATTCTCTTCTGCCAAGTCAAAATAAGTAATACAAGTTTTGTTTAATTCAGATTCCCAACATTATTTGGAAACGTACAATTTATAACAGCTCGCCGTGGCTCCCCTAAATTCTTGCAGTGGCTTCCATGGGGGCCATGGCCCCGAGGTTGAGAACCACTGGTACTGTAGACTATGTACTATACAACAAAGACCTAAATGTGGCCAATCAGGAAAACAGATGTGCGAAATGACACTGTGGGAAGAAATACACCCCCCAAATATTAAGAGATACTAAATCCCTTTATGCATATGCCATGATAAAATGAAAACCAAAGATACTGTTGACCCTCTAAATTCTAAAGGATGAAAACAACTTGGCTCTATAGAGTACAACAAATATATAGCAGAAACCCTAAATGATTATTCTACATCGATGCTCATAAGTGACGCTGGTTAACATGCCAATCTAATGGTATACCCTGCTGCCATATGGCATCACAAAAATTGTGACCAAGTCCCAATTTTTGACCTGACTTTCTACCTTATTTACACACAATTGCAGGGTTTCAATTGTTTCTCTTACTTTGACAACACAACATACATAATTTATATCGTTTCTCTATTGATCTTTTTTTTTAATTTGTATTTATTTATGGTCCTTTATTATTATTATTATTATTATTATTATTATTATTATTATTATTATTATTATTATCATTATCATTATTATTATTATTATTATTATTATTATTATTATTATTATTATTATTATTATTATTATTATTATTATTATTATTATTTTACATTTTAATTAATATTTTTATAATTTTATATTAATTTTTATTAATTAATATCATTATTATTATATTTCCGCCCCCAGGCCCTGATGTGGGTTATTGACCTGTGCCCTGGTGGGCTAATAACGTAAAAAAAAAAATAGGAGGATGCTACCTCAGGGGATGAAAGTTAAGTAAGAGATAGCAACCACAGATAACACCAAAATGGAAATGGCCAGTCTAAAAAAATAAAGTTCCAGGAGTGGACGGAGCATGCACCAAGGTGACAAAGGAGATAACAAACAAAATTTGCACTTCAGGAAATTCCTTGATCCAGGAAAAGTACTGTACCTAGGGAACGGAAATCAACCAACGTTGCCCCAGTTCAAAAGAAAGGTAGAAAAAGTGCAGCAGAAAACTACAGGTTGATCAGCCTAACACCACGACTATGCAAACTCTTTGAGAAAATTGAGGTACGCCATTATCCAACACCTGACTGAGCAGTCTTATCAACGTATCACAACAAGGATTCATGGCGAAACAGGAGAAAAAATCTTGACAGACAAGTAACACTAACATACAGTACAGTACTCGCCTTCTTTGAAACGATAACGGGCTACTAGGACCAAAGTAGCACTTTTTCCGTCAACTTTCTCGTTTTCTGTCGGGTTTTTTTCCACAAGTTGTCAATTTTTCTAAAGCTTCTCGCTCACACGAAATACATCACTTCCGCCTGAGATTGGATCGCGCCAATTTCCTTGGTCACCGTCAAGTTAAGATCTTTACTCGATAATGAGGATATTTGTATAAAATAAATATCGATCCGCTTTAAATAACTAAATTTAATTTAAAATTATTCAGTATCCAATTTTTAATAAATAACGTTAGTGTATTTTTTATTGATGATGTTCGTAAATACATCTGTGTTTCTTTACATCGATTCTAAAACTGCAGAAGGAAAGCCCACTCCTACGGGCAAACACATTCATCGCCCTAAGTGGCGTCACAAGCGGGTGGGGGGTAAACTAAATAATTATAATGCAAGGAATAAAGCGAGAAAGGCGAAAAAAATGCTGAAATCAGGATTTTCTTTTGTTTTGAGCATTTCTTCGTAGCAGCTGCAATGGGGCCCGGTACTTATGTCACTATTAACGTGAATGTTCTTTAGTTTATATGAGCGCTTACCTTATTCAATGCATTTAGTACTGATAACGTTCCACTCTTCAGAAATGTTAGTTAACATTCAGTTTCATAGGAATATTATAGGATGAGCAGACGGGCAAGGGGCGACCTAATTGAGGTGTATAAGCATCTCAAGGGGCACTAGAAATGCCATCCCTCAGTGACTTCCACCACCAAGCACTGGAAAGGTTTGGCCGTGGACTACTGCACCACCCTCGTCATCGCCACCTGCAGCCCCCCGCCCAACTCGCGCAGTCCGCCACTACAACAAAATTCAGCCCATAAGAGCCCGCACCGATAGATATAAGAACAGCACCATCCCATCTATTGTTAAAATAATAAACAACTCCTGATTTATGTACTGTACAGCCCTGTAAATGTATTCAATGCATATTATATCATTATGTCTAAATCAAATGTAAGTCTGGAAATTTTCAGCCACCGGCTGCAACTCTATTAATAAACCGTTTATTATTATTATTATTATTTACTCAGTCGAGTGTCCTTACTTGGAGCTGGCGGACGCTCGCCCCCACACCGGGCCACAGCTCAAGATTGAAGAAGCCGCAGGTTCAGAAAACTGTGAGGGCAAGCTTTTTCGGAGTGAGAGTTGTGAACTCTTGGAACAATCTACCAAAAAGTGTTGTGTCGGCACCGAGTGTGAGCTCTTTCAAGACCAGACTTGACCAACACTGGAGCAGGTTCAGGTACATTCAGGAGCCGGTGCATGCCCAGTACTTGCCAACAGTGCGTAACAGAGACGTGACCGATCGCCCAACCGGCTAACGAGCCGATCATTTGGTGAAGGCTAAAAGAAAAAGAAACTTACAGAGACGTGACCGACCGCCCAAGCGGCTAACGAGCCGATCAGTGATGAAGAGGATAAAAAAAAAGATAATTTTGATATCGAATTCATCTGTAAACCAAGTTTTTACTCAAACCTGTCCCTGGAGAACAATATTGAGAAGTAATATTACTCTCAAAAAGTCATACTGTATTATACATTAAGCATTTTTGCATTATGTTTTTTTTAATATAAGCTTAGTATTTGTGTCATGTAACAGAGTGAAATACAAATTATATTAGCCCCGCTCTCTCTGTCAACAAAGCTTCGCCAAGAACATGGCGAACCACTACGAAATTCCGAAATGGTAAACATTTTAGTATTTTTTTGTAAAACTTATTTTATTAACACCCATTCTATGGGTCTTAGTCGAAGTATAAATACACTATTGATTTAATATATGGTTTGTTTGTAAAGAATCCGATAAGGAAACTTTGAAATAATCTCGTATCTTTATGTCACACGAAAATAATGTTTATTGCAGCTTTAATCAAAATACTCGTTATAATTTGAAGGCATAAGACTTACAAATGCATTTATGATAGGTATAAACGTACATAGTTAAACCTGAAGTGGTTCTTGCATATGTCAATTACGTGAGATGATATGAAGCTTAAGTAATGTTGAACAAACCTATTAGTTAACATTGATCTACAAGATGAACTTCAAAATTTGAGTCTAAATTCACTCAAATTACAGATACTGTTAACTGTAAATAAGATGACACCAGAAGGGTAATCATTATAACTATTTCATAAGTAAATTCCCACCTTTATATTATAAATAGTATGAAAATGGGTCCCATGAGCTTCTCACGTTCTGTTAGGGACATTGCAGATCCAGCACACTGAAGACTAAACCTCTGTAGTTTGTATAGTCTGTACTTCAGGAGGTAGTGTTGGCTCTGTACTCGACCACCTTCATTTTCTTAACTAAAGTAAGGTATATTTTCAGGTAGTAGGTGCAGTAAGATTGATTGGCTTGTTTTGTTGTACCTGTGGCTTTGTGGCTAGTTAGTGCCTATCAACCAAGCTGTGATTGTTTGAAGCTCATGATGGCATGTATCTAATAATAGATCAAGTTTTCTTGCAATACTTCACCAAGTCCCAAGAGACAGTAGGTAATACCCAGCCTAAACATAATGAGGTAATACTTTACTATAGAGCCCCATGAGAAAGAGTAACTTTGACGAGCAATTCTTAAGAAGAAAACTTGTTTTTTACCTCTCTAACGTCCAGAAGAGGTTGGAGGAATTGTTTTTATTAAACAGTGATAAATTTGCCAGCAGCACTCGTTATGCTAAGCAACCAAACTTCCTGGCAAACTCTCCATGTAAACTGTTTACAAGATGACACCTTAACCAGCCTACCAAACCAAACCTAACCTGATAATACACTTCCATCCTAGGATAGGTATTGTAGGTTAGGTTACGGTAAGTTGATTTGGTTGGTTTATCTTATTAATGATAGCTAAGTTATTGGTTACTGGCTGCTTGCAAATGTTCATGAGTATGATGAGATGCTGTTTAGGTATAAAATCCAATCCAGGATAATATTCCTAAACTAATAATATAAAATATACTGTAGAACCTTGTTATTTGTTGATATGTTCTTAATATAAGATATAATTTATAATTCATTCAGTTATGGGTAATTATTCCTCAGAAACCCTTACCGATATATTAATTTTTTTAAACCTACCGGGTACCTTATCTTAGAGCAGTTTTCATGCTGAATTCAATACTGTAGTGATAATGAAGGTTTTGGAAAATGTATACAGATAATTATAATTATTGAGTTGCGACCCTTCTCACCCTGTCACACTAAAGGGGGCAGGGCTTCAAAGCAGAGGGAAAATGTTGAATTCAAAACGAAACTGAAAGAACCTTACCTAATCTGGTAATTGTACTCACTTACCGGGTAATTATTCTGCAATCAGTGGCAAACAATTCAGGCTTGTTACCTGACATCGGTACAGTATATGATTTAGACTCGTTTGCTGGGTGTTTGCGGAACATTAGCCCAAAAATGTTCAAAAGTTGCTGCCAATTTTTCATGAGTATGGAATGGAAGTGTTAATGTCTATGAAACGTTTGTCTTTTAGTGCTCACATAAACAATCAATAATGGCGGCTGCATGGAGCCGGCGTGTCGACGTAGATTCGTGTTCAGGATGAAAAATTTGGCAAAAACAAAAGTAGGAAAGTTGTAATTCTTCCAATATTTTTGGATATTCAAGAGGTAAGAAACAAGTTTTCTTCATATGATTATTTTCCAAAAGTTGCTCATTCTGACCAGACCCTGTTGCAAACTATTACCCATAATGATGGTAGGGTAAGTTAGGTTTGGTTTGTGTTGCTGGGTGCTGATTAGCTGTACAGCATCCTTAGTAGTTTTTTGAGATCTGGTGGTACTAAGTTACACATAAAGAGTGGACAGGGTTTTGAAATTAAAGAAAAAATGATAAATCACAAGAATATAACTTTACAAATTATGGTGCAAGTAAATTAATAAGGGTTAGGTGAAGCAAAGATTAAGGAGAATGTTACTCCTTTATTTTTTATAGAGTTATGCTTCTACATTTATCCTCCTCCTCAATGTTTTATGGCCATTTTCCATGAGTTAGCCTCTCTCCTCAGGATCATAGCTTTGATGCCATTCTTATAACTTCTCCTTGTGTCATTTTGGGTTTACTCTGGCTCTCTTTCCCTTTATATTTGGACTCTCTCCTTTTAACCCAGTTGGTCTCCTCCATTCTCTTCACATGTCCAAACCTTCTCGATTTACCTCTACCCAGAACTTTGCCAATACTACTCTTAATACCCAGCTGCCCTCTTAGCTCTGAATAGGTTCTCCTATCTTTCAGTGTAACATTACACATCCACCTCACCATTCTCATTTCAGCTCGCTCAAGCCTGCATATGTCATCCTCTTTAACCACCCATGATTTTATACCATACAGCATCACACTTTTCATGCCAGTTGCATGTATCTCCTTTCATGCATAGAGAAGGTTTTCTTGCCATTAATAATGGCAGCAACTCCTAAAGCTTTGTCCACATAATTCTAGTTCTTGCAAGTCAGATATCTTGAACACAACCTCCAGGACTGGTCATATCACCCAGGTAACTGAACTCATCAACATAATCCAGTGATATATCCTCAAATTAAGTTGCTCTAGCCTTGCTAATGCCACACAATTACTTACATATACAGTACATGATACTTAAAGTTGGTAACATCCTGCAGTCTGCCAGTTACACCACTGCACCTCTTGTGTAGCGAACTTCCATGCTCAATGCACATTATGGAGTTGCTGCCAACACCTTTCTCGCAGATAACACTTGACCATTTTCCACTTTCCACCATGTGTCCCTTACCCAAGCCACTGGTCAGTATTTTTGTTTTGGCCTCATTTACTCTCAGGTCCTTTAATTCTATTCCATCCTTTTATTTCTTAAATTCTCTATTGCCAGTTCAATCTTGAAAACTGTGACAGTAATCAAAACGACTGTAATAAAAACAAGCCCAATGTTATAAGCAGGGGTTAGCGGTATGTGCAAGAGGGTTTTCAGGTCATTTTTTCTCAGCTAAATGTTACCTTTTCTTTCTGAAACAAAACAAACCTTCATTTAATTAAGTACAGTATATACAGGTAATACTTGTTAAGACTAAATTATGATTATCTCATCTACTAATGTACAGTGCAAGGTCTTTTGCCCACTCTTTCCTAACTTATTGATGATTGTCTTATAAAAATTATCTGTGGTTGCATATCAAAAACTATATAGTACATGTTCTTCATTACAGGGCAGGTAAACCACCCGTTGGCTTACATTTGGATGTGGCTAAAGGTGACAAGCTTATCCAGGTATGTGTTCAGTATACAGTACAGTACTGTGCAGTATATCTTAAAATAGCTTTAGTAATGGTGGAGCAGATGGCTAACACCAGAAGGAGTTGTTCGATTTCATTCATTTTTTCCACAAATGTTCTTTTGATGAGAGTAAGTAATAAAGACAATATGACAATACACAGAACCTACTAGAACCTGACCTTACCAGCCAAAGAAACCTACCTAGTCCTGCCTAACTTCCTATTATGGTACTGTACTGAATGCATGTTACTCATTAGGTTTAATACTGTATTGGTTTATAATAATTATGTACTGTACAGTACACCAAAAATTGGCATTTAAAATTTTTGTAGCATTTTAAGATGTTTTGAGGACTTTTTTCATAGGAATGTAGCTCAGGTTTTATAATGGGAGTCTATTGGAAATGTGATCCACTTTACGAAAAATCAAACAGTATACAAATTTTTTTTTCAGGAATGGAACTCTTTCGTAAATGGTTAATACAGTACTGTACATACCTGTAAAGTACAGTACTGTACTGTACTTATAACTTATAACTAAAGCATGTTGAATAGCAAAGTGCTGCATAATAAAAAATTTTACTGTACATAATATTTTTTACATGAAATTGGCAGGTTCTTGCACTTAACCCCACCACCTCCTCTACTAGTAAGAAAAATAGTTGTTAAATCCTCTTAACTTTTTTAGTTTAAAAGGTAAGTCTGTTTTAATATTGTACTGTTAAACGTAAATTCAGGAATGTTAACTGACCATAAATATCTTAAGTGATATTAGCAACCATTTTTGTTAAAACTTAAGAGGTACTTGTCAGTGTAGTAGTTAATCTTCAAAACTGTTCTGCCCACATAAATGCTTGCCCATAAATATTATTGGTGGAAATTTATAAAGAAAAGATCAGATCACTATTATTTTGGTAATGTGAAAAATCAATCAAAGAGTGGCATTTTCATACGAAAAATATGAAATTAAATAAACATATTTCTGTATCTAATATTACAATACAAGTACTATACATTGTATTGAAATATTCCAAGAGTGGATGTATATTTTCATTAATATACCAAGCTGGTGATTTTGCCATGTGAAGAACCTAATGGTAATTAATATTGGTATCTGTTCACAGGTTCCCAAGATTGATAATATCTTGCAGCTTCCATTACAGTATCTCCCATATACTGTACAGTAATATCTGTATTTACATCATACTCCTTTCTCCTAAATTGTAGGAAGTTTATTTCAGTAATGAATAATAGTTTGGAATACTGTACCTGTATAGTACATTGTATCCAGAAAACTTTTCTCAGTGCTTCATGTGCTCATTGATTGACCAAACTACCTGGTACAGTACTGACTCTGAGCTGAGCATCATCACCCTATATATATAACTGACCTCTATACAGTACTGTAACTATTTTATCAATAATTCATGGCATTATTGAAATCACAGTAAATCCCATACATCATCAGCATGAAATGAAACTGATTTGGTTAGATACATTTTCTACTAGTATGACTGACCTACCTTCCATTTATTTATTTTTTATTCCAGAAACTGATGATTGATGAGAAGAAGTGCTATTTATTTGGTCGGAATCCCCAGCTGAATGACTTCTGTATTGATCATGCTTCATGTTCCAGAATCCACTGTTCTCTAGTATATCATAAGCACCTCAACATGGCCTTTCTTGTTGATCTTGGGAGCAGTAAGTACAAGTATATCAATGTGTGCTGTATTAAGAATTATTTTGAAGTAAATGTAAATGGTCAAGCTTACTAATTCATGGGGATGTCAGAGCTGTTAAATTAATCTACAATATTCCCTTACAAAATCCTTTAAACACAGGTTTGATCAAGATATTTTCTTTTTTCAAACCTAGTAGAGATTTTACGGTAATTTATAGTTATATTCAGAACCCTTACTAAGTTGATATCACTGGGTTTCCTGGCCAGTTGAATTATACTGTAATCTGAATTCTAGAATTCCCCAAACATATCCAAATTTCCTCATAATTCTGTATCATCATCATTGGTTTTTGCCATTTTCCACACTTGTGTATGTCCATCTCTTAGAATGATTTTCTTTTATTATTTCTTGATAGAAGAAGTGTTTGGTGAAGTATTGAGAGGTTGTTTATCAACTCATTATGCATTATTTGGGGGTAATTTCTAAAGTTATACAGTTATTGGATACGTACAGCATGTAAACATCTCTTGCTACAAGCATCTTTATACATCTAGAGTAGAGGGTTCCAAGCATTTTCCAGTGCGACCCCATCTAGTGCTGTCTCCTATCCAGTGCAACCTCAAGTCGGACATAATTTTATATGTACAGTATTTAACTGTTAAAACAGTTAAGGAAAATGTATTAGTACATTATTGAGAAATCTAAAAGTAAACACTGATAGATAAAGGTTACAATTCTGTCATGTTTAATATGTGACATGGTTATAATCATCATTTAATTTTCTATAACTGGGTGTATCATAATGCAGTTAAGCAACATAGCATACAATTTTGTTAGTTACAACTCGGTCATCTTTCGTATGTGATGTGTGCATCATCATTTAATCAATTTTCAATGCAAGTTACATCAGTCATAATTCATATGTGACATGAGTACATTATCATTTAATAAATTTTCTGTTAACTGGGGGTATTATTATGTGATTAAACAACATAGCATACAATTTTCTAAGTTACACTGTCATATGTCGTATGCTACAACTGTCATATCTCATATCTGACGTGTGCGTCATCATTTGAATAATTTTCTGTTCCTGAGGGTATATGAAGTTTGATACACAGTTATGATCATAATTTTTTGTAAACACCAGTGATGAGAAAGCTGCCTCACAGACATTGGTGCTTCCAAATTGTACCAGAACCTCGTTACAGTAGATCGATTTTTAACTGCTGAATGTCACTTTGATAAAGTAATCCAAAACTTTGCTATATCATCATAGATGTCAAAATTTACCCTTGCATCATTGTCAGCCTATAATTCTGCCATTTCCAGCACAAACAGGAACTGAACAAAATCAAAAGACTCAGTAAGCAACTCAGGTAGTTTACCATTGAAATTTTCTGCCATTTTCTGTCTGCATCCTTGAAAAGTAAAGAGGGAGCTGAGCTGAGAACAGTTCAAAGGTTGGAGTGTGGAACTTACTTTGCAAAATGTGTCATCAGGGCAAGCCTGACCTGACCTGACACAAGGAGAATAACTGAATTAATTCCTTGACCATAATTTTGGGTCCCAAGTTAATGAGACAACACCTGTCAGCCATGTCCTGTTCTTGACACTCAGACTAAAATAAAAAAATCATGTGACTGTTGCTTAACCCAGGGGATTCCAGCAAACCCATGAGCTCTATGGGAGCCCTGCAACCTCATGACCCCTTATAATGTGTGACTCCATTTGGGGTTGTGACCTCGTGTTTGGGAACTGCTGTTCTTGGTCAACCAGCATCATACATTTAATGTACTGTATTATACTGTGGTCAGTGTGTATCTCTTCCTCTGGGAGAACTAGAGCCAGGAGTATTTAATAGTTGCTATAAGACATTATTTACTGTGAATTGGTGGTAAAATACTATAAGAATTAAATATCTAAACACACAACACCAGCAGCAGGACTGTACTTGTCCTACTGCGTCATTGGTTCAGTCCCCAGGTTGGTATGAGAAAGATGTTATGCAGTGTTACTCTCCTAAACATCGCAGATTTTCTCTGGATACTCCAGTTTCCTCCTGTACTAACACTGGATAATGAACAGGCCTGAATAGCTAGTAGTGTATAAATATTTGGTCCTTTAGTTTAGACTTTTTTAAAGAAATCTTGACCACTTTTGGTATCCCACAAATACTTTTGTTTTATTAATGGTACTCATTCGGGTAGATATATCAAGTATCTATTGAGATGTTCCACTTCCAAATGGTAGTTTGTCTTTTAATGCATATGGTATAAGATATGAGAATTTTAAATGTTTTAATCAGATGGAGCCAATTTGGACATGAGTGGCATAGGATAAATGTTTAAGGAAGTGTGAATGATGTGTGACATATGGAGGGACAAATTTCTTTGTTGTTGAGCAGTTACACTTGCCATTGTTTTGCCATAATTAACCTAGAATTTAAATACTTTACAGGCTGTAAATATTATTGAAGACATGACTTGCCACATATATTTTATTTATGAACTAATTAGTTGACTGCATGCTAAAAAGGATTATTTAATTAAGTAATTTTTAAACCGTTGACAACAAAACCAATTTCAAATTTATTTATTTATTTATTTATTTATTTATTTTCAGCACATGGAACGTACATAGGAAAAATCAGACTTGAAGGTCAAAAACCCACACAACTTCCAGTCAACTCTACATTTCATTTTGGAGCATCAACGAGAATGTACACCCTAAGAGAAAGACCTCAAACTGCACCTAAACCTGTTATGGAGGAGTTGGAGAGGATGACAGAAGATAGTGATGGAGGTCTTCTGGGTCTTCCAGAGACTGAAACAGAATTAGATGTAAGGAACACTAACATTTTGTACTTGCCTATAGTACAGCATAACCTCACTATATTGAACACTTATATGTTGTAAATTTACTTTATTGGATATCAGTCACCCAGCTGACTGGGATGAATCCACAATTGTTTCTATGTGTTGGTGTCCTGAGCCATGCACTTTGTCCTGGGCAGTGTTTCTAGTTTGAAGAAATTTTCTTGGTTGTTACCAAAGACAAGGAAGTCTCTCAGGAAGTGGAAAAAAAACAGGAAATCCAAGGAACACAGTGGTCCCTCGGTTAACGAACGGTTCGGTTAACGAAATTTCGGTTAACGAATTACCTTCCATAAGAATCTTTAATTCGGTTAACGAACAAAAATTCGATTAACGAAATCCTTACGAACATCACGTTTTGTTGTGAGCGTCAACTGATCAGCTGATGGGCTAGCCTGCCAATTCAGTAATCTGTTCTATGTTTACATTCGTTTCCAGTGGAGTAAATATCAATAAATTTGTGCTTTTTAATATTTTTGCATGTTTTATATTAAAATTATTAGTAATTTTAACATTTATTTAACATATTGATTATATATGCAGTACAGGGAACTATTTTTTTGTGCGCCCATCAGATGCTTGACTCGACCACAAGGCGTCAGTTGGGCTCTGTTGACAGTGGAGTGAACATCTATTTTGTTGGTGTCTTGAATATTTTTGCATTTTTCATTGAAATTATTGGTCATTTTGAAATTTAGTTAACATATTGATAATATATAGCACAGTGCAGTGTTGATTTAAATAAAATAATCTTGAATTACCCCTAGTGAGCTTAAAATTTTATTGGTGAAATGACGGCATCAAGCATGGGTCTCCTGAAAGGTGATTTACCCTCCATTCCCACTTCCTTCTCTTCTCCCTTCTCCTCCACCTCCACTTCTAATTCCCATCATCATCAACCAGGAACCTTCTACATACACACCTCAAAGTAAGTGTACTTTACTGCATTTTTTTTTTTTTTACTTTGTATGTACGTTTCGGTGAGCTGGAACCAATTACCCAATATCCCATTGAAACTGGATTCGGTTAACGAAATTTTTGGTTAACGAACAACTCTGTGGAACAAATTGTGTTCGTTAACAGAGGGACCACTGTATTAAGTAACATAACAATAATGCCTGTTTATTTCACACAAGATATACAGTAGTGTGTATAGTGCTGGAATATATACAGGTTGGGTATCCCTTATCCAAAATGCTTGGGGCCTTAAGGGTGTTGGATTTGGCAATACCTATATCCTGTATACAGAACCTGTATAATGGGGTAGCTCACCCAGCAGGGATGGGGCCCAAGTCTGTGCACAAAATTCATTTACATTTCATTTACAGCATATGGAAACATATATTCTGCAGGTAGTTTTATGAAAATATAATTTAATCGTTTTGGGTATAAAATATATGATGTGATGTACACTAAAGACCCAGAAAGGTAAGCAGTCACTACCTTCTGTTTGGCATCACCATGACGCCTGACTCTGAGGCACTCAGCAGCCTGTGTCTTACCTTTATTCATTACACATTCATACTTTAGTAAAAATTATGATATATGCCATATTCAGTGTATTATCTACCATAAATATAATGAAATAGACTTTCGGATTTCAGAGCAAATCGATTAACATTCAGGTTCCCAATTACTGCTAGGTAGACAAAAGCAATTAGCGTAAAGAAATTTGTCCATAATTTCACCATGCCCGGGGATCGAAGCCGGGTCCGCTCGCTTGCGAGGCGAGCATGCTGACCATTACACCACAGGTCAGTGTGTGTATGTATATATATATATATATATATATATATATATATATATATATATATATATATATATATATATATATATATATATATATATATATATATATATATATATATATATATATATATATACACACACAGTAAAACCTTTGTAACAAGGACTAATTGGGGGGAAGGGGGTGTCCGGGATAAGAGCAAATTTTTCCCAAAAGACCGCGATTTTAAAGAAAAAAGGAGTACAGCGCCAATGTATCCAATTTTTATGAACAAAAACGTTTTTTTAATCAAAATTAAATTTAAAAAATAATGTACACAAAGAACTGTACACTTCCCTTTAGTTTACTGATAAGGTCTTAGGCTTAACCTTCTCGCCACCCTTACGGATACCAAACACTTTCATAGGGGCCATTGTTATTATGTAATTTTTCAATAATAATGCAAAAAATATGAATGCTACTTCAGACTATGGCAAATGTACTAAATGTATAAAAAACTAGATATAATAATATAAAAAAACATAAAAAATACAGTACTGTACCAAATTTTATGGCAGGGATTATTTAGGCAATACTTGTGTTTGTACTTTACTCCTGTAGCCATAGTTTTCTTAAAATTATAGCAATAAATAAATTACAACAAAATTACTGTATTGCCAAATCAGTAAATAAAGGCCAGATGAAAGTTTAACACAGTTGCCATTTGCATACACTCCCTGTTTCACCATAGTATCGAAGCTCAGCTGGGATGCCAATTTCCCCCCCCCCCCTACACTCTGCAGCTGCCCTCTCCTCCTTCACTGAGCCAGCTAACTCGTGTGCAAAGAAATGTATACGGGGTCCTCATTATAAGTGGTTAATAGGGATCAGAAAAAACATTGTTAATGAAACCACTTATAAAAGGGAATTAATTCCCATAAGAATTAATAGGATAGAGTCTAATCGGGACCATCACATTGTAAGTGACACTCATAAAGGTTAATTTGGTATCTTTTAACATTTATGGATACAGGGGGTCCCCCAAGTTCGCGGATATTTATTTTGCAGCCCTCTAATATTCATTGATGACACCTTGGATGTACCCAAGAATGTCTGTGGGTAGTTTTAAAGTTGCCGGCATTTTCACGGCTGGGACAGGGGGCCATTCGTTCTAGAGACAGTAATTTCTTTACCTGTATTGTATATACTGGGGGTGTGTATGTGTGTGTGAGAAACACATACAAATAAATAATAATTGGAAAATATTCTCACAAATAATCTACTTGAGGGTAGACACATTGTGAATAAATTTTTTTCTGATTATTTGTGAGAGTATTTTCCCATTATTATTTAATTGTATGTGTTTTGTGTGTGTGTGTCTATACACACACATTTATACAATACAGGTAAAAGAAATAATTGTCCTAAGGGCAAACATAAAGAGAATATACATTTCTTTGTACACCCAACCCAACCCAACCCAACTCAACCCAACCCAATCCAATCCAATCCAACCCAACCCAACCCAACCCAACCCAATCCAATCCAATCCAATCCAATCCACCTACCTATCTTCACTGGCTGGGTGTTGGTTGATGTTGATTTCATCAATATGGGCCCATATTCTGGCATCAATTGATGACTGTTGGATGTGTGGAATAAGTTCCACTCCAAAATCTTTTTTGAAGACTTTGTATCAGTGTTTATTGAGGTTCAGTGAGCTTTTCTGGTTATTCTTTCCTCTGTACATCCTGGCTGTAAAATTCTTTAGGGCTTCCCTGGACTCATTACTGACTGCTTCTTTAGCTATTTCTACAAATGCCTTTATGCCTCTGTTCTTTTCCAACAGGGCAAATGGTTGAATCTTTTCTTTTCTGACAAAGGAAGAGGTATAGTCAGAGCTGGTTAAGGAGTAGAAACCTGGCAAAGCTGCACACATGCATTGTCCAAGGAATGTACTAATGGAAGTGATGTTTAACCTATCTCCAATCATATTTGCTGTAGTTCCAACCTCCATCCAGATTGTGGCAGTAAATTTCCTACAATGAAACTAAAGGATAACGGCAGTGTCTGTTGGATCCTCTGACCATATTGATGGCTTTCACATGAATGCAGATCCTGGTGTTGGCTTCTTCATGGTTTATAGCTAGGTCATCAACCTCTTGTCTCACCACCATCTCCTCAGCTACTATGTAAAAGTGGAAACATGATCCAAGGTAAGCAAGATGCTCATGGCATTATTGAATAATCTCTGCATATTCTAATGCTTTTCATTCTCTGGCAAAGAATTGTGATAGCTGTTCTTTGAAAGACCTGGACTTCAGTGAGTCTGTGATGCTCGTGGGTGATGTTCTGGGCCAGTGATGTATTCTCTCCTCCAGATCTATCTGCACACTTTCATTGTCTTTGTTGTATGGGTGAGGGTATGCATCAAAGACAATGCTGTGTAGAGAAGACTGGAAACACCCAGTGACAGTGTGAGTGGTAGTGTAGCAAGATGTAGGGCCAAAATAAAGGATGTTCTGTTGGGTTTAGTTGAAAAGGTGTGTGGCTGGATGAAGGGCCCAGCCAGTCGTGTTATAACATGGTGGTGGAGTGATAAAGTAGGCAGAACAATAAAGGAGAAAAGAAGAATGTATAAGGTCCCAAAAGATGGTTGGTGACAAGAAGTACCTGGAGGCCAAGTGTAGGGCCAGCAGAGAGGTTTGCAGGGTTAAGAAGCATGAACAGGACACATTCCCAGAAGAGAAGTATTCAATAATAGCCAACCAGTGGGTAGAATTATGGATATTTTTGGTGAACAGTGTGTGTAAGAAATGACCATTGTAACGTGGTTGTTGATAACAAAGAAATTAATGATGACTGGAGAAACTACTGTATGATCAACTGTTGAATGAAGAATACAAATGGGACAGGGGCAGCTTAGGGATAACATAACCAGTACAGGGACCTTGTCCGAGGATTGAAAGAGAATAAGTGAAGAAAGCAAGTGAAAAAATGAAGAATGGAAAGGTAGCTGGACACTCTGGGATAGTTGGAGAATTGCTGAAAGCATAAAGCAATGTAGATGTTTTGATGGTGACCAAAACGCATAATGCAATCATGATAAAATACTGTTCCACACAACTAGAGGAACAGTATGAATACTTACAAGGGTAAAAGTGATGCACTTGAATGGAGGAACTACAGGAGCTTGAAGTTGCTAGATCAGGTTATGAAATTTGTAGGAAGAGTCGGGAGTTATTGAGAAACTCAATAGGCGCCCTGTGGTGTGATGGCCAGCATGCTCGCCTCACAAGCGAGCGCACCCGAGTTCGATCTTAAGGCAGGGTGAAACTATGAGCAAGTTTCTTTACGCCATTTGCCTCTGTCTACCCAGCAGTAAATGGGGACCTGGATGTTAATCGATTTGTGGATCGTTTTCCAGGGTGCTGGTTAACCAGTGCAGTTGGCGAGTTGTCCGGTCTTCTCAAACTATTCCTTAACACTGGGTCATGCAGCTCGTTAACTTAGAATATGGTTGTTATGTTGGCAACAGCATCTACACCTTAAACAAATTCACGCCTAGGTGGCCCTTGGGCCAGCCATCCTCGTTACACGAGGGGCAACCCATTATTATTATTTATTGAGAAACTGATAAGGGAAGAGTACAGTCTCTCCTCGACTTACAACAGCCATGGTCGATTGGTCGTATAAAATATTTTTCACATTACGTTTTTCGAGTCTCGACGTTAGTGATCGCACTGTATACTGGCAAAATTTTTGTTTGTAATTCCCTTTAAAATGGCTGGCAAGCATAAAAGTGAGAGTTCTCGTGGTGCTGAGAAGAAAAAGAGACACCCATTATAGAATTTCTATGTATTATTTTTGCCTTTTCTACTTACGACCAATTCGACTTACGACCTGGTCGTTGGGACGGAACCCCGTCGTAAGTCGAGGAGAGGCTGTATACTGTACAGTATATAAACAAAATGCAGTTTGGATTTATGTCAGGTATGGGCACTAGAGGCAGTATTTATGGCCAGGCAGATGCAAGAGAAATATCTAGGAAAGGAGAAAAAATTGTACTTTGTAGACTGAGAGAAAACATTTGACAAGGTACAGCATGAAGTAGTAAAATGGGCAATGAGATGTGCTTGAGTGGTTATGGCATTATATGAGGGCTCAAAAACCTCAGTGTAAGTAAATGGTGAAGAAAGTGAGGAATGTGAGTGAAAACAAGTGTCCATCATAGGGCTGTCTTGAGTGCCCTTCTGTTTATCATGGTGCTGGAGGCAATATCATGGGACTTTATGACTGGCTTGCCCTGGGAATTGTTGTATGCTAATAGTAGATAGAACTGAAGAGGCAGTGGAGAAATTTAAGAAATAGAAGGATGGAATAGAGTACAGTACTACACACACACACACACATATATATATACAGGGTGAGCATAAAGTTTTTCCCTGATTACAAACATTTATTACACAAAATATATGCTAGGTACAAACATACAGTTTTTTGCAGCTTATACCTTATCTCAAGAAGTTTTTTTCCGTACTCGTGAACTTCAACATGTGCTCCGTTTGTTGCCCGGAGCACATCTAAGCTATACTCGATATCACGCCATGTTTTCTGCAGCATCTCTTCAGTCACCGTCGCTGTTGCCTCTGTTATCCTTGCCTTCAGAGTTTCAAGATCAGGAACTGGTGAACTGTACACTTTGTCCTTCGTATACCCCCATAAAAAGAAATCAAGAGGGGTAATGTCTGGTGAACGTGGCTGCCATGGTGTTGGACCATCTCTCCCAATCCATCGGTTTGGAAAGGTTGTGTTCAAGAACTGTCTGTAAAATATGCATGAAAAAAAAAATCTATGAATTCGTCTACACAATGCTACAACATTCATGTTTCTATCTAGAATGGTCTTCGAAATATGATTTTTCATAATCAGGGAAAGACTTTATGCTCACCCTGTGTATATATATATATATATATATATATATATATATATATATATATATATATATATATATATATATATATATATATATATATATATATATATATATATATATATATATATATATATATATATATATATATATATATATATATATATATATATATATATATATATATATATATATATATATATATATATATATATATCAATTAATGAAAACATAGTTTCCCCGGTTGTCATCTGCTAACATATTGTTGAAGGTGTGAATATGAAATACAGTAATCCCGTGTTTTTGCGGGAATTACGTTCCTGAAACCCCCGCGAAAAGCAAAAACCGCAAATACTCTTTCAGGAATCACTGTACTTGTGGCCACCAAACAGCTCAGGTAGGTCATGTACTTAACCACGCCATGCTCTCCACTCACGGCCCAGTGGTCACACTGATCACTGATGCACTGTACCGGCATTTACTTACATCATTACAGTGACCCCTCCGTTAACGAACTCAATCCGTTCCAGAAGGTCGTTCGTTAACCGAAACCATTGTTTCAATGGGTTTTTGGGTAATTGGTTCCAGCTCACTGAAAATTTCCTAAATTCAACAAAAATGGTAGAAAAGTTCACTTACTTTGAGGTGTGTATGTAGAATTCTCCTGGATGATGATGATGGGATTTAGAATGGGGGTGGAGGAGAAGGAAGAAGAGAAGGCATGGGGGTGGAAGAGAAGTCACCCCATGGTGCCATTTCACCCATAAAATTTTAGCTCTCTTGGTGTAATTCAAGATTATTTTCTTTAAATCAACACTGCACTGCATTATATATTGTCAATATGTAAAATATATTTCAAAATTACCAATAATTTGCTTGGAAACACAGAAAAAAAGCGTTTAGTTGAAGAGAGTCTCAAGCAAGATGTTACCTCCAGTGAAAACAGAGAGAGACTAACTCCTGTTTGCTGTGTTAAGAGGCTGGATGCCGCGCATTAAACTAGTCACTTTACCTTCAATTATGTTCAATAATTGTTAAAATGACTAAAAAATTGAATATTAAACTTTTAAAATTATTGAATAGTATAAACTTCTTGATATTTACTAAAATAGTAAGGAATTTAAGCCCTAGAACCGATTAATGTATTGGCGGACTGATACTAAAGCTGGTTGCCTGGTCAGTGCAAGCGAAAACATGTTGAGGTCGTTTCGTAAGAACTTCGTTAACCGAATTTTTTTTCGTTAACCGAATTGAAGATCCTTATGGAAGGCAGTTCGTTAATCGAAATTACGTTAACCGAGGTGTTCGTTAAACGAGGGGTCACTGTATATGAAACTAATCATATTGTATTATAATAATGGAAAAACATAAACACAGTTATAAGCAAAATATTTTTATTTACAAGTAAATAAAAAAAAATATATTATTTCGCTGAGGGCGGCAACACCCGCATTGCCAGCGTCTCCCTGCTGTCCCGGCATCTGCCCTCCCTCATGCAGTCACAGTAGCGTTCACAGTACGGTAGGCACGTGTGGACTGAGGCTTCTCGGAGCAGCGGGTGCCTGAGGCGGGAAAGGGTGGCATCTGTTTGCCGCACCGCACAGGGGAATATCGAAAATAGCGCGAAATTAAAAATTTTGATTTTGAAGGATATTTTATATATATAAAAAAATTTTAGTAAAAAAAAAGCGAATGGTCAAAACGGCGATAGAAAACCCCGCGAAAAACTTGGGATTACTGTACTCAAATAATCTTGGATTACTGTACTGTACAGTACAGTACAGTACAGTGACCCCTCGTTTAACGAACACCTCGGTTAACGTAATTTCGATTAACGAACTGCCTTCCATAAGGATCTTCAATTCGGTTAATGAAAAAAAAATCGGTTAACGAAGTTCTTACGAACCGACCTCAACATGTTTTCGCTTGCACTGACCAGGCAACCAGCTTTAGAATCAGTCCGCCAATACATTAATCGGTTCTAGGGCTTAAATTCCTTACTATTTTAGTAAATATCAAGAAGTTTATACTATTCAATAATTTTAAAAGTTTAATATTCAATTTTTAGTCATTTTAACAATTATTGAACATAATTGAAGGTAAAGTGACTAGTTTAATGCGCGGCATCCAGCCTCTTAACACAGCAAACAGGAGTTAGTCTCTCTCTGTTTTCACTGGAGGTAACATCTTGCTTGAGACTCTCTTCAACTAAACGCTTTTTTCTGTGTTTCCAAGCAAATTATTGGTAATTTTGAAATATATTTTACATATTGACAATATATAATGCAGTGCAGTGTTGATTTAAAGAAAATAATCTTGAATTACACCAAGAGAGCTAAAATTTTATGGGTGAAATGGCACCATGGGGTGACTTCTCTTCCACCCCAATGCCTTCTCTTCTTCCTTCTCCTCCACCCCCATTCTAAATCCCATCATCAACATCATCATCATCCAGGAGCCTTCTACATACACACCTCAAAGTAAGTGAACTTTTCTACCATTTTTGTTGAATTTAGGAAATTTTCAGTGAGCTGGAACCAATTACCCAAAAACCCATTGAAACAATGGTTTCGGTTAACGAACTTTTCGGTTAACGAACGACCTTCTGGGACGGATTGAGTTCGTTAACGGAGGGGTCACTGTATACGTTTAACCGAGCATGCCAAATGAATAACTTTCTTGGTGGTAAAAACTGCTGTAAGTATAAATGAGTCGACAAGTACAGTACACTAGTTCGTTTATATCCCATTGTACAGTATATGAATGGAACATTTCACTTCTATTCCATATGTTTGGAACATATGACTCACAACCTATGTCCCAAGTCTACCAACATAGAACATTTAACCTTGTTCCATTTATGTAGGGCATTTCTGTCCATTGATGGTAGGCAAGATAACTCCTGTAAGTTGAACGAATTATTTATTCACTCAGAATGCATTTATATTTAATCTCTCTACTTCTTTCTTCTTTCCAGAACTTAACAGAATTTAATACTGCACACAATAGACGTATATCAATGCTAGGTATTGGAGAAGATGATCCTAAACAGAGAGGCCTCAAACGACATAAATATAATGTCAGCTTTAAGGACGAAGAAGATGTCATAAATCCAGAAGACGTAGATCCCAGTGTTGGAAGATTCAGAAATCTTGTTCAGACGACTGTGGTGCCTTCAAAAGTAAGTATTTCTGATCAGAAAACTGTTTTAGCTCAAATTCAACACTAGTTGGATGTCGTATTGATTTATATTCAGGATTCTTTGTGTATGATTGAATTTAATCACAACTGGTATTTCCTCTTGTTTGTTTTTCTTCAGTTTTCTGAAATGCTTGAGTATTATTTTTACTTTTAAGTCTAGAGAAAATAATGTATACTGTAGTATAATGCATTCTGGATAATACAGAAACAGGAGGGTTTGGTCTGTAAGGCAATTTTTATTTGTTTGAGATAGTTATTTTGCTATTAAGTCACTATAGAATTAGGAAAAGTGTGTGTTTAGCTTTGCTATGTTTTTTAATGTCAGCAGTCATCTTCTACTATGTAACTACTGTACATTGTGTTGAGGAGGACCCAAGGAACATTCCCTCCTTAGCATGTTTGTGGCATCGTATACATTTGTGCCTCACAGAAAAGCACAGGATTTTTTCTTTTGAGTCAATCTACACATTACATTATACCTTCAGAACACACAGTAAGTGATACTGCAGTACCAAGCACAAAGAATACCAAGAAAACAATTACTGTATCTTGGTACCAAATTGGAAGTCATAAGTTGGTTTGAACTGGTGAGCAAGCTGTTCATATTGATACAGGAGGTCTTCGTTATAAGAGTATTCACTATCTGTGGTTTCGCAGTTAAGTGGTCAACTTTTTGTGACCATCCACATAAAAGTCCCTGCATTTAAGTAGATTCCACTTAAAAAAAAACACTCAAAAACTCTGAAAACCCCAGATATAATATACAGATTTAAAACTCCCGATAAAATCTAGAGATTTTATGGATATTTAGCTGAAACGTTTGAAATTTCATCCTCTTCCTGGCGTCGTCCATGCATGCACGTGTCTCAGCGTCAGTCTCCCACTTTATTTCGTCCAGACCAGTGCTGTGTTTTGCTTACTCCTGCCTTTGTTGTCTTTTTGTGCGTGTTGTGGTCACTTATTTTATCATTTTTGTAGCCATGAGATCCCAACCCAAACAGGATGGTGCACCACTCAAAAGGAAGCACACTAGCTATAGTATAGATGTAAAATTAGAAGTGATTAGGCGAAAGAAGAGTGGAAGTGGGCAATTCTAGTCCTGTTTCTTTTTCATCCTCCGACTAATCCTCCTCTCCCAACACCCACCTCCATCAAGCCAAACATCTCTACCTTTGAAGCTAAATAAATAAAAATATACAGTATTATTATGTTAACATTATTTATTTTTAAAAACATTATATTAAGTATTTTGTTTCAATGAACCACTGGAGTTAGTGTGCACCAGCTGGCACAACCTACGTTGCCTCAACACACCGACCCCAATGAACTTTAGGAACGTTAAATAACTTATAAAGTTAAATAATTTCTTAAAATAATGTGTTATCAAATGTTTAACAAATGTTTCTAAGGTAAATAATTGTTAAAAGATATCACAAATTTTTTTTGAGTGTCGTGTACAATATCATGATTCCAGTTTGATCTATTTCCTTTATTTCTTATGGGATTAATTCCCTGCTTTAAGTGGATTCGTTATCAGAGGCGTTTTTCCGGTCCCAATTAACAGCGGATAACGAGGACCCTCTGTACTGCTCCAGACCAGTGCTCAATATGTTACATCTAAGAAAATTACCAGATCCCAAAGACAAATGGAGAATATTGAAGGTCTTTCAGTTTGGAAGGATGACCAGTCTGAGTGTGATACCAGCTTGGTACAGTAATCTCTGACCTTTGTTTTACCCACCACAGTACAGTGGACCCCCAATATAATGTGAGAGTGTGAGCAGTAATTGTTGTGCAATATTGAATCACCTTATAACATTCTATGTACAGTACTGTGCAGTACAGTACTGTACTGTATTTAAATGGGAAATATAGGGCCTAGCACTGCACCCCCAAAATTCCTTAAAGCACCACTTTTTAGTACTCGTACACTAATTCCATTATTTAAAACACTTTGTAACACATTATAACTCTCCCTGAGTCTAAACAACTGCAGAAATAGGCAAAAATTAAGTATTTTATATGAAAAAAATGGTGAATGTTTTATAAATGTTTTCAGTGATCATCATCAAATTTGCTTCAAAATGGTGATGTTACTATTACAGTACAGTATACTAACTATTTGGTTATGTAAATTTATGAAGCAATCATAAACAAACAAATATGGTAGAACTGCTAAGTTGTCTTATACGTATAGAAATTAAGCCAGTCCGACTTAATCAAAATTCCTACTTAGAAGTAATAACCTTTACTGTATTGGTGCCCCTAATGTCAAAAATATTGTCTAAAAACTTCACCAAATTCTCAAGAATGAAATGTATATAATATATTAAAAGAAATAATATTAAATGTTAAAAGAAATAATAACATCTGTTAAAAGAAGTTATAGCCACTGAACGCTCCAGGAACTTACCTTTTCCCATATGATTGCTGGAGCCTTGGTGGGTGGAGAGAGGCACTGCACTTTAGTTAGTCTGACACGTGGCAAATTACAACTCAGCATGTGTGCCGGCAACTCAGACTGAGTCCGACTTGGAGATGTTTTATTGTACCTGTCAAAAAATTATCTACTCCCAAAATTAGCACCAGAATTCTTAGATTGATACATGTAAACATTTTTGCACAGCTGACTGTACATTGTTCACCTGAGGTGCCCCCACTCAGGAGTTAAGAAGTTGTTTTGCACTGTATTAGAACTCTGTGACTGAATTTAGTAAGGATTAAAAACAAATTGGGTAAGGAATGCACTGCTTAGGAGTGTTAACGGAGTCATTAAGAATTTTAAGAAAGAGTCCTTGGTTTCTTTGGATATGTGGAGATAATGTGTGTAAAAAAATTAGTTAATGGCATTGAATAAGAAGAGAAGAATTTAATGATAAGGAAGGATGGGGTAATGAAAAAATCAGGTGAGAGAATACTTGTGTGGGTATTTGTAGACATACAGTAAATCCTCGATAACTCGGCACACATGGGGCTCTGGCCTAACCGAGTTATCCAAAATTCCGACTTATCGAGGTACTTCCCCCCCCTTCCTACAAAAATACAGCAATAAAAAATTATTGACCCATATATGTGCACATGTAATTACTAAATGTAAAAAAGGTAACACTTACCAGCACTGCAGGTGACACAGAGGCATGGTAGGCGACAGAGACATGGTTGGTGATGCAGGTGGCCAGATATACCGAGATTTTCCTGGATAACTTTATATATCTCGGCATTTCCCGGGCTATACTGTAATACTGTACATTCCGAGACCATATCCATACCGAGTTATATGAAATTCTGAGTTATCAAATGCTGAGTTATTGAGGGTTTACTGTACGTTATTATTTTCTTCACTTTAAAAAAAAGAGCAGAAATTTAGAAATATTGGACTAGATTTTTATGTAAACAAAAGGTTCACTCAATGTCTGTCATACCCCATATTCATAACATGATTCTTACCCTCTAAGTAGAAGTATGTCTTAGTGTTGATTTATATCATTCCCAAACAGAAACGACGGTTGGACATTAGTGGACTTGTATCAAGTACCAGTGGACGTGATGCTAATGGGAGTAATAAGAACCAGATTCAGTTTCCTCGCAGTGATGGCCTATATGCAGATCTACCACCAGAACAGCATGGCCATGGAGGGTCTCACCACTCCATGTTCTCTTCATTGTTATCTTCAAAACTTGGTTTACCACTACCAAATCCTGCACCAGAGGTAAGTCATATCAGAACATGGCCATCAACAAAAAGTCATTCTCTCTTCCTTCGACACTTTTACATTATTAAAAAGTATAGGAAGTAGTGCACAGCCTTTTCTTGCTTTCACTAATACAGTATTACAGAACTCTTACACCTGTTTCTCTGCAGTTTTAAAATTATTTTAATGCGTCTCAGGAATTTCTTCCTACACCATGAATTTCAATCCATTGTATCATACAGTACAGTGCAGTACAGTACAGTAAATCCCCAATAATCCAAACTTTAGTAATCTGAAAAACACGATAATCTAAATTTCAGAGATGTGGCTCGCATTTGAGCCCTCTGACTCAGTGCTTCATTTGCCATTTTTTGTATTTGTGCCAGCATGTTTTTCTTTTTATTATCTTTAATTGTCTTGATAATTTTAAACCATCAGACATTAAAATGTGGTTAGTAATGATGTTAGATTAAGAATTAATAAAAAGGTTGAATTTATATAGAAGCTTGAACATAGTATTAGATGGAGTGATATTAACAACGAATATTCTATCGTGCAAATTTCTTTCATAATGTAAGTAAAAACGAAAAGTTGAGATCTTTCATTGTAAATGTTTTACTACAGTGTTTGTAGTGTTCTTTAAGTGTTTACTGTACTGTATACAGTACAGAAGGTATTGTAAGTAATTTTTTATACTGTGATGGATATATTATGTTTTCTTTAAGTAATTATAGCTGATGAAAGTATTTTATACTGGAATGAGTATCCTCTCAACAGTCTGGAAATATTAGTATAGTATGAATTCCCTTAATTAATGGACACAGAAATGTCACGCTTGTATAGGCACTTCCATTTAGTTCATGGTAAGTGAGTTAACTGACTCTGGGCAGGAGTGAGAAGCCAGTTGTTTTGTTTCCTAAGTGCTGACATTAGGTCAGGCAACAATAGTGTTATCTGCACCCAGCTTCTAGTTATAGATATGTGTGTGGTGTTCTTATATAAAATCAAGAGTCGATAGCAATATACAGTACCCCTGTATACCCGGTATAAACACAATAACTCAATTGTGCTATTACACTTAGGTAATTCCCACCCTTCCCCCTTACCATCATCCTTCAAGTGATTTTTTGGAAGGACCTACTCTTGATGGGTGTTGCTAGATTGTGTGAAGCAACGGGGAAACCTTATTTGGGCCTTGTAGAAGGGGAGTACTATAGCGGAAATTTTTTTACAGCACGAAGAATGAATGAATGACAACAAATTAATAAAAACTAGGGCCTGTGTATATGTTTCTAGCCATCCTGTATAAAGCTGGTAAATGCTTGAAATTAAAATTAAAATAATATTTCTACTACCAAATTTATCTTTATCTTATGAACTTTCATTGCTTCCACAGGTTGAACTGGTACCTCCTGAACCCGTTGCTCCTGAAGTACCAGCTCATCTTCAAGTTTCTGTAGATCCCGATGAACCTAAGAAGAAGAAGTATGCCAAGGAAGCTTGGCCAGGAAAGAAACCAACACCATCTCTGCTTGTGTAGCTTTCAAAGTAACTGAAGTGGTAAAAGGATGCAAATTGATTTGAGTGCAACTGTAATTTTATAAGATATTTTGATGATGGCAAAGGCACAAGCCCCAGCATTTTGGTGGGCTTTGATCTTGATATATATATTTGTATTTTTCTAGTGTCTGTTTGTTTGTTATTTATACAAATTAATGAAAATATCTTATTAACCGTAGTATAAGATGAGTATTACAGAGCTATAGTTTAGTACAGTAATGAATCAACAGTCTTCATCAGGTTAAAACTGTCGTACCCATCTTGGTCAGTTTGCCTGAACAAACGCTGTGGGCACTAGAGGTCAGTATGTTATGTTTTTCTCAGACATGGAGTACAGTATAAGGAGATGTATGTGATGTTAGTGAATGAATGAATGAATGTTGTATGATCAATTTGTCTCTATTACTTAGAATTGTTTATGATAGTATTGTTATCTGTAATTAAAATTTAGCAAATTAAGGCTTTAGAAATCTAATTGATTACAGTAATTTAATAAATACTTGTTATTGTCATCAAAATTATTAATTGTTCCTAATGTATGAAAAGAACAATTTAAAAAATTTATGTGACTAGAATTACTGAGAACTGAAAAGCAAGCTTTTGAATTGTGTGAATTGTGGAGCATTGCAGCCAGACATAAGCTGGAGAATTGATGGAAAAGATCAATAAATGGTTTTATACATAATTTATTTATATTTTTCCACTGATAAAGGAACAATTTCAGTCATTATGACCATTTGTAAATTACTTACTGTTATGTACTGTACTGTACCATGAAATACAGTAATAATTCAGATACAGACCCCCAAAACCAGGACCCTTGGGATTAAGACCAAACTGGTTTTGAGGATGTTCTACTTTCCTAGGTCATCCTTCTGTTACCCTAGGCCTACCAGTAGACTACAGTATGTTAAGATTTGGTTCCACACACAAACTTAATTGAACATTTGTTTTACTTCTTGATTAACATTACAGGGTATAAAGAAAATATTGCTGTTGTATACATACTTTAGATAAAAGCAAAACATTAAATATACTGTCATTAGCAATTGAGAGTTCCTTAGATAGGCCTCCATAGCACCAAAGTAACCTGGTTTGGGTTTGTTTGTGTTCCAGAAGCCTCTTGTAAGTCATGAGACATTTACAAGAATTAGAGAGTTCATAAATAATTATTGTCTGAATGAATATATATATATATATATATATATATATATATATATATATATATATATATATATATATATATATATATATATATATATATATATATATATATATATATATATATATATATATTGTATATATATACACGACCATCCGGATATACGACCGCCCCAGTCTTTCCAAATAATTTCAAATTACGTATTTTCGAGCCCCGACGTTAGTGATTGCGCTGTGTACTGAAAAATTTTTCGTTTGTAATTCCCTTTAAAATGGCTGGCATGCTTGAAAGTGAGAGTTTTGTGGTGCTGAGAAGAAAAAGAGACACCCATTTTAGATTTTCTATGTACAGGTATTATCTTCGCATTTTCGACTTACGACCAATTCAACTTATGACCTTGATTTGGGTCGTGTGTGTGTATATATATATATATATATATATATAATCGTTAGGCTAAGCACTTGGAAATCACATCTTTCCCATCAGTTATTAACCGAAAGTGTCTGATATGTGCAGAAACTGCTTTTCCATCCTCACGGCCACCATACGAGCCTATGCTTTTTTCAATGAGATTGCATCTGCCCTTTGCTCATATAACAAACGTTGTCTTTATTAATTGTTGCACAACTTTGTGATCGTTGTGATACTCTGCCATTATTCGTGAGAGTAAAACATAATTCAGATCTTGCTCTGTTTTCTTGACTGAAGTTACTCTTGTTACTTTGAAAGTGGCTAGTAAGTGTCCTGCTGACTCCAACTTCTGGGAAAGGCAAGGCCGTGCCTCAGAAGACAAAGTTAGACATTGTTAAGTGTCAGGCTTGTTATCATTAACCCTCTCGTGGTCCTTTGACGTCACTAAGTGCTCCCATGCAGATGCAATCTTTCTACCTGCCTCTGCTGGGACATAATTTAAGAATAAAACAAATACTGAACTGAGTGTGTGTGGAATCAAAACTTAATGTACCCAGGGAAGAAAATTTAACCTAACACAGGGAAGAAGAAGTCATGTTTCCTGAAATCCAGATTCAAGGGTCTGTACCTGTACAGTACTGGACATATAAGAAAAAAAGATGAGAATTGTACATGAATCAAGCAAAAATAGACAACAATGGTCATGAACTAGTGTCTTGGGTTGAACTTAAGCCACAGGCAAAATTTTGTTCATTGAGACAGTCTCAAGAGAACTATTGGGAAAATTTTTGTAGTAGCACTTGCAGTCGTAGCAGTAGAACTACAGTGTTAGAATAATATGTCGCTTTACTGGAGTAACATTTCCTTGGACAGTGCAGAACAGTGGATTTTCCACTTTTCTCCCAGTGCAGTATAACCCTAAGTACTGTATTCAAAATTATTGGGCATACACTTGTTATAGAATGTAAAAATGTTACTTTACTACAAATTATATATTTTTTTTATCTAATATACACCTTAAGGTATCTAAGGTATTACAGTGGTCTTAATGAGTTCACAAAAATGTTTTTTTACAGTGAATCTGGTGGATCATATTTACCATGCAAATCTGTAAACATTACTGTACCTTACTCCTTAAAAAAAATATCCTGGATAAAAAATTGCCATTTCATAGAATTCCTTCTATGTCAAGCACCATATCAGACTCAGTCTTCAGCAATCTGCACCAAAAAGAAAGAAATGTAAAAAAAAAATCAAACTTCCATTACTTCCCTACTGATCAATATTGGTCTAGATTAGTGTTTTTCATTTAGAATTAAAATTCATATTTATTTTCATAAATGCTATATCTAAACAACAAAATGTTTTGAGATATGTGTACTAAAAATCAATTTACCAAATATTCATTTCTCATTTGTTTGGCATCATTTCACATCAAACATCACAAGTAGGAAATTGATTGAAAATATTTTATACATTAAAACAAGTCATCCCACACATTTCAGAAGGGACACGTTCTTTAAAAGTTACTTGTAATTTGAATTTCACCTGATGAATCTTTTTAATAGTGGGGGGCGGGGGAGGTATCCCAAGAAAAAATATTATCTGAAGACCTAATAAAATCATATTCAAGAAAGTAGTGAACCTATTTAAATTCATTTAATGGAAAAATCTTACTTTTAATATTTTATTCATAATACTGTACATCAGTCTCGAATTCAACTTCCCAGAGATGATGATGATGATCTGTGTGTGTGGTGGTAATGCATATCTGGTGGTGAAATTGGAGTAAGAATATTGTAAGGGAGATGGAGGAGCAGTGTGGTTATCTGCCTCACTGTATTTACGTCATACTGTCATAACACCTCCAGTTTTACATCCAAAGTAATAGTTTTATGGGACCTTTTAATACTAGGTACTGTTGCCAATTGCACTTAGTCCTTGAATGACGGTGGCACACTGCTCAGTCTTGAATGTGATAAGTGTGAAAAGTGAGAGCCAAGTCAACAACTTGTTCACATCAAACAGACAAAGCTACAACTCCAATTAAATGGCCTGGTAAGCTCCTTATCAAATACATGTTAAGACAGATCATACAAAAAATTTTATTTTGGGCAAAAATTTTGGTCATGTATCCCAGGTTTAGTGGTCTTAATATACAAGTTATGTTTGTACAAAATTCTGCAGCCTGAATATTTGTAATGCAGGGGATGACTGTACTGCTGTAGTTTAAAAACAGGTTTATTGTTATATTAAATAAATAATAAAAGGACAAAAATGGAAAGAAAAATTAATATCTTAGTTATACTGTGCAGTACTTACACCTACATGGCAACTTTTGCATGTTAGTGAGGTAGTCATGTTAGAATACCTATCAGATATTTCAGGATTTATAGACATTTTAATTAGTGGTGCACTGCTGATAAGTAGAAGTACAGTATCTATAAATGTAAAAAAATTAGGTGAGAATAGTTACTGTATACTAAGTTATTCCAGTTATTTTCATATACCTGTACAGAAATCTTAACATATTTACAGCCCTGTACATTCTTTCTCCATAATTCTAGCAAGGTGACTTGTTTTTAAGTATTAATCAATTCCATTTTTTATATTTGTAAGATAATTGTACAGTACTTAATAGCTGTACACCTTAGTACAGTACAATGCAGAACTACACTGAGCATTTACAAATTCTGGAACACAACACTGTCTTGTCATGCCTTGCTGAGTCATGATGGTCTCACCACTGACATTATACAGTACAATGTTAGCTCCATTGTTGTTATTTTGATATCAATTTAATTGGAATAATATTACTAATGTGAAATCCTCAGTCTGATCCTCTGATGTTCCAGGTGTGTAAGTGTTTGGCAATTCAACTCACTGCAGTATTACCTCTGTTAACAAAGCTCCTTTATAATGAAGTCCACAAAAAATAATCTACCATTTTAATATGAGAAGTATTTTTAAATCACATAAAGTTAAAAATAACAAATTTTTTGTGTGCATTGTGAAAATTCCCATTTTTTCTCTATTTTAAGTTTGTGTTCATATTTCACATTCTGTCATCATTAGAGAGAAATGTTTTTTGGGGGAGAAATATTCTGGGATGTTCTAGAATGTACCAGAACATGTGTCAGTGTTGGTTAAGTCTAGTTTTAAAGTTGCTCACACTCGGTGCTATCACAACATTCTCTGGCAGGTTACTACAACAGTTCACAACTCCTACTCTCTATATTCTCTGGCAGGTTAATACAACGGTTCACAATTCTTATGTCACATACTCAGACAGTTTTACAAGAAGTTAGCTCTTATAAGTTTCTGTACTTCAGGCTGTGAACTTTAATGCAAAAAGGCCATTAAAGGTTTTTCACCACTTATGTACAGGGTCCCCCTCCGTTTAATTTTTTAGAGCAACATTATTTTTAGTATGTTTCATTAAATATGTTTTTAAAGGTTTAATATTAAACAAAGACAATCGATCAGCTGATAAAAACAAAGTTTCTCCTGCCCTCAATAGATGGCAGCATGGGCAGGCGCGTCATCAGCTTGCGATTATCACATGATTCACGACACCCCTAGTTCTATTGTTTCATTAGTCACCTTGAGTCTGGACAACTGCAGTCCAGGAAGCAATAGTTCACTCAAGGTGAGTTATGATTTAAAATGTTTAAAAATGATGTCCTCAGGCAATTTAAATAATATTTTTTGTTTGTACTTAATGATGTTTTCCTATTATACCCCTCTTAAGTCTTGGAATGGCATCCCTATGCCTTCTATGTTATATCTTCCTCTGGTAAAAAAATTTCTGACTTTAACATAGGTATTACTGTACTTTAGTGGGAGTGAAGAGTTATACAATAAGTCCTCGTTTAACGTTGTCCCCGACAAAGTCGTTTCGTTATAACGTTGCTACTCTTTAGATACCCATGATTCCGACAACGTCCCAACCGATTCAGTATTACGTCGTCACGGACTGCTTTGTATGGCGCATCACCCTCTCTCATCTTGGCGTGCTACGCTCTCGCGAAGCGTCACAGCGTCCCCAGTCTTTGTTAGGCTTCCACAGCTTACACGCGTGCTTAAGTGTTTTTGCTATAAATACTGTACTGTAACCATTCAAAATGGCTTCCAAGTGCCCATCAAGAGTAAGTGATGCTAGTGTTGTGAAAAAGCAATGCAAGACCATTAGCCTGGCTACAAAAATGGAGGTTTTAAACCCACCATAAACTCACTCCACCTCTGCCCATCAGTGAGTACAATACAAAATGATTTAGTTTATTTATCTTTTTGGATGTATATATATTTTCTATAAAAATTCCATTGAATTTATGTATATGTAATGTATGTTATGGGGCAAAGGAAGGCTGGGGAACATAACTCCCATATTTTATCCATTTCTTGTGGGGAAAAATGATTCAGTTAACGTTTTGTTATGTCGCGGTTTTCAGGAACGGAACCACGACGTTGAGCGAGGACTTACTGTGTGCACAACTCTGCTTTGGGCAAGTTATTGAGTGTTGGAAACTCTCATGATATTGACGAAGCAGAGTTGTTTTCAGAATTTCGAGTACTAGAACTCATTACCAAAGAAACAAAAAATCCACTTGAAGTCTTTCAATTTCTAAAATCTCTCGATGGTTCCTTCCCTAATGCAGAAACTGTGTAGGATTTTGTTGACAGTCAGTGACATCAGGAGAGCTAATTTTTACAAAATCAAATTTATATAAAGCTATACTGTATCAGGACAACTGTCAAGAGAAGTTGAGTGGACTAGCTATGCTCTCCGAAAAGGAAATGACAGCAAGTTTGTGCTATCATGAACTGATAGAAGAGTTTACTGGAAAGAAAGCAGGGAAGATTAAATTTCTTAAGTATCCAGTAGGCTGTTATTGCAACTTCACAAATGCTTTATGAGATGTAATAGAAGATTAAATTAGTTTTTAGTTATAAATTATGTTACCGTGAAATTTTTCATTACATCTAGACTGTCTTACGGTATTTGTCTTGTTTATGTTACAATAATATATAAAATGTTTTATTTTCCGTGTACAGTACAGGTACCTGTATATGCAACGCATCAATGGAAGGTAAGACATCCTACTCCCCTGCCTTTTTGTACATGTAATGTATGTATTTACTGTAGGATAGGGTTTGAAGTATTATTTTTAATGAAATGCCTTTTAACCTAAAATAAATAAATAAAGGAAGCTACCCTAGAGTTACTTTCATATCTGTTTTAAATGCCTAACAAAAGATCACGGAGACAAACAGAGGCTTGAGATGTGTTATAATCTTCAAAATCCCATCAACCTTAATAAAAGTGTGTCATTTTCATCTTTATCTTGCTTAGTGCCTCACATACACTAGGCCATTTATTTAGATTTGTGACCGTCTCCTGTGTTAAGACCACCATTTTAGAATTCCAGATACTGATCCAAGGATTAAAAAAATATATACATAGTATTTTTTCTTTATTTCTTTAAAAAACAATATTCCAACTTTCATACTCAACAATATTCATCACACTAAAAATTATACATCAATTACATTCATACAGATATGACAAATACAAAGATCCCAAGTATGGTCATAGTTTTAAGACATTTTTATGAAGTGGCAAACCTCCAAAAACTTAGGAATGCAAATTTGTCAATGACTAAATTTTAAGGTTGCTAACCTCCAGCATGTTTAACCAATATCATACATACACTACAGTACTTAGCCCTGGCTTTCAGCATCTTCAAAATAGCCTACAACACTAGATTTTTGTTTTACTATAACAAAAATGTCTCCAGCATGAATAAATTAAGGAGATTATGCAGTTTGTCAATTAATCAGACTTTCCCTTCTTACTGCGTGGGACAGTTGCATACTTTGACTTGATGTTGTACCACATTAAGAAGGGAACTAAGAGAGCAGGGATCATCAGCAGAGCAAATATCATCCAATCAAACTGAAAAGGAAACATTTACATTATTAATCATGCACAAACGTTCAAACATTCGCTGTGACTATATATATATATATATATATATATATATATATATATATATATATATATATAACCATAAAGAACACAAAAATGAATCAAGAGCAAGAAACGATATACAATATGTATGTTGTGTTTTCACTAGTAAGAGAAACAATTGAGACCCTGCAATTGTGTATAAATGAGGCAGAAAGTCAGATCAGCAACCTGGGACTTGGTCACAATTCTCGTGATGCCATATAAGAACATAACGAGTCTGCAATAGGCCAGTTGGCCTGTGCATGGCAGCTCCTGTTTCGAGTTACAACCACTCGATATCATCCATGAATATCTAGCCTCCTTTTAAAACTTTCCAGCTTCCCAGCACTTACTACAAAGTTGCTAAGCTTGTTCCACTAATATACCACCTATTTGTAAACCAGTTTCTTCCTATCTCTCTCCTAAACAAACTTATCCAACTTAAATCCTTTGCTACGAGTCCTATCCTGCTCGGATGGCAGCAGGGTCTACCATTACACAATACATTATGCTTCCAATATCTTCCAAGGCTGTAGTATCACCCCATTTGATAGCTGCCTATTGCCTACTAGCCATAAGGCTTTGCACAGGAACAAAAGTGTTTCACAACTGACATTGTACTGCTGGGTTACGAACAGCTTGTTTACTTTATCGCCTTTGTCACTCGCTGACATGTTAGCCACTTGGGCTAGTTTGCCAACTAATTTCTTCTTTGTTAGTATTCTTGGTAATTTCTTTTTCATAACTGTTAATCAGGAATCTAAACACTAAGTTACATTGTCAAACTGATACACATTAATCAAAAGGTAAACAATATGTTAAGAAAATATGAATTAACCCCGAGCAACGTTTCTGGACGTTCTTAATATTTGTGGCATGTTTTGAATGTCCAGGCTGGAGGAAATACTTTGTATTTGTCTCGAGACTCATGCCTCATGGTCAGTTACCCACCAGTTATTATGAGGGATGCACGTCCTTAAACCTCTTTCATGACCCCGCACACCCAAGCGAAGGCATTTGCTTGATTTGAGTGGTATTAATATAGTATTGGATGACAACGATAATGTTGGAGAAGAAAAACTCCAGATGTAGGTGTTTGCCGAGGCAGTGAGGACAGTGTTAGGCCGAAATTCTCCTACTGCAAAGTATTTTATAGTTCATTTGAGGAAAATAGAACTTATTTGTTTTGTAATAGCTATTAGATAGAAATATGATATAAAAGGGTCTTCAAGTAAGAACTGTGTTGCAGGTGCATGTCAAATTCACTTCCGCTCACCATGGGCTTTGCACAGCAGCTCCAAATAAGACATATTTCATCACTTCACACTATTCACCAATACTCAAGACAACTCTCCAACCATGCTACAATGAAAGTTAAATGTAAGTACATTCTTCTGGTATTTTTCTTATATTGATTAACCCATTTATAAGGTGACAATGGATAAATTTTTTTTTACTGAAATATGCCCGGGTGGGGGGGGGGGTTCGGCTGGTCTTACGACACCAGGGGTTTAATGGTGTCAGGCTTTTAATACAGCTGAACCCGGCAGTTAGGCGAGTTGTAGCCATTTTTTTTTAATTTTACTTTCTTCCTTAAATAACAAAAGTTCAACAAAGCCATATTTATCCTCATTAAGCACAGTAGTGTCTTAGGCGAGGACTTATGGAAAGCAGACATGTGTTTGTTCCTCATTCAGGCATGTCTACAACCTGGCTATCCCGATACTGTAACACTCCCTTGGTTAATTTTTTTTATGTTAAACTGGTTTGCTATTTAAGGGCAATGTAGAGTCATTGTCCACTGTGGGCAGTGGATGGTTTCCAGGGAAAAAGTGAATCTTAAAAGATTTACTTTTCTGCTCCAGATTAGTTTCATGATAAAAACAATAAATAAACCTAAAATTAAAGGCATCAAGAGGCAAGCATGACCAAAGACATGATATATTATAAGAAAGTGTACAAGCAATTACTTACAACATGAGGGGAGAACTTTCTGTCGTAGTCACGGAAGGCAATGATTCCTCCTTCACCAGGCTCAGATGTGTACCCAATTTGTATCTTCAAGATAAAACATTCATATTAACAAATCATGTACAGTACCATTAACTGGTTCCTCAACTTTAAAAATATATCAAGTTATTAAATAACATTACACCTTGGGTTGCTTTATGATTTTAATTTATTCCACATTTCTTCAAAATGTTATGTATGTAAACGGAATAACCAATCTCCTGAACCTTCATTATGATAGGAAAGGAACAGTGTATTATCAAATATTCACACTGGTAGAGGAAAAAGTGAAAGTGGATCCCACAAGTCTGAGAAGAGGCAGTTTAGATACAGCACACTGTAAACTAAATTTCAGGAAAAAAAAGAGACAGCATGACTGCCCTCTTTCCCCAAATGTCATGTTATCATTGAACTTCATTTCATAGCCACTTTCCACACTTGCATGGGTTATCTGTGATTATGTACTAATTTAAGCTGGGTTAATTGGGGGTACAAGGCATGAACCAGCAATCCCCAGGGGCAAGTTCAATATTCAATTGGCCATCCAACAACGGAATGGGGGAGGGCAGAAAAATATATGTATTGTACTGCATGTATGGATTTTCACATGACAAGTTACACGACAAAATCTGTTGATGAGAATGAGTGCTTTGATTTAAAACATGGTGATAAGAGCAGAAGTTGTTACCCCAAGTAAAAAATTTTTTTAAATTTTCATTAAACTTGTACAAATATTAGAACCATTGGTTATATGCAGCCACCCCCCCTCCCCACCTGGGTTACTGTGAACACCAGTGATTAATTGGCATTTATTATAAGAATCAGTCTCTCTTTGGGTTAATGTGAGCACCTACTTCTATCCATAAAGATTGTGTTCAAAATTTTATGAAAATTCCCAGTCAAACTGAGATTAGTTCAAATAAAGTTGTGTTTATGAACAGATGGATGGTCAGCATGACAACTCTGTATCCAACCCCCTCTCCCAAATATATATTTGATCTGGGGTTAATCATAATCTTACAAAATTATCATACCTCAGCTGATTCCTCAGATGGCTGATAAGACACTTCTGCTGCTGTGAAGTTAAAGTAACCATACTTCTTAGGCTTCACAACTACAGTATGAGACACATTGGCATTAGGAGCAATCCGATCAAACTTCACCTGCAGCTGACCACCAGCAATGTCAAAGTCTTCAGTGCTGAGGAAAAATAAACATGATTAAAACTTAAAATTAGGTCAAAGGGAGATCCTTAACTGAAAATTACCAAAAAGTCCTGTCTCAATGACCTAAGAGCCCTTCGTTCTAGTCCTTGCTTCACCATAAAAATGTCTGACTAATAATGTTTTCACTTCACATCTTTACATTCTTGTACAGTACAGCTACTCCTCGACTTACGACCGCCTCAGTCGTATAAAAATTGTCAAATTACGTATTTTCGAGTCCTGACGTTAGTGATTGCGCAGTGTGCGGACAAAATTTTCGTTTGTAATTCACTTTAAAATGGCTGGCAAGCTTAAAAGTGCAAGTTTTGTGGTGCTGAGAAGAAAAAGACACCCATTTTAGATTTCCTATGTATTATTTAATCATTTTTTTACTTACGACCTGTATTTGGGTCCCTAACCCCGTCGTAAGTCGAGGAGCAGCTGTATTTCCTATTCCCCTCACACAAAGTCATGGCATTGTCAAAAAGATTTACAACATACAGTCCCCAGGGTAACACACCCTAGGCACATTCATAATGCATATTACTCTATACCCTGTACTAAGAGTAATAAGATTAAATATTATTCACCGATTAAATTTATAATTTTATTCAAATAACTGTTGCTTGTCTTATATTTAGTTGGTTTGTTTGGCATTCTTTATAGTATTCATTTTCCCACTTTGAACTATTATTTCACTTGTTGCCACTAAACAAATTTCGGGAACTTTATAGATACAATCAGTAGTTTTAACAATTCCAAGACACCTCTCTTCAATGACATTTTTGGGCCAAATTACGTTTAAGGGAGATATTTAACACTTTATTATGTATGTTCGTACTTGACGGTACACACCCAGAACATCAGACTGTGGAGCTTCACTGGTTAGGTTAGATTCAAAATTGTTTTTCCAATGTTTTCAATATGTTTAGAACACTTAACCATGATTTTATAGTACTGTAAATCTCTAGATTCTGAAATGAAAGGGAGGAGGGGGGGGGGGTTATTTCAGAAACCATTGATTTGCGCCAGAAATGAAGGTCAAATTCGTTCATAACACAAACCACCGGAGAAAGTTTCAACAAGTGAAATTTACCATTTGAACAACCAATATTGTTGGCAAAAATACATAGCCATATAAAAATGAAACCTCAAAACCATAAATTTCTGACAAACACATACACTAAATTATTTTTAGTTTTTCCTCTTTCTCCCTTTATAAGATTCAATATATAAATAGGTGTTGGCAACTACTAAATATTAACCAGTTGGTTTAATTACTCTGAAACAATGGTTTCAGAAGAGATGACATTTGAAGAAATTGTGTAGTCACAAATTTTGTATATTCTGGAGCAGTGACCACATTTGATATTCATTCAGGCAAATTAGACTGATAACAATAAATAGTAGGGTAGTAAAATATAGGCAATAAATCAGTTATGTAGGGTAAATAAAATAACTCCTAGACTGTACAGTACAAACTAGTTTTACTACCATGATATATGTACATATACCGGTATACTGTATTATCACATGCAAAATGTGCATTTTTCAGATATTCAATAATTTCACATACCTAAATCCCGCATCAGTGAGTTGTACATTGATTGCAGCAGCTTGACCGACATTGTGGACAGAATACTGCACAACAATATCTCTTCCTTCCACCAAATACAAATTATGGACCCGTTTTGCAGCTAACAATCTTGCTCTCTCTTCCCCTTCTCCTTCAGAAAATACACCCCCTACAAATGCTAAGGCCAGGATTAAGTAGCACAACACTGGAAAGAAAAATACCTTATCAGTATAGAAATATTACACTTTACTTAACAACAAATTTAGGAATATGTTGGGCTAAGCTCTGCCACTTTGTTCATTGCTATTCTTTGATAGGACTATCAGATGTTTGTTTTAACTAATAAAATGCAAATCTGGTTGGTGATCAAGGAAAAAGGACATCCAAGTGTTTTCAACATTATGCATGTGGAATTGGTCATTTGGGTAAAAATACCAGTCAAGTGTATCTAAAATTTCCAGGTATTCATTATGATTGGTTGATGCGGATAATGGTGAAGACCCAAAGAATACAAATTCTTAAAATAAAGTGCCTTGTACCTAACCAATGCATTTCAACCAACATACAACTAATCTGCTACATTCCTACTTTTCTGGTATACTTCATTTCCACTGATGCGGTCGACTGTAGGCCACGGTGTGGGAATCATATTGCTTAAACTAATATCCACGTGTTCCAGACATTAAACTTCTGCTGTACCACATTGAAAACATTATCTATCATGCACTACACTGGTATTCACAAACAATACTTAAGATTGCCTACGTAGATAATTCATAAGTATATCGAGTTAATTATATCATTAAAGGCTTTACCGGTATAATGTAAATACTTATGAAATGTTCTTTCATTGTAGACACCTACTTTTTGACAAGAGGAGAGCTGCACCACAACTGACCGAGTGAGTGTGTAGACGGCCGGTGGTGCCACCTAACACAACACACAGCACAGTTGTCAGCTGGCACGATGGTTCTTCTGTATGGTTACTGATACTGTACTCCTATAATGTTCACCATCAATTAAAATATGCTTTGTATACTTATATAAAGATTCAAATTTTATATAATAGTCTTCTTCTCTAGTATAATTAAGAGGAATATATATTTATTATGATTATATTTAGTCTACGTAAAAGACATATTTTATGATTTAATAGGAACATGTCTCCTGGGATCAGTTCCCGGTACGATGTATGAACGGCTAATAATTGAGCTGGTAAGTGGTGAAATAATATATTGAATTAAATAAATAAATATAGCTGCACGGACTATGTAATAGTATAAACTGTTGTATAAATCTGCATGTCCTTTATACACGCTGAATTATAAATTTACAAATCTACATATATTTTTTTAATAAATGCAACTGTATATAGTATGCTAATTTTATTGCATAGATATCCACCTCGTAAAGTAATTGTTAATAGCCATTGGTATTAATAATGAGGAGACGCTTGATGTTGAAACACAGTAAATACTGCAATGTGTTATCATCAAGCGACATAACTTGTTAAAAAGTTAAATACAAAAAAAAATAGTTTTAAGTCACCCCTCGCTGCCTATAATATAAGCTAGGCAACTGCAGTCTCCGTTATTCCAAATTCAGTATCTGGTTAAGAATAGTTCTAACTTATTTTACATTTTCAAGCATTAAGAAAATCAGGTTTAATTAAAAAAATTATTGTTGGCGACTGGTGGAGACTGAGAGGTGCGCCTGTCGTGTGTCTGTTATTATGGCGGGGAACTGCAGAATGTAAACACTGAAAACTGTAATGTCAAAACCTTGGAAATGGATAAGATATTGCTGTATATTTCAACAGGTACCTTCTTATTTCAATATATTTGCCTAACCTACCCTTACTATATTAATTATATTCTTTGATGCGTTGATCCAGACAAGTGATATCAGCTACTGTAGTTTTACGCCAAGAGTTTTAACATCCTCTTCCCTTGGGGGTCGTCGTGTTTACATAAAAACATAAGAATGGAGGAAACTGCAGCTGGCCTATTGGCCCATACTGGGCAGTCCCATTTACACCCAACCCCTATTGCTCATATATCCATCCAACCTATGTTTGAAGCTATTCAGCGTATTCAAGTTAATGATGATGTTTGGTAACTTGTTCCATTCATCCACTACTCTGTTTCCAAACCAGTGTTTACCTATTTCGCGCCTAAATCTAAATTTGTCTAATTTAAAACCATTGTTACGAGTTCGCTCCTGGTTGGATAGTTTGAGTACCTTTGTAATGTCCCCTTTGTTCAGCCCTGACTTCCATTTATACACCTCTATCATATCGCCCCTCACTCTACGTCTCTCGAGGGAGTGCAACTTAAGATGCTTTAGCCTGTCTCTATATTCAAGGTTCCTAATGCCCTGGATTAGTCTTCTCATTCTCCTCTGAATTCTTTCCAAGGATTCTATATCCATTCTGTAATACAGTGACCAGAATTGAACTGCAATCCAAGTGAGGTCTCACAAGCGAAGATATGGATTTAGGATGACCTCGCTTGTCTTGTAACTAACACTCCTTTGTATGAACCCAAGTACTTTATTAGCCTTGTTACGAGCAAAAACACATTGTTTACTTGGCTTAAGATTCCTACTTATCATTACTCCTAAATCCTCCTCGCAGTCGGATTTTTCAATAACATCGTTGTTCATCTGGTATCTGGTTTCCCTGTTTACATCTCCTATACTGAGTACTTTACATTTGTCCACATTGAATTTCATCTGCCATTTTTTAGACCATTCGAAATATTTGTTTAGATCTTCCTGTAGTTTTGCGGAGTCCTCGTCAGATTTAATTACACGCCCCTATTTTAGTGTCATAAAATTTACTTATGTTGCTGTCTATGCCGATATCTATGTCGTTTATGTATATAATAAATAATAATGGTCCAAGTACTGAGCCTTGGGGAACTCCACTAGTGACGTTGCTCCAATCGGATTTAGTGCCGTTAATGCTCACTCGCTGTTTCCTGTAACCACGCCCTAATCCATTTTAGAATATCTCCTTTAATGCCATGAGCCTCCACTTTCCTTATTTGTCTTTCGTGGGGGACTCTGTCGAAGTCTTTGCTAAATTCGAGATATACCACATCATAATTGTGCCCCTCGTCCACTGATTCGAAAACAGACGAAAAGAATGTTAATAGATTAGTTAGACATGAATGTCCGCTTGTGAAGCCATGTTGGGAATTATTGATCAACTTGTGCTTCTCCAGGTGATTTTGAATAGAGTTTGAAATGATTGCTTCCAGTAATTTGCCTACAATTGATGTTAGACTGATTGGACTGTAGTTAGAGGATAGTGATCTATCTCCCTTCTTGAAAATCGGTATTACATTCGCTATACTCCAGGATCCTGGTACTACACTCGTTTTTAAGGACATGTTAAACAACTTTGCTAAGGGCATACTAAGCTCTTCCTTACATTCCTTTAATACTCTGGCAAATATCTCGTCGGGATCTGGTGACTTATTAGGCTTTAGTTTGTGTATTTGCTTACTAACATCGTCACTAATCACTACTGTATCGCTTAATTTATTTTCTTCACTATCTCTGTACTGTATATAGTCGGGTATCATGTTTAAATTTTCGGTGGTGAAAACTGTTGAAAATTACCTGTTCAGATTACAGTACTGTATTGCTCACTTCTCCGTCGTTATCAGTTAGCTCACTGGTATTGGCCCAATCATGTCTCGTGTTTTAGTTTGATATACGTACAGTATTGTATTTGAAATAATCACTTGGGGCTTAAGTTTGACTCCCTTGCTACCTTCAGTTCATTATTCCTCTTTGCTTTTCTTATCTCGGTCTTAACCCTACTGGCCAATACCTTATAATAATCTCGGAGGTAAACTTCACGATTTATTCTCCAATCTATAGCCTTCCTTTGGCCAATAATATTCTTTAAGTAATTTTTTATCCATTTGGGGTCATTGTTGTTTGATCTGAGTTTTTTGTATGGTATGTTTTGCCTTTGTGCAATTAAGTAACTCATTATTTAAATTGTTATTGAACTCGTCAACCTCAGATCTTGTGATCAGGTCATCCTCAACTGTCATATTTTGTGAGGGTGTCGCTGCCAGGTCTCCAGGTAAAGTAAGATCGCTTTCTGTGGGTACATTGTTGTGGAATGTCAACCTCAGATCTCGTGATCAGGTTATCCTCAACCGTCATATTTTGTGAGGGTGTCGTTGTCAGGTCTCTAGGTGAAGTGATCTTAATTGTGAACTAAATATAAAATTATATATATAAAAGAAAAAAGATCACCCTTTCCACATAGTGTATGTACATTAATACAGTATATTAATAATATAGAATGAAAAGTTAAATAATAAAAATCAAACCCCCCCTCACTTATAATCTATGCTGCTTTTTATCATTGTACATTTATCATTCATGCAAAAATGTGTAAATTTTTACTTTTTAGTCTGAGTTTGTTAACCTACAATAAGTGGTCCGAGTTGGTTATCCGATATGGTCCAAGTTGGATGTGGACCGAGTTGGTAATGGGCTGAGTTGGACTGTACACAACCAGAAAAACAATACCACAACTTTTTATTTTGGTAATGTATGAGAAAACTGTTACCACCAGAAAAGGTAGATTCGTTTTAGGTTGAGCAAGGAACTTCATATTTCTACTTACATAGGGAGAAAGAGCCCCCCAAATAAGGTATTATTATCGTTTTAGTCATCCAGCGGTTTTTAGGATTTTAAGTTTTGGAATCAGTAGTTTAGACAATTCTAAGACTCGTTTCTTCTGTAGCGTTTCTTCCATAAATGATTATTTTTTGAGAAATTGCAATAAATTGTCGTATTTTTGTTCAAGCTGGAATGCAACGTCACTCAGGTAACATTGCTGACGTCGTACATTAATATTATTATATTAATATGTATTTTTTATCTCTTGCCTGGTGATTCAGCTTTAAATATACACAAAGGAGAGCTCTGCGAATTTGTGTTCTAATTGCTGAAATACTAAGCTCCGCGAGGATTTTATATACGGTATTTGTACTTATTAGCACAGTGATGAAGTAGAATGACTTTTATTTTGTTATGTCTCAATTAATGTATTTGGGACAATTTCTTATACGATCTGTGGTCATAATAATATAAATGTACGACGTCAGCAATGTTACCTGAGATGACGTCACATTCCGAGCTATATCACAAAAACTGGTTTTTAGAAAAAAACAGCTTTTTTCTAAGTTCTAGTTTATGTTACCATTGCCCGAGAGAGCTCCTGTGTGTTCATTTGTTGGTTACTATGCTGCATATGCAGCACTATTGTCTGGCACAGGGCAGTGTATTAGGCCTGCTGTTGATCGTTTGCTTCAAAGGTGACATGCCAGAAGCTGTACATTCCTCCATACTAATGTTTGTAGAGGATGCCAAGTTATTTTGGGAAATTAAGAATCAAGCAGACTGTGAAGAGCTGCAGAAGGATCTCTGTGAGCTTCAAGAATGGTCGAAGAAATGGCTGCTAAGATTCAATATCTTGAAGTGTAAGAAGATGCACCTCGGACATACCAACGGTAAAGAGGCGTATCATATGTCCCAATAAGAGGGGATTTAATTGAGGCGTATAAACATTTCAAAGGGCACTTTTCAGTCTAGTGTCCTTACCTGGAGCTGGCAGACGCTCGCCCCACAAGGGGTCACAGCTCAAGGTTGAAGAAGCCGCAAGCCCAGAAAACTGTGAGGGGTAACTTTTTCGGAGTGAGAGTTGTGAACTCTTGGAACAATCTGCCAGAGAGTGTTGTGATGGCACCAAGTGTGAGCTCTTTCAAGGCCAGACTCGACCACTACTGGAGCAGGTTCAGATTCATTCAGGAGCCAGTGCATGCCCATTACTTGCCGACAGTGCATAACAGAGATGTGACCGATCGCCCAAGCGGCTAACAAACCGATCAGTGTTAAGAGGATAAAAGTAAAAAAAAAAAAAAAGTTAAAGTATGCTCTTGAAGCAACCAATCACAGCTCAGTATAGGCCCCCGCCACCACCTGCTTGAATTTGAATTTATTTCCAAGATGTCTCCCTTGTGCAATGGCTGTGATTTCAATTACTTCCAAACTGTCGCTAGATTTCACATCAACTATTATGGTAAAGATGGAGAAGTGTGGAAATTTCTACACGAACAAGGTGTTCTACCTACAGAAGTTACTTGCATAAGGTGAAACAAGCCTTATAGTTACCAAGCTGAAAAACACCTTTGGTACTGTCCGAGAAGATTGTTACTGTATTCCCAAGTTTAAAAAGAGGAGTCCAATTAAGGTACCGGGTAAGCACACAAGTGGATAGGTTAGGGTTAGGCTAGGTTTTGGATGATTCTTACCTTCATTTCTATTGCAAATTACAGGTACACCCTGTACTACTTTTTGTGATTTTCCCCCACCCCTGGTTCCCACTGGGGGTTCCCCATTATTGTTGGATAAGGGGTAGGGATAGCTCAAAAAGTAGTGATTTACTGGAGAAATGAAGGTCAGATTTGGCCCAAACAAAAAAATAAATTGGAAAAACATAATTTTAATTTCCAAAGAGGTGGATGACTGAAACTGCCATTTTACCAAAAATACTATTTTAAATGTATTGTGTTTCCATTACAAATTTATATTTTACGAGTATTTTAACTTATGCCATTACCAACAATATTGATTGTTCAAAGTGGGCTGGGCTTTGAAGTACAGGGAAAATGTTCAGTAAAATACTAAAAAGAACACCAAACAAACCTTTGAATACCTTACCTAACCTATAAAAGGTTTAAGAATTGCTCTCCAGTTTATGAATCCTTCGTCATTTGAACAACGAAAACAACAACAGCAACGCATACTAAACACAGAAAACACAAATAAGGTAAGATTTTAAAGTGTGTCATTGTGTAATTTTACCTTTTTTTTTTTTTTAATGTGAGAGCCTGCTCGGACCAAGTGGGTCTGTTGTAAACAAACAACAGATGACCACACGCGCCGACAACGGCAGATACCAAAAGTTTGAGAGTAAATATATTAAAAACTAAACCTTTGCTCAGGAAATGTTACTGTTAAATATCAGTTCCTAATTAAAATAAATGACATATGTATGGTAGTCTAAAACAGTAGAAGAGGAATTGGTGAAAGACTAATATTAACCCCTGTGTGCTATCGAAAATTCCAAAACACCTGTACTAGAATAGAATAGAATAAAGTATATTTCGGGGCTCTTTCTCCCTATATAAATAAAAATATGAAGTTCTGTGGTGTACGTAAAACGAATCTTAATCCTATTAGGTTCTGTGCATTGTCATATCGTTTTTATTACTTACTATCATCCAAAGAATATCTGTGGAAAAAGTGAACGGAATCGAACATATATACAGTACATACACATGAGGGGTGATCAAAAAGTTTGGTGAATGCTAGAGTAATACCATTTGTATTGAACATTAGATGTGTACTTCATTCATCCCCTTCAAAGTACTCCCCTCCCGCACATACACACTTGTTACACATTTCCTGCCACTGCCGGGAACATTGCTGGAACTTGGAAGTCCTCTTTGTTGATCTCCTTCAGGAGGGTTGTCATCTTGGATTCGATGTCCCTGATCGTGGTGTAATGGTTCCCTTTCATCATGCATTTTAGTTTGAGGAACAATCAGAAGTCACAAGGTGCCAAATCAGGTGAATAAGGTGGATGTGGGACGAGAGAGGAATGTTTTTCTCTGTCTTCTATAAGTTATGTTGATGGGTGACCACTTCTTGTCTCATCATCCAGCGACCCATTTCCTTCTCGAAAGCGTTGAAACCACTTGAAAACAGTCTTCTTGCTCACAGTGTAATCTGCATAAACCATTACAAACATGTTGTATATTTCAGACTGGGACATTTTTACGAATAATAATACAGTAATTATAATAATTAACGGTTTATTGAAAGAGCATGGCAGCCGGAAGGCTGCACTGGCACATACCGTAATGATGTATGGTGGCAACTAGTAACTGAATCCTGTGGAAGACCCTGGTTAACAAATAAGCTTAGGTTGAATGCTTCAATGTTACGAACAAGCCCCCCAGAACTAAACTGGTTGTATACAGATGCTCCCTCAGATTTACAAACAATATTTGTTCTTATTTCAATGGAAACAAATGTCAATGAAGCTGAAAAGGAAAAATATTTCTATTAATACCTATACTGTACTGTATATGGTACAGTACCTGCACTGTAATTACCAGTAAATATTCACACTTAATAATACAGTATGTTCCTAAGATTACTACTACTATAACTTTCAGTCTGGCATTTGTATTTGAGTTTCTGATATCGATAAAATGTTTCAGAGAGGAAAAATTTTTTTATTAATGAAGAACTAGAGGCTGCATTGCAAGTACTAAAGCAGGAAAATAAGAAACCAAATGCTTGTGGCCATCTGGTACGTTTGGCTTCTGCGACTATCCATACAGATGAAGGAAATGAAGCAAGTGTGGAAGATGCTTGTACCATGACTCTGTGGCATGAATGGGCCAAACAAGATCACTTGCAAAAGTTATATGTTAACCAAGAGAATGTAACACTGGAGAATGAAAATATTGAAAAGGAGGAGGAATGCATTTTTAGGTAAGTACAATAATGGACTTTATTTATTACTACTCAAAATATCTTGGTGAACTTCTCATCTTATGGCGCATGGTGATATGAATAAGTGTAAGTAAGGATAAGGAAGAGTAGTTATATATTACAGTATTTTAAGGTAAAATAGTGATATTTAATTCAAAATTTTAGAAACACTTTTCCCCAGACCTATAACAAAAGTTTGTTATTATCTGGTAATCAGCAATCATTGCTGACTGTCACCAAGGTTTTAGATGTAACTTTAAGTGAAGGAATGAGTAAATGTGCTTACTGTATTTCCAAATGAAAAATAGTTCAAAATCATGTTTTTTAATGAGTTAGCTAAAGCTTTTAGATGTGCACCCACACACATGCATATACAGTACCTGTACATTGCAGTACTGTTCATCCATACACATCATAATAATAATAATAATAACATTTATTCTGTAAAGTTATCATACACATATACAACTGTCCATACAGTACTGTATAGACAATGTAGGTACAGTATATGGTGCACATAGTCCATGGGAGTACTGTACTATACAGTTTCCTGTGATCCGAGACGGTGCATTTAAATTACACGGTAAGGCAACTTCAAGAGTCCCCATAGCCTCAAAGAAGACATGTAATGATGACCAGGCTTGTTCTTAATGTTGTGGTTAGTGTTATTTAATTTCATTTTATGTACAGTATGTATGTTAGTATTGTAGGAATTTTATTTTCAGTGATACATATGGGTGTTGAACTGGCTGGGACTGTACCCTATTGAACCCCATGTTATAAGCCCAAATTATGATGTTTCAACCTGTGATGGTTTTTCAGGAATGTAACCCCATTGTAAATAGGGGGATACCAGTACACTATAATGTACTCTCCAGCATATGCTGTCGTCTTGAGCTTGTGATGCAGGCAGGCCAAATGATGATATAATGATAGAGGTTGTCCTGCCGTTCTCCTGTAGTAAGTGTTACTAACTGTCACTCCCTTCTCCCTCTATGAAAGAGTGATTGTACATGCACTGTAGACTGTACATATATACTCCCTCTACACACTAGCATACACTGTCCACTTGGCTATGTACAGTACTGAACTGTACATATGGTACTTTCACATTTGCTGAATGTGCAGTACAATATACAGTAGTGCAGTATATGTAGCTGTGAACACTTGTTATGTCTTAACACTGCTTTAACGGTATTCTTGGCTGATTATATGCTAGTTCAGTAGTGTACAGTGCTGCACAACACAGATCATATGCAAAAACATCAGAGAGCGAGCGAACAAGTTCCACAATGGCAGCAGACAATGAACTAAGAGTGTCATGGTGCAATAATCTGAGGAGATAAGCTGCAAGATAACCAGCCAATCATTGGCTTCCCATGCAGCCACATGAGAGTATGTAGTGGCCAATCGTAGCTCATGAATACTCTAAGTTTACCTATCCTGCTTCGGAAACACAATGCAATCTCTTGGAAATTCGTTCCCTGCCCTGGATGGAGAGATTTTTTTCCCATAATTTCTTTGAATGCCTTTTTTGCTATAGGAGATTTCCGGGGATCAAAGATTCCAGCTAACAGAGAGATTAATACTGTAATATTACTGTATAGGCTTTCTTATCATAACTTTTATTGTCTTCTTGATATTTGTGTAATTACAGGTATAATGACTTTTTCCTCTTGGCTGAAGCACTGCATAAATTTGCTGATGATCTGCAAGACATTGGAAGTTATCTCCTATACATATTTTGGACTATAGATAAATATGTCCCAAATCCCAGGTGTGTACATTATATAGATATTTCTTATAGACAAAGCATTGTGTGTTTCTGTATATCTAGGAATTTGCAGTTTTCATTATGAACTGACTGATAACCAAATTGACTGATTCAATCAATGTGTGTGCTTGTTAAAATTGTTTCCAGATAATCTTATTAATCTGCTCATACTGTATATTTTGTCCATTTTGTATGTGTAAATTAAGCCCCACACACACACACACACGCACATTCTCTTATGTGGGCTGGTGATTGGCTGCTTTGATATAGCAGAGATTGGCCAGTTTACAGCACCATATTTTTATGTTAACTTGTTTGGTGTTAATGACATAAAAGTATTTTCATTGTATCAGATCATTTGCCTGTTTAGGGAAGTTAAAAAAGGAATGTGTCTGTGTTCCTGTAAAGGCCTGTTTCATTTGGCGAGATAATAATTAAACTGAGGGAGTTAAAGAATACCTTGAAAGTGTTAATTGCTGGTCCTTTAGCTTTTTCTAAGTACGTACACTGTACTTTAGAATATAAAAAAATCATAATCCTTGGTACCATTTAATGTGTAGATTTTTATTTTATACTGATTATAATCAGTATAAGCCACAGATTATGATGTGAACATAACCTTAACAGTGAGGTTCTAGCCACTTTTGAGGTATTAAAAACCACAATGCATTTAAACTTCAAGCAGCCATTCCGCAGTAACGTCAAACGCTCATTAATTTTTAATTCCTGGTAAAGTTATTTAGCTTTTTGCCACAAAAGTGAACCAGTAATAGGTACATCTTCACTACAACAATGTTTGAACCATTTTTACACAAGCCTATCAAGGTCTTCTGACAATGTTAAGTGCAATATACTTCCTTTTTGCAACACTACAGATAATATGTCATTTAGTATATGTTTATTAAATGCCATTGTAATGGCATATTTATTGAAATTATAATACAGTACTTAACTTGGGAAAAGCACAGAGCTTTAATGCCATATACTGTATTCAGATTAAGAACAATGACTAGGAGGTGGTGTACGACAGCACCCAGTATACAGTACTGTACATGTATGTACACAGCATCTGACTCTGGAAATTCATACTTCAAGTCGGCAGGAAACATAATATTGATAATCATAAGTGTAATACAGTAAAGTAATAATAATTGTTTTATTAATAATTATAATAATAATAATAATAAAAATAATTGGTGATAATAATTATAATTAATTTTGCTGTATTGAAAAATGCAGTAACCATAAGCTAAAAATACACTGAATCACTGATACAGTAGAATGTCGATTTAGAGCTATTCAATTTAAAATTATTTATTTAAAGCGACACCCACAATTAAAGACAATGTTTTAATTTAAAGCAAATCTTTCCTATTTTGCGAGAGTCAATCTGGTGCATCTTATTTTCAAATTTGCGCCTAATGTTTCTCTGGGCAAAGCTGTACTGTACATGTACTCAAAATAATGTACTAAATGATAACTAAAATTTTTGTCTTGTGCAAACTATAGCATGATTATATTAAAATTAATCATTAATTTTTGTCATCTCAATTCCAATTCAGAATAAAATTTGAATTTATCAATTCCAATTCAATTCAATTCATTCCTAAAATAGAAATCTTCAATTCCACTTCAATTCACAAGCTTTTCTTTTCCAATTCAATTCAATTCATTATGGTCGATATTACATTCAATTCAAATGCTTTTCAATTCAAAATCAATTCTAATCTACCATTAATCTAATGGAAAGAAATAAAAATTCGAGGTTTCAAATTAACTTCTTTATTTTTTATCAGAAATGCTCTACCACACAAACCAATCACATTCTTTCCCAACCAAAAGTTCAAATGGTTGAATTCTTTGTATTAGTACACAAAATATGAATGAGTCCAAGTTACTGAGGATTGCATCTGATCATCATAAGTTGCTCAAATCTTTTATCACTTAAATTGCACCTCTCTGGCCTGAAGAGCTTGCCAGCAATGGAGAACAGTCGTTCCACAGGAGCCGATGTAGCAGGAATGGTTAGGTACTTTGCTGCAAGCTTGGTGAGGACAGGAAACTCAGGTTGCTTGGCCTTCCAGTAGCCAAGGGGATCACCATCTTCCTGTAGACATGGCTGGTTGAGGTAGAGTGAGACCTCAGTTTCTGATGGAGTTGGTCTTGGTGTAGAAGACCGGTTGGCCAGGGCAAAGAACTTGTTCCTCTTCATCGGCGGTGGTTCAGCAGGGGAAGTGTCTGTTGTTGTAGGATCATCACTGCGTGCCATATTGTATTTCACAGTCAGAAGGTCACGAATGTCTTGCACTTCATTGTCATAGTCATGACAGTACAGGGGTATAATATATTATTTTATCAATTCACATCAGTTCATTACACCAATTCATATCAATTCACACCAATTCATATCAATTCATTGATATCAATTCCAATTCAATTAATTTTAATTTTGTATTTTTCAATTCCAATTCAATTCATAATTGACCCCATGACCCCAATCACTATCTTATAAAAATTCCAGCAATGTAAATTATATTCTCCCCAGTCACTTCTGTGATATTTTATAAACTAAAAACAAAAACTCAATTTAAAGGACATAAATAAACAAATAAATACTGTACTTCACTAGACCTTCGCACCAACTGTCAAACATGTCACTGTCACCCCCCCCCGCCCCCCCCCATCTCCCCTGCCAGGGTTGGGTGGTTTTAGGCTTAAAGTTTTTATCTTATATAATATTACAGACTAAAGTTAGAATCCTTGCAAGACAGCGAATAATTTGAATATAAACGTTATATATTTTGCACAAGAGATAAAAATTTTATCCCTTTGTAATCAAATTAATTAAAACTAAAATTTGTATGTCTAATGCGAACTATAGCATGTACGTATATATTCAAACTAATCACTATCTTATAAGAATTCCAGCAATGTTAATTATATTCTCCCTGGTCATTTCAGTGACATTATTTAAGAGAAAAACTTAAAGTCACTCTTAAGGACAGATAAATAAATAAGCAATAGACCTTGGCATCAACTGTCAAACATATCACCCCCCCCCCCATCTTCCCAGCCAGTAAACAGACCATTTCACGCCCCTTAATTTTAGCTGTGTTGATTTATGAATGTTTTTTAACATAATACTACAAAAAACAATGTTTTGTTTATTCTAGGAGATGGGCTGAGGTGCATCTGGGTAGACTGTCACGCCTGTATTATTAAACAACATCTTCCCTTGAAGAAGGTCATTGTGTTTCAACCCGAGTTTTAAACAAAATGAGTCCTGAGAGACACCGCAATACAGTACTTAATGGGGTGGTGTGGTGGTAAAATTAACTAATTCCAATTAAATTAATTTATAATATTGGAATGACTTAATTTTACCGCCACACCACCCCGTTAAGTACTGTACTGAGGTGTCTCTCAGGACTCATTTTGTTTAAAACTCGGGTTGAAACACAACGACCCTCTTCAAGGGAAGATGTTGTTTAATAATACGGGCGTAAGTCTTTTTAGTATTTTGTGTTTCTCTCAAGTACCAAACTAAATTATTCCATTGAAACAACACTTTGATTTAATGCGAATTCGGTTTAAAGCGACCTCTCTTGGAACGTATCTCGTGTTATATCGACATTCTACTGTATAAGGAGTTCAGTACTGTATACTATTGTATTGATTATCTTCTTTTTTTTTTACGGGATTATCCCACCAGAGCACAGGTCAATGATCCACATCAGGGCCTGGGTGCAAAAATAAAATAATAACAATAAAAATTACCAGTAGTGTATGAATTTTTATTTAGATATCAAAATGTTTGGTGGGTCTGTACAGTACAGGCACTCCCAGGGTTACAAACGAGTTCCTCTCCTACAGACGTTCTTAAGTCGAAAATGTACTTTAGTCGAAACACATGCTATGTGCATACCATACTTACAGAACAACGTTTAAAATCCAACTATATCATAGTCTAAGCCCTTATATACATCTAAAATCACTTAATTTAAGAGAAAAGAAGAAATGGAAGGACAAAATTTGGTAAATGAAAGTAAAAAAATAAGTCATCAGGTAAATTGAATACTGTAAATTTAAAGTTTAACCTCATTCGTATCGGCGGATGTTCGAAAGTCCCCGTATTATGCATGGGTTAAGTTCCTGGACCCTATTTGTAATTTATTCGTAACTCAGATTTTAAATGTGCAAGAATGTGTATGGGTGTCACCACAGCTGGGGGACATGATAATTCTTTGTGTAGATACATTACTGTAGCACCCAGGATTAATATTTACTTAGTAAAATAAAAAGTACCTTTACATTTTAAGTCTTGAAAATACAATACGTATACCACACCAATTCTGAATCCATGAATTGTTGCATTCTGTTTTTTAGTGTCATTCACATAATCAGTATTTGCACTAAGCACTACTGTCTGTGGTATTGTACTTATGATCTAATGAATGATAATAAATCTATTAATTTATTGCATTTCAGCGAAGTTCCAGAGTTTTATGGAGCACTAAGAAGAATACAACAGTGGCATTTTGGTGGTTTATATATTACTTGTAAGGACCGTGAACTTGTTGAGGAATGGCCAAACTTCATGCCTCTCAGTATTACTAGTGGATGCTCTGAGGTAAGCTTACTATTTATTTTTTTATTTTTTATTTTACATTTGTTATGATTAAGGGAGGTATACATAAGGGTGCACCCTGACACTGTGACCTGTATTCATTCTAGGTTTGCCAAGTATTTCATGGGATTTATGAGAGATTCCAGGATGTCAGGCAAATGGGCTTAGCATCACATATCAGACAGGTTGAGGTAGGATAGGTATGTAATCTCCTTATACGTAGGTGTGATATTTTTTTAGCTAATCGGGCTATTAAGGCAACCCTTTGGGAAAAAATATATACAGGTACCACTAGTATTGCCTCACACTGGCTATCGGTTACTCTGTTTCTTCAATGGTGATTTTAACCTGGACCAGTGACTGCCATTCCATAATGATAACTACTGTACACTACCATATGCACATTCTGTGATGGAATCATTAAGAACGTTATATGCAGCAGGGTCTTGCAACTTGGGGGTTCTGTTTTTGTTTTTGTTTTTACCCAAATCCCGGTTAACCACATATCCACGAAGCACAAAGGTGGTATGGGGAAAATAGAATTAGGGACATCACAAACTGTACCATCAATTGATATTTTTGTGTAGCAACACTCCTTCGTTTTGTTTTAATTTTTCTTTGCTTAAATTACAATTGGCTCATTGATCCCATAATGGCAAGCAACAAAATCAAACTCTCACCTCTGAATTACAGATTCAGAGATACAGTATACTTTGTTAGTAAAAAACATCACTTTTCTCTGCATCTTTTCACTGGCTGACTACCATTTGTAGACGATATTGTCACAAAATGAATAAGAGCAAACATGAGCTAGATACACAGTAAAACCCCCATAATTTGAAATAATAGGGGCTTTACCCCTTACGAATGAGTCCCAGAATTATGAACGTCCAACTTACTAACACCCGCCGATATGAACAAGGTCCAATATTATTTATTTATTTTATATATTTTTTTATAGGGATACCTAAGCCCACCCAGGCAAATTAGACAACACATTTTGCTTCCAATATCTTCCCGGGCAGTAGTACTTCCCTGTTTAATAGCTGCCTACTACCTACTCCCTTTACCTGATGACTTATTTTTTACTTTCATTTACTGTATTTTGTCATTCTATTTCTTCTTTTCTCTTAAATTAAGTGATTTTATATGTATATAAGACGTAGGCTATGATATAGTGGGATTTTAAACAGTGTTCTTTTAGTACAGTATGCACATAGGGTATGTGTTTTGACTTAAGTACATTTTCGACTTAAGAACGTGTGTAGGAACAGAACTCGTATGTAACCCGGGGAGTGCCTGTATAAGTTTTTACAAAATATGAGAGACACCTCCCAAAGGGAAAACCTTCCCCCCACCCTCAAAAACGAAAAAAATAATTAATAAAATAAGCAAGGGAACTTTTCCGTTATCTGCCCTAATCAGAATTTAAATGTAATCTTGGATGTTTAAGCTCTTGTATTTGCTGCTTAGGGGCTCCTTTTGATGTACTTGGTCCAGGGTTATCAAATATAATGGCTCCAACACTGGGCAATAATGGGAAAACAAGTGGAAAAAGCTTGCACGGTAGACTGTAGATGTGCACTCCTCGATTGATCAATGTAAACTGACCCTGACCGTTAGGTCCAACACGTGTATGCTTGTTTGCATTTACACCATGGTGGGTGGTTGCAGCCCATAGCAACATGTGCGTCATAAATATTCATAATATCTGCCATAAATTTTTTTTTACCAAATATGAAAATTGTTATATACAGCATATCGTAATATTTTTAAAAGTTTCTCATACAGTATTTCAAAATTTTACCAAATTCAGTAGGATCTCAAGTTTGGCAAGTTTTAGATTTGCGAATCATAGGTTTCACGTCACTTAAAATTTCCAGCCTCTCAAGAATAGCAATTTTCATTACCAGTTTCTTGGGTCAATGGAGAGTGGGCAGCGCGCATTGTCGCAGTCCTTTGTTATCCACCATATTTTTTGTTTACGGTAGTTAGTTTCAATGAGCGAGAGCGAGCAGTGCAGTGACCTTGGATTATATAACCCATTGTGGTTACATTTCGCAAGATTCCTGTGTAACTTTTAATGATTCTTGTGCATTAACGATTCATGTGTATTAATGATTCTTGTATATTAACAATTCTTGTGTATTTTCTATGAGTGAGGTACATAATATAAATGTCGGGAGCGGTTCTGGTGGTAATGATGGCCTTAGAGAAGGTCAACAAGGAAAGCTCCAAGCCAAACGTGACTGTCGTAAGGGAGTCAAGAAGAGGAAATACACCATTGAAATAAAACAAGAGATGCTTGAGATGATCAAAAGTGGTGCTCGTACCTGTGAAATCATGCATAGGTTCAACTGCCCCAAATCAACCATACGTTCCCTTAAGAAGAACAAGGAAGCCTTAACTGCTTCTGTGAATGTATTCTCAAGATTTTCTAGTAACAGGACGTTCTCCGATACTTCACAACAAAACCTACTGCTTGTTATCACAGAACATTACCTTCACAAGTGGGTGGAAAGAAGAAACCACGAGCAGGGCGACCTTTCTGGGCCACAAATAAGGCATCAAGCACATGTTTATTTTGCTGCAGTTGCACAGAAGAAACACGTTAACTCTCCACCTCCGTTCAATGCTTCTGTTGGTTGGTTGGCTGCTTTTAAGAAGTGTTATGAAGTCAAGTTTGCTGGAGTGCATCAGTTGATGTAGTAGCAACATAAAGATACAGTGGTCCCTCGGTTAACGAACGGTTCGATTAACGAAATTTCGGTTAACGAATTACCTCCCATAAGGATCTTCAATCGGTTAACGAACAAAACTTTGATTAACGAAATCCTTACGCCAAACACGTTTTGTTGTAAGCATCAGCTGATCACCTGATGGGCTAGTCTGCCAATTCAGTAATCTGTTCTATGTTTACATTCGTTTCCAGTGGAGTACTGTATATATAAAAAAAGTTGTGCTCTTTAATGTTTTTGCATTTTTTATATTAAAATTATTAGTCATTTTAAAATTTAGTTAACATATTGATAATATATAGCGCAGTGCAGTGTTGATTTAAATAAAATAATCTTGAATTACACATAGTGATTTTAAAATTTTATTGGTGAAATTACTGCATCAAGCATGGGTCCCCTGAAAGGTGATTTACCCTCCATCCCCACTTCCTTCTCTTCTCCCTTCTCCTCCACCTCCACTTCTAATTCCCATCATCATCAACCAGGATCCTTCTACATATACACCTCAAAGTAAGTGTACTTTACTGCATTTTTTTTTTTTTTTACTTTGAATGTACTTTTCTGTGAGCTGGAACCAATTACCCAATATCCCATTGAAACAATGGATTTGGTTAACGAAATTTTCGGTTAACGAACGACTCTGTGGAATGAATTGTGTTCGTTAACCGAGGGACCACTGTATTTACCTGTCTTTCAAGCTCTTGTGAAAGAGGGTGGTTATTGCCGAGACTAAATCTTCAATTGTGATGAAACTGGCATTTTCTGGAAGTGCTCACCTAAGACCACTTTCATTTTCAAGGATGAAAAACAGGCAAGGGGTGTAAAGACTTCAAAGGACAGGATTACAGTTTTATTCACAGCTAATGCAAGTGGAGATTTCTTGATGAAACCCCTGGTTGTTAATCATGCTGCCTGTCCTACCGACATGCCAATATGTCGCAGTTCAATGTTTATTGGACGTCTAATAAAAAAGCTTGGGTTACTTTGTTCCTGGCGCCCAACAGTACTGCCGGAGGAAGAACATTGACTTCAAAGTGATCCTGGTGATGGATAATGCTCCTGGACACACTTAAGTTTCTAATTGGACATCACCCTAATGTACAAGTTATCTTCCTTCCTCATAACACCACATCACTTCTGCAGCCACTTGACCATGAATTCATCAGTAACATTAAACTGTTCTACTATCAGGCACTCTATAAAGACTTTCATCAGCAGACAGACTCATTAGTTGAGTTACAACAAATCGAGGCAGAACTCTGACAGTGACCAGGCTCTACCAGCACCAGTTAACCAGGAGGAGATGGTAGACGACCCGACTCCTAGCACCTCACTACCCCGCAACCGTGAAGTGTTATCAGTTTGTGAATTTTGGAGGAAATATAATATTAAAAATGCAGTGGACAGAATTGTTGAGGCCTGGCGTAAGATTAATGTTGCAACAGTGCTACACGCATGGAAGCCTTTGTTCACTAACTCCAAGGTAAGTGGGGCAGAGCAGACCGAGGCAAGCGGGAAGAGGCAGTCCGTCGTGGCAACACTAATGGACATGGTTGAGGCAGCGCGATTAGTCCCAGCATCTGGATTTTCAGATGTTCAGGTTGAAGATTTGCAAGAAATCATTGGTACATCAGCAGCAACCGACAGTTGAAGAAATGTTGGAGGAAGATGAAGAACAAGAAGAGCAGCAAGCAACACAAGAGGATGACGTTAGGCCTGGTGAACCTACAACACTCCAACTGACTGTGGTGCTCATAAGCATTGCACGTCTCAGTGAGCAGCTACAAGAATATGATACCAGGCCTCATCCTCGGAACCTTATCTGCCTTGTCCTTGATAAGGTTTGGAGGAATGTAAGACCTTGTACATGTCCCGTGTTAATGCCCGTCAGCAGGCCCGTATTACTCGGTACTTGCACAAGGCCCAGCCTGTTATTAATGCCTTGGCAAACATCACTTTAGGAGATGATGATGGCACCACTGGTGATATTGAAGTGTTGGGTGACTTGCTGCTGGAAGAGCTGCCTCAAAGCTTTGAGGGATTTGATGCTGAGGTTAGAGAAGGTGTAGAGGACCGAGCAGCTGGGATTCAGTAACCAGCCCTCCCTGTCTCAGAACCCATCAACAGTATTTCAACATCACTCGTTTCATGATTTTAAATTTTGCGATGCTAAAACCGTACCAATTAGTCGTGAAACTTGGGATCCTACTGCACTACTCACGAAATGTGAGTGATTTTTAATTTGAGGGTACGAATTATGGGGGTTTTACTCTAATGAAATGAATTGTCATGATAGTGGCATGGTATAACTATGAAGGACACTGGACAGTGTAAACTGAGAGAAAATTGCATTTGTATTCTTCTGAGCCATACCAACACTATGCTCTGCAGGAACTTTTTTCTCTTGCCAGTCCACAAATACTTGTACACCGTGGTCAAAACCTGCAAACATTGACTCAATAAATTTGTTGCAAAAGAGCAAACTTCAACATGGCATGGCCCTGCTGTATTATGTAGTTTATCTTTTAAAAGATTTTTTGTGTCCTCGGTGTATGATGGTTTGGCCATGAATAATGAGTTTTCTATATCCATGAAAATTGAACATATCCTTCCATAAATTCCCATCATTTCAATATTTTTACCGTCTCATATTTACACCCTTGTCTTATATCTACTAGATTACTATCGTCCAAAATACCTGTATCAAGTATTATATCCGCAGATTGTAAAGAACATCATCTGCACATTCTGGCGAGGTCATCTAACTCTGGGTGAGGAAAGGACTGGAGACACTTTACTTCTTCCAGAGTGTACAGTTCAGTGTATACATGGGCAGCCTGCTCTAGGAACAAATTCTAAACAGGTGAAATTTATAGTATACTGTAGATCGAAAACTTTTGGACTGTTTAAGAAAATTTATCTTCATCTATGCACTGGAACACAATGCTACTGTGTTATAACTGAAATAACATGGTTGGTGAGCAATTATATTTTGACTGCCATATTGGATTTGTCAAGTTTGTATGTTAGCTGTCAAAAAGCATCATAGAGAATAAAAAAAGTAGTGCATTTGATGTATTTTAAGATTCATGTTAATATTCTTTGCAGTATTATCAACAGGTATGAGGCTGAAGCCAGTTTCAGTTTCTAGAAGCCATGCTTTCTGGACTTTGCTTCGACTTTGAAACTTTCCAGACTTCAGCTTCGAAACTTTCTAAAAGGCTTTGGCTTCGAAGCTAGAGGCAAAGCACTGGCTTCAGCTTCGAAGCTACAGGCTTGGCTTTGGATTTCATCTTTACACAAACATACTGTCCATATTATATAATTATATTTAGATCATATTTATAACACTCTTGGGATTTTCATAAGCAAATTTGCGAATACTCAAATTTGCAAATGAACTAAAAAAATTACAATAAACTACCTCCAGCCACTTCTGACTCTGACAACTGAACAGGCTTCACCACCCTTACTAGCACTGATCGTATCATCCAGGTAACAGAGCTCATCGACATATACCAGGGATATATTCCCAATGTTGAGATTCTCCAGCCTTGTTGTGGACATATGATTACCTGCACATGAAGGACACTTAACAACCTGCAGTCTGCCTTTTATTCCATTGACCTCTTGTGTACCCATCTTCCACTTTCCACACTATTAACCCATACTTTTGTTTTTGTCCACACTCACTCTCAGGTCCTTTGACTGTTTGATCCTTCCATTTTTTTAATTTCTCCACTGCCTTTAAAATACTATTTTCTATCAGCACTAAGTCATCAGCATACAAAATCCACCAGGTCAGAGCAAAAGAAGGCTTAAAACAGACTCCTGATGAAACCTTATTTTCAACTAAAATTCCTAACTTTCCTCAACATTTACTATTTAGAGCCCTCATATAATGCCATAACCACTAGAACAAGGCACTCCTCGACCATTGGCTTTCTCATTGCTCACTTTACTACTTCCTGTGGCGCCCTGTCAAGTGCCTTCTCGAAGTCTACAATATGAAGTACAATTTTCTCTTGGCCGTAAATAATGCTTCTTTAGTTTCCCTAACTGGCATAAACCCAAACTGCATTTTATTTATGCCCACTCTCTCCATTACAGTGTCCATTATACTGAGGGTTTATACAGTAAAACCTCGATACACTGAACTTCAATACAATGGAATTCACTTTTTTTCAGACTCTCTGAAATGCTTCAGTCTGGAAAATCCAGCATCAGTCCGGAGAGTTTGTGTGTTCATACGTGCAGTTGAATGTGTATGTGTGGGTGTCTCGTGTGTCTCAGCCTGAGTCCTGCCATCATATGTATCGTATCAGTACGCCACACCTCACTACCGACACTCATTTACGTGAATTTTTTATGTAGAGTATGTATTTTTGTTAATGGGGATACGTATGTTACAGTTTTAAGAAATGGGTTAAAATAATGAAGAGTATGTATTTTAAGAAATGGGTAACATAAAAAAAAAATCTTATGAAAAAAATACTACTTGTTCACTGAATATTATACAATGGTCTAATCAGATTGCTGTTGGCCTAACAAGAGCTACGACACTGCATATATAAACAGGCGTGGGGGGAGGGGGTAATTGGGCATTGATGTATTTGCCAGGTTTATTTATTGATTCATTATTATATTCTTGTATGATCAGTTTCTTATGGTGTAAAATTCATCATGATTAATATAACATCTTCATGAATAGAAGAAGAAAATTATAAAATTTATGATTTGACTTGAAAATAAAAGGATAAGCTGTATTGGAAGGTGTTCACTCATTATGTGTTCCTGTGAGAAATTTCAGCAAATCAGCTTATAACAGCATCACTATAACATACTGTATAGTATTTGATATGAACTAACCTTCCTAAAAATATTATTTATTACCTTTAAGTGATACGTGATGGCTTGATTGTCTTATTTGTAACACTTAGACAACTGAATAATGAATAAACCAGGGAATATGCAGATACATAACACTACAAAATTATTTATTAAGTGCTGATAAATACACTACAGTATTATTTATTTAGTGATGATAAATCCACTGCAATACTATTTACTAAATGCTGAAGACAGATGATTTGATAAGCATGAGAGGAAGGGAGGAAGCTCGTCCAATCAACTGTTTGCTCCATGGAAACATATGACTGCAGTGACTCATGTGTTGAGTGTAGGATTCCTTTTTTTTGGGTGGGGGTGGGGGGGGGGGTTGATTATTTTAGGGTAATATTTTATCAACCCAGCACCAGGGAAACCCTAATTATATTAGAATTATGGTGAAATTGCACGTATATGTATTTTCATATTGTTATACGTTCATTTAAATTAGGAGTGTGGCAGTCCAGTGGCTACTGTGCTCGCTTCCTGTTCCATGGTTCGGTGGTTCAATCACTGGGCATTCCTAGTTCACCCAGCTGTAAATGGGTACCTAAGATTACAACTAGGGGGGAAGTGAATGCAGTCGAGTGCAGCTCTGGCCATGCTGCTGCCCCGTGTATCAAAGGCTTAGTATACAGTGTACTGTATTTACACTGTCCCTTACTGACAGTCATACCTATGACACTTACTTTCACTTCTTTCTTATCTAAATGACATTTTTTTTGCAGGAAGCACTGTATGTTCTCCCAAATGCAGAAATTGTAGCAGATTTTGATGTTGGCACCATACCGTGGGTGTATCTACGTCATGGTGGTGTTTATAGGATGACCCCTGTCCAGTTCTCTGATGAGGAGGATCAAGAGGAAATATTGGCATTGTTTAATGCACTTACTGCTCAGCCTGGAGTGAGGATTTATATATTTTAATATTATTGGTTTAAAAAAACTTATGTGTACTTAAAGGTATATATAATTTTAAAACATTAATTATAGTACACATAATTGTAAGTTATGCTTAGTAGCTGAAAGCAGCTGTGAGAGCATCTTGAAGGCAGGGTTGACAGAGACAGTCTGGGTATGGCAATACAGTGGTGCCATATATGAAGTGATCAAATGCATTAAACCACTTATAATAATAATAATAAAAAATTGTACATTGAACTGGGATGTCACAAGTGTTCATTTAAAATCTATCGCCTCTCAGAAAGGTAGATATCTTAGGTGCAAAAATGGAGAATGTCAAGCTTTAAGCAAAAATTTTTAGGTTTTGTATGAAACACTGGTTTTTGTTCATGGATTCGTATAAATCCGCTGCCACCTATAATAGAGGTCAACTGGAAGCAACATTCATAAATGTTTATGGGTTAATTTTCAAGCTAAAATATTCTTTTTGTTCAAGCTCTGAATGCGACGTCAGCAAATGCTACCTAGGTATGTTAATTCCTAGCCAATTCGCCAGGCCAACATACAGGCAATTAAAACATCTAATAATTACTTAATAAGTAATATCACCATAATTAACGCTATGATCTGTGAGTGTTAATAAGGGGCGAAGCTTAGGTATAACTAGCTTAATAGAGCACATGGGAGTCGAACTGGCAATTGCTGGTTACTCAATTGATGAATGCAGTCAAGGTATTTTTTTACGGGAATTAGCCCACCCGGGCACAGGTCGAACGACCCACAACGGGTCCTAGGGGGCAAAAAAATAAGAACAGAAAAAATTAAAAAATAGAGAAGAAACGGGTTATATTGTATTAATCTACACCATGAAGATGCCGGAAAACCAGCTTTTTAAACTGAGACATTGTATAAGTATGGAAACACAGAAGAAGGCAGAGCATTCCACAGTTTGGCTGTTTGGGGAAAGAAATGCTTTGGAGATATCAAGGGCGACGACAAAAGTTTCCCCATTATCCCTAAGAGAGGATGACCAAAGATGGGTGCAATAGGAGAGTAGATTACCAGTAGGTCTCGCACAGTGTAAATACAATGCCACATGTCCAGTTGATGACTACTCACGTCTCATAGAAAAGTTACCATGGGTGATGTAAATTATATAAACTTAATGCTATGAGCTGTGAGCGATAATAAAGGACAAAGCTTAGGTATAATTAGCTTATAAGAGCACACGGGAGTCAAACTGGTGATAGCCGGTTACTCAATTGATAACTCTGCAGTCAAGGTGTGAGGGCACAGTGGGAATACACTGTCACATGCCCAGTTGATGACTACTCACGTCTCATAGGAAAGTTACCATGGGTGATGTAATTATATAAACCTAATGTATGTAACCCATATTTATATAAGAATTACTGTCTGTTAGACAGGGGCTAATACAGATTTGTAGTGAACTCTTTGGGTGTTCATCCAACACGCATCAGTTGTAAGGTTCAGGTAAACAAACTATACATATAGTTGCTGGTAGATGTATAAATTATGAAAACATTTTTTCAAAGGGCTTCTTCTTAGGGTGACCTCCCCCTTTTCATGAACATTCCAGTCATCCATAAGAAATCCCTACTAATATCTGTAAGCATTCATCACACCATGGACTGTCACTACACTTTTTGAATACCAACTCATTTGCAATGACTTTAGGAATACATCCCTTACAATAACCGGGGTATTCCTAATCTACTCTGAAACAGTTTTTGGGTCGACAGTGTCTTGTGACATTACTTTTACAAATTTTATCTCGAATTGATTTGTAACTCTGTATGGGTCTTCCTACCTAATTATCTCCTGAAGAAATTTCTTGCCAGGTTTAATTTTGTTCTCCAATTACTCCATTCTTGATTGAATTGCACTGGCTTCCAGTTAAAGCTAGGATAGAGTTCAAACTCTGCATAATAACTTTTAAGGCACTATGTAAGGCAGTATGTTTAATGATCCTAAGTATTTGTCCAACCTACTAAATCCTCTGACCACAAGTTCTGAAATGATTTTGCGTAGTAGAGATAATTTTATATATATATATATATATATATATATATATATATATATATATATATATATATATATATATATATATATATATATATATATATATATATATATATATATATATATATATATATATATAATGATCCTGAAGAGGGTACGGTGATAAAGAATTACAGGGTTTGGGAAGTGTTTTAACTTAAGGTTATATGAACTTTCATTTAATGTGACCATTTTGTTGTATATTTTCTTTTTTATTCTCAGGTCTTTGACTTTGTTGTGTTTTGATTGCTAGTGAATTCTTTAGAAGAACTGGCACTTTTGAGCCAAAAATCAGCTATTATTATTATTATTACTGTAGATGTACACTGTACAGCCAACCAGAACACATTTGTTTGGAACTCAGAACTTCATTTCTCAGAGACACCATATCACAACAGGTGGTTAGGTCCTCAAGGCAGCCATTGAAAGTTTATTTAATCTATAATTAAGCTGAGATTCAGGAATGATGATAGTGCAACATCACAACTTGTGAAATCTCCTACCTTTAATGATGACCTTTGCTTCAAACTCCTTTTATTTTAAGAATGATAGTGATGGGGAGATAGAACTTATCATGAGATAGTAGATCTATTCAGAGGATAATACTTGGCCAGCAATGCTCGGGGTTTACAAGGGCATCTAACCTATGAGGTTTAATTACTGATTTACTTGGTAGAGGTCATTAAATTAAAAACTATTTTGATACATCTAGTTAAAGTTTTTTATTTAGTCGTACTCAATGATGCAGATGGCAACACTGATCCGTCTTCATTATTCACCACTACCACCAACATTGGAAGGCATCAGATCAGCAACCACAGAAGAATGGAAGCGAAGTAATGCTGAGGGGCATTTTGATCTCATCCCTATCCTGCATTTCAAGGGTTTCCATCAAACACTCAATATGCTCATTCTCAGTGAAGGAGGAGATAAAGAAAAGGTTAGTTTAGAATTTTACTCCCATATATCAGTGATATATTAATAATTAAATTTAGGGGGTCCCAGACTTACGAAAGCCCGCCGATACTAATGGGATTTAACTTGAAATTTACACTATTTTATTTACGTAATGACTTATTTTTTACTTTCATTTGCTGTATTTTGTCATTCTATTTATTTTTTCTCTTAAATTAAGTGATTTTAGATGTATATAAGAAATTAAGTTATGATATAGTGGGATTATAAACATTGTCCTATAATTACGGTATGCACATAGCATGTGTTCCGACTTATGTACAAATCCTCAGGAACCGAACCCATTCGTAACATACATACATACATACATACATACGTACAGTAAAGCCTCTGATAACAACGGTTCGACCAACAACTTTTCATATTTAAGACCCTAGTTAATTTAGGACCCAGTTCAATTTACATCCTTATTTCATTCGTATTTACGACCAAAATATAATAAAAATTAAATTAAATTAAATTTTCATATAAATAATAACTAAATCCCGATATGTATTATATAAAAAATATACTGTAAAAAAAAATTAAGAGCGCCTTGCACAAAGAAGCTGCCTTGCTAATGAGTGGTAAACAACAGTCGGAGCTTGGCGGGCCTTTTGTTTTCACGCATCTGGAACAGGAACTGGAGAAAAACTTTCTCAGGTTTCTTACTGCATTTTTGCATTTGTATTCAACACGAGCAAGAGCGCAAGTGATGGTAGTGTTGTTTCAAAGACTAATAGAAAGTGTATAAGGTTAGCCGAGAAACTAGGTGTGTTAAAACGATATAAAAAAGGTGAGAGGTCTGTGGATATTATATGGAGCAAGCAATGAACATATTTTCTGTAGTGGATCCATTAACAGAACAAAGCATAAAAATTTAAATACATGCAAATGACTTCTACATAAAGATGTATAATGAGAAAAGAAAGCACCTGTGCAAGGTTCTTTCGACAGCTTTATTATTCAAAGGCCTAAACCATCAACTTCAGCTACACCATCAAATTCAGCATCATAAGCAGCATCAACATCAACTTCAGGCTCAGTAACAGTTTCAGCAACAGCTTTATGGAAAGCTACATCTTCAGCCAGAGTTGAACCTGCAGCTTCAGCCAGAGTTGAACCTACAGCTTTAGCCAGAGTTAACCTGATGACTTCACCATCTGAGTAAAAACTCGCACAATATTCATTGGCTGTCCTTATGTTTTAGACTTAACCACCATTGGTGAGTAGAATTTTTGTTTTACATTCGTAAATATTATTCGAAACATATATGAACAGTAAATAAGTGTTGCTTTCATATTCATATGTAGAGAAATGACGATATGTTTTCACTTACTGTTCATACGTTGGCGTTCCCAATTGTCTCGCTTTATTTCTTTACCATTAGTGGTTAGCTACTTCTAGTGTTCCATTTATTAACATTAAATAACACTACTTATAACATACATACAGGTATTAAATTTGTTTTAAATTAAGTTCGATACAGCTACAACCAGGGTCTTATTATCTTCAGTTTCTTATGTAGAACCATCGTCACTCACGAAAACAATGCCATCCTGTCTCCTCGTGTGTGTTTTAATATTCTACATATTATTAATGAATTGCATTGTTCATTTCACATTTATAAACATTAATTCAATCAAATACATATTCAGTAATAAACAATAATGAATCTTTTTTACACATTCTTAAGATAAATGACTGTTTCCTTGAGTGTGCACGTCTGCATTGGCGTTCCACTATCAGTCTCACTCTTTCTTTAATATCTGTGGTTACTTCTACTGTATATTAAATAACATTAATTAAAACATCATATTTTTTACATTAGTTTTACTACAACAACCACTAGGGTCTTATTTTCTTCATTTTCAGGTGGATAACTGACATGGGTGTAAACACTGACAACAATGCTGTCTCTTATCCTCTTGTGTGTTTTAATATTCTACATACTATTAATGAATAGCATTGTTCATTTCACATATATAAACATTAATTCAATCAAATACATATTCAGTAATAAACAATAATGAATCTTTTGTACATATTCTTTAAAAGATAAATGACGCAGTATCCTTAAATGCGCACATCTACTGTATGTTGGCGTTCCCAATCCATCTCTTTTTTTCTTTTTTTGCCATTTGTAGTTAGCTACTTCTATTGTTCCGTTTTTTAACATTAAATAACGTTACTTAAAACATATATATTTATTACATTAATTTTACTACAGCTACAACCAGGGTTTTATTTTCTTAATTTTCTCGTGTAGAACTATCGTCCCGGACTCCCGGCTGCAAACACAAACAAAAACAATGGCGTCGGATCGCGCATGCGTGCGTGGGTGTCAACAAAGGCTGTAAGAGACTGCTCCTTAAAAGTCGTATTTCTGATGAATTCAGCGAGTCTACTAATCCCTGTCTGTGCAGAGAACTATAGTAAGACCCAGTTATCAGCACAGTGGCATCTATTTTTTTTTTTTTTAAGTTTTGGACTTTGTCATTTTTGTTTGATAAAAACATCTGGTCCTACCACTCGGTCCCTCTGGTCAAAGATTTTTAGGTTTGTGCAATGTGAAGTGTGACATAGCAGTGACGTCTTTACCACTCCACCTGACTGCAGTGTTGCCAACGTGTCCTATGCCCGCCGTTAAATGCTCCCATTCGTTGGAGATGGCGGCAGTAGGTGACAGTGATGCTGATGGCTTTCATCTTGAAGACAAGTCTAAAAAGCAGAAACCTCAGAAGTCAGTCAGGGTCTCTAGCAGGGGCTATGGCTCCCTTTTGCACCCCTTCTGGGGCTGTAGAGGGTGGCCTCCTCCTGCCGTCGGAGTCCCCCCAAGTGAGCTTACGTGTGGCTCAATGACTGACCCTCCGCTGACGATGGACATAGGGGATTCCTTTCGACTCCCTTCCCCGTCGTGCCTTCGTTGACTTGCCTTTTCTCGAGACTTGCCTCTGAGCACACGGACTACCTGGTTCTTCCGTCACTGCTCTCCACTTCAGGACTCAACACTTCGCCTCCTCCGAGGTCCTACAGCCGTAATAGTCACCACACAAATGGACGAGACGGTACGCCTGCTCACTCAAGTGGGCTTTCCTGCTCCCTAGGGGGAGGTGATGCTGAAGTTCACCACCATCTCACCAGAAACTCGTTGTACCAAGGTAATGGTTTGCCACCTACCCTGGGAGATCACTATTGACGATCTTCACCCTCTTCTCACAACTACTTGACATGGAGCGCCTAATCAACCCGGTCTCCAAACATCCATCCAACGAACTCATCAGCTATACTGTACTTTTATTTGTGTTTACTTTTCATCACGAAGTTCCCAAATATCGGACAGTGATGAAATAGCATCTCACAGTTCTTTTTCCTTTATAATCTAAGAATGGTACTTTTTATTCAAGACAGCAACAGTAGAAAATCTTGCTTCTCACAAGTATGGTGCAACAAAAGGTAAAAGATAGTTGATACCTTGTCTAACAAGATGGGTTACTTCTTTTTGACATAGGCCATAACGTAAAAAGATTTTCTTGATCAAATGCCTGTTGTAACAAATCATCACAGTCTAGAAGTTGTTTTTGTTCAAAAGGTGTTTAACAGCAAATGTATTTCTTATCCATTAAAATTTTGACACATATACATCCATATAAAATCAAAACTGCTTTTATAAAACATTCAATTGTGCAATAAAAGTACATTGTTGACTTCCATTTAACTGCTTTCAAGAAATTTTTCTGGTGTAGAGAACATGTCAGAAAACTTATTTTCTAAATTAATTCCCATGATTATAGTTTTATTGTAAATACATTCACATTGTTGTTCTGAGTCTAAACATTGGTTTGAGTACCCTGCATTGAGCTTTTTAGCTGGCTTAGTTTTTAAAAATGTCTATTAACAATTAATTAATTTGTAATGCTCAACTCAGTTACTATTTGCTTTATATGGTTTAGTGTGTAGCGTGTGCCTACTCTTTTACCATGAAATGGAGATGATATGTATTTTATTGATGAGAAAATATGTTAAGGAGTTTGGGAAAATTTTCAGAGTTATTTTTGCAAACAGGTATTGATGGTTGCCCTGCAAAACCCAAGGGTTTGTGGGGAAGATGTTCTCAAATTCGTCAGCAATCCTAGTCACCCAATGAAGGTAAGTACTAAATGCTCAACACAGATTGGAGGGGGTGATAGCAGGAAATGAATATGCCTTGCAGTACAGATTGCATGTGTAACATGTTGCTTGAAATGAGCAGTGAAAGGAAGGTGTTTGTTCCAAGAAGGAGAGTGTGGATATCGATGGATCAGAATGTAAAGGAAGTGTTTAATGTTGAGTTGAGATGAGTGGAAATGGTCAGTGACAGTATGAGAGGTTGTGTATCAAGCTCCTGGGCCACATTAAAGGATTATGTTAAGTGCAGCCAGTCATGCAGTAACATAGTGGTGGAATGATGAAGTGGATAGAGTGATAATAAAGGCCAAGTGCAGTACCTGAAGAGAAGTTTACAATCTAAGAAGTGTGAACAGGATGCATTTGTGGATAAGCTGATATAGAATGGATGCCTGAGGTGAGGCATATAGAATAGAAAAGAAAACAGTGCGTGAGAAATGACAATGGACATGTGGTTGTTAAAAATGAGGAAATATAAGGATGCTTGGAGTAAATACTGCAATTATTTGCTGAACGCAGAGTTTGATTGGGACAAAGGCAGCAGAGCCAGTACAGGGACCATGCCCATAGATTGAAAGAGAATGTATGAAGAATGGAAAGGTTGCTTGTAGTGCTGGATTAGTTGCAGAAACGTTGAAAGCATCAGACGATGCTGGTGTCACAATGGTGATTGAATAGGTTTTTAATGTAATTAAAGTGGAATATATTGTTTCACCTGACTGGCTTAAGAGTGTGATTGTGAATACTTACTCGAGAAAAGGTGATGCACTTGAATGTAGAAATGACAGGGGCCTGAAGTTCTAAGATCAGGTTATGAAAGTTTGTGGAAGAATGAGTTAGAAATTGAAAAGGGAGAGTGGATGTTAATGAAATACAATTTGGGTTCATTCCATGCAGGGGAACAAGAGGCAATATTTATGGCCAGGAGATAAAACTGTATTTTAGATCTGTATACATTGAGAATTCATTTGACAGGGTATCATTTGAGGTGCAGTGGGTAGTGAGAAAGTTAGGATTCGAGAAGTGTCTTGTATTAGTGTTTATGGCTTTGTAAGAATCTGAGAATAATTGACCAGGAAAGTGAGGAATATAAGGTGAAAGTATGGTCTTTCTTGAGTCCCTTCTGTTTATCATAGTGGTGGAGGCATTATCGTGAGATTTTAGGATTAGACTGCCCTAGGAGTTGATTTATGCAACCTCTTCAATACTGTACTAAGAATTGAAAGGATGGAATGGAGTTAAGGATGTGAGAGTGAATATGACAAAGACAAAAGTGATGACTAGTGGCAAGGTTAAGAATTTCTGGTGGAAAGTAGAAAATGGTCTTATGGTATTTGTAAAAGGGTGTTGTCGTTGATACAGTAATGTGCACGGACTGTGAAAGATGGTTACACAAGAGGTGCAGTGACTTTAAGTGTTTTGTATATGCAAGGCCTCATGTGGCCTTAGCAAGGCTGGAGAAACACAACATTGGAGATATAGTAGAGAAAGGTGAGATGGATGATTAATGTGTCATTTAGACACAAAACCATGTTCAGAGCTAAGAGGACAGCTGGGTATTGAAAATATTGGTGAAGTTTTGCATAGAAGTAGACTGAGATAGTTGGGCTTGTGTGGAGAATGAAGGAGGCTGATTGAGTCAAGTGATAATGAGTTTGAATGTGGAGGGAAGGAGAACTAGTGGGAGGCAAAGAGTGACAAGGGAAGATGTTGTAAGAAACAGCATCATGGCTAAGCTACACAAGTGTGGAAAATGACCATAAAATGTTGATAATGATTATGGTATGTAGGAAAAAGATCGAAGGACATTCCTTTAAATTTCCTTTGAATGTTTGTGTATCTAGAAACCTAACAGTTATATATCATTGACTACTGTTTATTGACAAGATAGTGTGCTTCAACAAAGGCCAGCCAAAATGCAGTTCACAAACCTAAGTACAATACTTGTGATTTCAGGTGTAACCCCTCTATAGTAGGTAGCATAAGAATACATGTAGTGGAGGATGACTATCATGTATAGATTTTTTTTCTGGGCAGCTACGCAAATAATAAATTTTTGCTTTTAAGATAGTTTATACATTTTTATTACTTTGCAGAATTATCAGAGTGAGGAAGAAGGCAGAGTATTAGACCTCCTAAAAGAGACCCCAAGATTAACATCTTTGCATATGGCTGCATTCTCTCATCTTTCTTTGAACCTTTCACAGCAAGTAAGCAGCTTGATATGATCTTTTATATGGTACCGTACTTGATATCAGATATGTAAAATTTGATATCCCCACAATATTACTAATCATCAGATGGTTGTGGTTGTTTTATTCCCATAAGCTGTAATATCAAGCTTTGGTAACCTGTTGAGTAGTGCAACAAACAATGAGTTTGAATGATTGAGCATGACATCAGGTTGTTTATAGCCAGAATAAATTGCCTAATGGTTACACTGCCTGCTAAAGGGTTAAGAATAAATAAACGACAGGAAATAAGAGAATGTGCTTTTTTCTGGCTCTGGCCATCCTGCAGTGTGGCTGGAGAGGGCCTTCAAGATTGAAATAAATGTGTGAATGCTAGATGGAAAAAATATTTTTATGTATCACAATATCTGTATCACTGCATGACAAGGGCAATTTCCTCATGGTAAGTAAAGACATATTTTATTTTTATTTTAGTGGTGCAAGACCCATTGTAAGGACAGATCTATAGATTTCAGTAGGGAGGGGGGCAGAGAAAAAAGGGCACCCCTTAAAATAAAAAGGGCATGGTGATAAAAAAAAAATATATATATAAAATCCTAAAACAGACCACCAGTGAGCAAGTTTCAAGTCAATTGTAATTTTAGATCAGTTTCATTCAAATATTATACAAAATGTAAATCTAATTTGGGTTAAACATTTCTCACAAACATTTTAAACAATTACAGATGTTTTGCCAATTAAAAGAACTATCAGAATAAGATGAAAATAAAGACAGTGATTTGGCTGCACCAGCACTTTAAATGGCACCACTACAAATTTGGAAGAAACATTACTTGTCACTCGATCTAATGTTGTGATGCATGTGCATCAAAACCAGGTCAAATAACCTTTCTACTGTCATCCTGCTTTTTCAGGTAGCTCTTACTGCACCCTTGTTCTGAGAAAGAAAAAAGAACTTCAGGGAAACCTACACCCAAAACATACCGTACATATTGGCATATAAGACGACCCAAAATTTTAATTTAAGATTCAAGTTTTAGGCTATACCCGCTGGATAATACAGTAATGAAATACTATTTGAATCTTAGTCATATAGTGTAGGTTGTCACAATAGGTGACCAGTGCCCTAAACTTGTTGGCTAAATATTGTCTATCAGCAGCTAATGTGATCGTGCTGTTGTATTTTAAACATTAGTGACTACCTCAGTGAGTTTGGTTATTTTATGGTACAATACGTCACAACAGCCTTTTATAACCAATCTTGGCCCTTGTTTCCTCTATATTTTAGTGTGTTGCAGCATTTTGGAAAGGGGAAATGAGCTGTGGATATCACTTGTCTTAGGCTGATGCATAACATCATTTCTGATATCATATTTTTTGTCCGGGGAAAAAAAAAAGAGAAGGTAAACCTCAACATTTCTGGATATTTTGCATCATTTGTGACTTTTTTATATTTTAAATCTCAAAAAACTTTGTTTGAAGTGAATTTAATGTATGACATTTCTCTTCTTTTTTTTTTTTTCAATATATTTCTATTTTGTGATAGCTCTGGCTTACACTGCACAATAACAGAGTTTGATGCTACCCACAGTGATGAAAAACTGGAGTAATTTATGTCATGTTATATTGAAAGCAAAGTATCAAATCATATTATACCAAGGGTCTACTGTTATTTCTCTATACTGGTAGTCACAAAAATAATTTTCTCTTCTGCTTTATTGATTTTTGTTTCCATTATAATAAAGAGTAATTATTGTTTGTAAATCCGAGGGAGTGTTTATACACAGCAGAATACATTGACACAGCTCAGGGATACATCCCCAATGTTGAGTTTCTCCAGTCTTGCTAAGGCCATATTACTTTTGCATACAGTGCACTCAAAGTGAACAAGATCCTGAAGTCTGCCATTTACACTACTGCACCTCACTGTACATTATTGAGTTGGTTATTGAATACAAATGGATATATAGATATAAATACCTTTTAAATTTTATTGTATATGTTGGTGTTGTTTCAGATCAATAAGCGTTTGGTACGAGCAAGTCAACCAGTAAATGAGCTAACTGAAGAAACAAAGAGGGAGCTAGAAGCAGCTGCAAGTGAGGAACTGTTACGCTGTCTGCTGATGATTCCAGCTCCTCCACCAATATTACCCACAACCTTCTGCTCTGTTTTACCTGGTAACTCTTTGTTAATTTTTTTTTTAATCATACAGGAATTTTTACAGGCATTTTAAAGTAAGCTATAAAATACTGTACAGTATAGTCTGGATTTACGCGGTCAATTAAACCTGTGGAGGTCCTCATAAAACGAGAAACGCGTAAACGAAATAACAGAACATATGGGATTAATTGAAATAGAGACTGGGCTGACCCCAGACTACCCTTTTTCTGACACAATACGTACGTTGCAGTAAAAATAACATCTTGATTTTATGATGGTATGCACACACAATTAATATTTAAGAGAAATACAGTCGCCGGTTAATGTCGGTTCAAATAATGGACTCGACTACCGCTCCCCCCCCCCTCTTCCCGCGCTCACTGGCTCCCTCCCTACCCACCACCTTCCCGAGAAATGTTTGGGGAAAAAGACTTGGCTTTTAGGTTTAGTATTAATAATACCTCAGACTATAGTTAGGAGAATATAACTTACATTGCTGGATTCCTTGCAAGACAGCAAATAATTTGAATATAAACGTCATATATTTTGCACAAAAGATAAAATTTTTGCTTTCTCTTATAAAATTCTTAAATTAGATCTAAAATTTGTATGTCTAATGCAAATTTTAGCTTGTTTATATTCAAATTAATCACTATTTTATAAGAATTCCAGCAATGTAAATTATATTCTGGCCGGGTAATTTCTATGAATTTTATGAGCTAAAAACAAATATCTCAAGTAAATAAACAAATTATACTTCACCAGACACAATACGTTACGTACGTTGTAGTAAAAATAACATCTTAATTTTATGATGGTATGCACACAATTAATATTTAGGAGAAATATCAATAATATTAGGTTTTTTAACACTTACATTAGTAGAAGAGATGGCTGGGCACACGGGGATGGGGGGTTGGTTCCGAGGCAGAGGGCAGATTATTAGCCCTCACCTGTATCACTTGTATCAATTGTATCACTATCCACCACAGAGACTTGCAGGGCCTCTTTGTCAAACCCCTCAAAGTCCATATCCTCACTATCACTGACTTGGGCTGGCTGTGGTGGGTGGCGGGTGAAGAACTCGGTAATGTTTTGTTGACTGGGTGACCTAGTGCGGACCCTGCCCACGCCACTTCCCACGTAAATGATGGAATGTACCGCGTAACTTATAATTGCCGGTCTGGCCAGGTGCCGCGTAAATGACCAAACGCGTAAAGGAAATCCGCGTAAATCCAAGCTATACTGTACTGTATAAATTATTTATATGCTTTTGTGTCAGAATTATAAATGGTATATTTTCATCCCATGAACTATTTTGGCCAAGGGGTACTGTCGCCAATAGAGAGGATATAAGGATACAATACAGTATAATGTTGTAGAATGCATCCCTAGATTTTACATTTAAATACCATTGTTGTTCAATTTATGAGCTTTTGACTTCTACATGTTTGAGGTTAGGAATTTTTTTTAATTACTGTATGGCAGATTATTAGGGATTAGTAGTTGTGAAAATAATTCATTAATGAACTGCACACAGTGTAGCTTTTTTAGCTTCACATTCTCATAACTCCCTGCATGAGTGATTGGTGATGAAATAAACTTAAAATTTGCTTGCAAGTAATCAGATGTAATAATAGTAAGCCTGTGCTTAAAGCTGGTAATGCACAGCATATACATAGACCATAAAAATTTTCATAAGAGTGGATATCACTTACTCATTCCTTTCTCACAGAGACAGCAGTCAGCAATATTGAGTGGGCTGAATATATTGCTCTAGTTAAAGCAGAAGCAGAGGCTGAGAAGTCATCACTTGCTCGACGTCATTCAGGTAGGGAGACTTACATTAGTTATACACTACAGCAAACATGGGCAGCCCACGCCCCGTGGGCTGTATGCGGCCCGAACTATGTCTTTGTGTGGGCCGTGGTGTGATTGAGAAATTCTATTTAATGTGGCCCGTGGTTCAGGTAAATGCAGCCAGCATATGGTGAGTAAAGCAATATTTATTAAAAGAATAATCTTCACACAATTCATTACTTCTTCATCACCTAAGAGTAAGTAACTTTGAAAAAGTAACAGTGAAATAAGTATAAATAATTAACAATATAAACATTTTAACTTGTGTGAGTTTACAGGCCAAGTTTGGCACGGTCTGTTTGATGGATTAACAGCTATGTGGCAGTGGGTCACTTGGGAATTAACTAAGGTTGGGTAAGTCCAAGTGGGGTCACGGGCGGTGGTCACACGGGTCAAAGGTAAAGGTTTCTTCCTTTTTGACAGACTGTCTCTCTCCATAGTACCTCATCCTTCATGCCTGGCTGTCTGTTCTATCTATTTATTCTTGTCTGATTAGGTCTCTCCATGGACATATGTACAGTTATACTCTATATGTGTGTGCATGTGCGTGTGTGTGTGCATGCCTGTGGGTGTGTGTGCATGCATGTGTGTGCGTGTGCAAGTGTGCGTGTGTGTGTGCATGTGTGCGTGCATGTGCATGGCGTGTGTGCATGCATTTGTGTGTGCATGCATGTGTGTGTGTGTGTGTGTTTGCATGTAATAATAATAATAATAATAATAATAAATGGTTTATTAATAGAGTTACAGCCGGTGGCTGAAAATATACAAACTTACATTTGATTTAGACAAAATAATTTGCGTTGAATACATTTACAGGTCTGTACAGTACATAAATCAGGAGTTGTTTATTATTTTAACAATAGATGGGATGGTGCTATTCTTATATCTATCAGTGCAGGCTCTTATGAGCTGAATTTTGTTGTATTGGCGGACTGCGCGAGGTGGGCGGGGGACTGCTGGTGGCAGGAGGTGGCGATGACGAGGATGGTGCAGTAGTCCACTGCCAAACCTTGCTAGTGCTTGGTGGTGGAGGTCACTGAGGGATGGCATTTCCAGGGTGGAGCGTTGATGTAGCCGGAGTAGTCTGCGCCGAGCATGATTCTGCAGGCCCTTTTCTGTACCTTCTCTAGCTGACTTTGTTGGGTAGAGTTGAGAGAAGATGACCAGGCTGGTGATGCATACGTTAGTTTGGGGAGAATAAAGGCGTTGTAGATAGTCCTCAACTCAGGCGTGGGTGCCCAAAGTGACCTAAGTCGTCGTAGCATGTAGAGTCGGTACTGTACGAGGCTGCCTTGATTGTGCTGTTTACATGGGCCTTCCAGTCCAGTTTGTGGTCTATGGTAACACCCAGGAGTTTGGCAGACTGCACTAACTGGAGAGGATGGGCACCCACTGTGACTGCTGGAGCTTGCACTGGAGTGGTGGCGGTATTGATGTGCATGACTACGGTTTTGGTGTGGTTGATGGTGACCTTGTTCTCCGTAGTCCATGCCTGTAGCCTGTCCAGGGTGCCTTGTAGCGATGAGTAGTCGGTGAGGTGTTGTCCACTGTAACCCCCACAGTGCAGTCATCCACGTACTTCCACCTGTGAGGAGTGTCCGATAGAGCGTCGTTGATCAGGATGAGGAAGCACAGTGGTCCCATCTTGGTCCCCTGGGGAACACCGCAGGTGAGGTGTTGGAATGTGGAGACAGAACCCTGATACCTCACTGCCTGACGACGTCCACTCAAGAAATCAGTGAGCCATGAGACCAGGTTGGTGGGCAGCCCTAGTGCAATGGCCTTGTTGATAACAGTGCAGTGATCAACAAGGTCAAAAGCCTTCCTGAAGTCAACAAGGGCAACGGCCAGTGATGTCTTACGTTTCTGCAGGTTTTGTGCAGGAAATTCAGGAAACTAACTAAGCAGTGTGATGTAGAGGAGGTCCTCATATTGCCAAATTGCTGTGGATCAATTGACTGATAAATTCTAGCAAATATCCCTCTCAAAAACAAAGTGTGTGTGTGGGGTGTTATATGCGTTTTTTTTTCATTGTAGTTCCTCATGCACCAAGATTAACATTGACATTATTCTGGTGGGTGTGTCTCATAAGTAAGAAATGCTGTAACTGTAGGAAAAATTAACGTATTCACAGACTGCTTCACTCATCTTCTGTTAAATGCCAAGAAACATTAACATTTTACTTAAAAAATTATTACGATGGATTTGTTTCATAAATGGGAAAAAGACTGATTGTAAACTGAAAATATTGTTTAGGTGGACTTGCAGGGGTGGACCCGGGGGTTCCTGGGTCTGGACCCCCTTTTCATAAAAGTTCCAATACTTTTCTTTAAAGCAGTATTGTACTCAGGAATTTTTGTATAGTAAAAAGTAATTGCTATTGACCTCAGAATATCTCATAATATCAAGTGCAATGGCCTCAAAATGCCCATGATATTGGTCAAATTTAAAGCAAAATTCTAGGTGGGGCTTACAGCACCCCCCTAAAACCCCCCAGCTGGGTGGGCTCAGTGTGCTCGTCATGTTCTCTCATCCACAACCTCTTGGTAACTCCCCCCTTTGATATTCCTGGATCTGCCCTTGACATGACAATAAACTGTTTCACTGTCCTTGCTAATATTAACATGACAAGTGAGTTTGTGAAAAAAACTTATTATGTCAGTTATGGAGGAAAAATATTATATTGCATACTATCAGCTTCCCATCTGGAAAGTGCATTGTCCCTACTGAACCAGTCTGCTGGTCCTCTATTATTAGGATCAAGTGGGTATTAGAGTGTTGACATTCATTTTCCTCCGGGAAATTCTACCAGACCCCATAGGGTATTCTGACAATTTATTTGGACTAAAAGTACCAAACTTTTTGCTGTTTCCCCAAAAGATTGATGTGACAAATCATTAACTGTGGATGCAGCATAGTTAGGTGCATATTCTTTATATATATGACAGAAGCATATATACAGGTATACAGTAGTTTGCCTATACAGCTACTCCTCAACTTACAACATACTCGACCTACGACCTCAGTTGTACCAAAATGTTGTCAAATTAAGTATTTTCGAGACCCAACGTTAGTGATTGCGCTGTGTACTGACAAAAAAAATTTTTTGTAATTCACTTTAAAATGGCTGGCAAGCTTAAAAGTGAGAGTTTTGTGGTGCTGAGAAGAAAAAGACACCCATTTTAGATTTTCTATGTATTATTTAAGCATTTTAGACTTACGACCTGGATTTGGGTCCCTAACTCCGTCGTAAGTCGAGGAGTGGCTGTACTGTAAATAAATTTTTTATTTGCCTGTACAGTATTACAATATTTTTTTATTAGGAAATGCTGGAATTTATATGATATATTATTATTTTCAGGAGACCTCCTTGGTGGACTTGCACCCCCACCACAAACTGAGGCCATTCTCACTCTTGAAGCTGGCCAGCTTACAAAGCTCTTCACTAAGAGTGGTCAGCCGATCGACAGAGTTAGGCGCAAAATGATTAAACACAGTTAGTCAATTATTGCTTTACAGTATTAGAAGAAAATAGATTTTTATATAAAATTAATGGATAATTATTGATGTATCATCAAGTTATATTGGATAACTCAGGTATTGCCTTAGAACAAAAGTTGTACTCTACTTTAGTTACTTGCAAAGTTATTTCCTGCAGCTTCTTCAGGTCAGCATCCCTTCAAAATCAAATCTACTTTGAAGGAAGTGAAGTCTCTAACTTGGCCAGAAGCACTTTATGCTCACCACCATGGTATTTAGTAAGTATTTTGGGGAAATATACTGTACCTATAAGATTTAAATTTGATGATAACATCCACTTTTCCTTCTTTTCCAATGTGTAAGTTTGATTGCAATTTTTATGTAATCTGTGGTTTCTGATTGTGTTTTCATAATGCCTTCATAAAATCAAAAGTGTTAGTTAATTGGTAATATAGAAACATAGTTGTTTGCGATGCACAGCTACAGTTTTGTTTATATTGAGCTGAAATTTGGCATGGAGATGAAGGTGAAATGAGGTGGAATTTGAGGGGTTGGCTCTAATGGTCGGCCCCCAACACCAAAAGATAGAACCCCCTCATTGAAATCACCTCTAGAGTTCTGTTTGTTTGCCATTCACAGCCTTAGTTAAGATAGAGTGCTCTTTGGTATGCTTTTGTATTTAACCCTGAGTTTGTTCACAGCTAATAGTGGGGCCTCCTGTAGATGACCAAAGTACATAGCTGAAATTTTGTATGGTTATTTTTTGCATGTGTACATAGGCTATGTGGCTGCATCAAATCTGGTTAACTTTAAACTGGGCAACATCAAGCACCTCAACTAGAGTGATATAAAAAAGCCAACATTGACTGGGCAGTGGTGGGCAAATGACTCATGGAACAGGTAGTTTTGGTAATTGCCTCAAAACATGCCCTTACAAAGAATTCATTGCCTGTTTTTGCTTACTATTTAAATTTGTTATCTTATGGCAACAAATTTTCTAGTTAAGCATCTGATAAATTGCAAAATGTCCTGTGCAGTCTTAGAAAATATTCTCAACCAAGTGAAAAGCTCCATCCAGTGCACCAAAGTGGAAGTATAATTAGAAGAAATTACAGATTATTCAGAGGCTTAATGCCTGTAAGTCCCATTCCCCACAAATATGGAACTGGACTGACTACTAGTTCTATAAAATTCATGGCTAGATGTCCAGGCAAAGGATACTAGAGATGTGAGGTGGAATGTAGTGTGTTCTGTAGAAACAGCCCATGTGAGGGCTGTCAGAGAGGACAGCTTTTGGCCTGTGAGTGGTTGTGTGGTCCTTTTAACTTGTGCAATACTTTATACACAGTAGGTTTACCTTACATTAATGTATCTATAATTTTGTAAAATATTTCCTCATGTAGTTTATTGATGTGCTTTATTATGGTAGGAAGGAAGCTAGGTTTGCCTTGTCAGACTGATAACATCATCTATCTTGGTCTAGCATGGGAGCTAGTAAAATTCATGTGCAATGCCTTCCTTGCAAAAGACTCACTACCTCATAGCCCCACATTTCATATCCTAAGCTGCCTAGCTTATGTAACCACTGTCTAGGATCACATATCAGTTATTGTGATATAGTTTTATAGATAAGTTGAATTAACTATTCAAAAATATTATTTTAAATTCACACTTTTCCAGTTACAATGTTAATGAATGGCATGAGAAGTTTGTTGAACAGTGTAACCAGGTAAAAAATCGTTATATCAGGCAAGAAACTGCAGCCACTTGTACTGTGTTCCAAGACAAAGAGATGGCATATGTCACTGTCTCCACACACAAACCGAGCAGGTAAAGAACTCTCTTCACAATTTTGATAACTAATTCTGTTTTGGGAGAAAAAAAAAGTATCTATAAACTGGAATATAAAAAATGGCATAGAATTTTGTAATATTCTCCTTATTCCATATTGGAATTACTTTGTGTGTTGATCTTTATTTAAAGCAAAGATAACAGAGAGACATCTGTGGTAAAGGCAAAACCTCAAACCTTGAACAGGGGAGTGAAGAAGAGTAGAGGCACAGGTGCTAGTGAGGCAGATACCGTAAGCTTGAAAAGTGGGCACAGCTCAAGAATACCAAGAGGACTATTAAGACGTTCACCTCGAAAACAGTTATGTCAGTCACCACACGGACGATTACATCAACCAGAGTGTAAAATTGAGAGGTATGTATGTATTCTTTCAAATTTTTTCTGTCATCCAGTATATTCATTCATTTACTAGTATTCATTTAATCTTAAGGCAGGAATAGATAAGTTCTGCATTGGTACTCCCCAACCAAAAGGCCCCAGATATCCACCTGGTTTATCCCTGTCTTCGTACCACTCACCATCACCCATCAGTAGGACCTCCTTCCCCAAATATCGCTCAACAAATACTGTGCTCTCTATCATTCGTGCAAGTACTGCTGCCTGGATGTTCATTGGATTGGCTTCAAATTCAGAAGACAGCCTAACCATTTTGTATGGATGTGTATATAGTCTTGAGTTTTATAGTTCAACAAATGTCAATCACAGCTGAAGGGTGAAGTTCGAGATTTCGCTCCTTAATGCTTGTATTGATTGATTGTATCATTGTAGATATTTTAATTTAGCAGTACTGTACAGGAGTACTCGTATGTCTCAATACAAGATAAAGTGTATAACCTGAACTTTAAATTTGTGACACAGTCCAAGGTTATAGGATCAAAGCTCAACTTTTGCTAAGGATAACTTTATTTAGTAGGGATATTGTTGGGAAACTTCACATGAACATGTACCATCAATACACAATGTTCAGATCACCACATTTCAAAGATTAGTGTCACTGTAAAGTCAGAGGATTGAACTTTGTCCAGAACATGAGTTTTGTAACCATATATGATGAAAATTTTAATGGAATTGTTTTTTTTTTATTATTAGAATGTGGTTACAATACGTATTTATTTTTGTGTGTTGGGAGCTTACTTGCATCCTATTTTACTAAAGCTTTTTGGGGCTATACCCATAAGGTGAGTATTGGCCTAAACATGAGTTTTGAGCTGAAAATTTTAAGGCTGATTAGTGCACCAGACTTTTACATAGTTATAGTGTACAAATACAGTCAGTCCTCGACTTACGACAGGGTTAGGGACCGATGACCAGGTCGTAAGTCGAAAATGCGAAAATACTACTTAGAAAATCTAAAATGGGTGTCTCTTTTTCTTATCAGTACCACGAGAACTCTCACCTTTACGCTTGCCAGCCATTTTAAAGGGAATTGCAAACGAAATATTTTTCAGTACACAGCGCGATCACAAACGTCGGGACTCAAAAATACGTAATTTGAAAAATATTTTATACGACGGCGGCAATCGTATGTCCGGGTGGTCATAGGTCATAAGTCGAGGAGTACCTGTATATAGTAATTTCGGTGTTTTGCCAGAGTTGTGCCCCTTTGACAAATTAGTTGTAAAGTGAAGTCATCCCTGTCAGCAGACACATTTCTAGTTTTATATTTAAAACTTCTGAAAGCAGAAACAGAAAATCATTAAAAAAAATGTTGGTGGTACTGTTCAGCAGTAATGCATCTATCTCGCACCACTCCTTCTTGGGTTTGAGTCATGGCACAGACAGGTTTTCTCTGGGGACTCCAGTTTCCTCCTGTTACTGGACAATGCAGGACGTAACAAAGGAAATAAATCATGAAATGGTAGTGTGGTAGTGAAGGAAACATGACTAAGAGATGGATCTTTATTCCTGATATCTCCTTCACTACTCTGTCCACTGTGAACAATGTTCTGATTGTGAAATTATAAATATAAATAAATAAGATCTACTTTACAGTATGTGCATTTAAAAAATATTTTCTTGTCAGGTCACCTCAAAAGGAAACCAGTAAAAGCAAAAAAAATTTCAGTGATTTAATGAAACCATCAGACTTATTACAACCATCGGTTACCAGAGGGACACTGAGAAATTCTTCTTACCTGCAGAGCAAGAGAATACCTAAGCCTGCTGATCTCAGTGATGTGCACAAACAGGTAACATTTATTTTTTTTTTTACGATAGTCTTTAAATGCTTAATGATACAGGTACATCACCGACTATCCGGGAACTGATGGTCCGGCACCTCCTTTAGTCCAGACAAAATTATGAGAGGGCACTTAACTTCCCTCCCTCCCTCCCAGCCTGGGTGAAGGTAGTTTTAGGCTTAAAGTTTTTATTTTATAAAATGTAGCTGGCTGGACTAAGCAGAATATAAATTGCATTGCTGGAATCCTTGTAAGATAGTGATTAATTTGAGTATAAACATCACATAGTTTGCAAAAGAGATAGAAATTTTAGTCGAGTGTAGTACATTCACCACACCATCCTAAATACTGTATACAGTGGTCCCTCGGTTAACGAACACAATTCGTTCCACAGAGTCATTCATTAACCGAATCTTTTATTTCAATGGGATATTGGGTAATTGATTCCAACTCACAGAAAAAGTACATATAAAGTACTATATACTGTACCAGTAATAGAATTAACAAAACATTAAATATAAACTAAATACAGTACTGTACAGTATACTATACAATAATAAATAAAAAACAATAGAATACTGTATTTTAACTTACTTTGAGGTGTATATGTCGTATTACCGGCAGCTTTGTTTACATATCAAACAGCTGATTATAGAGGCAGTCGATGATGGCATGCCATATTCTTTACAGTGCATTGGTTCTAATGCCTTCTTCATGTTTCATAATAATTTCTGCACTGTATATTATCAATATGTTAACTGAATTTTGGAATGACCAATAATTTTAATGTAAAAATGCAAAAAATATTCAAGAGACCAACAAAATCGATGTTCACTCCACTGTAAACAAAGTTAAACTGAGAAGCGTTGTTGGGTGATTCAATCAGCTGATGGGCACACAAAAACTGTTCCCTGTACTGTCTATATTATCAATATGTTAACTAAATTTCAGAATGACCAATAATTTTAATATAAAAAATTCAGAAATATTCAAGAGACCAACTTTCTTGATATTTACTTCACTGGAAACGAATGTAAACATAGAACCAATTATTGTATTGGCGGACTAGCCGATCACCTGATGCACACAACAAAAAGTGTTTGTCGTAAGGATTTCGTTAATCGAAGTTTTGTTCGTTAATCGAACTGAAAATCCTTATGGGAGCTATTTCGTTAATCGAACTGTTCGTTAACCGAAATTTCGTTAATCGAACTGTTCGTTAACCGAGGGACCACTGTATATTGTGAAAAAAGTAAAAGAAATAATTGTCCTAAGGGTAAACCTGTAATAATTTAATTACTAAAAATTTATGTCTAGTGCAAACTATGTGATGCTTATACTCAAAGTAATCACTATCTTAAAAGAATTACAGCAATGCAAATTATATACTGCCAAGTCAATTCAGTGCCATTTTTTAAGGGAAAAACTAAAACTCCTCCTGTTTTCATAACTACACACTTTGTTATCTCCCCTCCCTGACAGCTGGCAACACATCAACCCTCCCCCACCCCCCTCCTTCCCTTTACTCACAGCAGGGTGAAGGCGGTTTAGGCTTTCAAGGTTTTATCTTATAAAATGTCGCAGACTAGACTTAGCAGAATATAAATTACGTTGCTGGAATCCTTGTAATATAGTGATTAATTTGAGCATAAACATCACATAGTTTGCACAAAAGATAAAATTTTTAGTCTAGTGTAGTACTACAGTATATTTGAGTACAAAGTGTATACAGTAATGTTGTTCAAAATTATGTCTTTTTCACATTTAATTTACATTTAATATTTGTTTAATTTAAGTTTCTAGCAGTTCATGGTGCTTTAGAGACACAGGAGGTGTATAATTAGTGGGTCAGAGGTGTATTGTTGAATTATTATTACCTGACCTCGGTTGGTCCAGCAAAACGGATAATCCGGCAAGGTTTTGGAACCAAGGGTGCCGGAAAATCGGTGGTGTACCTGTATTATTTCATTCAAACAAGAACTGTTTTACAGAAAACTCTGCCATCTAGTGGGATATGATATATCAAATATTAAGTGTCTAACGAGTAATTTGCTTTCAGTATTCTAGGAATTGTGAAGTACCATTTCAAGTATAAATTAGGATAGTTAGTCCAGAATCTTACTTGTAAGACTTTTTTTGAACACTTTCATATGACTGTCCACCACACCGGTTACTTTTAAGAATACAGTACTCCCATAATTTGTCCTGTTTCATGTACCTTGCCAGTATTTTTATGAGGCACTGCATCTCTTGTAAAACACATTTGAATTGTATTGCTCTCAATCTTTTAACATGCCCTTTATGTTCTCACCTTTTAAGATTTGATCACAGGAATTTGTTCCTTCATTGTCATCCATTTTGACTAGATTTGTTAGATTTTCCTAAGTGGAAAAGGCTACACTACAGTCAGTTCTGTTATAACGCGATAGTTGTGTTCTTGTAAAACATCGTGTTATAGAAATTCGCGTAATAGAAATAACAGGGCTTATGGAGAAAATAGGGTTAGGTGCAGATTACTACTCGAAATCGAAAAAAAATTTAGTAGTTAGCCTACCACAAAGGATAGCACAGTCTAAATAAATGTTACATTCATATCTAATAATGAAATCATACAGTAAATGTAACACTTTACCTTGAAAAAATATGAATATAGCTTTATGGGGGAGAAGGGTGATTTTGAGGTTGATAACATCGAGCTTCTCTTCAAGTGTTATAGCCTTTATTTTACGATCATCACCGGGAATGCGATCACCAGAATGCTTCTTGGAGATATTCTTCTTTACCATATTCACAGTTAATACCACAAAATTGGAGAAATAGTAAGCAAAAATCGCGTTACAGCAAACAAGCGTTCGCGTTATACAAATATCGTTCCTCTATTCATAAATCGCGTTAGAGCCAATTCGCGTTGTCAAAACACGCATTATAGCAGAACTCACTGTACTTCACAGAGCCTTAATTCTTCAAGTGATACATTTACTGCCAGTCTGGATTGCTTTTGTCGCAACCAGGCCTCCACATGTGATATTTCCACGGGGATAACAAACCTAGGTTAACACACTTAGTCTCGTGTCGATCACGGTCACTGTAGACAGGTGTCGTGCAGAACTCTAAGCGTGAATTGATTCACCATATACTGTAGGTTTGATAGGCCAGCCTGGATTGCTCTTGTTGCAACCAGGCATCCACACGTGATATTTCCACGGGGATAACAACCTAGGTTAACACGCTTAATCTCGTGTCGACAACGGTCCACAGGACGGAGTGGCGGTGGAGGACTCTGTGTGGTGTCTGACTCCCTTCAGGAGGGAGAGGATGGGGACATCTTAACTAACCCATGGCTGTGGGGATACTACTTAAAATGAGGTTTTTGGGTGTGAAGCGATGAACAGTACAACACTGTCTCACTGGCCCCCCCTAAAGGCTGGCTAACATACCACTAATGGAAAATGTATGTCCCAGTTATGCCTCGCCAGGTGCCTTATCTCTAGTAAAACAAACTTTGGAATTGGTTGCGTGGGTAAGCCTAACGCCACCCATGACAACTATTCCACCTCTAATCCTTAACATTTCTGTGGTGATTCCTTCTACAGTACTCCTGGTGTCTTGCTTTTCATAACCTTGATTACAGGCAATCTTACTTCCTCCTCATTTATGATTTTTCCTTTTATTTTGACACTTTAGCTACTACAACTCTCATCTGTTACATTTAGCATTTACTCAAAATATTCTCCATGTCTCTCAATTTTATTTGTTCTTTTAGTTTTCTTTATCTTTGAATCAGCCTTTTTCCCATTCTTTCACCATTCTCTCATTTGTTTAATACAAGGTTTTGTTTTTATTTATCCAACAGAAGCTTCGTGTGGCTGTTGTAGAATCCCTTGAAAAGGAGGGCATGAAGATGAAAAATCCATTATTCAAGGTCTGCTTCAAAAAATTATTTACAGTTTGCAGACCATTTGCATTGGATGTCATTGGTCGGGGATCTACCAGCAAAAATATGGAGAAAATTGCCAGAGCCCATGTGAAACAGGTGATAGAATTTGAGAGATTAAAAACTAAGAAAAGGTAAAGAAAATTGGCTGCTACCATTAAGAAATACAGAGATGTTGAGCATCACATAAAAAGATTGTTAAAGAGCTGTAACCATACAGATAGAGAGAATATGCTTTCTTCTTGGAATTGCCCACAGCCCAAAATACCTTTAGAAAGTTTTGCATGAGATTTTAACCCTTAAGCCCCGGGTTAGGATGCTGCTGGCAGTAACCCCCCTCCCCCTGTGTGGGAATAAATCGAGATAAAAATCAACTTTTCCAAAAATAGTTAAAAAAAATAAAAATAAATAAAATAGCGGGAAAATAGGCGGACGTTCTGGAACGTCACCCGGGGCCTATGGGTTAAAGTTTAAATAAATGAATGAAGAATTAAAATATGCCATAAACCTGTTTGAAAATAGTACGATAGATTGATTGTTTTTAGTGGGAGAAATTCCCTCTAGTCACCTAATTTCAAATCTAGCAAAAAGGTCTATTTTGTAACCAACAACAACCAATTTTGCAGAAAAAAAAAAAAAAATTCAGGTGATAAAACAATATGGTACTGTAATGAAAAGACTGTATGAGCCAGTGTTGCTGCTGACTCCACCTCAGGTTATTTATTTCTGCACTTTCTCTAAATGTATGTTAAGAGAAAATTTTATAATTCAGCAGAACTTTGGTAATTTGTGAAGGATATAAAAAATTTAGCTATTTTATATATACGGTAGTATATTAATAGTCAATGATATCCTGGTACATTTTAATAAGAGATAATATAGATATGTGAAATAAATAAATGCATTTCCAAATACAGTAATCTCATTACTGTATATAGCAAAAATACATAGGAACTTAAAAAAATTAATACATTTATAAAAATTTACACTCAAACAAATTATATCATATCTTCAAGACTCTATCCTTGTGTGCCTCTCACTCCATTAATCAAAGCATCATATGGTGTAAATTTTGCACAACAATCCTCCTCTTTCAGCATTTCTGAGTTGATAATTAGTGACGTCAAGGTTTTGTTGCTCATTATATATGAGGTTGGGATATGTTAATCTTTCAGCCTTAGCACTTGAAATTGGCAAAGACAGAACAGCAAGATCAAACACAATAAAGTGTTGAAGCATGGCCTGTCTTCTTCATCTTGAAGAATATATAGTGCTTTAAAAAGTTGTTATGGATCCTTTATGCTTTGTAAATATTCGTGGAAAGCTACATGCTAAATCGGACAATGCAAGTAATATGTCTCGAGAGTGTGGATCTAGAGCTTATGAAACACTAAAAAATGAGAAAAGGTTCAAAGTTTCATCACTAAGGGAAAATCTGTTTATTTTCTGACAAGAAACTACCAAAAATGTTCTACAAAGACCTTTCACAGCTCTAAGCTGTGACTACATTAATATGGAAAATTTAACCTCCCCAAAAATTTTAAAATGCAGAATTTATTCTGTATTCATGCAGAGTGCAGTCTGTGACTCGGCACACTTGGTTTCCCGCACTTAAATATTCGACACATCATACGATAATTCTGCACTTAGGCAATTCTGGTGTGAACTATATAGAGGCAAAATATCTCGTAGTAAATTTTCCTAAAACCAATTCATTCATGTCGCTAATCTCTTCATATGAAGATTTACCAGAATAACGTGTATTAAGACTAAATTTGCTGTGTGTGTTACTGGAAATTGTATCCCATACTGGGAAGACCTCCACACCAAGCAGTTATAAACTTGAGTACATCCTGACATTCATGGGAACTTGACATCTTGGTGGCCATGATTAGTTTGTTCCAGTCCTCCTTGTTAGCAGCTTGCCCACGCTTGAGATCAAGGCGATTCCGGATGACAGGATAGCCTGAGATAACACAGGGAGGGTAGGTGGTGTTACTTGCATCCACAAGAGAAGCTTCATAAGTCATACGCTCATCCACGGGAAGAACCTGCAAGATTAATGGAAGCATAACTGAATTCAAAATTTACTAGCATTTCTGTAATCAATATGAAATTTGATTCATTCTTGTACTTACAAGGAGTGTTTTACATAAATATTACAATCAAATGAGATAAAAAATACTTAAAAAAAACCAAATTGCATAATGCAATTAAAGCACGTCTGTTTACCACCGTAGCAAAATTTTACCTGTTCCACTTGCTGATCCATTGATACTGCCAGCACCCATTCTTTAGCCTCTTCCCTCAGAGATTCAGGTATTGTCAGAGTGAGTGGTAGTGGAATCTCGTATGGAATATCTGTGTCTATGAAGTCTGTATGATCAAGAGAGTCTAATGACCCTTCCTCAATGGCCTCACATAAGTCCAAAAAACGATTCAAGAATACAAATGCCATGTTCTTCCATCCTACCTCCTGAAACAATGTGTACAGTTAGAAAAAGGATAGTAATCACATAGGAAGTATTTAGGGGGTAAGAATATCAATGAGGGATTGATCATTAAATTTCATTTTATTACGAAGCTGGGATTGAGCAATTCTGTATGACCGGTAAGTCTAGAGCATTGAAACATCAAGTCCCCAGTGAATCAACTTGAGACTTGAATCTAAAATTTGAAAGAAGGAAAATTAGGCTATCCATCTTCATATTCAATTCCAAACACGAGATAGATATGGCCAGGGCGTCACCTGGCTCAAACCCCCCCCCCCCCTCACATAATGTAATGTACCAACTATACACTTTATACAGTATGTATTTTATTTAGTTTATTATATTTTAGGTAAAATATTGTGTACTTTTGCTGTTCATGAACCAAATTAATTATTTTAGGTATAATACTGTATATTATAAGTAAATTGTAAAATTTTACATAAAAGAAAATCAAATTACATAGCGTTTTAGACCCGCGCTCTCTTTACATCACACACACTGTTTACAGTTCACGTTCGACATCACATATTCAATTGATTTATGTGTTTTGTTTGTGAAGAATTGCAGAAATAATTTATGTATACAGTAAACCACTCACAAGGTCCTACAGTACCACTAATTATTTTATACTGAAACTTACTTTCGGGAAGCTGGATTAAAATGAAGATTACCGGTATATTAAAATAATAAAAATGTATTATAAACCAGTCTAACATACCGTAATAAACACAGCTGCTATTATCATCCCCCCACTCCCATTTGCCAGTGACAAGAAAGGGAAAGATTCAGATTTGCCCCCGAGGGGGCTAGTTTATTGGGCACCCCCTAACAAACCTGTGCAAGGTGAAGCGCAGAAGCGTTTACAGCGCCCAACAGGGAAGTATGAAAAGTTCATACTTGCCTTTATGACTCGTACATTAAGGGCGTAAAAGCCTGAAGGGTCATAGGTTTTGTCAAGTTACATAAAGTGAGAGAATGATGAGTGTGTGGGGGGAAAGTTCCCGGTACATTTTAAGTTTATGGCAAAGAGTGGCAGATCCCAAGTGCTAGGCCTGTGACTAGGAGGAGGGATAAAGAAAGGGAAAGTGACCTTGACTGACCGCCTGTGACTATTTTTAGCCGTCCTTGTGTTCGGAGGTGGTCAGTAATGCATATCTGTATATTTACTGATCATAATACTTATCTCTTATAAATAATTCATTTAAAATTTATTTTTTTGCAAAGAATATTCAGTAAATGACTGCATTAATTCTTGAAACTGCCGACAGTGGTAAATTTAGGATATAAATAATGAACAGAAGTCACGTCATGGATTCGGAGTTTGGTCCTTAACGATCACCATAAATGTAGCCTCCCTTTTCGCGAAACACGTATATAAATTAAAGAAAATACTTGCAGTATATTTAATATATTACAGTATATTATATATAAATAAATAAACAAATAAATTCAAATTCCCTTATCATCCTGTGTCATATACAGAAATACTTGAGTCCCTGAGCGAGTACACAAAAAGAAAACGGACATCCTGGAGTGGATAGAGAACGGACATCTCTACTGGGGGACTCAAACGTTTCTCATGTTTTGTGGGCGCTCTAGCATAATATGAATAATATGTAAATTACAATTTATATATATATATATATATATATATATATATATATATATATATATATATATATATATATATATATATATATATATATATATATATATATATATATATATATATATATATATATATATATATATATATATATATATATGTAAATTGTAAAAATTTAAATAAAAGAGAAAAACTAAATACGTAGCGTTTAAAGTGTTAAAGTGTACTGTACAGTGTTGTGGCTTGGCTCAATGTTTACAGTTCACGTTCGACATCACATGTTCAATTGATTTATGTGTTTTGTTTGTGAAGAATTGCAGAAATAATTTATGTAATATTTATGTATACAGTATACCTGTACAGTATATGTAAATTGTAAAATTTTAAATAAGAGAAAAACAAAATACATAGCGTTTTAGACCCGCGCTCTCTGTTTACTCCACACACTGTTTGAAACAGGTGAAGTTTTTAAGTGTCCTCAGTGGATTCTGATTACTGTTTCTCCAATTTTGTGACTATGGAAAAGAAGAATATCTCTGGGAAGCACTCTGGTGATCGCATTTCCGGTGGTGATCGTAAAAGAAAGGCTATAACACTTGAAGAAAAGCTTGATGTTTCATGAGTCCTCAGCCTCAACATCAACCTTCTCCCCCATCAAGTTATATTCATATTTTTTCAAGGTAAAGTGGAACATTTACTGTATGATTTCATTATTAGATATGAATGTAACATTTATTTAGACTGTGCTATCCTTTGTGTTAGGCTAACTACGAAATTTTTTTTCGATTTGGAGTAATCTGCACCTAACCCTATTTTCTCCATAAGCCCTGTTATTTCTATTACACGAATTTCTATAACACGATGTTTTACAAGAACACTACTATCGCGTTATAGCAGAACTACCTGTACTGTAATATGTTTTTTTGTCTTTTCTGTTGGAGGTTTATCATCACTCTCCCTCAGACAGTGTCTGGAACAGCATTCCCTTAGTGTTCAGTTGAAGTGGGTGCTCTCTCTTTATCCATGTGTATTTGTCATCCTTTCATGAATCCGTTCACAATGGCATCCAAGTGTTTCTTTAGCTACACCTGTCATAGCCCAAAAAAAACAAATAAGCCTGTGATAATTGAAAACAAGCTTGAAATAATAACGCCATGAATGGGAGAAGGCCCTAGCAAGATCAGGAGAGCTACCTCTCATAATGCAATGTACCAATTGTACAGTATATATACATATTTATTTAGTTTATAAATTTTAGGTGTTTTTTGGGGGGGTTCATGAACCAAATAAATTTTTTTTTAAAGAAAAAATACTACAATTTGTTTTTTGTTGGCAGGTTATCATCACTCTCTTTCACAGTGTCTGGCATGCCATTCCCTTAGTGTTCAGTTGAAGTGTAGTGCTTTCTCTTTATCCAAGTGTATTTGTGCCATCCTGACATGAATCAGTTCACAATGGTATCCAAGTGTTGTGCTGATTCCTTGGCTTCACCCATTATCACCAAGAAACTGTGTAAGCTTCTGATAATTGAAAAAAAAAATTGAAATAATCATGCCATGAATGCAGGAAGTACCTAGCCAATTTCATTATTTTTAGGTATAATATTGGGATTTTCTTGTCTGTAGGGAACCAAACCCTATTTTTCCCATTTGTTGTTATTCGCTATACGAAAATTCAATATCCGAATGGTTTTCAAGGAATCTGACCCATTTGTCACTTACATTGATTGATTGTCACACAAGATACAATGCATTACACAATAAACATACAGTGAACCCTTGCTATTCATGGGGGGTTAGGTTCCAAGGAATGGCACAAATTGGCAAAAACATGAATAGCAACTTATACTACCTTAGTGCACTACTGTATACTTATTCTGTGTATGAGAAACTTCAGTGGAAGTATGTGGAAGTTTGGAGCTTGATGAAGTGTACTGTACAGTAGGATGAAATCTGATTACTGAAGCATAAGATCATCAGGATCACTGTTGGAAGAGGGTGGTGGAGAGGAACGTGTCCGGGAGGTGGGTGGTGAGATGGCACATGGCAGGGAGGTGGGTGGTGGAGCGGCAGCAACAACTAACCGAGTAGGTGAGGGAATCAGCTGGGTGAGTGGCTGGTTTTTTCTTTAAAACCATCGTGAATGGTAGATGTTTCCTCTTGGCTCTGAGGTCTCTAAAATGATTCACTCCACTGGCATCACTAGCCCTGACACTAGGCAGTCTTTTAGGGGTAGTAGGCAGCTATCAAACAGGGAGGTACTACTACCTGGGAAGATATTGGAAGCATAATGTGTTGTCTAATGGTAGACCCTGCTGCTATATAGCATCACGAAAATTGTGACCAAGTCCCAGGTTGCTGATCTGACTTACTGCCTCATTTACACACAATTGCAGGGTCTCAATTGTTTCTCCTACTATTGGCAACACAACATACATATTGTTTCTCACTTTTGATCTTTTTTTTTTAATTTTTGCATTTATAGTTCTTTATTATTATTACTAGAGTTGTTATTATTATTATTATCTTTATTATTTTATTTTTTATTATAAATTTTATTTACTATGAATTATTATTATTATTATTATTATTATTATTATTATTATTATTATTATTATTATTATTATTATTATTATTATTATTATTATTTTCGCCCCCCAGGCCCCGATGTGGGTCAGTGACCTGTGCCCGGGTGGGTTAATCCCCGTGTAAAAAAAAAAAATAAATAAAAATAAAAATAAAAATAAAATAAAATCAGAAACTCTAAATTTTGAGTACAACACAAGAGATACTGCTTCACAGGCAATAGTTGAGCACAACCAAAGGGAGAGGAGATGCTGCAGGTGCATGGGGGTGACTCATTGCGTTGTGAGAGAGGCTCGTAAGCTAGCCACCATCTGCTTACCGCGAATAGTCAAAATCACTAATCGAAAACCAGCGAATAGCAAGGGTTTATTGTACTGTACACACAATTTATGTATAATTGTGTAAATATAAGATAAATAAATTGTTAAAAATACAGGGATGCGTCATTTAGCGATCGGGTGCGTTCCTGAAAAACAGATTGCTAAGTTATTTGATTACTGAGCAAACAGAAATTCAAAACAGCTCTGCTGCTCCTTCCCTGATCATTAAATCTCCAGGGAATCAAGGGTATTTCCCCTTTATGTAATTGTTGGTTTAGCGAATCGGTGATTAATGGGACATCGGTTTTCAGGGTATGCCTGTATTCCTGAAGTCCAATAAAGGAGCGAATGGAACAAATGCTGAATACATGGATCGAATACCAAACTCACGAAAATATTTCCATCAGCATGTTTGTGTAATGAGACAAATCTCACAAGAAGAAAATTACATATATAGGTAGAATATTTAGTAAGAGAGTAAAAGCGAGAAAGACTTTGGTAGCGTGGCCGTGATATATATTTGATGGTGGATTTACACTTAGCTTATCTAATATGTCAATACACATCTATTACGTCTTAAGGGCGACTTCTCAAACACCGCTTCGTTACAACTCTTTATTAATTACTAACATGACATGGACACATTAATAACACCTTCTATTGAAGTTACTAGGACATTATATTTACGTTACTAGGACATCATATTACGTTACTAGACACTCTGATTCTCGGACACGAACATGAAATGAATACACTTCCCACGTAAGTAACTCATCCCATGGAAAGCTCTGACAAAAACTCACGTGACCTGGGGAAGGCCTAGCAGGGAGACTGCTTAGCTGGAACACTGGTGTCGGGAGGGCGACTGCTTAGCTGGGACACCGGAGGGAAGTCGGGGAGGGAAGTCCTGCATGACTCTCCTCCCGTGAGCGGGACTCGGCTGTGGTGGACCTCCTCCTCCGATCCCTGTGTGTCTCTCTGTCTGACTCCCTCTCGCCGCTCCCCTGAGGGAGGGCTACGAGCGGGACTCGGGACGTGGTAGCTGGCCCTTCTTGGTTACAAGACACACTCTCTCTCTGTCTCTCTCTCTCTGGGGAGAGGGAGGACTAGGACGTCCTATATATTGGGAGGTGAGCCGTCAGGTTGAGCTGATCGGGGGCGGCGGCGAAGGGTCTTCTTACATTTGCCCTCGCTAATGTAGGGTCAGGTCTGGACTTTTTCAGAGACTATAAGTTGTATATTCTGGAGAAATCTTCAGATGGGGCCGTGTGACATGAGAGGCCCTGGTTGATTTGTGGCTCGAGGGTTACATTTGACCTGGCTAATGTGAGGTCAGGTCTGGACTTCTTCTGCGGTGTAGGTTATTGTGTACATTGGGAGAGAGTCGGCCGGTGCCTTCTTACATGTTTGTTGGGGCCGTGTGACATGGGAGGGGAACTAGTTGATTTGTAACTCCTTGAGTGGTTGCGAGGGGTACCCTTACATTTGATCCCCCTAATGTCGGGTCAGATCTGGACTGTTTCTGAGATGTAAGCTGTGGTCTGACAACCCATCACTACATTTGTGATACAGGCAAAGGCCTGGAGAATTTTATATTTCTTGGTACGTGTGAACTGTAGTTTTTCACTGGTATAATACTGGGTACTATCTTATTAATAACAAAACCCCCTAATCTTCAGTATTTATTTTGTTTGATTTACACGACCATTGTCGAGAACATATCACATAAATTGAGAGGCTTTACCTAACACGAGAATTTATAATAATCTAGATATTTTTTAAAAATTATGGATTAAATACTATGGTAATATAGAGGATATAATAACTTCGCTCAGGCATGAGGCGTCAACCAGCTTTAGCGGCCCGTGCAGTTAACAGGGTGTAAAGCTGATTGACTGTTATTAAGCAGTGTTATTTTCCATTCAACTCTACATAACCAGAAGACTGAACCTCAATCTTTTGTGTTAGATACGTAATCTTAACATGAGACACGGAGTCAAACTCCTCATAAACACACTTAAGAGAGCGCTGTATATTCTAAAACAAACACAAATCATGACACTGACCTTACAAGCCATTCCTGCTTCATAGAAGGCTTTATCTGCTGGTATAATGTCAGTATGACGTAGTAAAGAAACTGACACTTTAGCCACTAATTTCTCCAGCTGTGGTGTGGCCATATAAGCAGACCGTGCAGCCAGATAATGTGCTTGAAGTAACAACAGCTCAAATTCATTCTGGAATAAGTCATAGTAATTCTTATCATGTAAAATATATTAGAATGCATCCTAATTAATGTGATACACTGTAAAATAGCTATAATACATCTCAAAATTTTAAACCAAGAAAAAAATTACAAAAAGAGGTACAGTACTGTACTGTACTTAATTTTGTAACACATCAAAATAATAGTGGACCATTGGTAATCAAGCAAGTTTGGGACCAAGAAGTTACGGGTTTCAGGGCTTTCCAGTTTTTAGAGTAATACTACAAGAACTCAAACACCTTTTTCCAATTTAACGAGTATTTCCACTTTTTGTTCAATCCAGAACGCAATGTCTAGCTTTATACCTAGGTATGTAAATGCCTAGCATTAATTCGCCAGGCCAACATACAGGCAATTAAAACATTTAATAATTATTTAAATACATAATATTAGGAGAACACGTCGCTACCTGGTATTTAATTGCAATTCTCAAAACCCCCTCCCGCACCCTCCATCACACGCAGTGCTACTGTCATCTTCTTGCCTGGCGAATCAGCTGTAAACGCGCACAATGAAGGCTTTACTAATTTGTGTTGTAATAGCTGAAATATTAAGTGCCACGAGGATTTTATTTTTGGTATTCATACATCTTAGCACGGTGAGGAAATCGAGTGATTTTATTTTAATTACTGTATTTTGAGGCGTACAAGACGCAATTTTAATTACAAAAATATTCCTTGAAAATTAGCATGCGTCTTTCACGACGCACCATCCCATCTACTATTGTTAAAATAATAAACAACGCCTGATTTATGTACTGTACAGCCCTGTAAATGTATTCATTAGGGTCAACTGAAATCAGCCCCTTACAAAGACTGTTACCTCATTACAGTACTTAGCAATTACAAGTATTCTCTATACTATAAAACAATTGATTTAACTAATATTGTTGATATACTGCGAAAAATACGATTATTTACTTACTCAGTAGGTAAAAAATAAACGGCTGCAGCTACACAACCCTTGCTGCTGTGCGGTTTGTTTGCTAATGGCAGTGGTGCGGCAGCACCATCTATTGAGGAATTGCGAAAGGTTGTCTGCTGGTCTCAAAGCGCAGGAATGTTTGTTTCTTCACACCAAAAATTTTAATTCAACTGATTTTTATCGAAATGCTTTTTTACTTTTATTTTTTATTTTTTTTAAATACAGTAAAGATTTTTTGTTTTCTTAGACGTTTATATATATGTTTACATTTGCTTACCTTCTACTGTTGGAAAATATTTCCCGTCGTTGTCATACCGACAAAAACAAGAGAAAATGTAAACACTACAGTCCGCTAGACACCGATGTGACCAGGTGTAAAATGAGTGCTATATTAAAGATTTCCACTTCTTATATAGATATTTTTTTAATTGATGAAAATGACGACTGATAAGCAGTTCTAAGTGATGATATTCAAAGAGGTGTGTGTACTTGTGCCAAAAGGGCTGTATATCAAGCAATGGTTTCACTTGTGTCGGTTAGGGTGTGTGTGTGTGTGTATATATATATATATATATATATATATATATATATATATATATATATATATATATATATATATATATATATATATATATATATATATATATATATATATATATATATATATATATATATATATATATATATATATATATATATATATATAGTCAGATTTGCTGTATGCCTAACGAGAGCCACTAACACTAGGAGGGAAGTTTACTGCATTTGTGACCAGAAGGGAGGTTGTGGGGGAATTGCTGCACATGCCAACTTTGAATGTGTTTTTATTAGAGATTCATAATTATATTCTTTTATGATTAGACTTTCAGTGTACAATTCTTCATAAACAATATAACATTCAATAACAGCAAATAGATTATGTTACAAGCTCTCCATCATTTTAGGGTTAATTTGATTCTGAACAAATTATACTATACTGTACAGTGAAACAACAAAGACAAAGAACTTTTACACATACCATGACACCTTCTATATCTTCATGTTGCCTAAGGTTATCTACCAGTGACAGAAGAAGGTCCCGCAGATCTGCCCAGGTGCGATAGGCTTGCCCTGAACACAGTTCATGCATGCTCATTAGGTCAAGAGCTACACGTCGGTATATGTTATAGTTTTGTGAAAAAGCTGGTGCTCCATATTGCTTGTACAAACCCAGGGCTTCAACAGCTTGGCCATCCTGTAATTGTTAAGGGTTATGATATATTTGACCAAAATACAGTATACTTATGTATTTCAATGTTATTTAAATTTTGGGGAGTGTATAAAGTCTCTTGGCATCACCTTAAGGTAGACCACTCTTATCATCTATGAACTGCAGATTTCTGATTTGGGAAATTACCACGGTTCTGTATTGCCAATTTTTACAGCATATTAGTTGCACCATTATGGAAGATGCACCCCTAACTTAGCAGAAACATTTATAAAAAAATAAAAATTCTGAAACAGCACCGGCATCTGAGCCAACGCTATCAAATCTTACTCTGCCTTGCATCTTAAATTAAAGACTGAAGAATAAAAACTAAATGGAAGAAGTTATACTGGGAGGGGAAATTCAGGAAAAGGTAAAATAGTTGAAAAATAAAGAAGAAAATATCTTGAGTACAGCAAGTTGAAAATGGAATACATAGAGAAAATGGCAGCAAGGAAGAAAGGGGTTCCAGAACTGAAAACACTAAGAAATGTGCCAAGGTCATGGTGTTACACAGAAGGTCCTGCAAAAATTACCCTCCCACAGATGGAATAAAGAGGCATAGAAGTTCAGAAGAAAAAATATAAATATATACATTACTCTCCTTAATCTTTCAGTTTTTCCACTTGCCTTTATGAGATTTGTGGCATTTTTTGCTAGATATTTATGTAAAAGCTGTGGGCCATGCGAGGCAGCAGTTTCCAGAGCTCGGGTCCACTGCCCAGCCTCAACATACATATCTAAGGCTCCAGTCAAGTCCACATCAGCAAGAGCTTCAGCTTTTCCCTCATTCTTTAAGAAGTCTTTATATGCAGAATCAACATAGGATTCATACCTTAAAAAGAAACAGAAAATCAGAGGAATACATTAGTTATGTCAAGGTTATGGCTGACAAGGCAGAGGCATTAAATGACAACGTGATAATAAAAACGCTAAGATTAAGGTCAATCTAAAGATTAATGGTAGGGAATATTTATACATGAAATATCTCAATGCAGGAATACAGTGGGGGGAGCGGGAGGTGAGGTGATACGTTTGACAGTTGGCGGCCAAGGTCTAATGTGTGTTTATTTATCAGTCCTTAAGTGACTAAGCTTCTCTCTTATAAAATGCCAGTGAAATGACCTGGGAGAATATAATTTACATTGCTGGGATTCTTGTAAGATAGTGATTAATTTGAACATAAACAAGCTATAATTTGCACTAGACATAACAATTTTAGTACCATAATCAGTTTAGTACATGTACACTACGGGTTTGCACTTAGGTCATTTATTTATTTTATATTTCTTTTAGTGTGGTGTGTGCATGTAAATGAATGAAAATAAATGAAAAAATGTATGTAAATCTACCCAAAAATACAGTTGAAAAACTTAACATTATAAAATGTAGTACCGTACTGTACACTAATGTACTAAAAATTTTATCTCTTGTGCAAAATATATGACATTTTTATTCAAATTATTCGCTGTCTTGCTAGGATCCCAGCAATGCAAAATATATTCTCCTAACTTTAGTCTGTGATATTATATAAGATAAAAACTTAAAGCCTAATGTATACAGTAACCACCAAACCCTTGCTGGGAGTGGGGGTGACAGTGACATGTTTGACAGTTAGCGCATAAGGTCTAGTGAAGAATTTATTTGTCCTTTAGATTGAGTTTTTGTTTTGTTCTTAAAAAATTTCATAGAAGTGACCGGGGAGAATATAATTTACATTGCTGAAATTCTTATAAGATAGTGATTAATTTGAATGTAAACATGCAATAGTTTGCACTAGACTAAAATTGTAGTAATCATTTTGTACATTATTTTGATTACATGTACAGTACAGCTATTTTTAGATTCGCCCCACTCATTTTATAGATTAGATAAAACTTTTATTTCCTAGGTTTATATACTGTATTAACATAAGTACCAGCACAATACCACACTACATTGTATACATGTAAATCCAAAGCTATAACTTACCGAGGTTCTAATTCTCTTGCTACTTTCTTTGCCTTGCTCCATTCCTGTCCTTTAATGAATGCATCGATGGCCTCCTTTATTAGATCACCAGCAAGAAACAGCTGTGCAGCAGCTAAATAACGCTTGATTTCTAATAATCGGGGACCTGCGATATGGAGTTAGTTGATCAATAAATGCTCTTTTAAAATATAAATAATATAGTGATATCTCTATTAACCAGAACAATTGGTGCAAAGCACTTCCAGGAATGAGAGATTTCCCCGTAACGAGACGGGAATTTTCCAGGTACTGGTTAAATTTTCTTTAAGTTCCAGAAAATTCCGGCTTTGGGAACGATTTGTCAAAAAAATTTCAATTCCAGCTATCAGAGAGTTCCGGTTAAGAGGGATTCTGGCTAACAGAGATATTACACTACTACATATACCATACATTTTGAATTACAATATTTGATGTCAGAATATCATGTACTGTACTGTATATGAACATTTAACGAGCGTTAACCCTTTTTAAAGAGGTAAAGGTGTGGAGATACAAGTTAGAATGGCATAATTTAAATAAATAGAGGTTTTGAAAATATGTAACTACAGTATTATATATATAAAATGAGGAACAAAACTTCAATGTAGCAAAAGTAGATCACCTCCTGATGTAAGGATAGAGCAAAAGGGAATTGTATTGATTTTAGACATATGATTCAAGCTGAAATTGAAGCATAAAGTTGCCAAAGTTTATTGAAGATTCTTTTCATGACAACTGCATCAACTGAAATGATGGTTAAATATCCAAATGCTGCATACACAGGTCTATATATATATGAAGAAAAAAACAACAACAACAGAAATTAAAATACAGCAAATCAAAAACATGATAACAGATATAAAATAATATGAGGAACCATATACTAACCAAGTAATCGGGATACATCATTAGCTTTCTCATTTGGTAGAAACTTGACTGCCAATTCTCCAGCCTTGCTCCATGCTTTTTCCAACAGCATCACATCATTGGTCATGTTTGGTGTCACCTGAATCAAGAAATTCTTTCAGTTGTTAAACCTATGTATATGCATTACAGAATATGAATATCCTGTATACTGTATAGTAACATATTTTTCTACAACCTAAACACTTAAAAGCTAAATGAAATAAATAAGATACTCCTCTTCTATTTTGTTTACACAATGGAAATTGGCTGAAATGAGAGTTCTTACAGAGCTATTATCTAACTCAGGGTCATTTAAAAGGGCACTCTTAATTTTTTAAATCAAGGCAGAGCAATAAAGACTATGAATAACAGCAGAGGGACCCGAGTGATAAATTAGCGTGAAAACACTACCTAGCACTTGGTATTAAATGTAAGGAAAATATAAGGAAAAATAATTCATTTTATAGACTAAAAGGTAATAAAATCTGTTTATTTTTTTTAATAAAAACATACCAAAAAAAGCAATATGGTACAATACAGTACAGGTTGTACCTCTCTAGTCCGGCAACCTCGGGACCTGACCGGTGCCGGACCATGGAAATTCACCCTTTTCCTGGATAGATAGTGACTTGTGCTTATGCCTGGAAGCACTAGCACCACTTTCTCTGCGTCATGGTCTCTTTGAAGACATATTGAAGGGTTAAATGTCGTATAGAGCTTCTCAAATTTCGCGAGTTTTTAATTCTTAACGTATTTTATTGGAACACAAAAAAAAAAATAAAAATTTTGACGGCGGAAACTTGAATTTCGACGGGTTTGAACGGCCCGCCAACGTGCAGACGACGTGCATAATCGTGTAAACAGCGTCATTTCTCTTATGTACAAAAGATTCATTATTGTTTATTACTGAATGTCTTTTTTATTGAATTAATGTTTATGTGTGCAAAATGAGCAATACAATTCATTAATAATACGTAGAATATTAAAACACACAAGGAAATGACACAGCATTGTTTTCGTTGATTACAAAACCAGTGACTGACTGGTTCTACATATAAAACTGAAGAAAATAAGACCTTGGTTGTAGCTGTAGTAAAATTAATGTGGTTGTTTTAAGTAATGTTATTTAATGTTAATAAATGGAACAATAGAAGTAGCTAACGATAATGGTAAAGAAAAAGAGAGATCGCATATGTAAGTGCGCATGCGCACACGTGAAAACATATCATCATTACTTTACATAAGAATATGAAAGCAACACTTATTTACTGTTCATATATATTTTAATTAATGTTTCTGAATTTGTTTTTATTGAATTAATGTACGTGTGTGCAAAATTAACAATACAATTTATTATTAATACGTGGAATATTAGAGGAGACGAGACGGCTGCCGGCATTGTTTATGTTAAAGCTTACAAAACCAGTGACTGATTGGTTCTACACATAAAACTGAAGAAAATAAGACCCTGAGTTTAGCTGTAGTAAAATTAATGTAAAAAATGAATATGGTTGCTTGAAGTACCTGTAATGTTATTTAATGTTAATAAATGGAACAATATAAGTAGCTAACCATTAATGGTAAAAAAAAAAGTGAGACTGCTCGTATGTAAGTGCGCACATGTGAAAATATATCGTCATTACTCTACATAAGAATATGAAAGCAACACTTATTTACTGCTCATATATATTGAAGGGTTAAATGTTGTACTCTGTATAGACAAGCAGAGAGAGAGAGAGCAGCCGAACTGCCGGATGTAAACAAACCTTAATTTCCCGCGGCTTTTTTTTTAAGGGGATTAGCCCACCCGGGCATAGGTCACTGAACCCACATTGGGGCCTGAGGGGCAAAAATTTAATACTCCTGTAATAATAATAATAATTCAGATAAGTAAAAAAAAAAAAACTGCCTATCTACCTATTGGACAAACTAAAATCGTTCCGGACCACGGGAGTTTCCGGACCACAGAATGCCGGACTAGAGAGGTACAACCTGTATATATTTTTTTAAATGTCAGTAAATGAGCAGTTTAGTGGTGGCTAGCAACTTCCTTAGCCTGTAGCAGTAAGCCTACATTATACAGTTTGTTAGCAGTACAGTACAGTAGGGTCAGGATATATAGCAACTTTATATAACGATTTTTTTATATCGTGGCTACCAAAATTATCGATATTTTCCTATATACAGGGTATAGAGATAATTTTTTTTTTTTTTTCGCAAGGGAAATCGGTCAGGAAATATTTCAAATTTATCACTACTACCAAAATTATCGAAATTTTCCAATATATAGAGATAAATTTATTTACAGTAGACTCACAACTTATGTGGGGTTATGTTCCTGGGACCTCACATAAAGCCAAAAACCGTATTAAGTCAGAAACACTCCTAAAAATCCCCTAAATTGACCCAAAAATATGAGTTGAAATTTTTTTTCTCTTGTGCAAAATATATGATGTCTCTATTCATATTATTCGCTGTTTTGCAAGGATTCCAGCAATGCAAGTTATAGTCTGCCAACTTTAATCTGTGACATTTTATAAGATAAAAACTTTAAGCCTAAAACCACTTTCAATCTTGCCAGAAGTGGAGGGGGAGGTGATGTATTATGACAGCTGGGCCGGAGCACAGACAACGGTTACCTAATGGTATTTATTTATCTCATATAGGGGGAGTTTACATTTTCTCTTATAAAATGTCAATGAATTGACTTGAGAGAATATAATTTACATTGATGGAATTCTTGCAAGATAGTGATTAATTTGAATATAAACATGCTATAGTTAGCAATAGACAAAATTTTTAGTACTAATTAGTACATTTTAGTCCTACATAATTAGTACATTTTAGTACAAAGACCTAAAATTGTTATCCCTTGTGCAAAATATATGATGAATATATTCAAATTATTCGCTGTCTTGCAAGGATTTCAGCAATGCAACTTATATTCTGCTAACTTTAGACTGTGCCATTTTATATAAAGTTTAGTCACTTTTATTGGCCTCCAGAACCTAACCCTATTTTCCCCATTGATGCCTGGGAAGATATTGGAAACATAATGTGTTGTCTAATGGGAGACCCTGCTGCTATATGGCATTGCAAAAATTTTGACCAAGTCCCAGGTTGCTGATCTGACTTTCTGCCTCATTTACGCACAATTGCGGGGTCTCAATTGTTTCTCTTGCTATTGACAACACAACATACATATACACTGTTTACCTACACACAAAAAAAACATCCAATTTATTCCAACCTTCATGTAACAGTCCACTGCTCGAGCATATTCTCCAGATTCTTCCCACTGACGTCCTTGGTTCATAAGACTGTTTGCATCTTGTGATCCTCGACTAAGCACTGTTCTATCATATTCATCTTGAAGTGCACTGAGCTTATGTGGAAGATATTCTTTACACACTCTTAATGCTTCAGTCCACTGGTTGCTATCCTGTACAGACAATTAATACTGTATAAGGATTCAAAATATACAAAACACATTTGATACTTTTCATGAAATTTGAATGACAATACTACACATGGGAGAGGTTTTCCATTGACACTTCAGTACAAGTTAAGTTTTAAGGAGTAGTGAAAAAATAACTAGTGATGTAACAGGAAAATTAATTTGGAAACTTACTCAATGGTACAGTATCATCTATTGAAATTAACTTTTATGTATTCACAAATTGCATACTGGAACTTTTCCACAAACTGGGCTGCTTTAACCTTAAATTCTCCAATAACTGGATTTTGAGGGCCACAAGAGTAAGAGACCCACCTAGAGTTTTTGAGAACCTTAAACTCAAGGATGTAACTGACTTTAAAAAGGTATAATATAGACACTCCCCAGGTTATGGATTTCCGACTTTACAGATACTCTCCCATAAGTCCTATTTAAAATGAGTGCCAAGCATTTCCCGGACTGAGCAGGGTTATTTCCAACCATATCCCACCTGTGACTGAGCTCAATATTATGTTATGGTTATTATTTAACTCGTAATTTTGGGTAGATACAGTATATGGAATTTTTTAATTTATTTTACTCAACTACATACACACATAATCATAAATACAGAAAGTACAAAAATAAATAAAATAAATAATTATTATAGGCGAATGTGTGTGGAGGTCAGACGTGCCATAGCACAGCACTTCTTTTTTATTATTTATTGGGCACTCCCCTACATCCTTGTGTCAGGTGAAGCGCAGAAGTGTTTACAGCGCCCAACAGGGAAGCATGCCAAGTTCATGCTTGCCTGTATGTCTCATGAGTTAAGGGCGTAGAAGCCTGAAGAGTCAATGGTTTATGTCATCAAGTTATTGGAAGCTCCAACAACTCCCTGAATACGAATTCCCAACTTTTGATTTACAACAGGTACCTACTTTATGGCTAGGTGAACAAGGACTAATGGGGGCTAGGAAGTAAGTCCAAACAACTTCCACCGGCCCGGGATTCGAACCCGTGACATCTCGCTTGCGAGGCAAGAGCAGTACCGCTTCTACCACCAGCGCCCCCATAGCACAGCACTGTTGCTACGGACATTACTGCATTGTTGGGTGAGCACCAGGGGCGACTACAAAACTCATTTTTCTATTTACTTACATACACATTGATTCTTACATACAGAAAGTGAAAAATAAAAAATAAAAGAAATACAGTACAATTCATTTTATCTGAACCTTCCAGGTACTGTATCTGAACTTTTGTCCCATTTGGTCACGTTCAGTTAACATTCTAATTTAGTCCAACAATCTGAACCCAACCAAAGTCAGTCATTCATTCATATGTCTACTACCATCAGAGGCACTGTAACCACTTTGTTTACAAGCGTGCCAGGATTTTTGGTAGGTGGAAGGTGTTGGGCTCTAATTTCATGCTATGATAAACAATAAAACTGATACAATAGCACATACTTTATGTAAAAAAAAAAGAGCTCCTTCCACACTCAAACCATCCTCTGGGTGACATAACACAGTTCACCCGGGCAGTCACCCAGCTGACTGTGTGTGCATATAACAGTAAAAAAAATAAAAATAAAAATACATATGTCTACTTGAAATTTCAAGCTGAAAAATAAACACTCTGAGTGATAACTCTGACTCTTCAGAGTCTCAGGAAAGGAACCTATTTTTCCCCATAAGTTGTTAGTATTGATATACGATCAATCACCTCATGATGGCTCTTTGAAGTACCCTAACCTCATCGTGTAATGGTCAACACCTGGACAGTACTGAACTATGTGAAATGATAATGCATTTGATTGTAAGAGGGCATGTAGATGCATGAATTTCACTCCCAATGTATAACATGTGATATGAGATCTTGCTAGACAAATAGCAGCACTGCAACCCTAGGGTCACATTGAAAGTTTATGAACCCCTGATCTACATATACAGACAAGTAAAAAAATAAAAACAAAAAAAGTACCATATACCCGGTAGACATCATTAATAGTTTACAATTTTCTCTAGTTACGTACACACACACACACACACACACCAATTATTTATATTTTTGCAGTGTTAGTACTCCTTATCAAGTATACAGTATTTTAATTATGGTAATGTTTTCACTGTACAGTTTTCTTTAATTCATTCTTGATTTTTGTGACTTACCCTGTAAAACTTTACTGCTAACTCTGGCCTCTGAGCCCTGAGCAGAAGTGCCTCTGCCCGAGGGTAATCCCTGTCTGAGAAGGCCACCTTGGCTTGGCCCACCAGAACATCACCAACAGAATCTGGGTCATGAGCCTCAGCAACTCTTTGTGCACTCTCCCAGTCTTGTGCATGGACATACCTGACAGAGAAGAAATGTCACAATTATGTTAACAAAGAGTAGTCACTTCCTTTTACTATTATGGTACTGTATATAAAATTTCACCTCACAGCAGTCAGTCAGTTTACCAGGAACAAAAGTAACAGATTTGATAAACAAAGTAGAAGCCTTTTGTGTAAAGCACAAGGGGTCTTGGCACGATTGGGAAAAACTTCTGGGTCTGTTGAATTTTGCCACAATAGTGGTTCCATTGGGAAAGTTAAGGAAAAAGCAACTATCTCATCTGGGCTTGAAGTTGCTTCACAGAAACAGAAATGTTGCTTCTTCTCTCCCTATTCAGATAAAGAATCATCTGTTATGGTGGACAAAGTTGGACAATCTAATCGGTCCCTCTCCCTGGGTTCCGCGTCAAACAGGTTTGGTCGCTTGTACGGATGCGTCCAAAATAGGATGGGGATACCATTCTTCAAAAGTGAAATTCAGTCAAGGGAAGTGGAGCAACTTCCTTTGAGACAAACACATAAATATAAAAGAATTAGCAGTGGTCCTATTCTTTTTGTTGGCAAACCCAAATTTAAAAAATATGACGATCCTGTTTGCCATGGACAACAAAACGGCAGTGTTTTGTCTCAATCATCAAAGATCAACAAGGTCTTGGCCCCTTCTACAACTGTCAGAAAATTTTTTCAGTATGTGTGTAGCACAAACACTACCTCAAAGCAACTTATATACCGGGAGTACGTACAAAACAATTGGGCAGGTGCGCTGTCCCGTCTCCGGCCAGTATCGACAAAAACAGAATGGTCCCTAAAGGTTTCGGAGTTCAAGAGTCTAGTGAAGAAGTTTGGAACTCCACAGATATATCTTTTTGCCTCCCTAAAAAATCACAATATGCCACTTTATGCATCTCTGGAGGGGTCGAATCTTTTAGGAAATGCCCTACTCTTAGATTGGAACCTTTGGAATTCAATCTATCTGTTCCCACCTGTGAAAATATTGCCCAAAGTGGTTCACAACTCAAATCCTTCCGAGGCAAGGTCTTCTTAATTGCACCGTATTGGATCCTACAACCTTGGTGCCTGGATCTGCTGGACTGGTGCCCGAATCCGCTACAATTGCAACAAGGATGTCTAGACCAGGTACTACATTCTCAGTTCGAGATATCCTTGGCACTTCACGCTTGGGGTTTCTCAAAAAAAAGTTTAAATAGGTTGTTGGGTAATCCCAATATAGTTAACCAAGTATTAGCAGGTCATAGACCCCAAACTTCTATTCAATATGAGAAAGCTTGGAATCTTTTTCAACAATTTATCAAGTTAACAACTCCAGAATCATTATCGGAAACAGTTGTGTTAGAATTTTATGAATTTTTGTTCAGAGTTAAAGGCTTTCAAGGATCGACAATTGCATCTTATAAATCAGCATTGGTTGACCCTCTGGCTTGGGGTTTTAATATTACTTTGAACCCAAGGATTTATCAAATGCTAAGATCATCCTTTTTCATTCAGAGACCTCCTCGCCCCAAGAGAATCCCACCATGGTCTCTGGAAAAAGTTACTAAACTCCTTATGGGGCCGAATTACAATATAAATCTGAACAGGGATAAATTACTCCAGAAGGCAGTTTTCCTTCTAAGAATAGCAATGGGTATGAGAATCAGTGAAATGATTTCAATTTCCAATAATCCATCATAATGTAGCTAGGGGAAAAAATTTGAACCTAATCTAGTGAAGAAAATGTCTGATTTTTGAGAATCTCCAGTTTTCTGAGATCTGGCTTTGAGGATCTATATGTGTAGCAATAGCATGACTGCAAAATTTTATACAACACTGTACAGAAATTAACTTCAAACGATAAAAAAAAGGTAAGGCCACTTACATCAATACAGCTTCCTTAGGTTTGACAGCTTGGATAAACTCTGATTCTGCTTCACCATATTTTCCATCATCTTCCAGAGCCATGGCACATTTGTAGTGAATATCAGGTACCTTGTTTTTCATGGCAATACGTGCTAACTCAAAGGCAAATTCGAACTGTCATGGATAAAATTAATTATATTTTTACATACTGTACACACGATCAAAAGATTATCTGTGCACATTGGATCCGATGATTTCCTAAATGATCAATACAGTGGTCCCTCGGTTAACTAATACAATTCGTTCCACAGAGTCGTTCGTTAACCGAATCCATTGTTTCAATGGGATACCTGTACAGTGACCCCTCGTTTAACGAACACCTCGGTTAATGTAATTTCGATTAACGAACTGCCTTCCATAAGGATCTTCAATTCGGTTAACGAAGTTCTTACGAACCGACCTCAACATGTTTTCGCTTGCACTGACCGGGCAACCAGCTTTAGTATCAGTCCGCCAATACATTAATCGGTTCTAGGGCTTAAATTCCTTACTATTTTAGTAAATATCAAGAAGTTTATACTATTCAATAATTTTAAAAGTTTAATATTCAATTTTTTAGCCATTTTAACAATTATTGAACATAATTGAAGGTAAAGTGACTAGTTTAATGCTCGGCATCCAGCCTCTTAACACAGCAAACAGGAGTTAGTCTCTCTCTGTTTTCACTGGAGGTAACATCTTGCTTGAGACTCTCTTCAACTAAACGCTTTTTTCTGTGTTTCCAAGCAAATTATTGGTCATTTTGAAATATATTTTACATATTGACAATATATAATGCAGTGCAGTGTTGATTTAAAGAAAATAATCTTGAATTACACCAAGAGAGCTAAAATTTTATGGGTGAAATGGCGCCATGGGGTGACTTCTCTTCCACCCCAATGCCTTCTCTTCTTCCTTCTCCTCCACCCCCATTCTAAATCCCATCATCATCATCATCATCCAGGAGCCTTCTACATACACACCTCAAAGTAAGTGAACTTTTTTACCATTTTTGTTGAATTTAGGAAATTTTCGGTGAGCTGGAACCAATTACCCAAAAACCCATTGAAACAATGGTTTCGGTTAACGAACTTTTCGGTTAACGAACGACCTTCTGGAACGGATTGAGTTCATTAACGGAGGGGTCACTGTATTGGGTAATTGGTTCCAGCTCACAGAAAAGTACATACAAAGTAAAAAAAAATGCAGTAAAGTACACTTACTTTGAGGTGTGTATGTGGAAGATTCCTGGTTGATGATGATGATGGGAATTAGAAATAGGGGTGGAGGAGAAGGGAGAAGAGAAGGAAGTGGGGATGGAAGAGAAATCACCTTTCAGGGGACCCATGCTTGATGCAGTAATTTCACTAATACAATTTTAAGTTTACTAGGTGTAGTTCAAGGTTATTTTATTTAAATCAACACTGCATTTACTTTTACTTTTATCCTCTTCACCACTGATTGGCTAGTTAGCAGCTTGGGCGATCTGTCACGTCTCTGATTACTTTTCCTTTTCTTTTATCCTTTTCACCAAATGATTGGCTCGTTAGCCGCTTGGGCGATCGGTCATGTCTCTGTTACGCACTGTTGGCAAGTACTGGGCATGCACCAGCTTCTAAATGTACCTGAACTCACTCCAGTGTTGGTCAAGTCTTCCCTTGAAAGAGCTCACACTCGGTGCCGTCACAACACTTTCTAGTACAGTGGGGTATGCTATAACGAACGTAATTGGTTCCAGAACGTTATAGCATTCGTTCGTTATAGGATTAATCCGTTCCAGGCCCCCAAATACAACCACTTAACACTGAAAAAATTCTGTGGAAAATGTAAAAAATACGGTACTTTATCTTACCTTAGTGTTATTCAGCATGCAGGTACCCCTAAACACTGGCACATCACTATCACTTCCACTGGGAGTCTTGGCTTTAAGGTCCTCAAACAATTGTTTAGCCTTCTCACAAATTATAGCTTCACTAATGTTACCACCTGCCATTTCTTTCTCCTTTATCCACACTAAGAGTAAATTTTCCATCTCTTCAATCACATTACACTTTGCTTTGCTAAGTCTAAAGATTCCCTTAGCCACTTGCACAGTTTTTAACTCCTCTTTATTCTTCAAAATCGTACATATAGTCGATTTAGCCATCCCATATTCATCACTAAGTTTCGCAATGCTTCTTCCATTCTCACGTTTCTTTACAATTTCTTTCTTAGTTTCAAGGGTTATTAGCTTTCTCACTCGCTTTGGACGACTCATTGTTACAATTGTATACTTGTATAACAAAATAGTTATACAAATAACGCGAATTTCCACATCAAAAGACGAAATTTCAACAATAACAGTGGTGCACTGGCTACACAATGAGACAAAGATGGCGCCTGACGCTCTTGTTGTGGGTCGCGGTACAACAATATTCATGCGCCAGGCGAAATAGTCCCGTATTCATCCGCGTTCGATGTAGGAGTTGCGTTCGTTATAGCATTCTCAATTTTATAGGTAAAACCGTTCGTTATAGGAATATTCGTAGTAGGATCCGTTCGTTATAGCATACCCCACTGTGTGTGTGTTTGTTTCTCACTATATATATATATATATATATATATATTATGGACTTGCGGCTTCTTCAATCTTGAGCTGTGACCCTTTGTGGGGCGAGTACTACGGTATATATTTTCAATATGTTAACTAAATTTCAGAACAACCAATAATTTTAATGTAAAAATGCAAAAATATTCAAGACACCAACAAAATTGATGTTCACCCCACTGTCAACAAAGCCGAACTGACGCCTGGTGGCATAGTCAAGCGGCTGATGGGAGCAAAAAAAACTAGTTCTCTGTACTGCATATATTATCAATATGTTAACTGAATTTTAAAATGACTAATAATTTTAATATAAAACATGCAAAAATATTAAAGAGCACAACTTTCTTGATATTTACTCCACTGGAAACGAATGTAAACATCGAACAGATTACTGAATTGGCAGACTAGCCCATCAGCTGATCAGCCAATGCTCACAACAAAATGTGTTGTTCGTAAGGATTTCGTTAATCGAAGTTTTGTTCGTTAACCGAATTGAAGATCCTTATGGGATGTAATTCGTTAACCGAAATTTTTTTAATCGAACCGTTCGTAAACCGAGGGACCACTGTACACCTATGTCACAATGTAACCACCAACGTGAACTACGCTACACATTGTTCGTAAGATTAATCCTTCTGAATGTGCATACAGTATAATAATGATATGGATAAAACAGAAAATGTTGCTCACAAACGATATATGACATTTTGCAATATCCACTGTCTGTGAAGTCAGAATGTTTTGTGCGAAATGTGCCTTGAGGCTCTCCCTAACACTGGTGCTCCTCCTAGCAATGCAAATATGCATATTGTACTGTATAAAGTTTTTATACACTACGTACAAGATAATCACAAGCAATTCGGTGTATATGAACAATAAGTAATACAGGGGGCCCCCAAATTCGTGGGGGTTAGGTTCTCAAAATAGCCACAAATAACATTTGCTGACTGGGGGGGGGCATTTTTACTTGTGTACAAAGAAATGTATACTGTATTCCCTTTATGTGTTTGCCCTTAGGCCAATTATTTCTTTCTTTTACCTGTATTGTATATACAGTATGTGTATGTGTGTAGACACACACACACACACACACAAAATACATACAAATAAATAATAATGGGAAAATACTCTAACAAATAATAATTTTTTTTTTATAAAAAATGTGACAGTCTGCCCTTAAGTCCATATTGTATTGTACATGTGTGTGTGTGTGTAGACACACACACACACACACACACAAAACACATACAAATAAATAATAATGGGTAAATACTCTCACAAATAATCAAAAACAAATTTATTAAAAATGTGACAGTCTACCCTCAAGTCCATGCTTTATTTATGAAAGCACATACTTGAGGGTAGACTGTCACATTTTTAATAAATTTGTTTCTGATTGTATATATGTATACCCTGTATAGGTAAAGGAAATTGCTATCTCTAGAACGAATGGCTCCCTGTCCTAGCCGAAAAATGTCGGCAACTTTAAAACTACCCACAGACAATCTTGAGGTACATCCAGAGTGTCATCCGCGAATAACAGAGGACCGTGAAATAAAAATCTGCGAATTTGGGGGGCCCCCTGTAACTCCATTAGCTGGAATCCCTCAAACCTGGAACTCTCCGATAGCTGAAATTGACATTTTCAGAGGGGCACATTTTCTGGAAAATTCTGAGAAAATTTTCCGGGTACCTGGGAAATTCAGGAAAATTCCAGGGATGGGGGATTTTTATTCCGGGTTTGCAAGTTGAAAATCAGAGGCATTTTCCGTTACCTGGAAAATTCCGGAGATGGGGAATATTTTTCAAGGCTCGAGAGATAATATAATGCGCAATTTCTGGATCTTACGAGAATATTTTTTCATTACCTTGAAAATTCCAGAAAATTCCGGGAATGAGGGATTTTTTCCGGCTTTGAGAAATGAAATAATGCATCATTCTGGAACTTCCAAGAACATTTTTCCGTTACCCGGAAAATTCCGTGGATGGGGGGATTTTTTTCCAGCTTTAAGAGAGCTGGTCTCGTTACCCGGAAATCTCTCATTCCCGGAAGTGCAAACACCAATTGTTTCGGCTAATGGAGATACTATCATTGTACAGTATTTCCCTAAGACCATTTTTTTTATTTTTTTGACAAAAGATCATACTTGAAAGGTCAGAAAACATACCAGAGCATGCTTGTACAGCATCTACTTCATACATCTGGTAGCAGGACTTCTCAGTTATCACAAACATGCACACACATGAATGTAAAATGTCTTTGTGATTATTTTTCCAATTTTTTCAGTTTTATTAGACTGGTTTATTTTTGTACCTTTATTGATGATTATATTATACTGTAATGAAAAAGTTTGAAGTCATAGAAAACTAGCATCTTCAGAACATAGAAAATACAGTTATCCACACAGTCCTGATCCAGTTTTATAATTTTTGTACAGTACTACAAAACCAAAGAAGATAGAAATATGCAGGTTTTTTGCATCTTGTTCCTTAGGGGCCATTCACAATCTTTAACACTTTCATGAATGTACAAACTGTACACTGGGGAAAGGAGTTAGCACCGACGTACACTTTTAGAAATGCAAAATAATTAATCTTTATCTTCCTGCCAATTTCCTAGTATTAAATTAATTTTTTTATTTGAGTGTGAATAGTTACTTCCTTATCTCTAGGTTTTTGATACAATACAGTACATTGTAAAAAACATAAAAATTTCTTTGTATACTTTGTATGCTTGTGAAAATGTTGATAATTGTCAGTGGCCCCTTAACTGAAGAACTTTTTTCTTGATATATAATTTGTAATCTTAAAACCAGTTGCTAATGATAAAAGCATGATGATGGCAACTACACAGGAGAAAGCTTAATAGATCATCAGATTTGGGACCAGATGACACTGGAGATTGATAGTGCATAACTTCCTTGACAGATGGATTGAACATATTGGACCCATCTCCTGATATTATGCCCATAGACTTTTTCTTGTGAGGGGTATGTCAAGGATTGTGTCTTCCAGTCTCCTGTTACTGACATTGAAATATGTTGTACACTGATGAATGATGGTATCAGAGGAGTGATGAAGGATATATTGGCCAACACCTCCATTATTCTATCTCTTTTGGTTTTGCTATAATTAAATTTTTATATCGGAACAGAACTTTGTGGACACCCTGTATTATCCACCCTAAGGATGTTAAGTTATGTCTATTGTCAGGAGAGTAAAAAGCCATATAGCATAAAATATGAAAGATGAAAATAAACAAATTGATCTAAAGAGCTTCAAGAAGTAAGAGGACCTGGGTGTGATACATCATAACAAATTGTCATTTGAGTAACATATACATGATGAAGTAACTAACCTGATCCAGAAAACATCTCTTTGTGCTGGACTATAAATCTCCTATGGTGGCAGTGGAAACCAACAGATACTTAACATAATAAGTGAATACTCAAAACTGCAGTTGGTAAACTGTATTTATATACATATGTAAAATAATGTAGAAACAAAGGTATCCAAATACTAACCTGCATGCTTTCACAAGCATAGTCAATACACTGTTCAAGTAGTCCAAATTTATTGAGCAGTTTCACAGCAGCATCACCTCGAAGAGTCCTTGCCCACAAGAATGCCACTTGTTTTCCAGCATTGGCTCCTCCCTCTTGTTTGGCTACCTGTTTATTATGACATATCAGAGAATATGAACATTTCATTTGATCAAAATATAACAACCTCCAATGCTATTTTTTGCAAGTCTTTCCCCATTTAACACTCTCAGGATCATGCACACAAGTGGCGTTTTGATTTTATGTAAATGAAACTTTTGCCTCGTGATCAGACATGCCAGTATAGCTTTTTTTCAGTTTCTCTAAAAGTTTCTGGTCGAATTACTACAAATTTTAATGCCACTTTTGTCATGCCACTCTCTTATGTGGAACCAAGTCTTAAGGCTAAGTGGCAACCCACCTAGGTCCGGTGGACCATGCGGTACCAGATAACAAATGCCAGTAATGCCACTGCCTCAGTAAGCAGTGAATGTATCGGTCCCAGGCATGATTTAAAAATGGCCACTCTGGCCTAGCTTGGTAAAATAATAAGTGACAGTGAAATGTAGTGCAGTAGAGGTATGTGATTGGGTGTGGTGAATTTAATGAATATTGTGCTTATTTGATAAGTATTCATAATGCCATTGTCATTCATGTGCCAGATAGCCACAGCTGCAGTTACTGGTGCGGTGGTGGCGGTGGCTGATGCCCACCTGTCTCACCAGCAGCTACTACGCGTTGATGTGTCCCGCCCAGTTATGGCCATAGCAGACACCGGCGCCCAGGTGTATGTGGCCAGTCCCACCCTAATGTCATCACTGGGTCTCCGGCCTCTGCTGTTACAGTGTCAGGCTGGCTTATGTGACCTGGCAAACATCCCGCTGGCCACCCTGGGTTCTGCGCCTTGTCGCATCAGCCTCCCCAACCGATCTACTCTCCAGGACGTGCACTTTGTCAAGTCTGTCAAGCACCTGTACCTATCACTCACCGCCTGTAAGGACCTCGGCTTGGTGCATGTGGACTTTCCGCTCCCACCCCCCTCCATTGCTGCAACGGGGGCGGCAGATGGGGGTGACACGTAAAGTGAGGGTTCACTGTACAATATATGCAAATGGCAACTGTGTTAAACTTTCATTTGGCTTTTATTTACTGATTTGGCAATAGAATATTTTTTGTTGTAATTTATTTATTGGTATTATTTTTATTTATTCCTCATATTTACTGGCGGTGCATATATTGTTTTAAGAAAACTACGGATACAGGAGGAAAAGACATAAAAAGTTTTTTCCTAAATACTCCCTGCTAAAATGGGGTGGTGCGTCTTAAAGAGCCGTGCATCTAATATGCCGTAAAATACAGTACTTCTCTTTACATTCTGGTATTTATGGGGTAATGAATAGCGGTATAGGCAAAGATAGAATATACTTACTCTATATGCATCTTCCCACATATCCACACCACGATACATGTTCACTGCGGCCTTCCAATCGTCGGCAGCTATATAGTGCTTCTCTGCGTCATGATAGTTACTCTCTTGTTCCAGTTGGCCAGCTAAGTGAAGGTGCGTAGACTGTACCAAATCTGTATGATACTCCTTCACTAACCGCATCATCTGGAGGTGTATAAGTTGTCATTATTTCTACATTTCTGGTTTTATCATCCTCATTTCAACAATATAAATCTGCCAATCAGATGGATATTGGCTTACACTTTGGAGCTTGTCTGTCTCTTATCTCTTAAACATAAAATTTCCATTTATAATACAAATTTTCCATGAGGTATCAGTGGTAACATCAAACCTAAAAAATTAAATTAATTTTGCTATAAGACAAAATTATATTGTCAGAAAGACTCAAAGAGAATAATGGCTAAAGCAACAGTCACTGACCTGATCAAACTGGCGCTGCTTCTTATACATAGTAATGGCAAGGTCTGGTTCATGGACAGAGATGTACAGTTTTTCAGCTTCTTTAAATTTGCCTTGGCTTTCTAACACCTGTGCTTGTTTTACATACATAACAGTTACCTTGTCAGCACCCATGTATTTACTTGCAAGTTGATGGGCACGTTCCCATTCACCTAAGGAATGAACATATGACCCAATTAGTGATATAGTATTAAACTGATGACTGGATATTATGGACAGTGGCAATAAATTTTGTCAAAACCAGATACACTACTACCTGATTAGAGATAAATTTCACTGAAAAATATACTATGTGAGCTATGTGATATTAATGCTGTGAAACATCCAGTACTGTAATATGCAATTTTTGGACAGATTCAAGTAGGTATAATTAGGGTTGGTACATCTGTTGCAATTCATTTTATTGGAAAAGTTTTTTCAGGGTAGCTGAGCAGGTGTTGATTCAAATTCTTAGAACTCAACACCGAGTAGTTTACCCATTTTGGCAGGATGCTAGTTTACCAAGGGCTTGTTATGCTTGTGGAAAGTGGAACCAATGGTCTACTCATTTAATGATGTGTATGCATGCAATGGTTAGTGTACAACGATGGACATAGTCAGGCCGATAAATAATTTTCAGATACAGTATATGAACCAATATCAGTCTGTAATTCAAAATTTTCACTTGACTTAGTTGCAATTAACTACAATACTGGTCTTACAGAAAGGTAAACCTTATATCCTGATATACTGTTGACTATCTCTATTCTTAATACACATACTGTACTTACTACCTGCAACCTGGACTACTGAAGAGCCAAGGTAATGGTGATTAGTGCTGTTTGTATGTGATGTAACTTAAAAATTTAATTGGAAAATTTCTTTGGTAAAATTGCAATAAAAGCAGGTACAGTTATGCTCTCGATTTAAAGAATCTGATATAACGAACACTCGATTTAGCGGAAGGCATTTTTCGCTAGATTAAGTGAACTAGTAACTAAGAGCAGAGACGTTACCGAGAACAAATTCTGGCTTGAATGTCATGTACACTAATACTGACACATTCCTTGATAAGAGAGAGGAGTTTGAAACACTAATGAAGGTACACCAACCAGATATTGTAGGAGTTGTAGAACTGTTGTATAAGAACAGGAGAATCGACCCTGAGGAATGTGAGTTCAGTATTGATGGATATGACACATTGACGAACCTTTCTCAAGAAACTTGCAAGAGAAGTGTGGTTATCTATGCTAGGCAAGACCTTAGAGCAAGCCCGGCGAAGGTACAGGGAGAGGATGTTTTTGAAGAGTCCATGTGTTGTAAGATTAAACTAAAGGGAGGGACTTACTTATTGTCGGGTGTATCTAGAGATCCCCAAACTGTGGCCCACTAAGTCAAAGGAACTTAAGAGCCTTAATAGACAACGCAGCAGTGCTCAACCCTAGCCACCTCCTGATCATGGGGGACTTTAACTATGGTGACATCGACTGGAGAAACGAGTTCACACCAAATGACTTGAATAACCGTATTACTCTTTTTGTAGAAACGCTGAGAGATAATTTTCTGTTCCAACATATTAGAGACCCAACACATTACAGAGGGGAGCAAACACCCAAGCCACTAGACCTCATCATAACAAATGAGGAGGGTATGGTGGCCAAACTGGAACACCTTGCCCCAGTTGGCACCAGTCACCATATAGTGTTGTCAATCAGATTTAACTGTTACCTAGCTCAAGATAAGGCCAAGCCAAGGTGCAAATATTACCAGGGAAATTACAATGGGATGAGGGAAGAGATGAGGGGTATCCACTGGCCTGACTCATTAAGGCACAAGAACACAGACACTACGCTGAATATCATAACTAGTAATGTGACCCATTTGATCGATAAATATATATACCCAAGGCAAAACCCAGTGCCTCTAGGAATACGAGGGGATCCCTACACATGAACCATGGGGCGGTTGATAAAGTTAAGAAGAAAACCCAGAAATTCAAGATGTGGGTTGGGTCAAACGATGAGCAGGACTGGAGGATGTATGCAAGAGCCAGAAACCAAGCAAAGATAGAGTGTAGAAGGGCTGAAAAGGAATTCCAGAGGCTGGTTGCAAGCGAGGACAAGTCAAACCCAAAGGCGTTTTACCGCTATGCAAAATCAAAATTAAAAACGAGAGTAGGAGTATCAGATCTGAGGCTTGAAGATGGTAGTTATGCAGATTCTGACCAGGATAGAGCTGAGGCATTGAACAGCTTCTTTTCCTTGGTGTTCACAAGAGAGGATGCGATTAATCTTCCTGCGTTTGACGGCAGACGGTTCGACACAGCACTGACCCACATTGTGTTCACAGAAGAGGGTATTAGAAATAAACTGTAAAAGCTAAAGGTCCATAAGAGTCCCGGCCCTGATGTGCATCCTAGAATGTTAAGAGAGTTGTCCAACGAGCTTGCCGAACCCCTGAAGATCTTGTTTTGTAAATGCCTGGATGAACAAAAGGTCCCCAGTGAATGGAAAGTGGCTTAAGTGAGTCCTATCTTCAAGAAGGTCGATCGTCACTCCACGAACAACTATAGACTGGTAAGCCTGACCAGCATAATATGTAAAGTACTTGAGAGTATTATCAGAGATGCCGTGATGGAACATTTACTACAAAACAACCTTGTAAAGTATTGCCAACATGGTTTTATGCCGGGGTGCTCCTGTCTAACACAATTGCTCAAAGTATTGGATATTTGGACCCATATTCTGGAACGGGGTAATAATATCTACAATATATACCTAGACTTTGCCAAGGCTTTCGACAGTGTACCCCACGAAAGGCTGAAAATCAAACTGGAAGGGTACGGGATTTGGGGAAATGTCCTTGCGTGGATAGAAGACTTTCTACATGACCGCAAGCAGTGTGTGGTGATTAATGGCATGAAATCATCACCCGTACCTGTCACAAGCGGGGTACCACAGGCAGTGTATTGGGCCCGCTGTTGTTTGTTTGTTTGTTTCATAAATGACATGCCTGACGTTGTACACTCCTCCATACAAATGTTTGCCGATGACGGCAAGTTATTTCGGGAAATCATGAACCAAGCGGACTGTGAAGAGCTGCAGAAGGATCTCTGTGGGCTCCAAGAATGGTCGAAGAAATGGCTGCTGAGATTCAATGTCACGAAGTGTAAGAGGATGCACCTGGGGCATACCAACGGTAAGGAGGCGTATCATATGTCCCAATGGGATGAAGAAACTGCACTATTTGAGACTGAATGTGAGAAGGACCTCGGTGTGTATGTTGACAATGAGCTGAAGTTCTCGGGCCATTGAGAGTAGAAGGTGAACCAGGCAAATAAATTATTGGATCTTATAAGAAGGTCGTTCAGATATCTAGACAGTCCATCCCTTGTAACGATCTTCAAGAGTGAAGTGCTTCCCCATCTGGAATTCTGTCACCTCATCTGGTCCCCAAGATATGCTAGGGACTATCAGTTGGTTGAAAATGTTCAAAGGAAGGCCACCAGACTGGTGCCTGCACTTCGGCACCTCAACTACCCTGAGAGATTAGAGCGCCTGAACTTGCCTAGCTTATACTACAAACGGGCAAGGGGCGACCTAATTGAGGTGTATAAGCATCTCAAGGGGCACTACTCAGTCGAGTGTCCTTACTTGGAGCTGGCAGACGCTCACCCCACAAGGGGTCACAGCTCAAGATTGAAGAAGCCGCAGGTCCAGAAAACTGTGAGGGCAAACTTTTCCGGAGTGAGAGTTGTGAACTCTTGAAACAATCTACCAGAAAGTGTTGTGACGGCACCGAGTGTGAGCTTTTCAAGACCAGACTTGACCAACACTGGAGCAGGTTCAGGTACATTCAGGAGCCGGTGCATGCCCAGTACTTGCCAACAGTGAGTAATAGAGATGTGACCGATTGCCCAAGCGGCTAACGAGCCGATCTATCATTTGGTGAAGAGGATAAAAGAAAAAGAAAAGAAAGAGACGTGACCGATCGCCCAAGCGGCTAACGAGCCGATCAGTGGTGAAGAGGATAAAAGTAAAAAACAAGAGATTAATTCCATTACTACGCTCACACCTACGGAGACACCTTAAACACATGATACAGTGAAACCTTCTTCAGCCTACAGTGAATGTACTAAATGTATAAAACCGATAAATAATGATATAAAGCAATTGCTGGAAAATCTGAGAAAATGGTGAGAAAATCGCTCCAAACCTTTCTGCTCCAGGCCTGGGGACAAAGGTTCCCCTCGTTTTGAAAGACTGCACCATGTTTAGCCGCATCCTCACATGGTTGGTGAGTGGGTGGGAAGAGTGAGGTGACATACCATGACACTTACACAGCACACACATTAACACCACTACTAAACTAATGTCTTGTAACATTTGACTTTATAATATCTTTTTAAATAATAATTGATACATGATGGCTAGAATTGGCTACTTTTGCACTTAAAAACTGATCGTTGAATAAACCAGGGCATATGGAGACACATTATACACAAGTGATGTCACGAAGCTTCGAAACTGTAACCACAAAGCATAAATTATCACAACCTGTGCTCAAATGTACTAAGTTAATTACTAAAATGTTTATGTCAAGTGCAAACTATGGGAAGTTAATACTCAAATTAATCACCATTTTGCAAGAGCTCCAGTTATGCAAGTTATATTCTGCTATGTCAAGTCAGTGACATTTCATAAGCGGAAAACTTGAATTCCGTATAATTTATCCTACGTCCCTCCTGACCCATCATCTGATAACTACGCAACCCATTCTGACTGTCAACACTCCACCTCCCCATCCCCCCTCCTCCCAGCCAGCAGGGGAGGCAGATGGCGGTTAGTGTTAACGATTAATGGGATGAAGGTGATTTTAGTCTTAAAGTTTTTCTCTTATAAAATGTCACAGGCTTGACTTAGAAGAATATAACTTCCATTGCTGGAATCCATGCAAGATAGTGAATAATTTAAGCATAAATATATCACAGTTTGCAAAAGAGATAACAATTTTAGTCCTTTAGCTTAGTACATTTGAGTGCAAAATAAGTAAAGTAATATGATGCTCAAAATTATGGCTTTTTCACAAGGAACAGTCTGTATAACTAGCCCAGTGGTCAGGATATTATGGTATCAAATGTTACAGAGTATTTTAAATAAATTCTTTATTTAGTTCTGCACATAGAGATTGGTGTAAACTGACCAAACACCCCTGAAAAGGTTGTCTGCCTCTGTCATTCTTACTGGACAAAATATTGTTTATTTGTTATTTATTAATTAGTAAAGATATGTTACTGCAATAATTTGAGCTTATTAATACCAGTACTCTTCATATACAGTAAAATACTTACTTTTACCTTATTATTCGACTTATCATTTATGGGTATCATATTGAAAACGTCTTGTAGATAATTTATTAAGAATCATTATGGTATCTAATTCATCTCCCCATCACAATTAGCCATGCTCAAGTGAGGAAGGAGGGGAGAAAAGTGACCGCATGACCTACCCCTCTCTCCCCCCAAAAAGGTTCGCCTCCCACCATCTCCAGTCATCCGTGTGACTGCTTTCTCACTCCATATTTAAAATGTTATGTAACGTAATGTTGAAGGGATAAAACTTTGCTCATTTTTACTTATCACAATCTCCCTGAAAATACTTTAGCTCTCTCTTTATTCAAGACATCTTTGGGTCATGAGACCCAATAATCCCCCACCCAAGAAAGGGTGACCTGGCATTCCATTAGAAGGCCAAAAATATGAGACCACTAATCTCCCACCCTACCTCCACCTTACATTACATCAGGTCAGGTCAGGTCTCCCCCCAAAATATTTTAGCCTTTGTTTTTATTCAAGACATCTCCAGGTCATGAGACCCACTAATGCCCCACCCAAAAAAGAGTGACCTGACATTCCATCCCTGTAAATTCAGTTGCTTCTGAAGACGTCTTGAATAAACACAGAAGGTAAGGTGCTCCAGTGTATACTTAGTTGACCGACAGGTGGTAGCAGTGAACAACACACGCGGTAGCGGTAGGACACAGATTGAGCGGCGGAAAGTTCAATTTAGTGGAAATTTCGATTTAACAAACAGGGGTGGCTCGAATAAGTTCGTTAAATCGAGAAAATATACTTGTATCAGCAGAGTAAGGAAGGTAAGAAAAGAAATAAATAAAATTCAAGGTAAAAAAGTTAAAGGGAAAAAGTATGTGCATGATATAAGTGATGGGAAAAACAAAGAAGAGGTGTAAAGGTTACAAATGTCAATAAAGTGGTATATGGTACCTGTAAGCAAATATTCACAGTTTTTTATACATTATAGGTAAAAAGCAAGTCATTAAATAAGGCCGGGTGTGTTGGAAGGAAATGTGTATCCATCATTACTATATGCTCATTGCTATTGATCTGTGGGTCTTTAACAGTGTGTAAAAATTTTTTATTGTTATTTTGAAAAGCAGTTGTGGACAGCAAAGACTGGGCAGAATAGGTTGGATGCTTATATGAGCAATAGGGGTTAGGTGTAAACGGGACTGCCCAGTATGGGCCAATAGGCCCGCTGCAGTTTCCTTCATTCTTATGTTCTTAATAAGGATGGAGGAATTTAAGGAAACATCTGTAAGTATCTAAGGAGCAACTGATGAACTAAAAGAAAGTAATATGATAGTAAATGTAGGAGAAGTAAATGTTGGTAAAAGAGTTAATAAAACAAGGTGTCAAAATTAAATGACTGAAAAGAATACAAGAAAGGTGGAAGGACCAAGTGAAGAATTATGTATGTATGTATGTAAGAGATATACTGTATCAGTAGAATGTAATACTGAAAAATACAATTGAATGGGACTTGGACATGACAGCTTGTTATAAATGTGGATCCCATAGGCCTGATGGCTCATCAGGGGCAGTGCAGATACAGCTCATTTTGAACATATTGTTATTTAAGTACGGGTAACTTGCAATTTATGCGCATTTGATTTAAGCGTTTTTGGAATAATTTACGCGCACCTATTTTTTATAAAATGCTCAAGACAGTTTAAATTTGCCATGCAATGGAGTCACGTGCAATGCCTGGTGAGGTGCTTGTAATATTACTATAAAGTCGCAGTCATATTAACATCAATGATTTTAATATTATTATTAATAATAATAATTACTGTATTATAATAGTGTAGTTATAAAGATTACTACTACTAATGATGAAGATAATGAAGTATTCTGTACAACAACTGTGACCACGTCCAGCAAGCTTCTGTCGTATCACTTTCTCAGTTCACACCAGCACTACTTTTTCTCTGTGCTCTCATTTACATTGTGTGTTTATCAAGTACCTTTTTAATGTTAAATGCTGTTTTCCCATTGAGCATGTCTGGAAAATGTCCACCTGCCTCCTCTGGGGCGCCTAAAGCTAAAAAGGCACGAAAAACAATCACAATGGACGTGAAATTAAATGTGATCACCCGCCTTCAGAGAGGAGAGCGTGTCGGAGGTTGGCAGCGTGCTTGGTTTAAGAGAGAGCACTGTTTGTACTATTCGAGACAATGCTAAGAAAATACAGATATTTATTGTGAGTTACCCTGTGTGGTATATGATGGTTCCCCTAACCTGTACCATTTACATGTACCTGTATTCTTACGGGAAAATTAAGTTTAATTTACGAGTTTTTGAATTAAGTGGTGGTTTTCAAGAACATAACCCCCGCGTAAAATGAGAGGTGGGTGTACACAAGGAGGTAGTAAGGCTGTTATTGAACTCGACCGCCTTCACTTCCTCAACTGTATATATTTAAACAAGTTATCAAACATCATCATTAACTCGAATATGCTGGATAGCTTCAAACATAGGTTGGACGAATATATGAGCAATAGGGGTTGGGTGTAAACAGAACTGCCCAGTATGGGCCGATAGGCCGGCTGCAATTTCCTCCATTCTTATGTTCTTAAACCTGGGTGAACTGGGGGCACACTGAGCATAAATCAGTGACCTTATGGACAGGAGGCAAGAGCTGTATCTACTTGGCTGCAACACCCCAGAGTGAACATAAGTGAACCAATATAAAAGTTGGAAATAGGAAATTACATTCAATGAAAGGACAAGGCCAGAGTTTAAGAACAAATATATGGCCACCAAATGGTGCTGCATTGTGAACATGATCAAGAAAGCACACATTAATGGAGTAAAGGTTAGCCCTTTACTTCAATGGGCAACCAATGCCAATCAGTCTACAAATATTTAACCCATTTCTGGTTGCATAATTAAAAAAAAAAACTGTGGGGAAGTGGCAGGAGTTACCCTGAGGCCATCATCCAAGAAGTGCTTATTACCACTTTATGTCATTTCTAATATTTCGTGATGGTTATCTTTTGAGTTTGACCTGGCACAAATTTTAAATGCCTATGGGTATAAATACTTACAAAACCATGGCTGACATGACTTGCTGGAATGTATATATACATAAATCACCATAAATGGGTTAAATAATAAGACAATTGGTACCCAGTACTTACCAGCCTGGTTATACATTGTAATTGCTTCATTGTACATCCCACCCTTAATATAGAACTTCTCTGCTCGTATTAGGTCATTCAATGAAGTAAAATGCTGGGCCAACTTCATCAAGTGTGGTTGTAAAGCTTCATCATCATCTATGACCTGCAAAATGATATACCTTTTATATATGCAAGCTTCTGATATATGTTAGTAAGATTATTTTTCAACTGCAGCAAGGCTTTTTCATATGCATATTTGCCCTTCACACTTTTGATCATTAAGTATGAATTTTAGGTTAATAACTGCACTAGTCATCTGAAATTAAAAATTAACAGAATTATATCTCCCGGAGAATTGCATTGGTATGGGGAGAAAAAATACAGGAGCCATTTTTCTCTGTCTACTGTACAGTATTCATGGTTATACAGTGCCACTCCTGTGACTATACATTTCATTGTATCTCATTTTGAGACAATGTCATCTAAAAGAAAAGGAATTAGTAGTAGTGAGCCTAGTGAAAAGAGGCAGAGATGAGTGATGTCTCTTAAGGATAGTGTAGATTTATTGGGTCAGTTATGAAGAGGTGAGAATTTGGCACAAGATTCTCAATAAATCTTTTATTATCAAAATTTATATACTGTAATTCCTTTATACATTCTTATAGTAAAAATTGTTTGTTGTTTTAATATCATTGAGAGGTAATAATGGATGAAGATGAATGTGCTGGCTAGCTGATGCCGGTTGATGGTGGTGGGTGGTCAGTTGATGAGCAGCCATAAGATGGAGATTATGGATACACCTTTCTATTGTACAATACTGTATAAAATTTATCGATAAATATGTCTGGATGAAAACTTTTCTTTTGAGAGGCATAACTATTAATATGACACTAAATTGTTTGAGGAGATCAGATCATGATTGTTATAATAACCAGTGCCTAATTATGACTGTGCATGGCCTGGGATGCATGAATTCTACATATTTTTCGTTCATTATCATACTCTTCCATTTATTTTTCATTTATCATGCATTTATTAAATATTATTGTTACATTACTTGTTTATTTCCTAAATTTTTGCACAATGATGTGTTAAATTTATATGCAAAAAGATCTATAACTTATGGTGCATTGGACTAAGTGTAGCTTAGGCTAATGTAGCATTAATTAATTATCAACCATCTACTGTATTTAACAACAAATTGATCATCTGGCACAGCCCTGGTCCCAGTGTCCAGATAAGAGAAGGTCAAATTGTATTATTCTTTCCATTTTTTCCATCTCAATCATATGTTTACATCCAGGGTGGATTTCATTTCATCCACAGTAAAAACTGTAAAATTAATGTTATGAAAAACATATTTCTTTTTATTCCTAGGAGCTTTTTGCAAAGTAAGAATACATTTATATTCTACTGAAAAAAAAAAATCTACATTTATATTCTACTGAAAAAAAAAATCTAAAGTTGCTGGCTAGCATTTGCAACTATTATCCAGCACTACATCCAAATCCATGAGATGCTGTGTTGGTCATAAGCAGCAGTCTGTGATGTACAGTCAGCCAAAGATCCAGCGACCCCACCCAGAGTCTCTTACTGGCAATACTTGGTAAAGTAAGGCTGTAACTAAAGGTGATTGTGATTGGTGGATCTATTTTCGACTGTATTACTGTCAGGATAAATATTAAACAATCCAAAGGGAGAATTTTGCCAGTAAGAGACTCAGGGTGGGGTTGCTGGATCTTTTTGCTGACTGTACATGTGTTCCCCAATTTATGAAAGGGTTCAGTTCTTTAAAAACCTCTTACCCTTTGTAAGGCAGGGGCGTCTCTCAGGTGAATAAAATACCTACCTGTAAGTGTGCCACTGCCCAACAAACAATTAATCAAGATACTCTAATAAATCGATTTTTCATAAATCAAATTACATTTTCCCAAGGACTCTCATTACAAAGGCCTTCATCATGCCTTCATCATCATCATTGTTTTACAGCCATTTTCCATGCTTGGGTGGGTTAGCCATGGTTACTTCATGGCAGCTCTCCATGCTGCATGGTCTCTTGCAGTCTCTCTTGTTAGGTTCCTAACTCTAATGTCATTTTTTACAACCTCTCCCCATGTCATTCTTGGCCTACCCTTGACTCTCCTCCCCTCCACATTTAGGCTCATGCACCTCTTGACACAATTGGTCTCATGCATTCTCTCCACACACTCAAACCATCTAAGCTTGCCTCTATGCAGGACTTCACCAATTATTTCAATACCCAGTCATCCTCTTGACTCTGAACAGGGCTTTCTGTCTTTCAGTATTATATTGCACATCCATCTCACCATTCTCATTTCAGCTCACTCAACTGTACTTAAGTCATCCTTTTCAACTGCTCATGTTTTACTGTCACACAACATCACATTTTTCACAACAGCCACATACATTCTTTCTTTTAATCAGGTTTTAATCAGAGGAAAGGTTCTCTTGTCATCAATAAAGGCAACAGTTCCCTTAACTTCCTCCAGCCATTTCTGACTCTTGCAACTGAGCATGCTTCACCACCCCCACCAGCACTGATCATGTCACATAAGTAACTGAACTCATCAATTTAATCCAGGGACATATCCCCAATGTTCAGTTTCTCTAGCCTAGCTGTGGGCACATGGTTAGCCTGCACATACAAAATACTTAAAAGTCAGCAACATCCAGCAGTCTGCCATCTACTCCACTGCACCTCTTGTGTACCCACCTTCAACACTCTTTGCACATTATTGAGTTGCTGCCAACACCTCTCCACTTTCCACCATGGGTTCCTCTCTCACACTACTAATCAACACTTTTGTTTTTCCACATTCACTCTCAGGCCCTTTACCTCTATTAAATCCTTCCATTTTCTTAAATTTCTTCATTGCCTCCTCAATACTATCAGTTATCAGCACTTCTTCATCAGCATACAATAACATCCACATCAGACCAGTCCTAAAGTCCCATCATATTGTGTCCAAGACCATGATAAATTTTTGTGTATGCATGCATAGAAAGGGGTTCAAGAAAACTCCTGATGGACAACTACTTTTACCTGAAATTCCTCACTTTCCTAACTATTTACTCTCTCAAGAAGTTTTTGAGTCCTCATGTAATGCCATAACCACTTGAACAAGACACCCCTCAACTCCTAGCTTTCCCATTGCCAAATTTATAACTTCCTTTTGGCACCCTATCATTTGCCGTCTCTAAGTTTACAAATATCCATTACAATTTCCTCTCTTCCTCCAAATATTTTCCTTGTACAGTAACTCCATGGCCATAAATATTGCCTCTAGTCCTTCTACCTGGCATAAATTTAAACTGCCTTTAATTCATGTCCACTCCCCTTTATCAATTTCTTAATAACTCTTCCCACAACTTTTATAACCTGATCTAGTAGCTTCAGTAGTTCCCCCTTGTAAGTGTTCACAATTATACTCTTCCTCCACTCGTCTGAATCAGTACATTCCTTCATGATTGCATTAGTCAATTTGGTTACTATTGACATGCCTGTATGTAAATGAAATTCTACATCATCATCATCACCTTCATATTATTTTAAAGAACAACATCTCAAGGGTATATAATTACTTTACAAAATTAATAACTCTTTACCTCTATGATCTGTATAGCTTTTTTCCACTGTCTAGCAATTATAGCAGCATCCAGGGCCTTCACATTGCGTCCAGCTTCTACATAGTGACTGATTGCTGCATCTGCCTGTTTGTTGGCCACAAGTTGGTCTCCCCATTCTTCCTCCATTTGGATAACATCTGCAGTGTTCAGAATATAAAAAAAAATTAATGAAAGAAAACTTTAGGGCATTATTTTCTTTCAAAGCTCTCCTCCCCTTCTGCCATTATATACAAGTTTGTAAACCTAAATTGAAAAGTGAATATGGATTAGACTACAAAACTCCATTTTTTCAACTGACTACAACTGTGAATATATAATGAATAGTCTTTAATGTCGGTTCAATCAATGTCAAATGAAAAATAAATAAAAATAGAACACAGGGAAAAACGGCATGAGTTTGTACTGTAAGTACTGTCGAGATCATAAATTATCTTCAAGCCTACATGCATGAGCCAGGTGATCTGGTAACAAGTTATGGCAAAGATGGGTTCTGTGTAGCCTGAAACATTAGAGAAATAAAGAAAGTCAGCTCAACCCTGTGTTTCCCTCCCACCGATCAAATCCATATGGTGAAGAGTTCACAAGCTTGCTTTTAATGGACAGCTATTTGAAAGATGTTTTATTGCAAATAGCCCCAGAAGTGTTCTGCACCAATTGTTCTGGCTAATGGAGATATCACTACTTGGGTTTATGGTTCATACAAAAAAGTGTTAGTTACAAGACGAGAGATGTCATCCTAATATTATATCTTGTGCTTGTGAGACCTCACTTGGATTAAGCGGTTCAGTTCTGGTCACCGTACTACAGAATGGATATAGAATCCCTTGAAAAAACTCAGAGGAGAACGGCAAGACTAATCCCAGGCATTAGGAACCTTGAGTACAGAGACAGGTGAAAGCATTTTAATTTGCTCTCCCTCGAGTGACGTAGAGTGAGGGGCGATATGATCGAGGTGTACAAATGGAAGTCAGGGCTAAACAAAGGTGACATAACAAAGGTACTCAAACTATCCAACCAGGAGTGAACTTGTAGCAAATAGTTTTAAATTAGACAAATTTAGGTTTATGTACGAGATAGGTAAACATTGGTTTAGAAATAGAGTAGTGGTTGAGTGGAACAAGTTACCAAACATCATCATTAACTCGAATATGCTGAATAGCCTCAAATATAGGTTGGATGGTATATGAGCAATAGGGGTTGGGTGTAGCTCTACACTCCTCCACATTTAAGCTCATGCATCTCTTGACCAAACAATGTCCTTTTGTGTTCTTTGAAATACTATAGGAGATAGGCAAGATTTTAAAATTTTAAGATTATTTTTTAACCCTGGAACCTTCTAGAAAACTTTTCAGTAACACAAAATTTTCTTCTACAGTACTGTATATATGATAAAACTCATTTCATATTTTTTTTATTCAAATGATGGATATTTATGCAACTGGAAAGATACCTGTACAGTATAGATAATTCTCATAGATGATCATAGTTGATAAATTTCACTATAAAAATTTGACCAATAAGCTCACCTGTAGGGAAAGCATATCTTGCTAATTCCACCGCTCGAGAAAAACAATGACCTTTACGATAACTGTCCAGGGCCTTTTGGGTCTGGCCAACTTTTTCATATAATTCTCCACCCTGCTCATACAATTCAGCTTTGAGTAGAGCTGTGGCAATCCGTGTTATAAGTTCTGGATCTTCACGTAGTTCATCAACACTTGTAGCTAATCTGTAATATAAATCACATATAAATTGTTTTTTTCTAATAACTTTTAACAGCTTTTCTACTTTTACAATTAAGAACACAAGTATAAAGTAAAAGGAACAGGCCAATATAACAGTGCAGGTACAGAACCTCAAAACTGGATCCCAGAAAACCTGAGATTCTCAAAAACTTACAAATTTCTTCATTGGGTTAGGTTAACTTTTCTTTCTTTGCCAAGTGAAGTTTTGCATCAACAAACTCACTCAAACTGAGTTCAACATTTGTGTTACTTCCTAAATAAAAAAGAAAAAGAAAACAGTGTTGCATATAAACTGTAAATAAGAATAAATAAATAAATAAATAAATATATATAGTCTACTTAGAAGTTGAATTTCCTTCACTTTGGGGACTCCACTTTTAATATTTTTTCAGCGCAGGATTAAAAAACTATCTCCAATAACCTTTTCACTACAGGGATGCCACTTAAAGAATTTTATTTGGCTAACACCAGATAATTTTATTCTGCAGAGAGAGAGTCCCATACACAAGGAGTTAAATGAGTTTGTTTACATCCCAACAGCTTCACCTGCTCTGCATTCACTTGAACAATACTGTATACTATGTAGCATGGCTTGGCTAGAGAGTGCAATGAATGGTCACATAAACAAACAAGATAACAGAAGATGAATATAATTTGTTAAATAGCTGCTGGTGTTTGATTCTCCCACAGATTGTCAGTAAAAAATACTAAATCATCACATTGCTTCAATCTAAGAACTAGGACAGTAGATTGTTGTTGTAGCAGAATATATTTTATTAAATAGCTGTTGGTGTTTCTTTTGCCCATTGACTGGTTATTTGTTATTATTATTATTTATCATTATATCGCTGCACCACCAATAATATTGTGGTATTTTCGGTTGTGTGCAAACACCCACATAATCATTTTGAGAAAAAAAAAGTGAGTTATGGAGCAAACACATCTAGGCTCTTGTACCCGCCACCATCTTTTTTACCATAAACAAACCGTGCTATGAAGCGATCCACCTCTGGCTATCGTTCGCTTCACACGGTGTGGAAAATACACTACTGTATTGCATTATTGCCCTGTTCCCTAGCCGAGAGCCCGCGAAGAGGCTAGCATAATGGCCAAGTGAATGCAGGGCTGAGTCACGAGAAATTTATCAAATATAGAGTTCATAAGTATTAATTGGCAGACTGAATAAATAGCCTTTTTATTATATTTTTTTTTATTTGACAATCAGACAATAATCATTCATGAATACTATGTCTTACAAGTGTTGCAGTAAAGCTTCAGGAACATCAACAAACCCATTTACAGTAACTTGCTGTTAGAGAACTCTCAATTTCTAAACAGATTGTATTTAAGGTATCTTTTTATTTTGTAATTAAGAAGTAAAACAAATGTTCAACTGAGTTTGTGTGTCTGGAAGCAAAACTTTAGTACTGTAGTCTCCTGGTAGGTCCAGAGTAACACAGATGACCTTGGACCAAGGAAACCAGAAAATCCTCCAAACACGCTCAGTCTCAAATTTATGGGTCTATACCTGTAAAGCATACCAGTGTTTTCTTATGATGGATTTATTAACAGTCAATGTACTTGAACAAAGTAAGGCATCTCTTCAGAGTATTTTAAAGTACAGTACAGTATTGTATCACAAGTAATTTTATATAGAAATGAGATTGGGTGTGTAGTACAGTTAAGTACTGTATATGTCAACCAACTATCTACTTTAAAAAATAATCTAAAGTATTTCACAAGACATTTGAGCATTTTAAATATGAAATTTAAGAATATACAGGAGATTAAGTTTATTTTCTTTAATTTTCCACATATTACATGAGAGTAAATGAAAAGAAATTTGACAATCAAGAAACTGGATCAGTGACTGTGTGCATGGTGGTGTGAGTAATGAGTTTGATGAGTACCATAATTTTTGCCTTATAAAATGCACTTTTTCCCTATTCTTACATGCTGAAGGGGGAAGAGGCTGCCAACTAAAACCAAACAGTAATATTTAAGGACAATAGCCCAAGTTAATCATCCACCTAACATAAATATCTACACTATTATTCTGCACACACCACCTTAGGAGCCCACAACTAGGACAATGATTTCCCAGTAGAATTTTTGCACAATGACCAAGATAGGTTAGGTTAGATTCTCAACCTCGCTTATTTCCTCTACCTTGAAGCATTGCCCTTCTTTGGTGGGGTCAAGATTGACAGGGTAGGAAGGATCATAACTCAATAGTTATGCATTTCCCCAAACTTTCAATATCACCATTGTACTGTAAGCTGGTGTTTGTAGAATTATTACCAATATCTATTGAAGAAAACTTATTTCCTACCTCAAAATTAAAACAAATTGGGAGGTGGAATAGCACTTTTCTTACTCAGGTTTTCTATAAAAAGTAAAGAAAGAACATCATTGTTGATGCTTATACCACCTTCACACCTTTGACAATTTGTGGGAGGCAATAAAATATTAAATATTGATACTGCACAGTAATTTAAAATACCTGCTAGCAGATGACATGCCAGCTCGTGTTGCCATCAATTAAGGGCAGAGAAAACTATATTTTCATCAGCTGATCAACTGTCTTCATTTAAAATTTATATATTAAACCTTTAAACACATATATAATGAAACATACAGTATTAATAACATTTAATGCTTTTAGAAGATATAAAACATTAAACACACATTTAATGTTCTTACACTAAAGGTAGTGATGATACACTGAATTGAAAGCAAAACTTGCAAGGTAAAGATGACACTCTATCTTGAAATGCAATCAATAATAGTAGGTGAAGGATACCCGCAGATGCCCACTCGTGTGCAAAGAAATGTATATTCCCTTTACCGATATGTGTTTACCCTTAGGACAATAATTTCTTTTACCTGTATTGCACAGGTACTCCTCGACTTACGACCACCAGAACATATGACCGCCACAGTCGTATAAAATATTTTTCAAATTATGTATTTTCGAGTCCCGGCGAGTGATCGCACTGTGTACTGACAAAATTTTTGTTTGTAATTGCCTTTAAAATGGCTGGCAAGCGTAAAAGTGAGAGTTCTCGTGGTGCTGAGAAGAAAAAGAGACACCCATTTTAGATTTTCTATGTATTATTTTCGCCTTTTTGACTTACGACCAATTCGACTTAAGACCTGGTCGTTGGTCCGTAACCCCATCGTAAGTTGAGGAGAGACTGTATATATGTGTGTGTGTGTGTAGACACACAAAACACATACAAATAAATAATAACGGGAAAATCCTCTCACAAATAATCATAAACAAATGTGCAGTATTAAAAATGTGTGAGTCTACCCTCAAGTCCACTCCGTGTTTTGTTATTAATAACGCACGGAGTTGATTTGAGGCTAAACTCTCACATTTTTAATACCTTAGTTTCTGATTATTTGTGAGAGGATTTTCCCATTATTATTTATTCGTATGTGTTTTGTGTGTGCGCATCTACACACACACACACACACACACATATATACAAAACAGGCAAAAGAAATTACTGTCTCTAGAATGAATGGCTCCCTGTCCCAGCCGTGAAAATGCCAGCAACTTTAAAATTACCCTTAGACATTCTTGGGTACATCCAGGGTGTCATCGACGAATAATCGAAATCCGCGAATTAAAAATTCGTGAATGGTCAGGGCATGCTGTATAAATAAATTTTTACCATTAACCAAGCACAGAACAGTGTATTATTGTTATTGATAACAAAGTTTAAGAGATTATATTTTGCTAGGAAATTATAAACACAATAAGCAAAGGTAAAAAAATCCGATGGACCAGAAAATCTTGAGCCATGTATAGTATTTAAAACTTTTCATCCAAAGATACATTATACAGTATAGTCTGCATTTACGCAGTCAAGTGAACCCGTGGAGGTCCGCGTAAAACGAGAAACACGTAAACGAAATAACAGAACATATGGGATTAATTGAAATAGAGACTGGGCCAACTTCCAAACTCCACTTTTTCCGACACAATACGTACGTTGTAGTAAAAATAATATCTTAATTTTATGATGGTATGCACACACAACTAATAATTAAGAGACATATTAATAATATTAGGTCTTTTAACACTTAAGTTATTAGAAAAGCTGGGTCGGCACACGTGGATGGCGGCTGGTTCCGAGGCAGAGGGCAGATTAGTTGCCCTCCGGTGAATCACTTTCACTACTCGCAGAGGTTTGCAGGGCCTCCCAGACAAACCCCTCAAAGTCCATATCCTCACTATCACTATCACTGACTTGGGCTGGCTGTGGTTGTGGTGGGTTGCGGGCGAGGAAGTCCTCAATACTACGTTGACGACTAGCATTGATGTTGTCGAGATAGATCTGGATATACGGCTCCATAACTTTCGACAGAAGGTTATCAGACACTTCATACCGATGCTTGTCTGGGTCGTTGTCAAGGATGAGCTTAATTTTCTCCCCCAACTCGATGATTTCCTTCACATTATCATGGCTTGGTCCAGGTAATTCAAGGTCTTTCTCAGGTGGTGGGGGTCCCGCAGAAGCCATCGTGAGGGGAATAGCGGGCACAAGAGAGAACTGCATACGCGGACTGAGAACAATGAGACAACAATGAGACAGGCCCGGCTAGGTCAGCGACTTCTACCCTCTGGTGGCAGGGCACGTCATGTTACATTAGACCAATCACAGCTAGCGGCGGAGGGAATGCGTGGATGGTAAAAATGCGTGGCCCAATCACAGTCTGATACGTCATATGACGTCAGCGATAACGTAAGAGCGGCCTAATGCGCACCACTCATCGCGCCGCTTCTCGCGTATGGTCAAGAATGGACCGCGTGAGTAAAAAATGGCGAGGCGGTCTGGACCTCTCCAGCCGCTCGCCGTGTAAATGATGAAATTTACCGCATAATTAAAACATTTCATTCTGGCAAGGCACCACGTAAATGACCAAACACGTAAACAAAAACCGCGTAAATCCAGACTATACTGTACAGAAATTTACATTAACCTTACCTAGAAGCTTTAGCAGGCATTCCAGCTTTGAGATACATATTAATAGCTGCCAAGTAGTCTCCCTCTTCTTCTTTAAGCTGACCAGCTTTCTCTTCCTGGTGTGTGTCTAAGAGCCACTGTGTGTGTGCACGGCGTAGTGATTCAACCTCTGGATGGCCCTTCACTTCAGCTAGTTGGACAGCTGTAATATAATAGTACAACACTATTCATACAATGCACAAAAAAAAGCATTTCGACTGGAAAACCGAAGGAACAATAGGGTTTTTGTACAGCATTTATGCATCTATTTTTTAGCTTTTAAATTAACTTGAGATACTGTAATACAGTACCTTTCGATTATGGGAATTAATTTTTTAATTTCACTGCCTTATCAGCCCTACTTTAATGTGTCAATTGTATGACATTTTTTACAAAACAAAAACTCTGAAAAATGAAGCTGAAATTAAATAAATTAAGTCAGTAAGGAATTTTATCCACAAAATTTATTAATACAGTACTATACATACTTCTTTGACTTTTCACATGCTACTGTACCTTCATCCCATTTATGTAGATCTTGGTACATCTTCATGGCTTTTTCAAGGTTATTGTAGTCCAAGTAGATGCTTTCAGCTGTCTTGAACTGTTTGTCCAAGATTGCTAAACGAGCTTGTACTTCATATTCTTGAATTCCATCCTCACCTACAAAAAAAGCCATGAGGTCATGAATTCTTCTGTGATATCCGGTAGTATATTATAATACGGGTATATTTCTGTTAATAAAAAAAAAATTAGTTATGAGATGTACAGTATATCTACTCAGGCAATTTATAACCCAGAATCATAACATAACTGAAGTGTTTCAAAATAACTTGAACAAAATTAAGCATCTTACCAATTTCTCCCCTTTCTGAGGCATATGTAACCTCTCTCCCACCTCAACTCCCCACTTGCCTTTTTTTTAGTTTAGATATACAGCTACTCCCCGACTTAAGACGGGGTCAGGAACCCAAGTTCAGATCGTAAGTCGAAATGGTCATAAGTCGGAAATGCAAAAAATAATACATATAAAATCTAAAATGAAATACAGTACAGTAAAAGTAATCAATAATGAAGATGGATACAGTGTTACTGTGCCTTTAATGTAGTCAGCTGAATGCACATGGGCCCCCATAATTTTTTAATTATACTGTACATGGAGACTACATTAACTGGATGAAGCAGAGAAGGAGACAGGGCTGGGTGGGTCATCAATGTCGCTTCTTCAGACCGGTTTATGTACAGGGGAAACTTGCTGGTTGAAGGTATTGGATCATCTTTAGGGAGTGAAGAGGCAGCACTGGTGGGGCATGAGGAGACAGCAATGGGGGACTTCTTAAAATAGATGTCCAATTTAGACTGTACAGTTTGCTTTTTCTTTTCATTATAAATCTCCCTGTAGCAAGCAAGTGCATCTTGGACAATTCTGTCAACTTTGGCAAAACGCTCAACATTTTGATCCATTCCGTCAAACATTTGCATCCCCTTATTAATTGCAGCAAATGCCTCTGCCATTTGCTACACTGAAAAATTTTTGGGGGTGTTAGGTATTCTGGGTAATAAGTTCTATATACAGGAGAGAACACAAACACCTGTATAGTTTTGTAGGTTCGGTTTACTGGATAAGAGTAAGTACACAGAGGTGGATAGCACTGCTCCTAGCTAAGGTCTGGTCAGCTACCATAGCGACGTATGGCAAGTGATACGTGCAGCTTCCCGTAGCTGATAATTAGCGTGTAGGATATGGTATAGCTAGCTGAATAAATATAAATGGAGCACATACATAATATACATACATAATACATAATCCAGCATACATAATATACATACAGGGGTGCAAGTTCTTCTTATACAATACATTTAGACTCTTCTTCCTCTGCATTTTTGTGTGCTTCCAGTTCGATAAGATCCTCGTTACTTAGCTCTTCTGCTACACTTTCAACCAATTGTTCAACATCTTCATTATCAATTTCTGACTCAAACTGTTTACCCAACTCCTCTATCTCATTACTAATCTCAGAAATTACTTCATCTTCATTAAATCCTCTGAAACTGTTCACATATCTTTTCAGGACTTTCTTCCATATTCCATTCATGCACTGTTCTGTAACCTCATCCCATGTTGCACTAATGTTCTTTATACATTTCAAAATGTTGTAGTCCTTCCAAAACTCTCTGAGCATTTTCTCACCTTCAGTAGCAGCAACAGCCTGAGTGAAGGTCGTACGTAAATAATTAGCTTTAACCATTAAGCCCCGGGTTAGGGTGCTGCTGGCAGTACCCCCGACGCTGGGTTAAATCGAGAAAAAATATCATTTCCAAAATTAATTAAAAAAAAAAATGACGGGAAAATAGACGGACGTTCTGGAACGCCACCCGGGGCCTAAGGGTTAAAAGCTACAATAGCACCTTGATCCATGGGTTGGATGACAGAGGTAGTGTTAGGTGGAATGTAGAAACATCAGGGTGCATGTCGTCCAGGTGTGGTGGGTGTCCTGGAGCATTATCCAAAATTAACAAAATCTTGAATGCAATTGTTGCAGACAATACTCTTTGGCTCGAGGAATAAAACAAGTCATGAACCAATCCTCAAACAGTACTAGGGTCATCCACGCTTTCTTGTGACTTCGATAAAACACGAGCAGTGTGTGCTTGCTGACATGTTTAAAAGCCCTTGGGTTCTCTGAAAGATAGATCATGAAGGGCTTTATCTTGAAACCAGCTACATTCCCCCCCAACAGAAGTGTAATTTGGTCCTTGAATGCCTTGAATCCTGGCATTGTTTTCGCCTCTTTGTGGATGTATGTCCGTTCAGGCATGCGCTTCCATAATAATCCAGTTTCATCCACATTGAATATTTGCTCAGGCAAATAATTTCCCTCCACGATGACACAATCTAGCTCCTCCTTAAAAGCTTCGGCAGCACCAACATCAGCACTAGCTGCCTCTCCACTCACCTTTACATTATGTAAATTGTAGTGGTTCTTAAATCTGTTAAACCACCCATGACGTGGTGTGAAGGTTTGGTCGCACTCATCTCCTGCACTGTTTACAGTGGAGGTCACGTTGATCTTGTGCGCTGAGGTATTGAACAGCAGACACGTGGTATAGTAACTCCCTCACAGATGGCGTTATGAGAGGCATCACGTGGAGTAGTAGTTCCCTCACAGGTGGGGTTATGAGGGGCTTGACGTGGTGTAGTAATTCCCTCACAGATGGTGTTATGAGGAGCCTGATGATGTAGTAATTCCCTCACAGATGGTGTATGAGGGGCCTGATGTGGTGTAGTAATTCCCTCACAGATGGTGTTATGAGGGGCCTGATGATGTAGTAATTCCCTCACAGATGGTGTATGAGGGGCCTGATGTGGTGTAATAATTCCCTCACAGATGGTGTTATGAGGGGCATCACATGGTGTAGTATTTCCCTCATGAATGGTGTTATGAGGGGCATCACATGGTGTAGTAATTCCCTCACAGATGATGTTATGAGGAACCTCACATAATGCTGTAGCAACTCATTCACTACGTGGTGTCGTAGCATCATGGGGACATCACGTGGTCTGGTGTTACAGGACCTCACTCACTCAAGTGAGTGAGGTGTGGTCCCAGGCCTTCCTATTGTGGACGGATTAACACATAGCTGGTGTTGTGGAGTCTCAGGGGCAGTTATCACTGGGTACCTGGGACCTCACTGTGTGAAGGTTAGCTTCGGTACGACTTGGCTGTTGCTGCCGAGTTGTTTTTCACTGACTTAAGCACTGTTCACCACTATTCAACAGTGGTTCCATTCCTTTCCTAAATGAAATAGTAACTTCTGGCGAGAACTTGTTGATATTCCGGTGGGGAGGAGGGTTCAGGGGAGGGAGTTGGTAGGTACGTCTTGACCCTTCGGTGGTCAAGGATGAAAAGAGTGTGAGTGAGTGAGTGTGTGTGTGTGATGGTGTGGGTGATGCGGGGATGGTGTGGGTGATGCGGGGATGGTGTGGGTGATGTGGGGATGGTGTGGGTGATGTGGGGATGGTGTGGGTGATGTGGGATAAGGGTGGTGTTGGACGATGTGTGTGGGTGATGTAGGGGTGTGTGGGTGATGTTGGAGGGTGTGTGTGTGGGTGATGTTGGAGGGTGTGTGTGGGTGATGTTGGAGGTTGTGTTTGTGTGTGTGTTTGATGTGTGGGTAGTGTAGCACAGTGTGGGTGATGTGGGGTGAGAGATGGGGAGTTAAACCTTTTTGGGGGTGAGGGATGGGTCGTGCGGTCAGTTTCTGCCCCCCCCCTCTTCCTCACTTAAGCGTGGCAAATTGTGAAAGGGAGATGAATTTGATACCACAATGAACCTTAATAAATTCTCTATTGGACATTTCCAATAAGATATCCTTAAAAAAATATTTTGATATGAAAGTGATGGGAATTCCATTCTTTTATATAAACAAATAAAAAAAATGATACCGGAGTCAATAATATCAGTTCTAATTTCATTACATACCTTTTTTTTATAAAATAATCCTGAAAAATGTATATAAAAGTTTGGTTAAATAAATATATTTGAAAAAAAACAAAAGCTCTATATGATATGGGCCTGAATAGAGCTGTGTTACAGCTTGTAGGAACTGTAGTTATTTACGCAAACACCGCTGTAAAAGTACAATATTGTTCACACTGTAAACAAAATACCCCTATAATGTATAGTACTGTACTTCTATACTGTATATACTGTACTCACCAGCAGACACTGTTCACTCAGCTGACTGTAATGCTAAGCTGTAAATACATTTTAACATTTGCGATGGAGGTTGGGTGGGAGATTAGTGGGTCATGATACTGATCTGATCTGATGCAACATCAGGTCCCATTGTCGAGATGGGGGGATTAGTGGGTCTCATGACCTAAAGATGTCTTGAATAAAGATAAGGTGCTCCAGTGTTTCCCACTTACTGAATGTACAGTATACGTAACTGTAATAATTTTTTACGTTCTTAACACTGCTTTAACACTAAATTCTTGGCTGATTTTGTTCTGGTACAATAATGTACAGCACTGCACAACACAAATTGTACACCAAAAGAGCAGCTAGCAAAGGAACAACATTCTACAATGGCAGCAGAATATGAACTAAGTGATCCAAGCAGCTGGGCCACCATGTGCCTGGCATGTGGGGATGGGTTGGAGCATGATGCAATCCTTTGGAATGCCCTGAAAATTTATTCCAAAACCCAGAAATAAAAATGTGTTAAGATTTTCCAGAATTTTTCTTGGAATTTTCAGAAAATGCACCTGATTTTCAACCTCGGAATTTGTTCCCAAACCTGGAATTCAGAGAATTTTTTGGGAAAAATTCCAAGCGACTTTCAATTCCGGCTATTGGAGAGTTCCAAGTTTGAGGGATTCCGGCTAATGGAGATATTAGTTTTACTCAGTATTTACTGCTCTGCCATTTGAACCTGTTGTTCGCCCTTCGTGCTTAATGTCAGGTTTTCAAGAATGCAACCCCATTGTTAAATGAGGGATACCTGTACATGTATTGTACATACGATGTTTTTTAATGCTTTGTTACTCTAGTAGTGAGTCACCATCACAGCTAGGCATGTTTAATGAAGCTGTGAAACCAGCCTTGTCTTGCTGTGAATTTCCATTGACTCAGCCTTAATCATTAGACCATTCAGTGCAGCTGTACTGTCATTATATGCTCACTATCCAAATGTTCAAAACATCCTACGCTCCCTTTTTATTACCTTTAACCCATGTAAAATTTTAAATGGTTCTTTTTACTCTTACTTTCTTTTAACTTTTTCTTATTACTCTTCCCTCATTCTCTTACTCCTCCTTCTCTTCTTACTGTTTCTCGCACTGATTCTTTCTTCTTCATCTTATTTTCTCCTTCTAACTCATACTATTTTTTTTTATTCTTTACTCTTCTTACTCTTCTCACTCCTTCTTATTCTCCTTATCTATTATGTACAAAAGTTCATGAGAGAACATGGAGCTTGTGAGTGAACAAGATTTATTCAGTATACAGTAGTTGACTACCACTGGTCGAGGGACCCCCCTCCTCCCCATTATCTACTGTTTATGTTTGAGTAATTTCATGGCCCAATATTCTGACCTGATCTGCCTTCCTCTACTCTACTTTATTTAGCATTCCATTAGAGACTAAACTGTGAGGCTGTCTTTTTATAATGGAAAACCTAATGCAATCAGAATCACATACACAAAAGTGAGAGAACACAATCTAATATTGTGACCTACTACATACAGTACAAGTTATGTGGCTTGCAGAAAGGCCAATCCCTATACAAATGACAACTGAACCATCTTCTCAGCAGATTCCAAAAAAACAGTCCAATGAAGCTGAATATTAATCTTAAAACCTTTAATAAATTATGACTTTGATCTTGTCCATTAAAGTTTCCCAACAATGACTAATCCTTCATGGTGTATCAAAGCCTGTCTTATGTGAGTCACAAAATCAGATATTGCTCAGTTACACAACAGTTCTTACCTCTGGTCTCCTGATACTCTTGCCTAATTTGGTTGATTCCTTGAAGGTATCGAACCTTGGAGACATCACCAAGTGCTGCAAAACAACGTTCAGCAATGTAAATATGACGTCCCTCTAGTGTCAGTCGAGCAAGTGTGCGCCACATCATTTCAGCTTCAGCAGTGAGAGGTAGTGTCTGAAAATGTAACTAAATCAATGACCCATGAAAAGAAAAAATCATATTTTTATTGTTAAAACAAGAGGCACTTTGATTTAACAAGATAATAATGTATCCAAATTCATATTAAATTAATAAGATAAATATAAAAAACAACTACCGGGTATACTGTATAAGATAAAGCATAGGTAATTACTTTCAATGTACATATAATTATAAATAACGCTAATTGAGATAAACATCATCTAATGATGTCTCTTACTGTTTTAGGTTGATAAATTGGAAGTAACATATTAAGATAAGTCTATTGTGTTGACAAAATACTATACAGTACTACAGTACTGTATCTATATGTTTTTGATTATTGTACTCTCTGTCTCGTGTTTCTTATGGAGGCTAAAGCAATAGAATGCATAATATCTTGTGACTGACTCACTAATATTCTATCATGTAACTCCACATTTCATCCTGAAAACACTGTCACACCTTTTTCTCTTATTCTTTAAATCACTCCTGCTTCTTCCCAGTATTCAAGCCCTTCAGCCAAGACATTCAGGTTCTTTTCATTCATTATACCTTTAATATCTTATAATCCTGATCACATCCATGCACATTGATACACCAAAGTCTCTAAGCATTCAGTGACTATCATAAATTTACATTCAGGGATAGCATTTTGTTAATACAGTATATATACCTCAAGATAATTCATGGCCCGTAAGAATTCCCCATCGTCCACAGCAGTTCCAAACTCGATCAACCCTTCATCCAAGGCATATGATAATTCTTGGACACCATCTTGTACAATAACCTGGATAATAACATTTAAGATTAAATGTACATCAATTAATAAATCCTGAAAATTTAGGTACCAAGTATTCAACACTAGGTACTTATCATTTACTATCATTTTTTTATTGCCATTATTAATAAATAATAAACCACAGTGACTAAATCTTATTTGATTCAGACACTTAGGCATAAATGAGACATACAGTACCTTCATCCCTCCCTCTTCCCCTCAGAAAAATTGTGGGTCAAAGATAAATTACGGTATATGTACATGATTCAAGAAATATGAATGAGAGGGTACAGTTCCAAGTGCAAGCTTTAAAATAATATGCCCAGGCATCCATGTCCTTTCATAATACTGTATCTACAACTCATAGTGCACTAAATTTTCCCTAGTACCCACCCTGTGCTTTCAAACATTCACATAACAGAGCCTAGAGGTCATGTTAGTTTTTTTCCTTGGCTGAGTTGAATTTACTTGTTTGTACCATAAATTCACCTACAGTATACTGTACAGTAAATGTAAAAAGGAAATAGTAATTGGCAACCTTGCTGCACTAAACAGTTAGCAAGTGGTGGCCTGTGGTGGTTGTTGGTAGAGCACTCTTTTGGAGGCCTTAGATGTTCAAGATGCTGGCGTATCAGCATAGAGGGTACGTACATTTATATCATACTACCACTGGGCAACCATTTAACAAGGTGTATAATGTCCAGGATAGATTGCCAATTTGCTTTAAAATATGATAATAAAATATGTTTCCTCCACACCATGTTTTTTTTCTTATTCATAGTACTGTACTGTACATACTACTGCACTTTGTATAGTTTTACCTTTCGCCACTCTCACTACCAGAGTACTATGGCTGTCATTACATGAACAATACACTAGCCATTGAAATTTTTCTCTGCCTAGATGTGCATTATTTTATACTGTATTGGGGTAATATTATTTTATATTTAACTAAGCCTTTATAATATTATGCAGTATTCATTTAAGTACTTGGGTATTTATGCATCCATATATAATTACATAGATGGTATGAGTTCATGGTGGTTTTATACAGTACAGAAGAGTCGGGATTTATCAAGAAATAGGGTCCAACGATGTTCGCTATATAGTAAATCGCGATATATAATTACATGTAATCAATGGGAAAAATAGGGTTAGGTTCTGGAGGTCAAAAAAAGTGACTAAACTTGACTTAATGAGTTAATTTTTTTACTAACTATAGCACCAATGAACACTAGACTCGGGAACAACAGGCTACACCATGTACGTATTTCAATATCAATATCAAGGAACACTAGACTCAGGAACACCAGACTCGGCAGCAGACGCCACACTGCCACCCTCACTTGACAATCCCACACCTACATAAACGAACACCAAAAATATTACTTAGCATTCACCTTAGAAGTTGTAATCTGAAGCAGAGTCGGCTGCTTTCTCATCACTCACTCAGAAAGACTGAGCGGGTGAGCGAGATTGTGTGAGTGAGCAGCCACGGTGGCGCCTCTGGTGAGCAATTAACGCATTTGTTTGCCATGGCGGTACATTTGAAATATTTAATGCCCGATTTCCCTCGCGAAATAAAAACAAATTATCGCTACAGGTATACAGTGAAACCTCGCTTTACGCGGTCAATTGAACCCACGGAGGCCCGCGTAAAGCAGGAAACGCGTAAAGTGAACAACAGAACATATGGGATTAATTGAAATAGAGACTGGGCCGACCCCCAAACTCCACTTTTTCAGACACAATACCTACGTTGTAGTAAAAATAACTTCTTAATTTTATGATGGTATGCACACACAATTAAGAATTAAGAGAAATATCAATAATAGTGTATTAGGTTTTTTAACACTTACATTAGTAGAAAAGATGGCTGGGCAGATTATTGGCCCTCACCTGTATCAATTGTATCACTATCCACCACAGAGGCTTGCAGGGCCTCTTTGTCAAACCCCTCAAAGTCCATATAAGTCCATATCCTCACTATCACTATCACTGACTAGGGCCGGCTGTGGTGGGTGGCGGGTGAAGAACTCGGTAAAGTTTTGATGACTGGGCGACCTTGTGCACACCCGGCCCGCGCCGCTCTCCACGTAAAAGAGTACATGCACCGCGTAAAGTGAGCATTCCGGGTCTGGCAGGGTACCGCGTAAATGTAGAAACGCGTAAAAAAAAACGCGTAAAGCGGGGTAATACTGTATAGGAAAATTTTTATAATTTTGGTACCCGCGATATAAAAAAAATCTTTATAAAAAGTCGCGATATATCCTGTACAGTATAGTATTCAGGTAGTGTACTATACTAATTTACCACTCTTTAGAATAATCAAAGAGAAATGTTTCTGGTCTCATGGTGAGCTGGATTTAAGACATTCCACTGTACCACAAACTAAATTATGTAGGAAAGATGTCAAGCATTTCACATTTTTATTCTTAAAGTATTTAGTGTATTACAGAAAATCCACAGAAATGTAGAGTTTACTTTAAACTTTTTGGCATCACCAATTTTAGAAAACACAATCACATACAAGCTACATACCTCTGTTCTTCCATCAGCTCTCTCTACATCCACGACTTCTCCTTTTATTTGGAAAGTAGTGACTCGTTCAGGAGTGTCGATGTTATACCAAACACATAATTGTTCACGGCTTTGGGCTACCACTACATCACTACCTGGAACCCACTTTATCACAGAAAAGAAATTCTTCAGTTATAACAACCACAAGGAAATAAAACAAATATGCTCCATGCAGAATGAGAGATGGTACAGTATATATATATATATATATATATATATATATATATATATATATATATATATATATATATATATATATATATATATATATATATATATATATATATATATATATATATATATATATATATATATATATATATATATATATATATATATATATATATATATATATATATATATGCAATTTGTATCATTTTTCATTTCTTAATTAAGAGTGTGTGTGTGTGTGTGTGTGTGTGTAGAAATATTTCTTTTTATTGTTTAAATGAAAAAAATTGAAATTCAGTGGCCATTAATTTAGACATGAAAATATTACATTATACCATTCACTGCTTTTTTTTAATCAACCAACATATGGAAAATGGCTATAAAACATTGATGTTGATGATGATGACCAACAGTGTTGAGTATCTTACATCCGTTACCTAGGAATAAAAATTAAAGAATACACCATGAATTGTGTCAAGCATGGAACTGAAGATGGCATTTGTTCCTATAAGTATTTTTCCTGTAGATATCCAAGAATTGACGAGTTGACGGTCGGAATTTGTTCGTAAGATGGCAGGTTAATGGGTAAAGAAAACACTTAAATTCACTATGGCAATGATATTTTGAAATAAATTAGGCCAAAAAGTGTAAAAATTAAGGGTTAAAGTTGTTAAAAAGTCACGTGACAGTGAAAAGCTCTGTGATTGGTTGTGACGTCACTGGTTTCCTCGAGATGCAGAGAGGGAGCGAAGAGGCAGCCAACTGTGGTGTACAGCATATCCATTATTATGTGTTGTTTACCAGCTAAATTACAGGACTTGTGGCCATATACAATGTTGATATAAACAATGTTGATATTAGCTGCCCCTACTACAAATTTCATAGTACAGGTAGTTCTGCTATAACGCGATAATTGTGTTCTTGTAAAATATCGTGTTATAGAAAATCGCGTAATAGAAATAACAGGGCTTATGGAGAAAATAGGGTTAGGTGCAGATTACTCGAAATCGGAAAAATTTAGTAGTTAGCCTAACACAAAGGATAGCACAGTCTAAATAAATGTTACATTCATATCTAATAATGAAATCATACAGTAAATGTAACACTTTGCTTGATGGGGGAGAAGGGTGATTTTGAGGTTGATAAAATCGAGCTTCTCTTCAAGTGTTATATCCTTTCTTTTACGATCATCACCGGGAATTCTATCACCAGAATTCTTCTTGTTGATATTCTTCTTTACTATATTCACAGTTAATACAGTGGGGTATGCTATAACGAACGGATCCTACTACGAATATTCCTATAACGAACGGTTTTACCTATAAAATTGAGAATGCTATAACGAACGAAACTCCTACAACGAACATTATTTAATTTTTTTTTTTTCTAATTTATTGTTTTTTTATTACAAATATTAATGATATTCTTTATTTCAGGGGTTTAGATGCATATTTATGCACTTTTTTACAATTTTTACAATTCTATATAATATTTTTCAGTGTTAAGTGGTTGTATTTGGGGGCCTGGAACGGATTAATCCTATAACGAACGAATGTTATAACGAACAAGGTTCTAGAACCAATTATATTCGTTATAGCATACCCCACTGTACCACAAAATTGGAGAAATAGTAAGCAAAAATCGCGTTATAGCAAACAAGCGTTCGCGTTATACAAATATCGTTCCTAATTCATAAATCGCGTTAGAGCAAATTCCCGTTATCAAAACACGCGTTATAGCAGAACTCACTGTACAGTATAAACATTCCAAACAGGATTGGTATTATTTTGGTTTTGGTCATCTGGGGAACCTTAAGATTCTAACTATGGGATTAAGTACTTTAAACAATAAGACAAATTATCTCTACGGGATTTCTGTCGCAAAACAATTTTCTACCGCAAAAGAAAATACAGATCATAAGTTAGGTTAGGTATGATAAGTTATAAGGTTAGCTTAACATACACCGGTAAGGGGGGTAGTAACTTAAAACTAGTGATTTCCGATAGAAATGAAGGTCAAAATCGTTCATAACACATCGCAAACCATCAGAAAAATAAACAAAGTCTGCATGTCTAAGTACAGGGATGATCAAAACTTAAAATTTACCCAATATCGTATAGCCTATCTCGAATCTAAGCATCCAAATACTTATGGTAGTTAAAGTAAAATTTTACCACCCATTAATTAATATAAATGATGATATACCCCAGTGGTTCATTAGTGAATCATCAAAACAATAACAGCACTATGTTGTCATGTTTACCTAGCATCATGAATTCTCAAAAACAAAGTCCAGACAATTTCATTACTTCTCAAGTGACTCGTATCTTCACCCGTACGTCGTCTGCAGGGTAAGTGGTGACGTCATTGCAAATGGCGGCCCTGTTTCTAGAGAAATAATCTTTATCTCGACTATTATAGCAGGACTTTAAACTTATATTACAAATGATAAATACTGTATCACTCTACGAACGTGGCAGAGTGCATTTCTTGTGTTTACCCAGAACCGTCAACTCGTCAATTGTTTGACTAAATACAAAGAGCTCATTTCATGAATATTATGGATCAGACCAAAAGCAAGGGATGGGAAATTGGTTATTGTTAAGTTTGTATGCCCCAGGAAGGGAAAGACAGAAGTAGAAGTGAGAGGTTTTGGAATTATATGAATAAATGAGTTGGTCTTCAAAATGAGACAATAATGGTGAATGGAAAACTGTGAAGAGTGAGCAACAGGGTAGTGGATTAGATTATAGGTAAATAAGGACTGTCCAGAATGTACAGATATAGCCAAAGACAGAAATGTACAGACATTTCAAGAAGTTGAAATAAAGTGAAAATGGTAAAGTGTATAATTCAGTGGTGGATGATAGGATGGAGAGGAAATAACCATGTAAGAGATGGATATATGGAGTAAAGGAAACATTAAAGAGAGAACATCCAGGAAGTAGAGGAGTGTAAGAGTAATCAAAAAGCAAGGTGTCTTGTAGTTCATTGGGATATTCTAGCACCAAGAGTAAATGGATGAGAGCATATAAAGGTGAGTGTGTTTGCTTTTGGTACCAACCATATCAATACAGTATGGGAAACGCCCTTTGACAAAAAATGAAAATAACAACCTGTACAAACGTTGAGTAGTTAAGAATTGTCGTCTTCTGTAATGTTCCAACACTAATTAGCATCAGCCTTTGCCTCTTATCTCGGAATAACAGTTGAGAACCTGTTTCATTTAACTCTAGCCAATCAATACGTGAATCATGAGTTACTTGTCCCATAGTCAGGCCATAAGTCAAATCCACTGAAAAAAGAAATTAAATGTGTTACTTCGTGTACATATTTTTGTTGTACAGTATAACAATCAATTATATTCAATCCCAAACTGCAGGAGTCAGAACAGGTACATCAAGCTTAACTGGTGTACTAAACTTAACAAGAATGAGGTGGAACAGGTGTACCAAGCTTAACAAGAATGAGGTGGAACAGGTGTACTAAGCTTAACAAAAATAAGTGAAACAGGTGGATCAAGCTTAACAAGAATAAGTGAAAAAGGTGCATCAAGCTTAACAAGAGTGAGGTGAAACAGGTGTACCAAGCTTAACAAGAATGAGGTGGAACAGATGTACCAAGCTAAGCAAGAATGAGGTGGAACTGGTGTACCAAGCTTATCAAGAATGAGGTGGAACAGGTTTACCAAGCTTATCAAGAATGAGGTGGAACATGTGTATCAAGCTTATCAAGAATGAGGTGGAACAGGTGTACCAAGCTTATCTAGAACGAGGTGGAACAGGTGTACCAAGCTTATCAAGAATGAGGTGGAACAGGTGTATCAAGCTTATCAAGAATGAGGTGGAACAGGTGTATACCAACGAAAACTTGTTTTTACACTCTTGCAAGTTTTTCTTTCTACAGGGTAGCCAAAATCAAGAGAAAACTGGATGTTCCTCCTTCATAATTAGTGAAACAATATTTATTTTATTAATACACAAAACACAGCAGTGCATAATGTATTTCAAGGCAAATATGGCCATGTATTTTTTCAGATGTGATTTTGACCATAAAAAAAAATCTGAATCTGGTGTTGTGCATTTTGTCCATTAAAGATTCATACTTAAGTGAAGTACATCACAATTTCTATGTCAATATAAGATTTATGCTCTGGACAAGGAGTTTAACATACTGTACACCAAAACTGAAACATTACATAGTCAGTTTTTCAAAATAAATACAGCAGAAAACAACTTTTACCACAGTAAGAATGAAGGGTGTCTGTGTTTGCTCATGGTTTCAACAACCTTGTAATATAATAGAAAGAAAGTGCAGCTCATTATAATAACACAGGACTCTTGTAAGAATGTTGAGAATAGCCTAACTTCTTTATATCAACAAAATAGGGTCTTTGTTATGAGAGCATCCTTAACTCTTAAAGGGCGGGTATATTTACGTGCGCTGTCCTCCCAGGAAGGGGTATATTTCGCGATGCAGAAAACAGAGCAAATCATGTAAGATAATGTTTTTGAAATACAGGTAGAATGCACCGTAATTGAGATTTTTTTTCAAAATTAGAAAGCCGAATCTTTGTTCTACAAATTCACATTTAGTCAATAAATACAAGAAATAATAATTTCTTGGAGAAGTCACAAGTTGAACTGGGAGTACTGTACATGTTTTACCGGCTCTGGAGCGAGCCGCCAGCATCATCATAGTAACCAGACAGCAACACAGCCATGAGTACATCCAAACAATGGCACGAAAAACATAAATGCCATACGATGTCCACTGCCCTTTAAGGGTTAAGGAAAGAGGTAGGAAGGTCATAGAGCAGTTGGAAAAAATGTACTGTACCTACCAAGACATATTGTTTTAAGATCTAATAAATAAGCCATCTTTTTGTTGTCATCTATGCCTCTTTGGCGGCGTTCATTCAGTCGAACACTGGTGAGATGAGGGTTCATGAACTCAGTCCTGAAAATATCATGATTAGTTAATGCCATCACCATCGATGTTTTATGGCCATTTTCCATGCTTGTGTGGGTTAGGCACAATTACCTGATGGCAGCTCTCCATGCTGCACAGTCTCTTGCAATCTCTCCTGTCAGGTTCTGAACTCTAATGTCATTTCTTACAACCTCTCCCCATGTCGTTCATGGCCTACTCCTAGCAGGGATGGGGACAAATCCAACCCTCCAGCTCTGAAGCCAAAGCCAGACATCAAGCAATGAAGCTGAAATCAAGGCTTTTCAAAGCTTCATGAAACCTTAACACCATTATTTATATAATATACAGTACTATATTATTTTACATGTTGATGGGAACATGTATGGTATTCTAAGTTCCAGCAAGGCTTTGAGATGAGCTGACTTTATATTAAGCTGACTGTTCTTGGGGTAAGATTCAACTCTCCCTATAGCCTGAAATAGGTTACTTATAGTAACAATTTCTCTTTCTAAATTGATTTTATTGACAATACATAAACGTAGTAACTAGGATTCTGTAATCCAACCAACAGATTCCGCATTTTATTTAAAGAGTTTTAATGTCAGGTCCTTGTGAGAATACATTATTTGTTAGCGACGTATAGTACAGTACAGTACTGTAGTAGCAAGAAGGAACCAGTCTCTTGATTAAATCTAGAGGAAAGGGGATGAATATTCCATTCTTATTTCCTTAGGGTCTGCTGCACTGTAATCATGGTCTAAGGACTTAACTGCACAGCCATCCTTCTGCAAGCCTGAAAATTTATAAAAAGTGCATGACAGCTGAAAAATGAAAGGGGCACAGCACAATGGCTATGAAGGTGGTGTAAAATATAATGAACATCATGGCTCATCAGAAGACAATCATAGCCATGATGAAATTCCAAAATTGTTAATGGATGGTTGAAAGTTGCATATAAATATATTTACTGACTTATTTTGAAGACAAATATCAGTAATGATAAACTTTGCATGTTACACTGAATCTACCAGTATCAGGACATGCTCTACCCCATTAAACCCATCAGCAACTAAATAAAAAAGATATTAAAATTACCTGACAGATCCAAGCAGGTCATTATTGCCATATTCCACCAATGAAAGCTCCCCAGCATTGAAGATCATACAGACATTCTCATTATTGAAGTAGAACTTTTCTGTTCCTGGTTCTACAGCCCAGTGGACTTCACTCAGTAAATTTCTGTGTAGGTCACCCAACAGCAAGGTTTCATTGGTACGGGCAACAAGGTAGCGATCTTTGCCTGAAAAAACATGGACATAAATCTCAATTTAGTTCTGGTAATTCAATTATAAAATAATTACAGAAAAAAGACAAATTGGTTATTCCTCTGACTCTTATTATCTAAAGCATTTTCATTTGCCAAAAACCCACTAGGGTAGGCTGCTTTGTGTGTACAGTATATACTTATTTATTAAAATGCTTAGACTGCAGATCATGTATCCCCATTAGCCAAAATAATTGGTGCTAATGCTAAGCTCTGCTAGGAATGAGAGATTTTTGGGTACTGAGATCAGAGTTTTCCGAGAGTCTAAACTACCCAGTAAGCATCTCACACAGAAAGACACTAACACATCCCCGAAATGTTTCCAGGTGGTGGGGAAAGTTTTCCGAGTCCAAACATCTAAACTACACAACTCGCACAGACAAACACTCTAATTACACTTAGGCCTCGGACATGAAAATATTTACGGCTAGAAAAAAGTTAATAAACTTTTATTCACAATCTGTTCTAATTGTATTAGAGAGATGAATTTGGTACCATAATGACCCTGAATAAATTCTCAACAATATTTTTTCAATAAAAAATCCTTAAACAAAATATTCTGACACGATATAATAATGGGGCCTCAATACTCTTATGAAAAAATGCAAGAAATATTTATACTGGAGTCAATAAAATCAAGTGCAATTAAGTTAGAAACACCATTTTTTTTTCCAAAATAATCCTGAATAGTTTATCATAATTTTTTTTTCAAATAAATATACAGTATTTTCTCGATTTAATTAACTAATTCGAGCCAACCCTGTTTGTTAAATTGAAATTTCCACTAAATCGAGCTCTCGGTCAACTAAGTATACACTGGAGCACCTTACCTTCTGTCTTTATTCAAGACATCTTCAGAGGCAACTGAATTTACAGGGATGGAATGTCAGGTCACCCTTTCTTGGGTGGGGCATTAGTGGGTCTCACGACCTGAAGATGTCTTGAATAAAGACAAAGGCTAAAATATTTTAAGGGGAGACCTGACCTACCCTGATGCAATGTCAGGTGGAGGTAGGGTGGGAGGTAAATGGTCTCATATTACTGACCTTCTGATGGAATGTCAGGTCACCCTTTCTTGGGTGGGGGATTAGTGGGTCTCATGACCCAAAGATGTGTTGAATAAAGAGAGAGCTAAAGTATTTATTGGGAGATTGTGATAAGTACAGCTACTCCCCGACTTACAACCTCGTCGACTTACGACCACCCGGACATACGACTGCCTCAGTCGTACCAAAATTTTGTCAAATTACGTATTTTCGAGTAACAACGTCAGTGATTGCGCTGTGTACTGACAAAATTTTCGTTTGTATTTTACTTTAAAATGGCTGACAAGCTTAAAAGTGATAGTTTTGTGGTGCTGAGAAGAAAAAGAGACACCAATTTTAGATTTTCTATGTAATATTTAAGCATTTTCGACTTACGACCATTTTGACTTACAACCTGGATTTGGGTCCCTAACCCAGTCCTAAGTCGGGGAGCAGCTGTATAAGTATAAATTACATTACATAACATTTTAAAATATGGAGTGAGAAAGCAGAAAGGTGTTGGTGATTAGAGAGATGGAATGGAAAGGAGTGGTAGCATACACCGTGTTGCCAAGTGCTCCTCAACAGCTGACGTTTATCTCGCCTCCAGGCAGTCATACAATAAGACCCTCACTGGATGCGTGTTGTCTTAATTCCCGTGTGTGTGTGTGTGTGTGCATAAAAATTAAGTGACAAGCCAAATAATAAGGTAAAAATAAGTACAGTACTGTATTACAGTAACATATCTTGACGAATTAATAAATAACAAATAAACAATATTTTGTCAAAATTGGTGGTGTAGATTAATATAATCTTTTTCTTTTCAATTTTTTTCTTTTTACTCTTATTTTTTTTGCCCCCTAGGCCCCGTTGTGGGTCATGACCTGTGCCCAGGTGGGCTACTCACCGTACGCACACACACACACACACAAAAAAAGTAGAGGTGGGGGGTGAGTGGTCAATTTCTCCCCGTTAGGGTTTCCATCCCTCCTTCACCACCACTCTCTTATGTACAGAACTAAACAAATAATTTATTTGAAATAGTATGTAACATTCGTACTTTAATGTACGAAGCTAAGGAAGCAAACTTTTTATCTCTTGTGCAAACTATGAGATGTTTAGACTCAAATTAATTGCTATCTTGCAAGGATTCCAGCCATGAGGCTGACCAGAGATCGTATAAGAAATTGTCCCAAACACAATAATTGAGAGACATAAACTAAATAAAAGTCACTCTACTTCCTCACTGTGCTAATAAGTATAAATACCGTATATAAAATCCTCATGGAACTTAGTATTTCAGCAATTATAACACAAATTCGCGGAGCCTTCTTTTGTGTGTATTTACAGCTGAATCGCCAGGCAAGAAGATAAAGGTCGTGATGCGTATGATGGGGGGTGAAGGAGGGGGTTTTGAGAATTGCAATTAAATGCTCGGTAGTGACGTGTCCTCCTAATATTACTTATTAAGTAATTATTAGATGTTTTAATTGCCTGTATGTTGGCCTGGCGAGTTAGCTAAAAATTAACATACCTAAGTAACATGCTTAGCATCGCATTCTGACTTGAAAAAAAAAAATCTATATGATAGGGGCATCTGAGGCAAGAATGTGCTCGGCACATGGGGGATGCATTGAAGCATGATACACTATCTTGAAACTCCCAGAAAATGTTTTCCCAGGCCTGGGACAGAGAGGTTTGGAGAGATATTCATGGAATTTTCCTGGAAAATATGGCTGATTTTCATCTTCGGAAACTTGTTCCCGTCTCTGGACTGGAGAGTTTTCCTGGAAAATTTCCAGCTCAATTTCCATTCTGGGGAGATTACACACCTCCATGTACTGTAGTCCTTTGTCATTACCACTTTCTCAAAGAAGTCCAAGCCAATTGGGGTATCTGTTACTTCATTTTCTAAATCTTCACCTATACTTATCCTCTAAGTCAGGGGTCACCAAACTACGGCCCGCGGGCCGGATCCCAAGTCCTTCCCCGGCTCGTGGTAGCTCCGCCTACGCTCTGACGTTACCAGAGCTTTCGTTCTGGCTTGCAAGTATTGAACAGAATGATTATGCGGCCCGCGCTCGTCATTCTTTCAGTTATCCGGCCCACTGTGAAAAAAGTTTGGTGACCCCTGCTCTAAGTTAACCAGTCACTACATACTTCTTATTAACATCTCATTCTTCTAAGGACTACAAAACTCTTAACTTTCCAACTTTCTGGCCAGTATTACTTTAATGCAAACATCCCTTTAATTTGGATTTACTTAAATTCTATAATTTCTATCTTAAAACTACCATATTTGTACAACATTAAACACTTTCTCCTACCATTCTACTTTTATTATACTAAAAGTTCCTTTATTTACAAAAGGGATTCATCCCTAAAAACTTTTGGATACTGAAATTTTCTTTAAATTGGAAAAAAACCCTCATTATTTTAAAGGAAAAATAAGGAATGCATTCTGGGTGGTCACCTAGCTTAAAAATACGTAAATTCCATAAAAAAGGGGGAGAGAGCAAAAAATATATATTACACAAATAATAAAATAAAACAATAATTCAGTTAACCCTCACACAGCATCTACCATCAATTGATGTTTCACGTTCCTTGCATTCCAGTTTTGGTGCATATGGTGGCAGATTAGAGAATTTGTACCTGCCATTTAAACCAATGAGGTCAGTAATGGCACCTTATAGTCATTAACCATGGGAGCTCAAGTTGCTTAATTCTATCCAAATCATTTTACATTATAGAAGTAATGCACTCACCCATTATACGAACATCATGGATTTCAAAACCATACTGTGATCTAAGGATAACTCCACGGCTGCCAAAAGGACCTGACCCAGCTATAGGTTTGACCAATACTTGTGAAGGTCCAACATAAGTCATCTCCCACTTATTCTTCCACACAGATCTCCTGCAAGATAAAAAATTTAGATAGAAAAAGAAATGCTCATAACGAGATTTCAAAATGCTTTGTTAAAAAAGCACACACTGAAACCATATTCAGATAAAATACGGTCATCATAATTATCACCATCATCACTGTTTCACCTCAATTTTCCACACTTGCATGAATTAGCCATGATTACCTAATGGCAGCTCAACATGATGCATGGTCACTTGCAGCCCTTCTCATCAGGTTGTTATCTAAAGTCATTACTCACAACCTCTCTCCATGTCATGCTTGGCCTTCCCCTAGCTCCCCTCCCTTCCACATTCAAACTCATGCATTTTTCAGCCAATTGGTCTCAGCCTACCTCTGCATAAAACCTTGTTAATCCTTCCAATACCCACGAACCATCATAGCTAGACGTCGCATTCTGGATTGAACAAAAATAAGAGTAAAAAACACCACGAAGATGCCAGAAAACCAGCTTTTTAAAGTGAGACATTGTAAGAGTATGGAAACACAGAAGAAAGCAGAGCATTCCACAGTTTGGCTGTGTGAGGAATGAAGGATGTATTATAAGGGTTATTCTAGTGTGACCAATAGCCACAGAGAAACTGTGGGCACCGCGGGCAAGACAAGTGTTACAAGCCCTCGGCCTTGCCGGCGGTACACAGGATGCCAAATCCACCAAACATTGCCTGTTAAAGTACATGTAAAAGAGAGAGAGAGAGAGAGTGAAGCAACATTGCGGCGAAGAGAAGGAGAAGAAAGATTGTCAACTAAAGGAGGAGAGTCAATGCCTTTGATTTCACTCTATCTAACAGTTGGACAGAAGAAGAGCTGCCCCAGATATGAGAGCAGTACTCTAAGTTAGGAAGAATGAATCCTGTATAAACTTGAAGCAACTGCTCAGGAGTGAAGTAGCAATGGCATCTGTACAGCTTTCCCAGCTTTTGGGAAGCAGCTTTAGCAATGTTGTGGATGTGTGGCTTCCATGACATATTTGAGGAAATGGTGCGACCTAGCATATCTATTTTAGAACTTGGCAGAATGATTGCATCCTGAAATGTGATTGGTGGGAGATCATTTAATTTGGAAGGTGAAATTGGTAAATATTGGTTTTATTACTATTGAATTTAACCAAGTTTCTACCTCCCCATTTGTATATGCTGCACCCGCATTCATAGATGAAATGATATCAGCTCTAGAAGCAGATCAAACTTGAGAATTAGGAGAAAGGGAAAATGTGATGAAGAGTGAAGAGTAGAATCATCAGCATAAGAATGGATAGAATTAGTCGTACGTAGTGTGAAGTAAATCATTGATAAAAAGAAGGAAGAGAGTAGGTAAAAGAACAAAACCCTGTGGGACACCACTATTGGTAGAGAAAGAGAGAGAGGTCGATCCTTCAACAACAACTGCCATGGATCGGTTCTCAAGGAAGCTAGAAATTAGAGAACAAAGTGGGGGAGAGAAACCATAAGAGAGAAGTTTAGAAAGCAAAGACAAGCGCCATACCCTGTCAAATGCTTTGGAGATGTCGAGGGGCCACGACGAAAGTTCCCCCATAATCTCTAAGAGAGGATGACCAAAGATAGGTGCAGTAGGAGAGCAGATCACCAGTAGATCTCGCCTAGCAAAAGCCATACTGGTGATCCGACAAAAGAAAAAAGCATTCAAGGTGACGAAGAAAATGAAAGTTTAAGATAGTTTCGAAAATCTTAGAAAGGGATGAAGTTAGGGCAATGGGGCGATAGTTTGAGGGATTAGAATGGTCACCCTTCTTTGGGATGGGCTGAACCAAGGCATGCTTCCAAGAAGAAGGAAAAGTTTGGGTTTTGAGGCAAAGGTGAAAGAGGCGAGCAAGCACAGGGGACAGAACTCAGCACACTCCTGCAGAACATGAGGGGGGTATTCTGTCCGGTCCATGCGCCTTACTCACATCCAACCTGGTTAACACACCAGCAACCCTCCGAGTGGAGATTATAGGCAAGTGCATAGGTTCAGTAGGAGGAGCAGCAGTAGGAGGGATAGAGCTGGAATTGTCTAAGGTGGAGTTAGAGGAGAATAAGGTGCCAAAGAAATTGGCTTTATCAGGGGGAGAGTTGGTTATAGAGTTATTAGGTCGGAAGCGAGGAGGAAAAGAGGGAGTGCAGAAGTTATTACAGATGTTTTGGGTTAAGGACCAGAAGGATTTACTAGAGGAAGAATTAGTCAGGACAGGGGTCTTTCTTTTTATAAAATTCCGCTTGGCCCTATGAAGACTAGCCTTACAACGATTCCTAGAAGTAATGAAAGAGGAGTGGGTAATAGGAGAAGGAGATAGTTTCATAGCTTGATATGCCCTATCTCTTTCCCTCCATGCAAGAGAGCAGGAGCAATCAAACCATGATTGTAAAGCGAAAGTTTTGGTAGAAGATGAGATAAAAGCACTCATACCACCCTTTATAACCCCAGCAATGCTGTCAGCACATACTGAGGTGTCCCGAGTGGAAAAGCAACATTCATCCCAAGGAAAGTCGGAGAAGAATTCTCCCAAGGATTGCCAGTTTGCCCTCCGATAGCGCCATAGTTGGTGTTTAGAAGGAGGTGGGGGAGGTGGTTGTGCCCAGTTTGATTGAATAAAAATAAGATTGTGATCAGAAGACCCTACGGAAGCAGAAATTGAGTATGAATAGTGTGAGGGGTTAGAGGTAAAACAAAGATCAAGAATGTTAGTAAGTTGATCGTGTCGATCAGGAACACGTGTAGGGTGTTTAATTATTTGTTCCGGATCATTAATTAAGGAAAAAGAGAGTGCCTCAGCCCCACCTGGGTCATCCCTTGCAGAGCCAAGCCAATCTCTGTGATGTACATTGAAATCCCCTAGGTAGAGGATCTCAGTGCTGGAGTGTGTGGATAGCAACAACTCATGGCAAGAAGTGAGATAATCAAAGAGTTCCAAATAGTTGGTAGAGTTGGGAGAACAGTATAGGAAACAAAGAAAAATAGTCATAGTTGGTTGAGATATTTTGAGCCAGATGACATCACAAAGAGAAGATTCAAGATTTGTGAGTCGAGCTATAGGTGTACATGTTGCATTAGGCGCGCACACCTCCCTTAGAAAGGAAAAGCGGTATAAAGGTTGTAGTTGGAGACTTGAAAAGGTTTGGGTGAAGCTGTTTTGGTCAGTTGAAGTTCAGATAGTAGTAAGAGGTCGGGGGGAAGAGGTTAATAGATGGTGCTCCACAGAAGGAAAATTGGATCTCAGGCTGCAAATGTTGGAAAAATGAAGTGTGAAAAAAGATGACCCTCCAGCAACCGCAGTGACGTCAGTTGAGGCCCAAGTAGTTTGATGATGATCAGGTCAACCCTGGGGTCCACAACCTTCCTGACCAGTGGGACCCATCTGAGAAGGCCCTGCTTTAATATTATTGTCAATGATAACATAGGAGAGTAAAAGAGTAGAAAGAATAGAACAGATCAAGAGTGAGAAAGGTTATATATGTTGTGTTTTCAATACGAAGAGAGACAATTGAGACCCTGTAATTGTGCATAAATGAGGCAGAAAGACAGATCAATAACCTGGGACTTGGTCACAATTTTTGTGATGCCATATGACAGCAGGGTCTACCATTAGACAACACATTATGCTTCCTAAATCTTCCCAAGTGGTAGTATCTCCCTGTTTGGTAGCTACCTACTACCTAATGATCATATTTCACCTACTGCACAACATCATACTCTCATACCAAATTCATATTGCACATATTTTTTCTTTTCATGTGAAAAGAAGGTCCTCTCACTGTCAATAAAAGCAGTAGCTTCCCAAACGTCTTCCAGCCACTTTGACTCATACAACTGAGCTTGCTTCATCCACCACCTCCAGCACTTATCATGTCACCCATGTAACAGAAGTCATCAAAATATCAAAATAGTGAAGGTATACATCCCCAATGTCAAGCTTTTCCAGACTTGCTAAGGCCACATGATTTCTGTACTTGTACAGTACATACAGAACACTAAGTGTCAGTAACATCCTGTAGTCTGTCATTTAAACCGCTACACTGCATCATCATCACCACCACCAATTTTTGCCCATTTTCCACACTTCCTATGGACAGTTTATGGCCATTTTATACTTTCCGCTACAGGTAACCCTCATTTAATGATCGAGATGCATTCCTGAAAAAACAATTACTAAGGTAAATGATCACTAAACTAGGGGAAAATGAGAAATAATATCCATGGAGATGGCATGTAATTGTGTAGCCCAACTGGCCGACTTGTCACCCAGTAGCACTAAAGAATGGGTAAGGTTGGGCTGTGAGCTATGTTATTGTTCAACTCATAATTTCTGGTAGATGACCATAATTTTCTTTTCTTTTACTCTGTTATATGTACACAAATAATCATTCATACAGAATGTGAAAAAAAAAATTATCATAAGGTCAAAAACATAAAGGTAATAAACATTTCTTATGTGCTTGGCAATTAGCCTACAGATCGGGGGAGGGGGAGCTGGAAGGGGAGAGGGAAGCGGTGTGGGGGAACTTTCAGCTGTTCTGTCTCATGCCCCGTTAAATGATTGCCAAATGGCAACATAGAGTTTTTTTCTTTAATTTTATTTATTATTATTTCTATTTATTATTTGTAAATGCATCTTAATCCGGACTACATGGGGGGAAATCCAGTCCACATTTAGCAAATTTCCATATAAAGTGATTTTTGGAGGTGGTTTATTTAATCCAGAAAAAGTTTGGATCTCTCAACTCCTGTGGACTATTTGTGACTTTGTGTACTAATTACCATGACTTCTAAAGGCAAGACAACTTCAAAAGGAAGTCAGAAGAGGGCCAGAAAGGAGTTTAGCTTGAAGGCCAAGCTAGCAATTCTGGAAGATCATGAGAATGGTGTGCCGACAAAAGTTTTGATGGAGAAATATGACTTGGGAAAAATTAATCATCAACACAACAGCATCACCAACTTTGTGATAAATACTGTACTGTATGTCCAGTATGTACTGTATAAGAATTATATATATTATACTGCAGGTTAGTGATTCAAAAGTGTGTGTGTGTGTGTGTGTGTGTGTGTGTGTGTGTGTGTGTGTGTGTGTGTGTACACACACAAACACACCCACACACACACACATACAATACAGATAAAAGAAATTAATGTTTATAGATCGAATGGCTCCCTGTCCCGGCTGCAAAAATGCCAGCAACTTTAAAACTACCCGCAGACATTCTTGGTACATCCAGAGTGTCATCCGCGAATAATCGAGGACCGCATATTAAAAATCTGCGAATTGTCAGGGCATGATGTACTTCATTTGTTTTCCTGCCATTGTTACTTATTTTTAGTATTCTCCTGTAGCACCACACATATATACAAACATTCTAATGTTGCTACACATAAAAACTTATCAGTTTAACCCTTTGGATGCGGCATGCGGGTAAACCCGCCCAAAATATTATATTAATTAAATGCGACAAGCGGGGATATCCCACGGCCTTGAAAAAACTTCCCCAAATGAGACGACATGCGTACATATTATGTATTGAGGTATAGGAGTATTTCCTGAATGCAATATAGCTTATTTTTGTACTATTTTGTTTGATATTATCTGAATATGTAATACATATCTAAATTTGCTGTTTAGTAACCAAATTGATTAAATTTATTTGCCATATACCGGACATTGATTTATACCAATTTCCTGCATTTTTGGGTATAAATGTCATTTTTTCTCTAAAATTTGCACACATATGTGAATTTTTGTTCCAGATTTGGAAAATATACTAAAAGTTCTCTAGGAAAAACATATAGAAAATGTGATTATATGAAATTCATTTTTGGCAGGATAATTGACACTTTTCAGGAACCGGCGCGAAATTTAATTACGCACCTAAAGGGTTAACTAATAGACAGGTAAAATATGGAATACGTACCCTAAGAGTGCATTCTGCTCTGTAGCTCTATGAAAAAAAAAAATCTTACCGTAGCACAGAATCAAAGAGTTCAACTGCACCACACAGTGTCCCACACACCAGTCTGGATCCATCTCTCTTCCAAGCTAGTGCAGTAATTGTGTAGAATCCCTCAAACTCACGGGTGGCCTTTTCATCCCACATTCCTCTTGACGTGTTGTAGTCAAAGATACGTAACCTGAAATAGACAGAATAAATTTGTTCAAGATAAAGTTTGGGGAATTTTGGACAGAAGAAAATACTCTTGTACTTCATGTAAATGAAGCGGAGAGTAACACAAGATACTGAACATAAGTTCAGTGGTTATGGACCAGTCCTGAATATTCCAGAAACAGACCTCTGACCTTTAGCTGCAAGCTTGGAATTTGGGATAATTCAGCAAGGGTAGAGCCTCATATGTGTCGAGTTATCAAGGTGAAAATATTAATGGTGAAAAAATTAATAAAACAATGAAATACCTGTATACTGTACTATGCTATAAGGTGTATTGAACCAGTTTGTACAGTATATTATGTTCAAGATACATGAGTCACCCATACACTATACAGTACAGTACACTGTATTATACAATAACCATAAAATAAGAAAAAAATTAAGTGGAAGGGGAATTTTGTGTGAAGGAATAGGACGAATGGCTGGGCTGGACCCAATGGAAATTAACACCCCTTTATAACAACAGTATGTAATTTCACCATAATCCCCATATTATTTAGGTAATCATTTAGTGCCAAGTTTATAGGATATTATTGTAAAACAATAAATTTCCCTAAAAATAAAAAATCAGACACTCAATCCCAGATGAGTTATTGAGTCTGTCAACACATGGAAACAGCCAGCCAGCCAGCAAGCCCTGGCATCTGCCTGTCAATATGTTATTTATTTACATATTTATTTATTTATTGGTGTAATGGTGTCACTCAGAGGATGATTACAATAAGGGAAAGAACTGTTTATGTATTATAGAACTACTTTTTTTATATCAAATTAATACAGTGATCCCTCGATTAACGAACGGTTAAATTAATTAAATTTTGGTTAATGAATTAGCTCCCATAAGGATTTTCAGTTGCATTAACGAACAAAACTTTGATTAACAACAGCCTTACGAGAAACAAGCTTTGTTGTGCGCATCAGCTGTTCTGCGAGTCCACCAATACAGTAATTGGTTCTATGTTTACATTCGTTTCCAGTGCAGTAAATATCAAGAAAGTTGTGCTCTTGAATATCTTTTAATTTTTTTATATTAAAATTATTGGTCATTCTGAAATTTTGTTAACATATTGATAATATATACAGTATAGGGAACAGTTTTTGTGTGCCCTTCAGCTAATCAAATCACCCACCAACGCTTCTCAGTTTAACTTTGTTTACAGTGGAGTGAACATTCAGTTTGTTGGTCTCTTGAATATTTTTGCATTTTTACATTAAAATTATTGATTATTCTGAAATTTAGTTCACATATTGATAATATACAGTGCAGAAATTATTATGAAACATGAAGAAGGCATTAGAACCAATGCACTCTGTTAAGAATATGGCATGTCATCATTGACTGCCTCTACAATTAGCTGTTTGATATGTAAACAAAGCTGCCGGGAATACGACATACACACCTCAAAGTAATTTAAAATATAGTATTCTATTGTTTTTTTATTTTTTAGTATACAGTATACTGTACAGTACTGTATTTAGTTTATATTTAGTGTTTTGTTAATTCTATTACTGGCATACAGTACATTGTATGTACTTTTTCTGTGAGTTGGAACCAGTTACCCAATATCCCATTGAAATAATAGATTCAGTTAAAAAAATTTTTGGTTAACAACCGACTCTGTAGAACCAATTGTGTTCGTTAATCGAGGGACCACTGTATTTTATTGTTATTATTTTGTTAGGGAATGAACTGAAAAAAGTCGAAACCGCAAACCGTAAAACCGCGAATGGCAAGGGTCTACTGTATACAGTATAAAATAATGTGGGCAGGCTTAATTTTTTTAAATTACTATATGGAAATGGATTACAGTAAGTCCTCGCTTAACATTGTCCTGCTTAACATTGTTTCAGTACTATGTCGCTGAACTTTAGAGACCAAAAATTCGCTTAAGTCCCGGTGATCCAACACTACGTCGTTTTGCGTCGTCACAGACTACTTTCTATGGCGCATCACCCGCTCTTGTCTGGCCGCACTACGCTCTCTCGGCTCGGCGTGCTGCCCTCACCTGCGGAACATCACAGCATCCCTAAGCGATATCAAGCCAGTCTCTGTTACGACTTCACATCATTCATGTGTGCTTAAGTGCTTTTGATCTAAAACTGTACTCTAACCATTCAAAATGGCTTCCTAGCGCCCATCAAGTGCTACTGATGCTAGTGTAGTGAAGAGGCAATGTAAGACCATTACCCTTGCTATGAAAATGGATGTATTAACCCGATTTGAAAAAGGGGAACGTGCTGTGGACATAGCCACTGTGCTTGGTCTAAACCCCACAACGGTGCGTACTATCCAGACCAACGCTGACAAGATTAAGGTTAGTGCTGGAAGTGGTTCTTCTCTGAGTGCTACTAAGACGACTCGTAATAGAAGCACTGTGATAGAGAAGGTGGAAAAGATCCTGGCAATGTGGATGGAGGACTAGAATCAATGCAATGCCCCTGTGAGCCTTATGGTTATCCAGCATAAAGTCAGATCCTTGTTTGACAACTTAAAGGAAGAAGAGGGTGAAGGATCAAAGGAAGAGACCTTTACGGCCAGCCAAGGATGGTTTCAACAACATAGGCGTCGGTATAACTTCCACAACATAAAGATGACTGGTGAAGCTGCCAATTCAGATACAGTTGCTGCTGAGACATTCCCGCCATCAACAGAGGAGGAGCAAACATCAACGGAGGAGGAGGAGCAAGCAGCGGCGGAGGAACCCCAGTCAGAGCAGGAGGAGGAGGAGGCAGCCACAGAGTCTTAGTGACTCACCACCCTCCTCCTCTCCCGCCCTCCTCCTCCCCTCCCGCCATCCTCCTCCTTCGCTCCACTACCCACCACACACTCACTGTATCACCTCCGCCCATCGGTGAGTACCAATACAAACTTAGTAGTTGTATATGTATGCATTATTATTTCTATAGAAATGGCAATGATTTTCTTTGTATGTAACTTTTTTCATGGGGCAAAGGGAGGGTGGGGAATGTAACTCCTTTATTTTATCTATTTCTGATGGGAAAAATTTATTCTCTTAACGTTGCTCCGCATTTTCAGGAACGTAACCCTGATGTTAAGCGAGGACGCCCTGCATTTGTGGATGGATAAATAAGCAATATCCCCATTAGCTGGAATTCCTCTTAACCGGCTTTCCTGAAAATTACGGCTTTGGGAATGATTTCAGAGAAGAAAATCAGGCGCATTTTCTGGAAATTCCGAGAAAAGTTTTCCAGTACCTGGAAAATTCTGGGAATGGGAGATTATTTTCCGGGTTCAAGAGATGATGCAATGCGCAATTTCTGTAACTTTCGTGAACAATTTTCTGTAACCCGGAAAATTCTGGGGATGAGGGATTTTTTTTCCGACTTTGAGAGAGTTGTCTCGTTACCCGGAAATCTCTCATTCCCGGAAGTGCTCTGCACCAATTGTTCCGGCTAACAGAGACATCACAGAAGAATACTGATTCAAATTGGTTATCATAATTTGTAAGGACTGATTAGATTTTAGTTAACAGAAAACATCAGATCCACTGAAATAATTTTTTTTTAAGTTTAAATATGAATATGTACTGTACTGTATAATAATGCAAGAGAATTTAGCTTGAAACTGAATTTTCAGCATCTGTATGAAAAGACAGTCATACATGAAATTAAACAGGGTGTTGGTGGTACAGTGGTAATGAGTGTATCTCTCACCCTTATGTCTTGGGTTCAATCCTTGGCCTGGGACAGATGTGACCTTACCAAACATTACAGGTTTCCTCAGGGTGCTCTTGTTTCCTCCTGTAGTAACATTGGACAAAAATAAAAGGCCATAACAAATAAAACCAGAGCAACTACCTAAATGGCCAGTAAACTGATAAATGGTGAAATGATAAATAAAATACAGGAGGCAATAAAGATACTTGGATGAACAGATTTGACTTAGTCTTTGTTTAAAGATCAATTTTCTTATAAACTAATGCTCTCACCGAATGAGCATTTATCTTACAACATGTAAATTAACTTATTCATTTACCTGTCATAACTACCAATGACAAGAGCCTGACCACTGGGACTTGTAACTGCAGTTGAAAATTCACATTCAGTTAAGTCTCTGCTGTAGTCAAACTGCTGGTTAATTTTCCCATTTTTAGTGTACATTACGATGCGTTTGTCACATCCAGCTATGATGATGTTATTGTTGGTCCATGCCATAGCATAAGGAGGTACAGGATGGGATATTATCTTGCCCTAAAATATAGAAAGGATGCATTAAAAAGTATATAAAAAAAAATCTATATTGCAATAGTGTCATGCATACTGTACATCAGAATATTGTGTATTAATGATGCAAGACAATAAGTAGAAGCCAAAACTGTACTGCAAGAATTTTAATAGATTTTTACTGCCCTCATGGCCCCTCAAAATTATGACCCCTCCTTACTGGAACCCTCCCATTAATGACAATTTGCTGTATGAATTATTCCACAATAAAGACATTCTACTGTAAAGTTAACCCTTATGTTCTGGGTGACGCAAGACATGCCGGAACCCCCTAGCATGCATATTTCACCCAAAAAACGTTTATTTTTAAATCCAGTCCAAAACTGGTATTGCAAGTGTAAAATTAGTGCAGTCACTCCAAGCGTATTGTTGTGGCTGGCATGCATGAGGTCCCACACGTCCACCATGGTGGCCATGACCTCACTGAGGAGGTTCAGAGGAGGACTGAGTGCTATTGTCTGTATCACTGTCCCCACTGCTGGCCGCCTCAAGAAACTCGACATCCTCTGGGTCAGTTTCCTCCTCATCACATTCTTCATCACCCAATACATTTCACTGCCATTCAAAACAAGCAACTCTTGATGAATAGCACTACTGGTGAGGGTGTGGAGGAGCAAGACGGGTCATGAGAAGTCAAAGGATGTGCAGCCATCACAATAGATGGTGGGTAATTGGACCACTAGACTTGAGACAAAGATTACATGCAAGTTGAGTTGCCAAGTAAATAAATATCCTAGACAAAGTTCTTCATCTCCCTGAACATTCAAACTATGCTGTGAAAATTAAGGACATAAAGGAATGTCACTTGGAGTCACTATGGTGGGTGTAAAGGAATGTCACCCAGGCTTTAAGGGTTAAAGATCAAAGTTAATCATCATACTCTGTCACATTTTAAATGGTCAAGACAAAGGCATCATAAATAAATTTGAACGTTGTAAATTTTATGCAATCATTTGAGGTGTTCTTAAAGCTTCAATCAACAAGTAGCATTGTCAAAGGACAATGAAATGCGCCTATATAACAGTGGTGCACAAAGTACTGTACAGTACTGGGAATTAGTACTAAACTACTGTTACTGGGGAAATATTTACTCAAGTAAAAGTAACCCCATTGTAGACTAATTAAGAAAAAGCAAAAAGTAACTGACTTTAAATGTACTTACGTACAGGATGTAAAAAAAAAAAAAAAAAATCCTCAAATAAATTTCTGCTTAGTGATGCTATCCAATCCCAATACAGTATTGAGTTAACTATGCATATACTGTATATTAGGTAACAAGAAAAAGACTTGAGTTGGCAATCAGATCATCATTTACCAACTAATTTATTTAAATTAGATTTCAGGATAATTTTCAATTACAAAATTCAACAATCATTGAAAGTCCCTAGTGCACACAGGTCACAGTACCACCATATGATTTGTATTTCTCAAAATGTCGGTCAGTGACCTAGTTTTCTGAGAGGTGGGGAAAAATTCTTTATGATCATACACATGAAGTTTGGTAACTGTAAGATGTTACATTACTATACGCTGGAATCCCCAATCCCAGGAACTCTCCTTTAGCAAGAATAGAAATCATGGTGGAAAAATTCAGGGCAAATCTCTCCATTCTGGGTCCATGAACAAGTTTCCAAGGATGAAAATCAGGTGCATTTTCTGGAAAAAATCTGAGAAAATTCCAAGAAAATCTCTTCAAACCTCTCTGTTCTGAGCCTGAGAAAAAATTTCCAGTTCTGAGAAATTGCATCATGCTCCAATCTGTCCCCACGTGCCAGGTATGCCAGTGACCTAGCTTAATTAGAATGATTTTATACTTCAGTAAAAAGATTTTCTTCATTCTTTCATAAAAGAATTGAGTCCCATCATTATATTGTTAAATATTTTGTTTAAGGAATTTTATTGAACCAGTCTTGAAGAGAATTTATTCAGAATCATTATGGTATAAATTCATATCTTAAACACAATTATAACAGATGTTGTGAAGAAAAGTTTATACACTTTTTCACAAGCCGTAATTAATTTCACTCGTTCCTGCAGTCTAAATGTAATGGGCGACTGTTAGTCTGTGGAAGATGAGATGCGCAGTTTAAACTCAAAAAACTTTCCCCAGCACCCAGAAACATACCAGGATGTGTGATATATCTGTCTGTTTGAGATGAGTAGTTTAAACTCTTGGAAAACTTTTCTCAGTAGCCAGAAAAATTCTGGGATGTGGGATTTTTTCAAGGTTTGAAAGAGTCATCTCATTATCTGGAAATGTCTCATACCAAAAGAGCTCTGCACTAATTATTCCCGTTAAAGGGGATATCACTATATGTATAATTAAAGTTGGACATTAATCCTAATACAGTTGTGTGTACAATGATGTGAATACATCAATTGGGGTATACCATAAAACCTGTAATTGAAGTACCTGTAGTTTAGCTAAAAATTATTGTGAGTTGCAGAGTAATTAAAGTTACTATCCTGTTCTTTACGGATTCTTTTCTATTTTTGTTTTTAATTAAGATTCTAGTTACTCAAATTCTGCACTAACCTGTGGCTCAGCATACTGATCATCAGCTACATAGTACCGCACTACTGCTCCATCAGCATGCCCAGCAAGAAATGCAGTACCTCGCAAGCTGTATTAGTAGTTGAAGGAATGTAATAAGAGTATTAAAAACAAATTATATTCACATCAGTTGTACAGCATTTCTTTTCAGTACTATTAAAAAGATATTGTAAAGAATATCATACATAATGAGCACATACTGTATACATGTGACAAAAAAAAAATTCTACTCCAGCCATGTGTGATCTGGGGTGTGTCATTCTGTTGGATTCTCATGCACAAAATTTCCTCTGAAATACAGAAACCTGACATGCACCTTGTCTTGGTCCTTACATTATCATAATTGTATGGCCATTTTCCATGCTTGCGTGGGTTAGCTGCAGTTACCAAATAGCAGCTCTCCATGCTGCACAGTCTCTCTCATCTGGTTCCTAACTCTAATGTCATTTCTTACAGCCTTTCCCCTTGTCATTCTTGGCCTACCCTGGCTCTTCTCCCTTCCACATCTAGGCCCTTGCACCTCTTCACCCAACTGGTCTCATTCATTCTCTCCACATGCCCAAACCATCTCAACCTGCCTCTACACAAGGCTTCGCCATTACTCTCAATACTCAGTTGTCTTCTTACAGGGACTCCTGTCTTTCAGTGTCGCAAAAATTTTGATCACAGATTGATGGATTTAGGACAGCAGATATAACTCTCATACCATGTGTTTAGAGAAAGAACTACAGTATTACTGTAAAGTCTTGAACCTAACGTTGAGAGAGGGGCTGACTGGAGATTTATCTTTGTTTCATTCCTATATTGATACAGTACTGTATTACATTTAATAAACTGTAATAATAACCAGTACACTGAAACATCAAAGATTGGCTAGTTAGGGGGGTGCAAAGCAAAAAAAAGTTTATCCGGTAAGAACCAGAGAGAGTACTAATGCACTTCCTAAATTTAGACTCTAAATTTTAGAGGGACAAGGTGGTCTTTTGGATTTGTAGTTTGCATACTGTATTTTAAATGACCACAAGCTTTTAGTATGTGTAGTGTTGCTGGAAGAATACCTGCTGTGCTTATAACAGTTTGACAACCTCTCCCATATCCAACACTAAGCACCTGTGATTGTCTAAAGGGTTAACTAAACAGTTATATGTTTCTTGATATGACATTGGTATTTCCTTCACAACACCCCTGTACTTGCCTTCTTGCCAAACTCACAATCACACTCCTATTTGTGGTTTACACTATACTGTATAGATGTCTTCCCTCCACTTTTTGGATATTCCCATGGACTGTTACAATCATTCTTCCAATTCATCAATTCAATTTAGAAAAAGAATTAGTCATAATTTATCTTTACCAGTAATTTTCTTTTGTCAAGGCTGATACTAAAAAAGCAAAATGAACAAATTGTCAACTTACTTAGGAGTCAGTGATACAACATAAGATTCTGTTTGGTAGAGAGTTTGTGATTTGTTGGTCTTTATGTTAGCTGCACGCACTTTTCCTTCAAGCAAGCCGAAGATAATTGGTCCCTCAAATGGCCAAGTGAGGCAAGTTACTTGTGATGATTGTACAAATTTATTGCAAATCACTTTCTTTTCTCCCCTGTGAAAAGAATACATAAGACATTACAGCAACTTATGAGGATTGTAATAATTTTGTTTTAATTTTGAGATGATAGGTAATGTTCATGTTCAGTGACCAATATTGTAATATGTTAACAATACCTCTCACTGGTGGCTGATAATATTTTCACCACTGGACATTATAGTTTACATTGTAAATTCCTCCAAAGGAGATTCAAAGTAAAAGTCAATAAATGTACAGTAATATCCCCATTAGCTGGAATAATTCATGCAGAGAGGTTCTGAGTTTGAGAGACTTCCGGGTATTAAGACGAATTTCCTCATCCCCGGAATTTGTCCGGATACTGGTAAATGTTTTGGAGTCTAAACTTCGAATCTCGCACAGAGCGGCTTAGCTGCAATCTGATAGACACAGAGCAGCTGTATTTATTCATACAAATACCACTGTGCACGTATAATATAGAGTAAATAAACAAAATATATTACTGATACACTAGAGTATAATAATAAAAATGGTTGCCCATCATGTATGAGGATGACCGACCTATGGGCCAAGGTGTGAATTTGTTTCTTTAAGGTGTAGAAGCTGTCATCACCAACGCAATAACCACACCATAAATAAAAGAGTTGCATGGCCCAGTGTCAAAGAATAATATAAGAAGACTGGACAGCTCACCAATTGCACTAGTTAATCATTACCCCGGAACACAATCCGCAAATTGATTAACATCCAGGTTCCCAATTACTGCTGGGTAGACAGAGGCAGATAGCATAAAGAAACTTGCTGAAAGTTTCACACTGCCCAGGAATCAAACCCGGGACCACAGAATTGCGAGGCGAGCATGCTGACCATTACATTACAGGTTGCCACTACAGTATATTCTGTACTCACCAGCTAATGCTCTTGATTTAAGCTTGTGAGGCAGGCAGGCCAAATGGAGATATGAGGATACAGGATGGCCTACATGGTGGCCTACAGTACACAAACACTGTTCACTCTGCTATGCATAGTACCGTATGTACTGTACTCACACTTACTGAATGTAAATATACAGTATTTGTAATTGTAATCGCTGTTTACATCTCACTGTACTATACAACATAAATTGAATGCAAGAACATCTGCAAGCAAGGGAACAACCTTGTATGATGGCAGTGGAATATAAACTAAGCATATCATGATGCTAGGGTTTGAGGAGATAGGCTGGGAGATACATTAACCAATCACAGACATCCTATGCAGTCACATGACAGTAGTCGCCAATTGCAGTGTATGAGCCTATAACCTAAGTTAACCATGCAGCTAACCCACCCACTCGTCCACCACGCGTCCCCGGATCGAAGCATGATGCAATACAATTCATTCCATTGCCTGAAATGGAGAGATTTTCTCGGAATTTTTGGAATGCGCATGAAAAAATTTCTCAAAACTCATTCAAATACCCAGATTGGAAAGATTTTTCCCGAAATTTCTCAGAACCCCCCCCCTCCCCCCCCCCCAAAAAAAATGGTAATGGAGCATTCTGGAGATCTAGGATTCTGGCTAATGGAGAAATTATTGTACAGTACTGTATATATACATTATATGACCAAGATAAATCTTCTGGAATAGATATTACTTTATGACTTACCAATCTTCTCCAATCTTATAGACATAAATTATGTTGTCTGTTTGACCAATTGCTATCTTAGTGCTGTCTGGGGAGAAAGCTATAGCCTTAACCAGATAACTTTTCTTGCCATACTGTGAAAGGAGAGATTGTATTACAGTTAAATTACAATAGTGCATTGAATACTCACAATATTACTATCTACTATAATTCATCAATAAAAAATAAGCTATGCCATACTTAAGTACAATGACAGTTCAGTATAATTTCACATGATGCCTGGAAGTTTCTGATCCTTCCAGGAAAAAAAACTTATTATGCTATCATACGGTACCTACTATTGTACAGTATACTGTATGTTATAAAATAAAAAATATATTCTTAACAATGAAAACAGTGAGGCAAATATATTGTGCATGATCATGAAATCTGCATACAGTAATCTTGAAATCATTTGTAATTCCATACAAAATGTACTGTACTAACCAGACCAAACCAAACTTATTGTACACAAAATAAACGCTGAGATCAGTAAGTTTGGCTTAAGTTCATCCTCTACTACAGTTCATTTTTTATTGCGGCTGGTGATTGATTGGAGTCAGACGCCTATGATCTCATAAGTTTTGAGTAAAAAAGATCACCGACTTGGCCCTCAACAGTCAAGTAGATGAGAGGGCGAGTGATACAGCTCCTAGCAAGAATATCTCCCTGGCTGTACTGTATAGGTAAATTGTTGAAAATAGGAGGCCATGTTCTATTTGACCCCACATTATGCTGTGGCTACAATTGTGCAAACTGACCTTTTAAAATACTGATGAATTTGTTATAAACTTCAACTCTTAAATGCATCACTAAGAAAAACACACCTTAGCATCAGCTGGTTTAGTGGAAAATTTGTCTCTGCGTTCTCCATTTTCATCAAACAGTAGAATAACTCGTTCTGCTGTAGACACTGCTAACTTCACGTTGTTCGGCGACCAAGCTAATGCTGTGATCTTTGCTGCACCATCCTGATAAGAAAATCTTTTTGTTTAAGATAGGAATCATAATCATTGTGTCCCCCTACCCGAGTGTCCCGGGTGATGTGCCCCATTCCCCAAGTCATTGTCCCCTTCCCCTTTCCCTTATCAATGTGTCCTGCCAGAGCATCCTGGATGATGTGTCCTGTTCCTCTACTCAATGTATCCTCCTGCCTTAGTGTCCTGGACAGTGTATACCATCCCTTTAGTCTAGTCGATGTGTCCTCCTGTCTAATCAGAGTGGTTAACTGATATTCTTTAAGATGACAGACATGGGGAAATACTGACATACACTATTTTCATGACAGGGTGGGCCATGACTATACTTTGTACATGCAATGAAGGACATACTGTAGATAAATAGATTTTATTCAGTAAAATTGTCATATTAGGTTACACAGGTTCATTAATTATAAAGAAAATGCAAGTACTGTATACTGTATACAAACAATGTACAGTACCTGAGCAGTTCTAAACTATTTTGATTGATTATCTAACTCCAATCACGCAAAATACCAAGAACTCACCACACAGAGATGATTGCTCCTCACATTACACCCATCTACCTCCTCTACCATGGAAAGAAACAAGTTAAGTTTCCCTGATTTTACATCCATATGTTTATTATCATTTCACCAATAGTCAGCTCACTAGCTGTTCAAGGGGTTGGTTTGTTCTTTTTATGACCTTCACTGTCCAATGTTAGTGCAAAAGAAAACCAGAGTACCGTACTTTGAGAAAACCTGCAATTGTTTGGTAGGGTGACTTTATTTGACTTTATGTTATTTGCCACTGATTGTCTTATTAGCCACTTGGGCGGTCAGTTAGTCTCTGTACCACACTGTTGGCAAGTGCTGGTTCCAGGATGTATCTGTACTTGCGCCAGTGTTGGTAAAATTTGGTCTTGAATGAACTCACACTTAGTGCCATCACAACAATGTCAGGCAGATTTTTCCAAGAGTTCACAAACCTCACTCTGAAAAGTTTGCCCTTACAATTTTTTTAACTTATGGCTTCTTCAACCTTACGCTGTGATCTCTAGTGTGGTGGGCATCTGCCATCTCCAGATATGGACACTTGACTGAATAATGTCCTCTGAGGTGTTTATAGACTTTTATTAAGTCACCCCTTGCACACCTATAGTATAAGCTAGGCAGTTGCAGGTATTCTAATCTTTGAGGCCAATGAATAACCCTCATCTCAATGCAATCGCTTTGTAAAATTTTTAATTTTGGCCCGTTTTTGTCATGAACCCAGTAACAGTAATAATTAAATCGGTAGTTCCATGGTTGATCTTTTCCAAATCTTTACTGATATTTGGGTAAAAGGTTACATCAACCTGCAACCTTTGAGAGTTCAAGAAATAAGTGAAGCTAGTTATGGTAGCAAAGAATTAGTGGAAAAATTATATCTTCGGATTGATGTTTTATGTAAAAAACATAAGTTACACAAATACACTTCGGTTACCAAGTACAAAAATGCGTAATAATGGAGCAGACGGCTAATACCAGAAGGAGTTGTTCAATTACTCTAACTTTTTTTTTCACAGATGTTCTTTGGATGATAGTAAGCTGTAAAAATCATAAGACAACTTTTTATTTTACTTATAAGAATTCTTATAATTTTGTAGCTTTTCTTTACCTATGATCATAAATCACCTGTAGTGAACAGAGTATGAAGGATGAGTGAAATTGCAGGGTAAAACAGGGCAAAAAATTTTTTGTATAACACTAAAATGACATCTCTAAGTGCTTTGTATACAAAGAAATAAATTAATCACTGGAAATAATCCCTGAAAAATCTGCCATGTTGGCGCATGTTCTCGTCCGCTCTGTTTGTTTCAGTGTAACAACCAAGCATACTCTCAAGTCCTCAAAAAACATAAAATTACACCAAGCGGCTTCAAGAAAGTTGCTTTCATTGATACCAGACATCAAAGTAAGTTCTTTATGTTTAATATATATATATACAGTATATACATGTACTGTATATATAATTTTTTTGCCAATTATCAGCTTACTCGCCATTCGGGTGGTTGGTCAATCCAGTGTTAGTACAGGAGGAAACGGGGGACTGTGAAACCTGTGATGTTTGGTAGGGTCACACTGGATAACTCCCTTCTCACGTGTGTCTGGGCTGAGGCTCAAACCCTTGACATATTGGCGAGAGTTACATGTGTGTTACCGCTACCAACACGGTTTTATGCTGGGACGCTCCTGCTTAGCATAATTACTCAATGTGCTGAATGTTTGGACTCAAATTCTAGGACAAGGCAAAAATATCAATAATATATACCTAAATTTTGCCAGGGCTTTCGACAGCGTACCCCATGAAGGGCTGAGACTCAAACTGGAAGGGTACGGGATTCGGGGAAGTGTCCTAGCGTGGATCGGAGACTTTCTGAATGACCACAATGGAACGAAATCATCACGTGTACCGGTACCTGTGGCAAGTTGGGTACCACAGGGCAGTGTTTTGGGCCCGTTGTTGTTTGTTTGCTTTATAAATGATATGCCATTAGCTATACACTCCTCCATATAAATATTTGCAGACAATGCCAAGTTATTTAGGGAAATTATGAATAAAACAGACTGTGAAGAGCTACAGAAAGATCTCTATGAGCTTCAAGAATGGTCGAAGAAATGGCTGCTAAGATTCAATTTCACAAAGTGCAAGAGGATGCACCTGGGTCACACCAACAGTAATGAGGCATATCACATGTCCCAACAGAACGAAGAGACTGCATTAATTGAGACCGAATGTGAGAAGGACCTACAGTAGGTGAGTATGTTTAGAAGAAGGTGAATCAAACAACAAAACTAGTAGGTCTTATAAGAAGGTCGTTTAGTTATCTGGATGGTCCATCGCTCATCACGATCTTTAAGAGTGAAGTGCTTCCCCGTCTGGTCCCCGAGGTATGCTAGAGACTGTCAATTGATTGAAAATGTCCAGGGGAGGGCCACCAGACTGGTGCCTGCTCAACGGAACCTCAGCTACACAGAGAGATTAGAGCGCCTGCAACTACCTAGCTTAAACTACAGACAGGCAAGGGGCAACCTAATCGAAGTGTATAAACATCTCAGGGGGCACTACTCAATCGAGTGTCCTTACCTGGAGCTGGCGGACGTTCGCCCCACAAGGGGTCACAGCTCAAGGAAGAAGAAGCCGCAATCCGGAACACAGTGAGGGCAAACTTTTTCGGAATGAGAGTTGTGAACTCTTGGAACAATTTACCAGAGAATGTTGTGAAGGCACCAAGTGTGAGCTCATTCAAGGCCAGACTTGATCAGCACTGGAGCAGGTTCCAATAGTATGTTCAAAAGCCAGTTCATGTCTAGTACTTGCCAACAGTGCATAATAGAGACGTGACCGAACACCCAAGCGGCTGACAAGCCGATAAGTGGTGAAGAGGATAAAAATAAGAAAAAGTTAAAGTCAGGTAGGGTTAGGTAGGTTCCTTTGGTTAGGTTAGGTTCTATTAGGTTCAGTGTATTATCATATCGTTTTTATTACTTGCTATCATCCAAAGAACATTCATGAAAAATAAATGAACGAAATCAAACTACTCCTTCTGGTGTTAGCTGTCTGCTCCACATTTACCCAAAAAAGATTAGGTATAGAAACTATAGCAAATTGTAAGTCGATTCCTCTAAGGATAGCCCAAGAGCTGTCAAGAAGTTTATTTTCAGTACCCAAACACTCACAAATTCCTAGCTCATTTGGTTAATTTCTGATTAAATGTAACAAACTCCTATTACCTGCGGTGGCAAAATATTCATTAGGTGTTTGATGTTCATTTTCGCAGCCGAGTACTCAAAGTCACACCATTAAACGTCAGTGACAGGACCCAAGGAGCGTCGCTCACACATCTTCACTGTCAAATTTTTGTGGATGGAATGTTGATTGTTGATGTGAGACCGAGCCTGGAGCCGGCACCGATACACCGAGCCTGGAGCCGGCACCGATACACCGAGCCTGGAGCCGGCACCGATACACCGAGCCTGGAGCCGGCACCGATACACCGAGCCTGGAGCCGGCACCGATACACCAAACTCCAAACCCCCCAGTCCCAAACCCTGTCTCTGAAAATAAATAGTTTCTAAAGTAGTAGAACATGATATATATGATAATTTGTGATATTTGGCTTAGTTACAAATATTAGCCACTCCACAAAAAACTGTCTACGAATTTTTGAGTGAGTTGTGGAGATGAATGTCCACTCCTACTCACTTGAATTTTTATATGTGGGAAATATTAGTGGCAGCTTTTGTGAACACCACTAAGTGTCAGAAAATACTGTTTCATTACTTTGAAATATGCCTCTGTTACTTCCTATGTAAGGGATTTGGTGTTCAGAGTTTTGGGATTTCATTAAACTTTCTGACTTGACTCAAATTATAATCACAGTGGATATTTTATGAGGATACTTAATGTATGATATATATTTTTTTAGTAAAAATAATTTAATTTAAATATTTGATGAATAATATTATATCATATTTTTCTGCTTTTAATTGCTTCATAAATATTTATAATGGAATACTATCCGTGAATATAATGATATTGCATTACATATGAATTTATAAAAGTAATTAGACACTAATGTTTATTACATCATTATGATAAAAATAATTATAATATTAACTAATAATATGTTTTTACGGAAAATCTGAGGTAATATAGTTAATGATAAAGGTGTTTCCCCTAGAGGTGGACCCCTAGCGGTGGCATCAAACAATGCGTAACAAAACAATGGAGAAGTAAACCACATAAGATACCACACTAAAAATCCTCCAAGTACTGGTACGTGTTAACATTGTGGGCGAAGAGATGTATTCTGGATTTCTATAAAGCTCGAAAAATCTAAGTCAACTATAATATGAAAGAAAGATTATTTTGAAGGGTAGTTTAAGTTGTGACTAAGTGTTGTAGTGTGAGAAGGGCAGCTGCTCCATGGTATTTTGACGAGTGAAACTAAGGAAATTTCATTGTGAATTCAGTGAATTTGTTTTTATTCTTGCGTATTTCAAGAAGATTTTTTATTGTGTATTTGCCTTGAATTAGCGTCCCTATACATATTCATGGCTGCCAGTTCTGTATTGAAGGATAAGCATGGAATTGTTTCCTCTGTCTCGGGGGTTAACCTGGTGAGCTGTCAGTTTCATCGACCATTCACAAAGAATTTTACTGAAAATACATTAAAACTGTCGTTACCATGAGTAACCATTATAAACCTTGATGCTCCTTGGCTTGCATGCATGTGTGATGTGCTGAAGGAGAAAATTTACATCTAGATATCAGTTCATCATTAGCTCAAGGAGAGGGGTGCCACTTTACTCATTACTTTTTAAGTCTTCATTTATATATATTGTATTCAATAAATAAAGTCCAGATCCATTAGTAAAGCAATATTAATTCTGAAATCATTCTAAACCGGTATATACAGTGTGACTACAGCTCACCAGCCAGTAAACCTTTACAGCCAGCATTATTTTTTGCAAAGCTGTTGTCTGTTAGTGGTAGTTCAACAGTTAAAGAGTCCTTTCAGCAGTGAAAGTTTTAATTGGTGCCAATTCGGCCGACTCTCTTCAGGTAAATTACAGTATAAGCAGGGTGATTATGATCAGTAGTGCAGTCTATTTCTATCATGGCACCTGCAGTATCAGCTTCTTCAAAACAGACGAGACTGACCAATTAGAGCTACCTAACCTTGTTTAACTTAACAAAGATATGAGATCATTTGATATATATTTATTTTCACCCACAATAAGGCATGCACTAAGACAAATTACGCATCAATAATACTACATTATGCAAAAACTAACATTTTAAAAGATCAGAATCACATTGAAATATTACATGGCTGTCAGCAGAGGCGGGAAATATGACTACGAACAACTTCATATTTCCTGCCTCTGCTGACGGCTGTGTAATAATATTTCAATGTGATCTGATCTTTTAAAATGTTAGTTTTTGCATAATGTAGTATTATTGATACGTAATTTGCCTTAGTATGCTTTATTGTGGGTGAAAATAAGTATATATTAAATGCATCCTCCAAAAGCGTGAATTTGCTTCCAGAGTTTAACAGTTAATTCATGTATAAGATTTCTGATAAACATTCTACGTGCTCATGTTTGAAATAATGAATGTATGCATCTTTAGATGATTTAGCTAAACATCTTTCTCATCAGAAACGGTCATCCCAATGATTACTGTACTAATTAACTCATTTAGAAATACATCATTACTTCAGGACAAAATTGGACAGATTTGCAACAGCCAATCAGCTGTAACTCTTGAGGAGGGGGAAGGGCACATCTTCTCAGCTGGGAAACATGCACTAAAGTGTGCTTTATGAATAAATGGATTACTATATACTGTACAATAATATAAAAATATGGAAGAAAATAAAAATTTATTTAAATAAAATCAATATATATATTTTCTTTAAAAAATCATGATTTTTTTTTCAAATCCTGGAACCAGCACAAACATGGTAAATTTAAAATAGTTAAAAATTCCACCATTCAATTTTTTTTTGTATTTTCAAAGTTTTGAGATAACTGATATTCAGATTTTTTAAGTATAATCTGTAAAGTTATGGTGCTGTACAGTAAATAAAATATTTAATACAAACAAAAGTGGACTCATAGGCTTAAGTACATGAGGTTTTAGTCCAGGTGCAATGAGGAGAGGCTGGGGGTCTGAGTCTATATCACCTGTAGGAGACACAGGCATGAAAACATCTAGAGGTGAAGGTACAGGCAAGGGATTGTTATTTACAGACAGAACCAATGGAGAGGGCATTTTTGAGTTGCTATAGGCTGGTGCAAGAGAAGCAGCTGGATTGGGTAGATGTTGAAAGGGCCAGAGAAGCAGCTGGACCAGGACTATGGGTGGTTGAGCAAGGCTTTTGGAATAGCAGAATTGTAGATTGCTTTGCCAACCATTGCTTTTGAGCATAAAATCCCTGTAGGGAGCAAGGACAGTGTTTAAACTCAATTTAAACTACTGTATAGGCTCCATTCTAGGCATGGTTCCATGTTGAGTGGTTTTTGATCAAGAACCTCAACAAGCAAAAGAAAGTCAGCTAGCTTCTTCATTGTCATGTCATTGGCATCAAGGACCATCTCTTGTTTCTTTTTCTAACGGTAAACATTTCAGGGAGATCATCTTTAAATTCAATAACACACTCATTCCTTAGCAACTTCAGTGCCTTTATTCCTGGTTGATGATTTTACGATTTGGTATTAAACACTTGCACTGGAAATTCCTCCCTCCTGGCCTTGCTGGATCTTTCTGCAGCTTGTTTGGTGTCTGTGATGATGCTCTCTCACTGCTTGAGTCTTATTTGTCAGAGCAATCTCAATGTGTGATGGTTGGTGGAACCATTTCAGACCCGGTACCTTTGCAGTTTGGAGTCCCACTGGGATCAGTTTGGGACCACTTCTGTTTATAGTCTATACCAGTAGTCTGGATGCTCATGGTGTTGCCTACCATTTCTATGTGCAAATGATAAAATTCGGGGATATTGAGGAGATAATGAAATCCTTGATGCCTGATATTAAAATTTGGATGGCTAGGAGAAAACTTAAGCTGAATGATGGGAAACCCGAGATTATCATCATCCAAGGAAATAGAAGGGGTGACAGCACAGATTATTTTGGCTCTTTAAACTTGGGGAAGTACAACTTGGTCCTGTCGATTCTGTTCGTAATCTTGGAGTGTACTTTGACTCAAAATTGAATTTTAAGGAGCAAATAAATTCATTGGTTAAGAGTTGCAACTTTCATATTCAAAATCTATATGCTTTGAAATACCCGGTAGTTTTTGGACAGTTGGTCGAATAAAATATTTTTCACATTACGTATTTTCGAGTCCCGACGTTAGTGATTGCGCTGTGTACTGACAAAATTTTTTTGGTAATTCCCTCTAAAATGGCTGGCAGGTGTAAAAGTGAGAGTTTTCATGGTGCTGAGAAGAAAAAGAGACACCCATTTTAGAATTTCTATGTATTATTTTTGCCTTTTCGACTTACGACCTGGTCGTCGGGACGGAACCCCATCGTAAGTCGAGGAGAGACTGTATATACAGTACACTCAACATGTATTTATAAAATATCTGCATTATTAATGCAATCTCATCATTGTTTCGTGGCCTTTTCCACACTTGCTTCATTACGTAACGGAACATATCATCAAGTGTAAATGTCTTAGAAGTATGAGTGAATAGTTGAGTGCACGGAGTCTGGTTCCAGTCCCTCTTTATTACAGTATTGTACTATATGGAGAAGATTGGAAGTGTTGAAATATCATTTTATAATTAATTATTTTTATCTCAAAAACTCTATTTCTTTATTTTTTATTAGGCCACCATCAAACATGTATGAAGTCATAAATCATTTCTCGTGACTTGAACAATACAGTATATTGAGCAAGATGGACACCCGAAAGCGAAGAAAAGAAGGAGCTGCACTTGCACCATCACTTGAAAGCTTACAGGTTTCTCCAAAGAGGTAAGTGTGATGCTAAGTGATAATGTTTGGAATGACAAAGTGCCTGCAGTTAGAGAATATTGATAAGGGTAAGTGAACCTATATAGGGTGAGGTGTTGAGATTTTCTAGGTATTAGGAAGAGTGAGAAATTGCAATAAATATGGAAGAAAGTTTGAAGTAAATTTGGGTAAACTAATCAAATTATGGTGAAGTTTACCAGTGTTTACAGCTATTGTGTTGAGGGAGCAAATACAGTACAGTGGTCCCTCGGTTAACGAGCACAATTCGTTCCAGAAGGTTGCTCGTTAACCGAAAAATTTGTTAACCGAAACTATTGTTTCAATGGGTTTTTGGGTAATTGGTTCCAGCTCACCGAAAATTACATACAAACTAAAAATAAATGCAGTAAAGTACACTTACTTTGAGGTGTGCATGTAGAAGGCATCTGGTTGTTGATGATGATGATGATGATGATGGGAATTAAAATGGGGGTGGAGAAGGGAGAAGAGAAGGCATTGGGGTGGAAGAGAAGTCACCCCATGCTGCCATTTCACCCATAAAATTTTTGTTCACTTGGTGTAATTCAAGATTACTTTCTTTAAATCAACACTGCACTGCACTATATATTATCAATATGTAAAATATATTTCAAAATGACCAATAATTTGACTGGAAACACAGAAAAAAGCGTTAATGTTGAAGAGTCTCAAACGAGATATTCCTTCCTCTGAACTGGTAAACAAACTGACACCAAGCTTGGTGTGTTGAGGGGCTGTTTGACTTGCAAAAAACTAGTTTCCTGTACTTCAATTATGTTCAATAATTGTTAAAATGGCTAAAAAATTTAATATAAAACTTTTAAAATTATTGAATAGTGCAACCTTCTTGATATTTACTAAAATGGTAAGGAATTTAAGCCCTAAAACCGATTACTACTGTATTGGTGGACTAATGCTACAGCTGGTGGGCAGCCAAATGCAGGCGAAAACATGTTGGGAAAAATTCGTAACGAATTCGTTAACCGAGGGTTTGCTCGTTAACCGAAGTGAAGAATCTTATGGAAGGTAATTCGTTAACCGAAATTTCATAAACCAAGGAGCTCGTTAATCGAGGGATCACTGTATTTTGTTTTGTTGTGTGGTGCTCATACAGTATGTTATTTATATAAAATGAATTTTTACTTAAAAAATTATAGTGACCATTGGGTTCTCGTCTTTCATGTTGTAATCATTCTACTAGATATGTTTTTTGTTTATCCATCAAAAAATCTGTCTGATCAATAGCTTCACAACCAGACAAGATATTGCAGTGAAACTTAGTATGCTTATATAGCCTGTGGGTTATCAACAATTGGCTTTGAGATACAGTATATACTTCCATTGGCAGATACTGTACTTCAGAAAACCACGAGTAAGTACTGCAATATGATTCAATGGGAAGCTTTTCAAAATTATACTAAGATGATGAATCCAGGGGGATTTTTACCATCATTGATGATGAGTTTTTTATATGGAGTTACCAGATACAGTACAAGGATATGCTACTAAACATTTTACATTGTATTCGTCTGCCCTTTCAAAGAAGCTTTTGCCCTTGACCTTTCATTGAAGTGTTTTGTTCAGCTATCCAGGTTAGCAAGTGCATTATTGAAAGGAATAAGCAAAAAGTGCAAGAATGATGCAAAATATTGTGGAATACCTGTACAGTATAGTCGTAGCATCTTTGTTATCAGTCAATCATATGTGGGAACGATATTGCCACATGTGATATAAGCAAACTGCAGTAGGATCTCAAGTTTAGCGAGTCTTAGCTTCGTGATTCGTATGTTTTGCATCACTTAAAATTTCCAGCCTTTCAAGAATAGCAATTTTCATATTACTGGTTTCGCGAGTCAGTGGAGAGTGAGCAGCGCGTATTGTCGTAGTCTTTGTTATCTGCCGTGTTTTTTTTTTTTTTTTTTTATGGCAGTTAGTTTCATTGAGCGAGCTCGAGCGGTGCGGTGACCTTGGATTATATAACCCATTGTACTTACCTTTTGTGAGATTCTTGTGTTTTATTGATGAGTGAGGTGCCTAATGTAAATGTTGGGAGCGGCTCTGGTGGTAATGATGTCCATAGAGAAGGTCAACAAGGAAAGCCCTAAGCCAAGCGTGAATTTCATAAGGGAGTCAAGAAGAGGAAATACACCCTTGAAATGAAACTAGAGATGCTCGTACCTGTGAAATTATGCCTAGGTTCAACTGCCCCGAATCAACCATACGTTCCCTTAACAAGAAAAAGGAAGCCTTAACTGCTTCTGTGAATGTATTCTCAAGATTTTCTAGTAACAGGACGTTCTCCAATACTTCACAACAAAACCTACTGCTTGTTATCACAGAACATTACCTTCACAAGTGGGTGGAAAGAAGAAACCGTGAGCAGGGCGACCTTTCTGGGCCACAGATAAGGCATCAATCACGTGTTTATTTTGCTGCAGTTGCATAGAAGAAACATGTTAACTCTCCATCACCGTTCAATGCTTCTGTTGGTTGGTTGGCGGCTTTTAAGAAGTGTAATGAAGTCAAGTTTGCCCACTACCTTGGGGAGAGTGCATCGGCTGATGTAATAGCAGCAGAAAAGTATCTACTTGTCTTTCAAGCTCTTGTGCAAGAGGGTGGTTATTGCCGAAACCAGATCTTCAGTTGTGACAAAGCTGGCATTTTCTGGAAGTGCTCACCTAAGACCACTTTCATTGCCAAAGATGAAAAACAGGCAAGGGGTGTAAAGACTTTAGAAGACAAGATTACAGTTTTATTCACAGCTAATGCAAGTGGAGATTTCTTGATGAAACCCCAGGTTGTTAACTGTGCTGCCCGTCTTAGAGTCTACTTTCATGCCAATATGTTGCAGCTCAATGTTTATTGGATATCTAATAAAAAAGCTTGGGTTACAACATCTTTATGCACCGATTGGTTTGACAAGCACTTTGGTCCTGATGCGCAACAGTACTGCCGGAGGAAGAACATTGACTTCAAAGTGATCCTGGTGATGGATAATGCTCCTGGACACACTTAAGTTTCTAATTGGACGTCACCCTAATGTACAAGTTATCTTCCTTCCTCATAACACCACATCATTTCTGCAGCCACTTGACCATGAATTCATCAGTAACATTAAACTGTTCTACTATTAGTCACTCTATAAAGACTTTCATCAGCAGACAGACTCATTAGTTGAGTTACAACAAATCGAGGCAGAACTCTGACAGTGACCAAGCTCTACCAGCACCAGCTAACCAGGAGAAGATGGTAGACGACCCGACTCCTAGCACCTCACTACCCCGCAACCGTGAAGTGTTATCAGTTTGTGAATTTTGGAAGAAACATAATATTTACAATGCAGTGGACAGAATTGTTGAGGCATAGTGTAAGATTAATGTTGCAACAGTGCTTCACGCATGGAAGCCTTTGTTCATTAACTCTGAGCTAAGTGGGGCACAGCAGACCGAGGCAAGCGGGGAGAAGCAGTCTGCTGCGGCAACACTAATGGACACGGTTGTGGCAGCGTGATCAGTCCCAGTACCGGGATTTTTGGATGTTCGGGTTGGAGATTTGCAAGAAATCATTGGTCAACATCAGCAACAACCAACTCACACAAGTGGAGGGTTTCTGGGAAGCCTGAGTTATAAAATGGTATTTCAGGATCAATCTCTCATGTTTTGTACAACATATGATTTGGGGGGGGGGTGGAGCCCACCCTGGCACAGGTCATTGACCCACAATGCGACCTAGGGGGCGAAAAAATAATAGTAAAAAGCAATTGAAAATAGAAAAGAAAAAGACCATATTAATCTACACCAAGAAGATGCCGGAAAACCAGCTTTTTAAAGTGAGATAGATTGTAAGAGTTTGGAAACGCAGAAGAAGGCAGAGCATTCCACAGTTTTACTATGTGAGAAAAGAAGGATAACAGGTTATTCTAGTGTGCCCAACAGCCACAAAGAAACTGTGGGCACCTTGGGTATGACGAGTGTTACAAGCCCATGGCCTTGCTGGTGGTACACAGGATGCCAAATCCACCGAACATTGCCTGTTAGAGAGAGTGAAGCAACATTGCTTCAAAGAGAAAGGGAAGAAAGATTGTCAACTAAAAGAGGAGAGTTAATAAGACGAAATGCCTTTGGTTCCACCCTATCTAACAGTTGGACAGAAGAAGAGCCATCCCAGATATGAGAGCAGTTCTCCAAGTTAGGACGTATGAATCCCTTATATACTTGAAGCAACTGCTCAGGAGTGAAGTAGCTACGGCATCTGTACAGCATTCTCAGCTTTTGGGAGGCAGCTTTGGCAATGTTGTGGACGTGTGGCTTCCATGACATATTAGAGGAAATGGTGAGGCCTAGCATATCTATTTTAGAACTTGGCAGAATGATTGAGTCCTGAAATGTGAATGGTGGGAGATCATCTAATTTGGAAAGTGTAATTGGTAAATACTGAGTTTTATTACTGTTGAATTTAACCAAGTTTCTACCTCCCCATTCAGAGCTGCTGCATAGATCCGCGTTGATAGATGATGTAATCGCTCATAGGAGCGATTTTGGTTTGTGCAGGACAATAAGACCCTTGGCGTTGACGCGATGAGTATAATTCGGTCAAAACCTGTTGAATACAATTCTCATATAACAACTGCCGGTACATCAGGACACACAGTTTGAATAGTACGATCAATATACAGTACATAACCTGTTAAATATAACTCGCATATAGCAACTGCTGATACATCAGGACACAGTTTGAATAATATGATCAATATACAGTACATAATTACACTTATTAAAGTTATTTAGAGTTCTCAGAGGATTCAACAGTTTACAATCACACTCACGTTTTTGGGTCTAAGGTTAGACCAACTAGAACAAATATAATGTCCTGCAGGAAGATGTTGGCTGACGAGAATCAAGATGTTGCCTCTACAGGAGAAGGCGATAGACTGTCCCTCAGGCAGTCACACAGCTGCTACCAGCTCCATCTTGCTTAGTAAGCTATTCTGAGTTGTAAACAGTCTCTTCACTTAACTTGTGGCCGGCGCGCACAATTGTGCGTGACGATAACAGATGATATGGGGAAGTACTGGTAGTTTGAAGGTATTTTTTTAAATTTAGTACATAAACATATTTTTCATCCTTTCAGGGCTCGTGTCCATGCCCAGCGCAAATTTGCTCAAGGGTCACAACCAAACAGTCCTGCCCCAACTCCAGTGAAGGAGACACGAGAATTGCGTGACAGGAGTGGCTCTTCAGAAACAAGAAGTCGGAGTGCTAACCAGGTTCATCCACCTCCTCCGCCTCTGGATATTGTTGAAGTACCAGTTAGACCAACTGTTGAAGACTTTTTAACTTTTCTCTGTTATAGAGGTGAGAAATGTTGTGAAATTTTTATTTTATCATAAATGATTGTTGACCTTAATCACCCAAGTAGTTTTCCTTAAGCATAAGACTTGAGAAGTATGCTTCATGGTAGTCTTCTTTTGCAAAATGCATACAGGCGCTCCTCTACTTACGAGCGAATTATGTTTCTGAGGCTTGTTCATAATTCAAACTTTACTGCTGTAGATACTGACATATTGTAAAAATGAAAATATAAAGGAAGTACTGTACAGGGCAGCTGTACCCTACAATACTGTACATCCTTAAAACCTGGCATACTCTTCAACTTTTTGGCAATATATGTTCTATCAGGCATTTTCTTCCAGTATAATCCAGTCTCATACACATTGAACACCAGCAATATAGGGAAAGGGGTTAGTAATCTTTCATTGCACTTTGGTGAGTCTCTAATTACATGTTTTTACCATAAAGGCAAGCAGTGTGGGTATTTTTGGTAGAGGAGTTCATGAACTTCAGAGGTCCATTACTCTTGTTTCCATGAGAATGAAACCTTGGTTTGAGAATCATTTGTTTAAGCCAACATAAAGATCTTGACTTACTGTTAACATCTCCTGTTGGCTCAGATAACTGGTAGTTAACAGATGCTGCCACACACCATTTTATTACACTTTCTCTTAACGGTCACATAATTTTATTCACAATTACTCGAGAGGCTTTCAGAAACTCGTTTCTCTCCTTTTGCTGAAAGTTTGTATTAACAACACTTAACCTTATGCTGTACATAAACCAAGGATTCTGTCACACTTGGTCCTGTCCAAGCTAATGTGACAGCCTGGAATGATGATTTCTTCAATGGTTTTCAGTACAGTAAATTCTTGATACTGTACTGTGTATGTTGGTTTTATGAACAGGATTTTTATGTAACACATCACTTACTTAAAAGACTAAATATTGGGATTTTGTGATCATTGATCTTTTAAGGAGAGTTGTGGTTCTTTAGGTACAGACCCTCAAATCCAGGACACTCGGGACAAAGACCAAAACAGTTTTGAGGATTTTCAGGCTTTGTGGGTCCTAGATGTGGTTAGATTTTCTAACCTGGTGTCATCCATCTGTGAACCTGGAGAAACCAGTAGACTATATCAATTTTGCTTCCACTTACACAAACTCAGTTGAACATTGGTTTTACTTCTTAAATAACAAAATAAAGAAAATAAGTGTTGAATGTATGATTTTAAAAAACACATTAATACAGTCTTTTAAGACCCTGAAAGCCGGATTTGGTAAAACGTTGCTCTGATCACCTAAGAGGCACGGGTGGTCCCCATTTGAGGTTCACAGTGCCATAAGCTCGTTGAACAGGCTTTGTGTGAAATATAACAGAGTCTAGGACTGCTTTTAGTGTCCTGGTGGCCCAGAGGTAGCGTTCCCCGGTCACAATTATAAGACCATGGGTTCGAATCCTGGCTGGGTGAGGTGTTGATATTGTATATATATACTGTGTGTGTGTGTATATATATATATATATATATATATATATATATATATATATATATATATATATATATATATATATATATATATATATATATATATATATATATATATATATATATATATATATATATATATATATATATATGAGAAAAAAACCAAAAACGTATATGTACTGTATACCCGAAATTACCAGATGAAATACAGTATTACAGCTGAGTGATAACTCTGGCTCTCCAGGGTCTCAGAACAGAACCTATTACAGGTATTCCCCATAAGTTATTAATATCAATATACAGTACAATCAATCATCTAAAGATGGATTTTCAAAGTCCCCAATCCCATTGTGGAATGGTTAACACCTGTACTTCAAATCTTTTGTTTAATTTGACCAATATCATTTTCAAAAGTTATGTGAACACAAAATATTTTTATTTTTTATTTTTTATTTATGTCGGACTTACGACCATTCGGACTTACGACCTGGATTTGGGTCCCTAACCCCGTCGTAAGTCGGGGAGTACCTGTACTCTAACGGGTTATTCTAGTGTGACCGACAGCCACAGAGAAACTGACAGATGGTTTGTATGTTGTGTTATCTGAGGTACATAACCTCTGTGTAGCAATATCTTTTTATATGTGTATTTTCTTGTCAATTTGCAGGAACAGCGCTCTTACCACCAGGGCTTGAGCACTTTAATTCTCCCCAGCTTCTTGAAGCAGCAGGTGACAGTCGGAGCCAGAGTCCTGCTAGAGATGATAAGGGCAAACTTTCTTCAAAGAAAAAGCAAGATGGTTTCACTGTTGATAAAAGAGAACTCTCAAAGGTAGGGAAATCTCAAGTATTTTTAATAACTTGTTTTATTCATGAGGTTCAACAATTTAAGCATTTTTTCCATATTCATACTCCAAATATTGGAAGCTAAAGGACTTTACCATTCCCGATTTTTTTCCCCATCTATTTTGCAATTAATACCAGCATATGTGACTTCTTGATTGAAATATTATTTAAAACAAAAATCTTTATTTCTTACAAGTCTACAAAGTCGAATGATATTGCCTTTTTTTTCTATACCAGTAATCATTTATTGTTTTTTTATTTTGTGACATCTTCATCATTATTATACAAAAGAATAGATACTCCTTATCTCTGGCAGTCTGTCCATTTTGCTTCGGACAAGGATAAACAGCAAACATTGATCCATGTACATATTCATAAGTCTCCATCACTGTATTGTCCACTAGTTCTTTGTTAATAACTTAGAAAAAGAAATCCATTGGGCTGATCGACAAGGAAACCCAATTCCACCTGCCTTTGTCAGTATGTGTTCATTTTCTTAGTCGCTGAACATGTGGATCATCATCACTTTCGTTAACTTCCTCCAAGTCAGTCTCCTTGCATTCCTCACTTAATTTTCCTTCTTCACCATGAAGCCAATACAGGTATTCATCATACAACTGATATTACCTTATTTACCTAATGGTCACCCACTAGAGGTGGCCATGTCGAGGGAAGGAGACCAGTGACTATTTTGAAGCCCAGTACTGTTCTTGATTACTCAACTTGGATTGGTAGACTGTTCCATAGGTCTACCAGTCTCTGTATGAAAAAGTGTTTCCTTAAATTTGTTCTGCATGATAACTTTTTTTTTTATGAGGATAGCCCACACGGGTACAGGTCACCGACCCACATCAGGGGATAATAATAATAATTCATAGTAAATAAAATTTATAATAAAAATAAAATAATAATGGCGAGCTTGTAATAATGTCCTCTCATGTTGGTGGTGTATGAGCTTACAAAGAAATGTCCTGGATTTATGGTTTCCATCCCTTTCAGGATCTTGAATGTTTCAGTGAGATCTGTCCTATTATGCCTTGTTTGAAGGGTTGTTAGTCCTAAGGCTCTCAGTCTACTTGAGTAATCAAGATGACATTGTTCTGGAATCATCTTAGTCGCTCTGTGTTGCACTTTTTCTGGGGATGTTAAATCTTTTTGGAGGTAACGTTTCCATGCCTGTATACAGTAATCCAGACTGGGTCATAATTGAGATTTGTGCAATTAAAGAAGCATTTTCCTATTTTTAAATTCAAGGGTATGGTCTATTGTAATATCTTCGTTCGCCAGAACTCTCCAATACCCGGAATTGAAATTGACTCAGAATTTTTCAGGAAAAAATTCTCTCAATTCTGGGTCTCAGAACAGGTTTCCACTCTTGAAAATCAGGCATTTTTTCTGAGAAGGTTCCCCAAGAAAATCTCAGCAAACCTATCCGTTCTGGGTCTGGGAACAAATTTCCCCGGAGTTCCAAGAGATTGCATGATGCTTCAATGCATCCCCACATGCTGTGTGCATGGGTGGCCTAGCTGTTTGGATCGCTTAGTTCATATTCTGCTGCCATTGTAGAAGGTGCTTCATTGCAAACTGCTGATTTTGCATACAATTTGTGTTGTGCTGTACATTACTGTACTACCAGAAGAAAATCAGCCAAGAATACAGTGTTTAAAGTAGGAGTATACTGTCCAGTCTCCTGAATGTAATACATAACTGTATTCACTTTTTATGTCTTTTTAACACTTGTGATGGAGGTGGGGTAAGGGATTAGTGGTCTCATGTGACTGACTTTATGATGCAATGTCAGGTCACCCCTTGTTGGGGTGGGGGATCAGAGCAAAAACACTTCATTGTCACTAAATTGGAAAGCACTTCTCAATCAAAGTGAAAGCACTTCACAGTCAGAGCAAAAGAACTTCACAGTCACTAAAACAAAGTACAATATGAACTTTAGTGATACCCTCCTACTGTAAGGTAAAAAACCAACATTGATGATGACTGATAAACATTGAGTAAGATTAGTAAGGGTCACTGCCTTATGACTGGAACATTGTGGACACCTGCTGTCCCCTAGGGACTTGATCTCACTCTCCTCTACTGTATATATTTCCCTTGTCAAGTATTTCTCCTTAGTCTGTACTCACCCCTGAAGATGTGAATTACACGAAAGCGCTTGGGAACTTCGTGTTTTCTTGTTTCCTTATGGTTATCAGCATATCCTTGAATCATGTGCACCTTCAGTGATTTACTTGCACATATATATATATATATATATATATATATATATATATATATATATATATATATATATATATATATATATATATATATATATATATATATATATATATATATATATATATATATATATAATACTGTTTACACTATACTGTACTCACCAGCAGATGCTGTCATCTTAGGCTTGTGATGCAGGCAGGCCTAATGGTGATACTGTATGATGATACAGAATGGCCTGATTTTGACCTGTACCATCTACTGTGGCAGGTGTTGCTGTCATTCTCCTCTCCCTCCTTAAAGGAGGGATTGTACATGCTTTGTATATTATACTGTCGACTCTGCTGAATGTACAGTACTGTACAATATACATAACTGTAATCACTTTTTATGCCCTAACACTGTATTCTTGACTGATTGTGTCCTGGTACTGTAATGTACAGTACAGTGCACTGTACAACACATTTATACAAAAACAGTGAGTGAGGGAACAGCATTGTACACTGGCAGCAGAATATGAAGTAAGCGTATGAGCCGACTGTTCAAGTTACCCAAGCATCTAGTCCATCCATGCACTTGGAACGTGTGGACATGTTGGAGCATGATGTAAGCTATTGGAACTCTCAGAAAATTTGTACTCATGCCCAGAATGGATAGATTTTCTCTGAATTTTTCCAGAAAATACCCATAATTTCATCATCAGAAACACATTCCCATGCCCAGAATAGAGAGAGTTTTCCTGTGAGGCTCAAAATTCATTCCTGCTATTGGAGAGTTCCAGGTACCGGAAGTTACTGGAGTATTTTAAAATTCAGTTTCAGTTGCCCAGAAGGGAATGTTTTTCTAAAATACTATATTCATTATGATTAAACTGTTTGAATTGACATGTTGTTTATTAATAGGAGACTGTAAAGAAGAACCTTGATCAGAGTACTGATGGGGAAGGATCATGTAGTGTTCCGTTCCGTGTAACGCGCAGTACACCACACCCTCCTTTAACTGCCAGCAATTCACCTCCCATGCCTCACTCGGCAAAGAAGCTCTCCAAAAGACTAATGATGAAGAAAGCACTACTTCTACAGACCAAAGCAAAATCACTAAGAATACAGGGTATGTATTTTTTTTCCCCAGGCCCTTTCTACCTCCTTCTTGTCTTCCCCACTTTCTCTTCCGTTTCAAATCTGAATTACATGTTCTTTTTGTCAATCTTTCTTTTCATGTTCTCTTTGTATAGTTGTGGTAACTTTGGAGTCTCTTATCAACTCTATTTTTGATGCAGTTTTCATTTTCATATACGGTACTGTATCTTAATTTCAGTATTTAGTACTGTATTGTTCGTTTTGTCCTGTTTACCTTACATTTTGCACTTAAGTACATCATTTCTGTAGCTCCAAACCAATAATTTCGGTAAAAAATACCTGCATAAATTTAGATTAGAAATGATGGGAAATTGTCTGGAGTATTTATGAATCTGAAGTAGGTATTTAAGAGTGTTGATTGAGGCTCTTTGGGAGTTGAAGAAGAGTTATAGAGTCAGAGAACTGCAGTGTGGTGTAGTGAAGGCATTCAACAAATATATAGTAAGGTGTATTTGAGAATACTGTAAATGAAGGATTAAGTTAGAGCTTGGAGGTGAGAATAAGAGTGATACCAGAATGTGTGATGAAAAGAAGAGTAATGTAATACTGTAATTTTTAAGATGAATAAGGTTGTCATACTGAAATTTTATAAACCATGAACAATAGAAGAATTGGTGAAAAATAAGAATATGGGGGAAGTTAAAGATCTCAATTTGGGAGAGATGTTCAGTAAGAATAGTATTATAAAGAATGTAATTAGGAAGAGAATAATTCATGAAAGAAGGGTGAATAGAAAGCTAGGAGGGTTTATAAAGGAAGAATTGTAAGCTTGTAAGCAAAGGAGAATTCAGGGATTTTATAATACAGTACAGTACTGCCTATCTCAGCTTATGAATGTTAAACATAGACTTTCAATAGAACAAAAAATCTTTAAAGTTAAAGCCACAGAGATGAGTTGTGTAATGGCAGCATCTGGGGTTATCAGAATGGAATGGGTACAAAACAATGAAGTGTATGGCATGATTGAAATGGTAGAGAAAACAGTGTGTGTAAATTGTGGAGTGATGGAATGGGTCAAGAGATGCTTGCTGAGATGGGTATGGATGACGTTTGAAAAGCGGGCAGGAAGGGATGAAAAGAAGGGGTGTATAGGTGAGATGTAGCATGTGTATTCGGGAGAGGAAGACTTGTTTATAAAATGGGATGAAAAGGTGGAATGGTACATTAGAGAGAGAACAGGGAGGTGGATAAGGGGATTAGAGAAGAAAAAGGAAGTATGTAGGAATAGGGCAGCCTTGAGACTTTACTGTCGTGTCCAACCCCTCAGAGAGTAGCTTTCTGGAGGAGTGAGATGCTGTAGATAAGAAAATACTTGATTATTTCTTAAGTGAAAAACAGTTTGCCACTATTTGTTTTCGATATTTTTGTGTGTTTATTTAATTATTCTAATGTGACCTGTTTTTCAAGTTCATTTTTATTTTAAAGACCATCTCTTAGTTTCTTTCATACAACTTTTCTGAATTTAGTAATTAGTAAATATTCTTCAGACAGATGGATATTAAACTTTATACAAAATAAATTAAAATTTTTATATTTTACAGAGAGGAAGAATGTAGCATTGAGACGATCTGATATTCAAGCAATAGACTCAACACCTATACAAGGACCAATAGTGGCTACAAGGTCAGGGCGACTTTTACATAAATATCGTGTTTCAGCCACAACAGCAATAGCCCGGAAGAAAGCAAGGGTTGCAATGCTCTCCTCAATACGACCTAAACAAAAGCTTTCAAGAATATTACAGAGGTATGGTGGTTATTGTTTGTCATGGTTTTTCTGTAATTTAGTCTGGTGTGGATTATATTATATAAAGATTATAATATATTGTGTTTCTTATATTTCTTACCGTAGAGTTCGATACCTTCACATTGGTTACTTACAGGAGATTATGGTGTATCTGCGTAGAAGTTCACTCCACCACTCGACATTCCATGATTTATACTTGATAAATGATGATTTAATGAATTCCATTAATTTCTAACATCCATCTAAGTTATTGGTTATACTTTGTCATAACTAACCAGTCATTACCTTTAGTAATAATAAGATAGGATCATAGATATGGGCAGATAATTGCACTTACATTTATTTTGGCAAGCTTCCTTACAATGATTTACAATTTGCATGGATATATGAGTCACTCACATTCACGCTGTAATAAAATTAATCTTCTAAAAGAGGGAATTTTCAACTAGGGACACATGTGATTACACTACTATGGATATGACTTAACAGCCTTAATTTTTCAAGTGATACATTTACTGCCAGCCTAGATTGCTCTTGTTGCAACCAGGCTTCCACACAAGAACTTCTTTCCATGGGAAATAACAACAAAAAGGTACTATTGGGTTACCACACATAGTCTCGCGTCACTGACAGTCACTGTAGACGGTTGTTGCGGCAAGGAGAACTGGTAAGCGTGACTTGATTAACCACTTAGGCGCAATAGGCCAACCTGGATAGCTTTTGTCGTAACCAGGCTTCCACACATGATTTTTTCACGGGGAAAACAACCTAGGTTAGCACACTTAGTCTCGTGTCACTGACGGTCCACAGGACGAGGTGGCGGTAGAGGACTCCGTGTGGTGTTCCGTTCCTTTCAAGAGGGAGAGGTGGGGACGACGTCTTAACTAACCCATGGCCTAGGGGATGCTACTTAAAATGTGGTTTTGGGGTGTGAGGTGATGAGCAGTACAACACTGTCTCACTGGCCCCCCCCCTGGCTAACATACCACTAATGGAAAAAAAATATGTCATGTCATGGCTCGCCGGGTGCCTTATCTCTAGTAAAACAAACTTTGGAGTTGGTTGCGTGGGTAAGCCTAATGCAACCCATAACAATATATATATATATATATATATATATATATATATATATATATATATATATATATATACACACAGTTGTACCCCACTTAAAGCGGTCAATTGAACCCAGAGGGTCCCGCGTTAAGTGAAATCCGCGTTAAGTGAACAACAGAACATATGGGATTAATTCCAATAGAAACCGGCCCGACCCCCAAACTCCACTTTTTGAAGGCACATACCTATGTTGTAGTAAAAATAACATCTTAATTTTATGATGGTACATGCACACAATTAATACTTAAGAGAAATAGAGAAATACAGTCGCCAAGTTAATGTCCATTCAAATAATGGACTCAACTCCCTCCCCCTCTCACACTACACAGCCGGCTAACAGATGGTCGGTCGGTCCCTCCCTCCCCCACCCCCCACCAACCGTCCCAAGGAGATGTGTGGGATAACCTCAAACTAAAGTTAGGAAAATATAATTGACATTGCTGGATTCCTTGTAAGACCAGGAATATTTTGAATATAAATGTCATATATTTTGCACAAAAGATAACATAGTTACCTAGAGAAAAATTTTTATCTAAAAATTGTAAGTTTAAAGCAAAATATATGATGTTTATATTCAAAATGATCACCAAATTATAAGAATTCCAGCAATGTAAATTATATTCTGACCGGGTAATTTGTATGAATTTTATGAGCTAAAACAAATATCTTCAGTTAATAAAAAAAAAATAATCTTCACGACACTATCTGTCAATCAAAGTACCCCACCTTGCCTCCCCCCCTCTTCCAACCGCGCGGTCAGTCCCAACCCTCCCCCCCACCCCCCACCAATCCTCCCTTCCAGAGTTTTTAACATTTAGTATTAAATAATACCTCAGATTAAAGTTAGGATAATATAATTGACATTGCTGGATTCCTTGTAAGACCAGGAATATTTTGAATATAAATGTCATATATTTTGCACAAAAGATACCATAGTTACCTAGAGAAAAATTTTTATCTAAAAATTGTAAGTTTAAAGCAAAATATATGATGTTTATATTCAAAATGATCACCAAATTATAAGAATTCCAGCAATGTAAATTATATTCTGACCGGGTAATTTGTATGAATTTTATGAGCTAAAACAAATATCTTCAGTTAATAAAAAAAAATAATAATTCTTCACAGGGTAACAGATGGTCGGTTGGTCCCTCCCTCCCCCCCACCCCCCACCAACCGTCCCAAGGAGATGTGTGGGATAACCACTAAATTTTAATAAATAATACCTCAAACTAAAGTTAGGATAATATAATTGACATTGCTGGATTCCTTGTAAGACCAGGAATATTTTGAATATAAATGTCATATATTTTGGACAAAAGATACCATAGTTACCTAGAGAAAAAATTTTATCTAAAAATTGTAAGTTTAAAGCAAAATATATGATGTTTATATTCAAAATGATCACCAAATTATAAGAATTCCAGCAATGTAAATTATATTCTGGCCTGGTAATTTGTATGAATTTTATGAGCTAAACCAGGCAGTCAGGCAGGGTGGCGGGTGGGGCAAATCTAAAAATAGCGTCTCGACACTCACCGCGTATATGTGGAAATAAATCCGCGTTAAGTGAAAGTTCAGCTTTGGCAAGGCACCGCGTATATGCGAAAACGCGTTAAGTGAAACCGCGTTAGGCGGGGTAAAACTGTATATATATATATATACACACACACACTATTTAAAGTGTGTATATGTTGGTTTCTGTGTTTGCTATGAACAACTACAGTTTTAAAGATAGAGAGTTCAAGTTTGGAATGGAGATGCACAGGAACTTTAGAATTGTTCTGAAGTGGAGTCTTGGGGGGTTGGTCCCCACTCCCAAAAGATGGAACCCTCTCATTAAAAAGATGTCCAAGTGGGGGCCTACAGGGGCTGACTCCCCACATAAGAGTGAGCCCCCTTGTGCACTACCATGCATTTGATATGGTTTGTTTTTGGAGATTGACTTAATTATGGCTTTTGGAATGTTTTCAATGTTACTTTTTATTTACCACTTAATTGTTTACAGATCTTGTCATAGTTATTATTGTAATGTGCTTGTATCAGTGCCTGAAATGTGTGGAGTTTCATATATAAAACAAATAAGAAATTAAGATTATGAAGTCTTTATTACCTGTTACTTACAGAGTTCATAATTCATAAGTGCAAAATAACATGAGTCAAATTAATTTATATTTATGCACTCTTTGTTACAGATTGGGCAGCTCCGTCTCCAACCAAGATTCTAGACTGACTAGAATGACACGCAGTCAGGCTGAAGTGAAGCATGATGGAACTGAGGATAAAACTGTGGAAGAAGAACAAAAAGAAAAGTTAATGGAGAAAAATGAAAAGCGTGATATTGGGAAGATTGGGAAAAGTGAAGATTTATCTCAGGAGTCTTCGCGTGTGTCTCGACCTGTCAGACTTGTGAGACAAAAGTTGTCAGTGAAAAAAATTGTTGTGAAGAAAGTGGTTCGGGTCACTAGAGAAGGCAAGTGTCTTAAACTTTTAATTATAACGGAATGTGATAGGGATTACAGTTATTTAATGAAGAAATAAATATAAGGGGTGTGATTGAAATATCCAAATGGAAGCAATAGCAACTTTAAGGAAAGGAAAGTTAGATCTGATAGTTGTTCATTATCCAATGTCTGATAAAAGTGATAAAAGGATTTTTTTAAAGCCCAAATGGTTGCTAGCCTTGCCCTGTTTAGACTATATCGGACAACATTGATTGTCCTGTTGTAGCACATGGAGGATTCTGTGGACAATATGTGGAGTATTTTGAGTATTTAGTCAGAGTGGTTATTGCTTGTGACTGGCTTCCTCTTAAACTGTGGCTTGAACCCCAGGCTGGGGATTTTCATTTACTGTAATATGGGGTGTTAGGAAATTCCCTGTGCACCTACAATAATTAAAAATAGAGGTAGTGATATCCCCATTAGCTGGAACAATTAGTGCAGAGCTCTTCCAGTAATGAAAAATTCCCAGGTAATGGGACAGCTTTCTCATCCCTGGAAAAAATCACCCATTTCCGGAATTTTCTGGGTACTGGGAAAAGTTTTCTGAGAGTTTGAACTGTGCAACTCGCATGGACAGACACTATCACACATCCCTGGAATGATTCTGGGTGCTGGGGAAAGTTTTCCAAGAGTCTAAGAGGTCTAAACTATGCATCTCATTTCACATAGACAAAACTCTCCCATTATATTTACCGTAAGTTGTGTCGCATAAGTCAACCTCAAGATTTTTAGTTAAAAATTCAGGTGTGTAATAAGGCCACGCCACTTTCATCAACACACTTACCATAATACCTTTCAATATTGATATATATATTATATAGTTCATACAAAAAGTTATCTTCATAAGAACTCTGGTAAACACCAAGCCAAAATCGGCACCTCTAATAAAATATTAATTGTTTACACAGCATACCAGTATAGCAAATTGATAGTACCGCTATATACGGTATGATAATAGAACATTATGGTACACCTGGCTTATGATCTGCCATTTGCATCAGCTGGTGTAAACAAACTGCCAGTGGCGCCACCAACACCACGTGGCCAGCTGCGAAACTATGGGTCCATTACACTGCCGGCACACAGCTTGGACTTAGACTGTCATTCGCTTATTGACCCCCCCTCCATACGCTGAACAAGCCTACATGGCAATTTACTAAACCATATAGGTACAGTAATAATGCCATTGTGTGTATATTCAATAAACTGCCATTATGTATCATTAAACTGTCATTACCCCTGTAGTGTGTGAACTCACAATCTATAGCGCTATCATAAAATTGCACAGATGGCACCCATATCGTAGTACCGGGTACAGTAGTTATCTGACTGGCCGCCTGGGTTGAGTGACGTTCTGATCGATTGTTTACTGTGCATCAGCTGTTGGAAATGGCATGTAGTGTTGTGTTCGTTTAATTATACTGGAATTTACTATTTTATTATAATCTCTATGTTAAATAAGTTTACCAAGCATGAATTTCAGGAGGAAATATTAGCGGTAGGCCACGGGAGCTACGCTAAATGATGCACAGCGAGTGTTAGGCAGGCTGTTCCACTTGTTTACCGCTATGTGGTACAGCACATTTTATACTCTTGAGTATAAGTCGACCCCTGGTTTTGGAGAGATTTTTTCAAGCTTAAAATGTTGACTTATATGCCGCAACTTACGGTTGGCAGCGTGCACGAGAGAAAATATTTACGACTAGTGAAAATTTGTAAAAACTTTTATTCACAGCATCTGTTCTACTTTATGTTAGAGAGATGAATTTGGTACCAAAATGATTCTCAATAAGTTCTCTACTAGTTTGTCTCAATAAAAGATCCTTAAACAATATATATTGACACAATATAATGATGGGGTTAATTAATTTATGAAAAGAAATGTGTGAAATATTTGTGCCAGAATCTATAAAATCAATTAAAATTAAGTTAGAGACACCATTTTTTAACAAAATAATCCTGAATACTTTATATAATAGTTTGTTAAAATAAATATACAGTGAACCCTCAAAGATTCGGACCCAGTAAATCTGAATTTCGGAAGATTCAGACAAAATTTAGAGGTTCTGGGAGATAAGAAGCCTCCCTAAGGGGCATTGCCAAAACAGAGCAAAGATCATCTTAGGCCCATGTATCTAAGATCTCAACGCATTGGGCACAGGTACCCAAGGCAGGAAATATAAACTGTGTTATCAGTTGTTGTTTGAGGGAATATTATTTCATTCACTCTAATAATGATAAAATGTTTCTTATTATGTTATCATAGGTAAATGCATGGTTTATATTATTTGTTTATCACTGTGCCCACCACCATTTTCAAATTAGACTACAGTGAACCCTCGCTTTACGCAGTCAATTGAACCCACGGAGGCCCGCTTAAAGCGAGAAACGCATAAAATTAACAACATAACATAGGGGATTAATTGAAATAGAGACCAGGCCGACCCCCAAACTCCACTTTTTCAGACACAATATCTACGTTGTAGTAAAAATAACTTCTTAATTTTATGATGGTATGCACACACAAGTATAATTAAGAGAAATATCAATAATATTAGGTTTTTTAACACTTACATTAGTAGAAAAGATGGCTGGGCACACGGGGATGGGGGGTTGGTTCCGAGGCAGAGGGCAGATTATTGGCCCTCACCTGTATCACTTGTACCAATTGTATCACTATCCACCACAGAGGCTTGCAGGGCCTGTTTGTCAAACACCTCAAAGTCCATATAAGTCCATATCCTCACTATCACTGACTTGGGCCGGCTGTGGTGGGTGGCGGGTGAAGAACTTGGTAATGTTTTGATGACTGGGCGACCTTGTGCGCACACTGCCCGCGCTGCTCTCCGAGTAAAAGAGTACATGCACCGCGTAAAGTGAGCATTCCGGGTCTGGCAGGGTACCGCGTAAACGTGGAAACGCGTAAAAAAAAATCGCGTTAAGCGGGGTAATACTGTATAAGGTACGGTATGTATTTCTCCCATATGTACACCTGGCATCGGGAGCAGCAAGCGGAGTGAGTGACTTCATTTGCTAGTTAGCGTATTGCCTGCTGTTGTAACTCATCACTCCTCCCTGCCATATTTCACTGGATTTACTGTTGTTATTAGTGTTTAGTGATTAATCATGGCATTGTAGCCAGGTTAGACTCATCACTGTAACCACCAGGCTACTGGGCGAAGATGTGAGGTGTTATGGTTGTTTTTAACTAATATTTTTGGGTAGATATACATAACTTTCTTCATTTATTTTTACTCAGTTACATGCACACACCATCCTAAATACATTTTGTGAAAAAGTAAAAGAAATAATTGTCATAAGGGCAAACACATACAAAGGGAATATACATTTCTTTGCACATGAGTTAGCTGGCTGGACATAGCGGTGGTTGGTGAGGGTAGCATTGCTTGGGAATTTGCATCCCAGCTAGTCACTGTTGCTAGGATGAAGCAGGGAGTTTAACCAAATGGCGACTGTGTTAAACTTTCATTTGGCTTTTATTTACTGATTTAGCAATGGAGTATTTTTTTGTTGTAACTTCTTTATTGGTATATTTTTATTTATTCCGTACATTTCCTGGCACTGTATATATTATTTTAAGAAAACTATGGCTACAGGAGGAAAATACACACAAGTATTTTTCCTAAATACTCCGTAAAATACGGTATACAGTATTTTGGTGTTTTTTATATCATTATTTATTGTGTTTATACATTTAGTACATTCACCGGAAGATACTGACAATCGGCTTTTTTTGGACAGGTGGTTCCCCCTTTTAGTCCGGATCGTCGAGGGTTCACTGTATTTAAAAAAAGCTATATGATACATGTTGTCAAATGAAGTTATTTGGGGGGTGCAAGGCCCCCAAGTGAACATACAGGGTACATATTTACCTTTTTTCTAATTACATTAAATATTGAAAATGGTCACAGTAAATACTGTAAATAGAACAAGGTGCATAACAATGTAGATATAACAAAGAACACCTACTGTATATTGATAATTATTGCAGGTGTAAGGGACTTTTCTAACACCTTATATATTTGGACACTGCTTTCTTTGGTCAGAGAGGAATTAATGTGGCTTTATTTAATCATTTGTGTGTGAGCAGGATGCTTTAGATTGTCAAGACTAGATACTGAAAAGAAAACAAGTAAGATTAATTAGTATTATGTTTGAAACTTAGGTAATTTACTTATTATTTTTACTTAAATTTGAGAAATAAGTTATTGGATGTTTTAATAGAAAGAAAACTTTGTTACTAGAGTAGTCTTAGGAATAAGTACAAAAGATTCATTATGCTGCTTCCTATATTATGTCTGATTTTATTATGATTTGACCATCAGCAACCAAATACACTGATGTTGAGTCTTCGTCATCAGCATCTGTATGCCAGCCTCTTCTTACCCAGTCTCCGGACCAAGTTCCTCTTGCAAAAAGGTTGAGAAGAAGTACTCAGGACCCAACTGTTTTCCCTGTTTTACCTAAAAAGTGTCCTGCATCACCCATCCCTCCAAGTCCCACTGTTAGTCATACACCTAAAAAATCTTGTCCTTCAGATACCTCCACAAATGCACCAGAGTTGGAGGAGAAGTCTGTTTCTAATATTCCTGGATTGGAAATTGTCACAGATCCTTCGCCACAACTTGATCCTTCCAAAGACACTTCTCCCTCTTTAGGCAACTCACAGTCTCTGCAACAAAAATCTCACCCTAATTCAGTTACTACCACCCCTGTTGTTTCTCATAATCAAAATAAAAAACCCACCCTAGTGTCCATTCCAGTATCTGCCACCCCAAAGAAATCTTCCCCACAACTTTCTCCATCCTCCCCAAGTACAAGCAGGAAATCAATAATTGCAAAGGAAGATAAACAGAACAAAGATACTTCAGCTGCTGTATCCCCAGATTCACCTGTTACTTCTACAACAACTGAAGAAACTGAGTATGTAATGGCTTCTGAGTGTGGTTGCTATAATGTTTTCAGATTTTTTTTTAAGTGAAATAAATACTGTTTATATGCAATTTCTTTATAATGTTCATTTATTCACAAAAACACTATCATGTAGATATACAAATTATAAAAAAATATGCTTAATTATCCTCGTACAGGGGAAATCATGGGATCCGTACACGCCCTAGCAGACGAACCAAAGAAGCTGCCACAGTTTATTTGCAGTTAATTGGTCGCAAACTTGCTCAGGAATCAAAAGGTAATGTGAGAGCAGTTGATGAGGAAGATGAGGATGAAGAGAATAATACTCCCTCTGTCAAGAATGGCATAGACCTCAAGGCTCAGACTAAAATCAGTAAGTTTGTATTGTAATTAGTTAATATTGTATTTAGTTTATGAATTTCTTATAACTGTCCACCTTGTGGTTGTATACATATGTAGTGAACGTATACTCTCCTAGCCCCATTTTAAATAATGTACATATACTCTGCCAGTCTGGTGAATGAGTTTTTTTTTTTCAGTTACCATACCATTGTTGTTTTGTGTCTTGTAATTTTTCCATTACTTCTTCTTGGTTTATCTTAATGAACTACTTTATAATTTTCATTATGATTTTGATATTTTCAGAAGGGAAGGGAGAAGAAATAGATGGAAAGAAAAATCTTAATTCATCAACTGAGGAAGAAACATCAGTGTCCATGAACAACACAGGGAATGCTGGAACTGAATATTCTGTTTGGAATGACAGTCTTGCTAAACCGGGTGTCAGAAAATCTCTTCGAAAATCTAGAGATTCGTCAGGACAAGCAGATTCTGAAAAAGTGATTATTTCTGAAACTCCTAATTCTGACAATGGACGAGTGTCAAAACGAACTCCATCTTTCAAAGATGAGTCCTCAAATTCTGCAGGTGATGAAAAAGTTACTTGTAGTTTGCGGAGGACAAGAAGATGTGAAAAAAGGGATTCTTCAACACCAGAGCAACAAGAGAGCTCAGGACATACTAATTCTCCCCCCTCATTGGGCAAACATTCACAAACAACACCATTTGTCACATCATTTACCAAAGTAGAACCTAGAAGACTAAGAAGAACTCGAAGTGATGCTGATGAACCAAAGAAGAAGGGGTCGCGACCCTCCTTTAGGCGTGCATCTTTAGAAACTGACAGTTCTCCAGAAGTAGCAAGACAGAGACGTATAACCAGAGGGAGGGATGGACAGGATTATAAGGAAAATGAGAGTGATAGTGAGGAAAGTGATCGATTAATTATGAACACTCGTACTAAAAGAGATATAAAAAGAACAGTTAATATAAGTAGTGACCAAATAACGCATATAAGAAATGTATCGGGTGATGAAAATGAAAAGTGTTTAAAAGTTAGAACTCGTCGTCTTGGTGGTGAAACTCCAAGTGGTAATAAAAGTGATAGTTCATTAGATAATAGTAAGATAAAAGATTCAAAGACCTCTGGTATTGCAAGTGATTTTATTCATAAAGTAGAAAACAAGGGAGAATGTCAGAAAAGTGATTCCAAGTTAGAGTGTAATAAAGATAACAAAGAAAGTGAACAACAAATTAAGGATGAAAATAAGGATGATAATGGTGGCCTAATAGTAGCTAAGGAATCTAATACCTCAGTTGGAAATGGGGTTGAAATTTCTGATAAAACATTTGGGCCTGCTGGAAAGTCACGAAGGACAGTGTCACAAGAGAGAAAAACAGAACAGTATGTAAGACACTCATCTCTTAGAAAAAGTTTAGAAAAATCAGATAGTAATGATAGCATTGATACTGTTGAAGTACTCTCAAGAAGTAGTAGTAGAAGCAGGAGTGGGTCTTTAGGCAGCAGTATAGAGAACACTAACCTTGAAATGTATGATAAAAAGTCACTGGGACCAGGGATTAGAAGGAAGTCTGTGGGAAGTAGGAGGCGAAGTAGTAATCATGATGAAGCCAAATTGAATGAGGTTCTAGAAAGTGTGGCCAAGGATTTTGAAAGAGATATAGATGATGACCACTATGATAAAATAGAAAAAGATTTTATGATGGGAAATAAGTCTCCCGAGAAAAATAAAGGTGAAAGGACACCAACAGAAATAGAAAAGGAAGATTTATTTATGTCAGACAGTAGTATTTCATGCATGGATGAAAAAAGTTCAAGTTCAACAGATATGATGCTCACTTCATCAGTTTCATTAAAAATGACAGGTGGAGGTGGCGCTGTTCAGTCTGGTTGTAGCAGCCCAAGTCCAAATAAAAGAAGCACAACCAGTAAAAAGCTAAGTGATGTTGTTCGCAGCCTTCAAAAGAAACAAGCCGAGACCCCAAGCACGGTAACCCCATCTGTAAAACCAACATTTCTGAAGGATCTCAGCAACTGGAACTCAGATAAATCGAGGCAAGTAAGTCCCCAGTCAGGTCCTCACCTTCAGTCTACTGGTACTTCCTCTGCACCTATAGCAGTATCACAGAGTGATGCCTCTCTGCCAGAAATTGCACATAGCCCCAGTGCACCTTCTATACCACTAGAGAATACTGCCACCACTACTTCAAAGGCACCATCACCAACACCTCAGAAATCTGGCACAACCAAGGTTGCATCCACCAGAACTGGCACCAACAGACTTCCCCCAACTAACTCACCTGTTGCTACTCACAGTTCACCCCAGGTAGAGCCTGTGATGACCACGTGTTCACAAACACTTGCACCTAGCACTGCAGTCACCCCCAATTTCCATAAAAGTCTTTCTATTGTGAATACAGCACCTGCAGGGACTTCTGCCTTTGCCTCAGGTATTCAAAAAGGGAATGTAGCACCATCAAAAACAACGCCCTTTATATTTCAGAGTGGTCAAGATGAACATGTAACTGTTCTTCCAAGCCTACCAGTTACAGTTAAACCTCCTGCTACAATTAATGTTGTGAGTACAGGATTTTCATCGCCTCTCACAGTGTCACGTGTACCACAATTATCATCAGTCGTAACTCTTTCACCTGTAGGTTGTGGCTCTGTTGCCAGCCCAAAACCAATAGAACCATCTTCCACAAAAAGTACTCCTAAGCAACTCTCAATTGCACCAAAACCTGCAACAACTTCAACTGCTCTGGTAGCATCTGCACCTGCTGGTCAGGTGTCAATATCTGTGTTACCACCAGGAACTCAAAAACCTCCCAACAAACCTGTACAAATTGCACCTAAGCCCCCAGCTACTACACCCCATATTCATCCTAATACTCAGCTTCTTGCTCCTCAGCCTGGCCACATGATGCAGGCACAAGTACAGGCTCAGGTGCAGACAATACCACAACCATTGCATACAGTTCAAGCAATAACTCAGCCAGTACAAACTATGCAGGCAATACCACAGCCAATACAAACAGTGCAGACTGTAACTGGTATGCCTGTGCAGGCAGTTATTACTCAAGCAGTTATTGATCCAACCCAGTTGGTTACTCCATCATCACCAGCAAAAATAATTACGCAACCGGTATTTGTAACTTCATCTATGCAGAGTGCTGTCACTTACAGTATTGCACCGCAGACAGTTGGTCAAGGTCACTTAACTGGTAATGTGGGTGCTCTTGCTCGTGTCCTCAATCCTACCATGGGAGGTAAAGTAGCAGCTAAACCTCAGCCTCGTCTTATGACCCCAAAGGCACCAGAATCACTTGTTACTTTAGCTCCAGCTACAGTTGGGAGCACTTCATCAGTGAGACCCATTGTGCCTTTATCCCAGCAAGTGCAACCTTCTCAGCAAACTCAGATTCTTGCAGTCATGCCAGTAGGTTCAGCTCATGTTCAAACACTGACAGGACAGCCAGCTTTGATGTCAAAATCCCAAGGCCCAATCCCATCTTCAACCCCTGTTCATGGAAACCATCATGCTCTAATTCCCACAACAGCTAATGACCAAATCACAACTCAAACCCATGCCACTGTACCACTCTCACAGTCTTTGTTAAACACAAGTGCTACCTCCCAAATACCTGCTGCTGCTGTACCTACTACTTTCCCAGTGGTTTCTTCTGAAGTTACTGTAAATTCTTCCCACTTGAACACTAAGGCTTTAACTGGTAGTCAACATGTGTCAGTCCCAGTTAACCAAGCTTTGAAACCAGTATCTGGAGACAAAAGTATGCCTGGGACAACTATTCCTAGTGGCAAGTTAGTTGGTAATATTAAACCTTATCCTAGTATACCTTCTCAAGCCACTCAACAGTCAGCCAATTCTGGCATGATTGTAGCTATAACTAAAGCTTGTTCTGCAACACCAGGTGGTAGTGTTAATAAGATGATATCTAAGGCATCTGAGAATAAACTTGATAGTTCCATATCAACACAAACCTGTAAAGTTGTGGAAACTGCTTTTAGAGGAGGAATACCAGGGAATGTTAGAATAACTGAGGTTGCCAAAGTCACTAACAAGAATAATGGACCAGTCCCTATTACAAATTTAGAATCTAGTTCCAAATCAATATCCTCTAGTATCCCAGCTAGACCTCAGCTGGCTTCCTCTTCAGTAACTATTACAGCTCTGACTGATTCTCCACATTCCAGCCAGTACAGTGTTTCAGAGGTTCACAAAGTCACAACTTCATCAAAGCAGCCAAATTTATGTTCTAATATTGATCTTAAATTATCATCAAGTGTGAGTATTGTTCAACACAAATCAGGTTTTGGAAGAAATGTTGCTGTTGCTGCTCTGCTATCAAAAACTGAAATTGATAAATGTACCAATATGCCTGTTCATATAATAGAGAAAGAAAAGTCAATAGTAAATCATCCCACAATAAGACCTGAAAAGGAAAAGCAAGTTTCCACTACCACTGTCACTAGTTGTAATAAATCTTCAGTTTTAAAGATGGATAAGGATAAAATTGCTTCTACTACCTCTGTTGCTAAGAGTAATCAATACAACCATCCCAGTACACCAGCTCTTCATAAATCAGACAAGACTGTAACGGTTTCAGCCTGCAATCAGTCTAAAATAGACAAAAATAAAATTGATGCTGCTAACCCAGGTCTAATAAATGATGTAAAATCACCAGAGAAAATGCAAACTGTGAATGGCAAAGATGAAAGTGATAGTGAGAAATTATGTGACAAGAAGATTGCAGATAAAAAGAAAGAACCTTTACTTAAAAGAACTCTTTTTAAGACCAAGAGTCAAGATGAGAAAAAAACACCTGGACCTTCTCCTGTGTACAAAACAAAAAGTTTAGAAGGCAAAAAGCCTTCTGGAGCTTTTTCTCCTCTACATGAAAGCAGTGTCTATGCTTTTGAACCAGAGGTTGAGACATCTCTTGAGGAATCCTCACCATTCTCCCAGAGAATTAAGAACATTCAACCTTCTCCAGGGTCATCACCGGTTAAACCTAATAATTTGATTAAGCCTCCACCTCAGGGCCCTGCTACAAACAAGCCCCTCAGCAAGGTAGCCTCTTTAGCTTCTACAGTACGAAGTCCTGTTGCACGATCTTTAACCCCCATGATAGTAGGTAAGCCAAAATCTATTGTAGGAGTAAGCCCCAGTACAGTAACTCCAACAGTTCTTGTTGGAAAAAGAACAAGCTGTAGTACTGGCACAGTTAGTGTCAAAGCTGCGGGCACTGCTACAGAGACCTCTCAGGTTACCAACAAGCTCATTTCTACATGTACCACTTCTCAGTCAGTACAGGAACATGGTAAAGTTGGAGCAGAAGCTGAGGTAGCTGTTGAATCAACTGCTGGATTTAAAAAGAATGTTAGCAGCACTTCAATAGCCATCCAGTGTGACATGGATGAAGGGATGGAGGCTGTAACTGAAGATGGTGTGAGTGCCAATGAAAGTGGAACACAAACTGAAGGACCAAGCAAATTTCCCTTGCCTCCTAATGCTTCGCCGTTTTACTATCTTCCTTTAGCAATGGCTGCTTTAGGGGAGAAGCTTCCTGCCCAATTAGTCCAGCAAATGTTGGCTAAAACACAAGGGTTAGTTGGGGCAGCAGAAGCTGGTATGATTCTTCAACAAGCAGCTCAGATTGCTCAACAACACCAGCAAAAATTACAACAGCAAGGTTTTCCTGGCCCTTCCCCCATATCAAATACCTGTACCTCTGCAGTAAAACCTATAAAACCAGCAAATATTTCAGGATTAGCAGTTACTCCTATCATGGCAGGAAATCCCACCGTCACTCCCATAAGCTCTGTGAGACCTTTAAATAAGAATATGGACTCGTCATTATCAGTGGCTGAAATATCGTCTCCCTCCCCAGTGGTCACCACAACGCCCACAGCTAACCCAGTGCCCAGTATTATTGTAACTACTTCTGCCTCATCATCTACAGTCTCCTTTCCCTCAGTTACCTCTTCCTCATGTATTATAATAAATACCCCAACCATAGCAGTTAACACCCCAGTTTCTGCATCATCTACCCCTGCTACACATAAAGTTGCAGTTACTAGTAATGATATTAAATCTGTAAATATACCTCCTCATAGAACCCATCTTACTCCATCTATTACACCAAGTGAAGAGGTCAACGTCTCTCCCACATATAAGACCACTACAAAGTCAAGATCAGTAAAATCGAAGGCAAGGGAAGATGAGACACAAAAGATTTCCAGAGATGGAAAAGAACTGCCAACTCGACGGCGTAGTGGACGAGCTACGACCCTTGCCGCCACAAGGGCTACTGAATCTGACATGCATGAAATTGAGGAACTGCGTCGAAATAGACGAGCCAAACGTGCAGCTGCAGCACTAGCTAAAGAGGAAGGTTGGAGTTCTTCGTCAGAGGCACCACTTAGTCCCCAGATGTCCCCAGATACCCTAAGAGGCTGGCCCCCACCAAGGCTTACAAGGTAAGTTTGCCTTTTAAGTATATATGCCAATTAGGTACAATGCTGTATTCTTGATGTTTGCAACTTATTTAAATGTTCTCTATCACTTATTATTATCTATGTTTCTTAGTTATAGCCAGCTTATGCCATGATATTTAAAGTACTGTATTGGATTGACAAACTGGACATTTATAGAAAATGGTGTTAGGTTGTATAAATGGGGGATGGAATCTCAAAACCACATTTTGTGGCCAAGAGCTGAAGATGAGTGACTGATTAGGTTGAACATATTCCTTACAACGGAGCCTAACTTTTCACCATTGAGGCTACAGTCAACTGCTGATTGATACAGCAGTGTACTGAATATCTGTAATCCTTGGTACCAAGCAGTGTGCATATTTTGGATTTTCACAAATATGGGACACAGATTTGAACATGTAAACTTAACAAAGATTTTCTTATTGTTCCTTTTGAGGAAACAGATTCCGTGACACATCCTAGATACAGGTATACAGTATACAGTACAAACATCCAGCTGTAAAGTCAAAAGACTTGATAGTTTTTATTTCCCAATGAAGTTGTATGACTTTTTGCGCAAAAGTGGCATAGAAATAAGTACATTGAAGCCATGAGTCATGACGATCCGATTTATTTTAAATCTCATAAGAGGCACTTAGAGCCAAAGTGAAGAATCAGTTAAAATCATATTTTACACTAGAGCCTTTTGATGTTTACTTGCTTTATTTTTTCCTATCTCAGTAACCAACCATAGAATTTTCATGGTTTGGGTTTCCTATGATAGGAAATTTAGATTAGTTTTTGGTTTATGAATTTTTTTAAATAGGATCTAATTTATATAAAAAAAAGGAAAATTAAATCAGCACCATATTTCATAAGCTGTTATAAAATATCTTTCAGTATTATTATTAATGTATTACATTATGTAAGTACTCTCCGACCCATAGGAAGTGTTAGATATGCATGTGGCTGGCATGGAGAGGGTGGGGGGACTAGTACCCTAACACTCATAAGTATGAGGTAGGCAGCAGGGACGCAGTATGCTGATTTGTTGAGCATGTAACGTCATGCCATTCTACGCAGCTGGTTGACTACCCTTGACTGTAGCTTCATCAGTCTGGTTCCAAGGCTCCCACTTGGTAGCTCATCCATGTGCTGGCTTGTAAGGTCGGGAAACGCTACCTTTTCAATAGAAATCTGGCCCTTATGCAACGACAAATATCCCCTCCCATATCCTCTGATATGGTAGGGAAACGCTTTGCAGACATGTTCAAACAAAAACCAGGAAATCCAGGATTGGTTGATTCATCACTGTGGCTCCATGTGTCTTATTTAAACCTATAAAATTTGGATATGATTCAAGCTAAACCAACATTTGAACATAACTTTTATTATAGCGATAGTGAAAAATATTTTAAAGGTTAAAAGATTTGCCGTATTTTAAGGCATATATAAGACTCACTTTTTGTTTTCTGAAAAATGTTTTAAAAAATCAGCCTCCATCTTGTATGTGAAGTTGTGGTCTTTCATAGGCTACTGAATTCTCCAGTTTTTGTCTCCAGAAGGCTAAATTCTACCTAGTCCAATTCCAGTATAAAAATTATGTTATTGCCTACTTAAACATTATTATTACTTTTAATTAATTAAAAAAAATATTGTAAATTTAAAAGCTAGAATTATAACTACTGATGATGAACTGAGACAATTAGTGCCTGTGGCAGCCCACCCAACACTTCAGAGTTAAGCAGTAACCATTTATGAACTCTTTACAAGTGTTACTATCTATTAATATTATACCTGCAACATTTATCTTTAAATATACAATTACCTGATACAAATGAAGATTTACAGGTAACTTTCTTTTCACATTTGTATTTGTTAACATCACAGGCGGCATTGTAGGCAAATTAGACTCATCACTGTAACCACTAGGCTACCAGACCAAGCTGTGAGCTAAGCTATGGTTATTTTTTCAACTTGTAATTTCGACAAAAAGATGTACTACGGGGTCCCCTGGTTACGAACGGATTCCGTTCCTGAGAAAGTTGATAAGTTGGATTTGTCTGTAAGTCGGAACACATGCTACTGTACTGTATATGCATACCGTACTTACAAAACAATGTTTAAAATCCCACTATATCATAGCCTAAGTCCTTATATACAGTCTCTCCTCGACTTACGACAGGGTTCCATCCCGACGACCAGGTCGTAAATTGAATTGTTCGTAAGTCGAAAAGGCGAAAATAATACACAGAAATTCTATAATGGGTGTCTCTTTTTCTTCTCAGCACCACGAGAACTCTCACTTTTACGCTTGCCAGTCATTTTAAAGGGAATTACAAACAAAAATTTTGTCAGTACACAGCACGATCACTAACGTCAGGACTCGAAAATACGTAATGTGAAAAATATTTTATACTACCACGGCGGTCGTATGTCCGGGTTGTCGTAAGTCGAGGAGTATCTATACATCCAAAATTACTCAATTTAAGACAAAAGAAGAAATAGAATGATAAAATACAGTAAATGAAAATAAAAAATAATCCATCAGGTAAATAAAATACTGTACTGTAAATTTCAACTTTAACCCAGTTCGTAGCAGCGGGCATTCGTAAGTTGGACATTCGTAAGTCGGGACCTCCTGTATACAACTTTCTTCATATTTTTTTTTTTTTTACTCTGTTACATACACACACAGTCTTTCATACAGAATATGAAAAAATAAAAATAAAGGAAATGATTATCATATGGTTAAAACATAGAGGGAATAAACATTCTTGCCAGCTGTGACCTATGTTATGATTATTTTTCAACACATAACTCTTTTTATTACTCTCTTACATGCACACACAATTGTTCATACCGAATGTGCAAAAAAATAATAATTAAAAGGTCAAAAACATAAAGGGAATAAACATTTATTGTGTGTGCAGAAGTTAGCCCATAGATCTGGGAATTGGGAGGAGGAAAAGCATGAGGGATCTCAGCTGTTCACTGCCTCCTGTGACCCGTGTGTATTGAAACGATTGCCAAATAGTGATGCAGTATTTTTTCTTTTCTTTTATTTATTATCACTATTATTTTTATTTATTCCTCACAGTCATTGGTACAGTATACATGGGATGCTTTCTAGCTGGGCAGTCACTCATATGACTCGAGAGATACTTTTGGCTGCTGCCTGTATGCCACAACATTACATAGGCGGAGGGCCAGTGCGGCTGGCTACAGTTACAGGATGTGTGTTCACTTCCCACACATGCACACCCATGCTCTTCATTTTTCTTACTGTATATTGTAGTTTTATATTGTACAGTATTTTATTTATTTCTAAGCCACATTAGAGTATGGTATTGTATAATGAGTCAAAACTCATATAGAAGATATACATATAGGTAGAATATTTATAGTTGTAGTAATGTAAATTGAGGAAGTTTGGTAGCGTGGCCGGTTAGTTATTTAACTGTAAATATGTTCTTAGGGGAAATCTTCCAAACCACCAATTCTAAGTACAGCTATTTATTATTCACTCAATGACACAGACACATTAATAGAACATTATATCGAAGTTACTAGAACATTATATTTACTTTACTCGACACTGACTCTCGGACATGAAATGAATACACTTCTCACCGTAAATAACTCACCCTATGGATAGCACTGACAATGACTCATGTGTGACCTGAGGGAGGCCCAGCAGGTGCTGTTGAAGAGAGTGCTGGACTATGTCTCCTGTGGGAGACTGCTAGCTGGAAACGCGGTGCTAGGGAGGGAAGTCTCCCTCCCGACCTCGACTAGTGACGAGCGTGACTCCGTCTTCTGTCTATAGTGTTGTGAAAGTCGTCTAATGCGAATTCCCCGTGGAAGGTGTTGCAGGGCCTTTATATTGGAGGGGAGCCGGCAGATGACCTCTCCCAATTAGCACTAAACTGGTTAGATCTGAACAGCTATGTTTGCCCAGGTGTGTGGTCATTTCGCAGGTTAGTAATGCTTCCTAATTATTACCGCCTGGGTGTGTCTTGGCTGGGTGTGGTTTCTTTAACACGGTTATATCACACGGTTAACTTAAGTACTTATTGGCCTTGCTCACCTGGGATAGGCCTTGCTGTCACTGGGGTGTGTCAACTTATGAGTGTACCAAGAGGGCATCTACTTTCTGTTATGTGTTGTAATTCTCTGGGCTGTAAGCTGTGATCTGATAAACAATCATCACAATTGTAATGTTTTTTTTTCATTACACGTAATAAAGGCAACAGCAATATCACCTGCCACCTCATCACCGGTTTTTCCCGATCTTAGTGAAGCAAGATATCGCTAAGCTGAATTTTGACCAAACTTTAAGCGAGAAAGGGCGTAAAAAAATTATCGTTAAATCAAATTAACACTGTACAATTGTTGTGTGCATGTAACAGTAAAAAAAAAAAAAAATCTACGTACAGTACTACGTTTACCCGAAATTACGAGTTGAGAAAATAACCATTGTGAATGCTAACTGTCTCTCTTCAGGATCTCAATAACGTATCCTATTATATCCCATAAGTTATTCATATCTATTATACGATTGGTCACCTTACGATGTCTTTTCGGTCTCTAATCATATAATGCTCAACACCTATAGTCTAAATTGTCCATGGCAGTTGGGTAACTGTTAATCCCTATATAGTTCACTTTCATTTTGCATATTCATTGGTCTAATGATGCTCTTTCTCAAAATTTCCAGCCCAACACCATCACAGAGTTCAGAAGGAACAACCTCATCCACCCCATCCCAAAGAGGCAACAGACTATCATCCTCTCGTAGTCGTCGGCAATCACCTGCCAGCAGTATAGATAGCAGTGTAAAGTGAGTTCTCTCTTTTCTTTTTTAATTTAGTTGATGAATTTTAGGCATGCAGTACTGTTTTACATCCTAATTGGGAAAAAATTTAAAAATTATAGAAAAAAAAACACCAAAACCCCCTAGTTTAAAGCAAGCCATGAATAATGTTTCTATGTACAGTACATATCATGTGTCTGAGGTGTCTCCGTAGGTGTGAGCATATTAACGGAATTAATCTCGATTTAGCAAACTAGTTCACTAAATTGAGCAAAAAATAATGGAAAAATTCCTTCCGCTAAATCGGGAGTTCGTTATATCGGATTACGCTAAATCGAGAGTACTGTATACAGTACTTATATGATCAAATAGACTACATTACTTCTTACATATATTTTAATTATTTATTCATTTTTTGCCAGTCCTGGGAAAACATCAACATCATCTTCAGCAAGTATTCAAGCTAGTCAAGTTTCCACTAGTAATTCTGCACCAGTAATGTCTGACAAGACTTTGGCAGATCCGAATGCTACACATATTTGTGACAATACACTGTTAACTCGTGCACCAACATTTTTTCCATCGGAAGAAGAATTCACTGATCCTCTTGACTACATTGAGAAGATCCGGCCAGAAGCTGAGCAGTTTGGTTTGTGTCGCATTGTCCCACCCAATAATTTCAAGGTAAGATAATACTGTGTGGCCTTTTCATAATTGTACAAATCAGTCATACTGTATAATATTATCCAACAAATTTCACATTTCTGCAGCATTCATTCATCAATTAACAATAACCAACACTCAATCCTTTTGATTCAAATCCTGAGTAGATAGCTGTTCCCCCAGTGCAAAGGAAAACTGAAATTTTTTTTTTTACAAATCTTCTTAATTACAAAATTATCCAGTTTGTACATACCATTATTCAAATTCATGTTGACGAATTCGGTATGTTTAATGAGACTGGATTCTATAATGTTCCTACTCACAATTGAATTACAAGGTAATATTGAGGAGGAATTATCCCAGTCAATGCAATGCTTATTATCTCTCATATGAACGAACAGAGCATTGGATTCCTGGCCTGTCCTAACACTATATTTATGCTGTTTAAGTCTAGTTACAAGATCTTTACCTGTCTGGCCTAAGTAGAACATATTACATTCCTTGCAAGGAACCTTGTAAATGACTGGACCATTGTGGACACCTACGGTCCCCTAGGGACTTGATCTCACTCTCCTCTACTGTATATATTTGCCTTGTCAAGTATTTCTCCTTAGTCTGTACACACCCCTGAAGATGTGAATTACACGAAAGCGCTTGGGAACTTCGTGTTTCCTTGTGGTTATCAGCATATATATATATATATATATCGATAAAATCACACGGGAAAATGGAAACAACGGAGTACCTTAGCTTTCGTCTTTATTCAAGACATCTTCAGAGGCAACTGGATTACATGGACAGAGAGAGGCTTTTATCAAGATTTATCTTATCCACGTTTTCATTGTGGATTTACATGAAATATATATATATATATATATATATATATATATATATATATATATATATATATATATATATATATATATATATATATATATACATAAATATATATATATATATACACATAGTACCCCGCTTAACGCGGTCAATAAAACCCACAGGGTACCGTGTTAAGTGAAAACCGCTAAGTGAACAACAGAACATATGGGATTAATTCCAATAGAAACTGGCCCGACCCCCAAACTCCACTTTTTGACGACACAACTATGTTGTAGTAAAAATTTTATCTTAACTTTATGATGGTATGAAAAAACAAGTAATATAGAAGAGGTTAGGTTAGGAAAAATAAAGGTTAAGTTAGGAAAACTAAAAGTTATGTTGAACACTTACGTTAGTAGAAGAGATGGGTCGGCGTACGGGGATGGAGGCTGGTTCCGAGGCAGAGGGCAGGCTACTGGCCCTCAGGTGAGTCACCATCACTGTCACCCACACTTGTTATGGCCTCCCTGACAAATCCCTCAAAGTCATCTTCACTGTCTCTACCTCTGTCACTATCACTGGCTTGGGCTGGCTGTGGTGGGTTGCGGGCGAAGAACTCGGTTATGCTTTTTTGACGGCTGGTGTTTATGTTGTCTTGATACACCGTGATGTACGGCTCCATAGCCTGCACCAGCCGGGTATGGAAGACTTCATAGCGGTCATCGTCATTGTCGCGGGAAAGGAAGGACTTCATTTTCTCTGCACACTCCATGGCACCCTTAATATCACTATGACTTAAACTGTTCTTCGGAGAATGACGCACCTTCTTCCTCCTCTTCACTGACGTGATCTTCTTCCAACATCTCGTCGGCAGTCACTTCAGGATCTCTGATCACCTCCAGGATGTCTTCGTTGGTGGTCTCGGAGAAGCCTTCAGCTGTAATGTTGAGCGCAGCTTCTCTGGCAAGGTCCACTGCTACTGCAACAGTCTGAACCTCACCAGTCACAGGTTCACTCCTCCTCTCACCTGGTATGCCATGCAACACATGTCTCCATGCGTGACAAATCATAGCAATAGACAGCTGATCCCATGCCTCCACCAAGAAGTCTACAGCTTGTTTGACGTTAAACTTCTTCCAAAATTGTTTGACGAGAACTTCTTGAGTCGCCACCTCTTGTTCCTTGTCCTCGTCGCTTTTACTCTCGCTGTCGGTGTCACCCAGCTTACGCAACTCATCCTTGGTGTTGGTAGAGTCGTTCAGGAGCTTGAACTTCTTTGCAGAGTACGCAGCTTTCACATTGCAGGTCAACTCCTGGTCCATGGGCTGGATTAATGACGTAGTGTTGGGAGGAAGGAAGACCACTTTTACGTTGGGGTGACGATCCATAAGTAGGGGCGAGTGTCCAGGTGCGTTGTCAAGGAGCAACAAAATGTTGAATGGAACATTCTGTTGCTCGCATAATTTCTGCACGTCAGGAACAAAACAGTCGTCAATCCAGAAGAGGGACAGAGAAGAGGACATCCACGCCTTACGTGCGGTTAGCCAGTGGACATTGAGCTTGTTCATGTCCATATTCTTGTAGGCGTGCGGCTTGCGGGCTGTGTGAATCACCGATAACTTTGGTTTACAGGTACCGGATGCATTGGTGGTAAACAGGACGGTGATGCGTTCCTTCTGCATCTTCCGGCCCCGAATCTTGCTGGCATTCTTTACAACGAAGGTCTTAGACGGTAGCTTTTTCCAGAAAAGACCAGATTCGTCCATGTTAAACACCTGGTCGTCGGTGTACTGTCCTTCCTCCATAATCTCACGTAAGAACGGAGGAAAATCTCTAGCCGCCACACGGTCAGCACTCGCTTCCTCACCACCAATGTTGATGTTGGTGATCTTGTTCCTCTACTTAAACCTCTGCAGCCAACCAGAGGAAGCATTGAAGGGTTTGGGCTCTGCAATTCCCAGCTTACGTGACACTGCTGCGTATAGCTCACGTGCGTACTCCTGCACTGAGCGCGTGTCCACAGCCATGTTGCGTCGCGCCTGACGAATCAAATAACTCACCAGCAAATTTTCCACTTTTGCCAGCACCCTGTTCTGGCAATACCTGATCGTTGAAGCACCTGCAGACTTTGTGATTTTCATGTGCTCTTTGATCTTGGCTGCATCCTTCTTGATAATGCGAATCGTAGATTCGTTGACGCCATGCTGGCGCGTGAAATCAACTTGCCGTGTTCCTTTCTCCAAATCTTGAATGATCTGGTACTTCACTTCGTAGCTTAGACCACGGCGTGTCTTCTTGGGCTTAGGGTGGCTGGGTCCAGGTAAGGAAAGGTCTCTCTCTGGTGGCGGTGGTGGTCCGGCGGAAGCCATTTCACAGAACAATGGGTTCACGTATACACGGAGTGGCCTGGAGAGATGAAACTGCCGCGGCTAGGTCAAGCGTCGTCTTTCCTCCCTCCCTCCCTCCCCCGGGTGGACACGTCATAATACTTTAAGCCAATTACAGCTAGCAGCAGAGGGGGGGTAGGGATGCATGGCCAATCACAGTCCGATACGGCATATGACGTCAGTGATAACGCAACAGAGACATGCACTGCGCAACCTTACAGCGCGGCTTGCCCAAGCGGAGGGAGGAGGCGGGAGCAGGCGGGTGGGGCGAATCTAAAAATAGCGTCTCGAGCCGGACACTCGCCGCGTATACGTGGAAAAAACCCGCGTTAAGTGAAAGTTCGGCTCTGGCGAGGCACCGCGTATACTACTGTGTATATATATATATATATATATATATATATATATATATATATATATATATATATATATATATATATATATATATATATATATATATATATATATATATATATATATATATATATATATATATATATTGGTCCCTCTGTTAACGAAGACAATTAGTTCTACAGAGTCGTTCGTTAACCGAAAAGTTAGGGGATGCAAAATGGTCTGATTACTGGCTGGGAAGATGGGGGGGGTTGGGGGGGGAGGTGAGGTGAAATGTTTGACAGTTGATGACAAGATCTAGTGCTTATTTATTTATCTGTCTTTAAGAGTGACTTTAAGTTTTTCTCTTATAAAATGTCACTGAACTGACATGGGAGAATATAATTAACATTGCTGGAATTCTTATAAGATAGTGATTAATTTGAATATAAACATGCTATAAGTCACATTAGATATACAAATTTTAGCTCTAATTTAAGAATTTTATTACAGAGAGCATAAATTTTTATCTCGTGCAAAATATATGACGTTTATATTCAAATTATTCGCTGTCTTGCAAGGATTCCAGCAGTACAAATTATATTCTAACTTTAGTCTTTGACATTATATAAGATAAAAAATTTAAGCTTGAAACACCAAACCCTGGCTGGGAAGATGGGAGGGGGAGGAGGGTAGGAGGGGAGGGAAGTGACAGTGAAATATTTGACAGTTGGCACCAAAGGTCTAGTGAAATATTTATTTGTTTATTTATGTGCTTTAGCTTGATTTTGTTTTTTGCTTATAAAATGTCACAGAAGTGACCTGGGAGAATATAATTTACATTGCTGGAATTCTTATAAGATAGTGTTTAATTTGACTATAAACATGCTATAGTTTGCACTAGGCAAAAATGTTAGTAATCATTTAGTACATTATTTTGGGTACATGTACAGTACAGCTTTGCTCTTAGGACAGTGTAGCGTGCCCAGAGAAACATTAGGCGTAAAATTTTAAATATGATACGCCAGATTGACTCTCTCAAAATAGAAAAGATTCACTTTAAATTGAAACTTTGTCCTTAATTGTGGGTGTCACTTTAAATCAATAATCTTAAATTGAATCTCTTTAAATTGACGTTCTACTGTATTACTAGTAGCTGGTGTGATTTGTTTGTCTTAGACACAAGTGGTAGTGACCAAGATGGATGTGAATAAGTTTTGTTCAATCCTGTTTACTTGTCGAAAAGCTTTTCTATTTTTAATTTTTGGGTGTTTTTTCTTCATAGCCTGAATGTCGGGTAAATGATGACATGAGATTTACTGGAAACAACCAGTATATCCACAAGATGATGAGGCGATGGGGCCCAAATGTGCGAACTCTACATGCCATCAAAAGATGCCTAGCAAAGCAGAATATAGAACTTAACAGCAATCCATTAGTAAGTTTTAATTATATTTTCATGCCCCTCCTGCATATCTTGGGAGGGCAAATTGATGTGCACCTGTTTGTATGTATGTCCCATTAAAGTTTGTTTGCATGATTCAGCAAAAAGTATCCAGCACAGATCATTTCCTGTATTGTAATAAAATTTTTAGGCTTCTTTATATATATTTTGGTTCAAACAGCTTGATTAATACTGTATATGGATATTTTTTTAATGCCCACAAATTTTTTTAATTTTCTTATGGTATGACAGTGTCTGTCATCAGCCATCTTTTGGTGTGTGATATTTATGTTAACTTCATCTCTGCATTAGCTTCAGTTTCTTATAACAGATTTTCTTCGGAGTTTTGGAGAATTCTTTTCCTACAAAAATGCACATCAGGTTTACCTTTAGTGATCTTATGTTTTATATTTCCAAGGTTACAAAAAGGGTCAGAAAAAATTCAGCCTCTTGCATTTATTTAAAAATGTAATAATTGAAAACACCTAATATTGGAAAAAATCACTGACACTTAACTTTCATCTATTATCTGATAATTCATCCATCATTTGAAAGTACACTGTACCACTGTTCTCCTGGAAGCAACTACTTTGAACAGCAACACTACAGTATGTGGTGTCCCACACCTGGTGTTATTTACAAGCCACTTGATCATCAGACAGCTCATGGTTTGCATTTGTTGTTTATATCATTATAACTTTGTGAATATTACACCATAATGGCTGATCCAGGGTGCTTTCCTGCACCTATTATGGTAGCTGATGATTGTGATTATGATATTAGCAGCAGCAGTAAAAGACCATTGTTTGCTGAAAAGGATGGTCTCCTGAACCACATACATTCTCAACTCCTGGCTCAACTGTCTCATTAACTGTTGCTACATCTTTATTTACCCTTGATGACTCTTATTTCTGGAAGTTGATATGTAGAGGATTTTTTGGGGTAAAAAATAAGCTTTTTCTTTTTTCAATGATTTCATGCCTGTAATACATGATTGGTGCATATATGAGTAAAAATATGCTGTACTTTGTTCTTGAGAATAATGTTGTCTAATGAGGCTTGTAGTGATTGTACATCTGGAAGGTCACTCATTGTATTCCATTGGCTTTTAAACTTTTTCCTTAATTTTTCAAGATATACATATGGGCTTGGGTATGTATAGTAATAATCCACTTTATGAAATACTGTAATTTATTTTATGAAAGACTTGAGCTTTCTAAATAAGAAATTTAAGAATATATTTTTTTTTAATTGAAATTTACACATACAGGGTACAGTATTACTACATGAGAGTAAATTAAGAGAAATTGGATTATCAGGCAACTGGCTCAGTGACTGTGTGCATAGTGGTGTGAATGATGAGCTTACTTGTGTTCATGTGAGTTTGAGAAGTAAGTTATATGGTAATTGTAGGAGAAGGATGACACTTTGTAAGCTTTTGTAGATTTAATAACATTGGGAGTGCTGTAGAATACAATAATGAAGTTAGTTAATGTACAGGTATTTGCAAAAACTAATAATAAAACAAAACTTACACAAGTACTATGGTTTATTACATGCATTCCTTGGACACATGTTCATGATAGTTCAGTTTCCATTTTACAGAAGCCTTTTGGTTATTGGATACTTTACTGTATTTAGTAATTATCTTTTAACATTGCCTTAGCTGAATTCAATATCAGATCAGTTGAAGACTTTTTTAATAAATATGCTTTTTTTATCATTGATTTACAATATTCACCAGATCGGGTGCATGGAGCTGGACTTGGTTCGACTTTATGAAGTAGTAGAGCAGCATGGTGGTCTTATGTCGGTAATTGAAAAGGAACTTTGGGGAAAAGTTGCAGACACATGCAGAATCCCACGCTCAGCACAGGAGAGACTAGCCAAACTTGACTTTATATATTGTAAATATCTACTACCCTATGCTACACTCTCCCAAGGTTAGTTTTTTTTTCTCTGTTGATGATCATATAATATTTTACACTTATTGTTGAGTATATATATGTATGAAGATTTTCTTTTTATTTCATCCACTGATGGATATATATATATATATATATATATATATATATATATATATATATATATATATATATATATATATATATATATATATATATATATATATATATATATATATATATATATATATATATATATTATTTAATTTTTTTTTTTTGTCAGAGGAACGTGGCCAACTTTTAGCAGAAGTTGATTCTATACACAACCGTAACCAAATGGAACAAAGTGGAGGAGGAAGCAAGAAAGCTTCATCCAATTCTTCAGATAATGATGAAGAGGAGGAGGAGGAAAGCCTTGACTGTATTGTTAAGGTATACAGTATATACATGTCCTTTAATTAGATGTTACTCAAACAGTAAATCTCAGGTACAGCACTCGTGTCAGATTTGGCCCTTTTCAAGTTCTCAATTTTAGAATATCACAATTAATTATTAAAGACTATAATTTTCACTTCCACTCCTCCATGCACCATAACATGTATGAATGCTGGGATTGTTATTCAAAAAACATAATACAGTACTGTGTATAGTATACAGTATACAGATATTATCTTTGTACAAATTTTCAACACCTCTAAGGATATTAAGAATACATAACAAAGTATAATTGAGTGTAAAGTTAAAGTGCAGTTATAAAAGGTATTGAAGATGGTCATTTGCTTTACATTAGACCATGGGACATATGCAGTACTGTACAGAAGACAACACCTTCCCTGGTCAAAGTAGAGAACAGAGGACACCTGCGTCCTTGACATTCTTATCTCAACTTGCCACACTACTCCTTCCTTAATGTTAACTTATTACAGTCAGTTCTCACTGTGTGAAATGGATGGATTCCATGGAAGTGGTGTGTAATGTAAAGATTCATTTAGTGAAAAAAATTTTCCCATAGACAGTGTTATAAATGGAGGATATGTTCTTGGGGGATGCTTTTCAGACCACCATTCTCAAATGAAACTAACCAAACTAAACACAAAAGACATAATAACACATCATTACAGAACATCGCTAAACATATACAGTAATTAAGAGAATGCTTGCCTTTAATAAAAACAACAAAAAAGAAAATTTAGATACTATTGCAGGGGATGATTTTGACTCATTTGCAATGTTTTTTTGTTTTTGTTTTTTTTTCTTCACATGTTCCTCTCACAGAGGCAAAGAAACTGCTGCAAGAGCCAGCCTTACTTCTTCTCTGTGAGAGAAAGGAGGGTTGGACAATAGTCTAGCTTCCATGCATACCTCCTCTAAACTAGCCAGAGTAATTGGTGCAGAGCACTTCCGGGAATAAGAGATTTCCAGATAACGAGACAACTCTATCAAGGCTGGAAAAAAAATTCCCTCATCCCTGGAATTTTCCAGGTAACGGAAAAATGTTCTTGGAAGTTCCAGAAATTGCACATTACATCATCTCTCAAACCTGGAAAAATATTCCCCATCCCTGGAATTTTCAGGGCATCGTAAAAATTTTCTCGGAATTTCCAGAAAATGTGCCTGATTTTTATCTCTCAATCCCGGAAAAATATTTCCCATCCACAGAATTTTCTGGGTGCTGGGAAAATTTTCTCAGAATTTTTCAGAAAATGTGCCCCTCGGAAAATTTTTCCCAAAGCCGGAATTTTCTGTAAAATTCCAGCTTTGGGAATGATTTTCTGAGAAAATTTCAATTCCGGCTATCGGAGAGTTCCGGGTTTGAGGGATTCCGCGAACGGAGATATTACTGACCACTGACTGCCTGACTTAAGGATGCTCCCAGATGCCTGTGTCAGCACCTCAGCATGTTTCAATTACATGAAAAAATTTAAATTCCTATTAACGCAAGTCGTTCGATATGAAGAGGAAGTCTCTGAACTGATGCTCTCAAGTTCACCTGTGTAGTGAACTCTATTCACTGGAATGGCACAGGTTGTAGCACTGATGCAATCCAAAGTAGCTTTTGAAATTTGTTGGACAGGAAAATATGTGTATCAGTGAAATTACATAACACATAGTGAAAAGTATTTACCAGTTTGAAAATTTTGTATATGAGGGTGTCTATACATTTTAAGATTCATAATGATTTAAAATAAAACTATTGTACTGTACTGTAATAACACTTCATTAGGCGGAGATCATCTTACCGATGCTTGCCTTCAGCAAACTTAAGCTGGAAGTGCCCAAATATTACAAAATCAATGCTGGAATTTCCATCAATTAACCTTTTTCTCAGTTTGCTCATTTGTGACTACATTACTGTAATTATTTATTACTAGCAACATATAGGTAAATGTGATACATTCTAGTCACCAATATTAATTCTTCTTAGATCAAGAATTAAGTTAAGTCAAAACTTGGAATGAAAAATATTTTTGAATTGGCCAAAATTTGTGTTGGTCTTTCTTGGAATCAAACCATGTACAGTACAGTAATAGAATTTGCCAAAATTTGTTTTGTAAAAAGTTAGGATTCTGTGTTTTAGTTAATACAAACAAAACCTAAGTTTGTTGTCAAATGGAAAACTTCTTTCACATTAAGGATGGTGCTTCCCAATCATCCTTAACTCTCAGAAGAAAAAAAATTTAAAGCCAAATACCCTATCAGTGATACCAATCTCACTTTGTCACCCATCTTTTCATGTTATTTGTTAAGTTACTTTCCTTTCCTAATTTTACTGTTACTCTTTTTTTTTTAATACAAATCTCCTCTTTCTCAACGAAGACACTCCCCATAGCCTATTCCTTGCTGTTGATATAACGTGGAAATTCTACACGTGCAAGTATCCTTTTTTGATCATTTATTCCAATGTACAGTAGTTCCCCTTGTATGACAGGAATTTTTTTTAACTGTTGGTAGTATAAGCAGTTTCTAATATCCATAAAGAGAAATATCTTATTCGAAAGGTGCAAAGCAAGATCTGCTAGATATTTGGAATACTTTTTTCTTTTTGTACATTAAAATTTACCATTATTGATAAATTAACTTTCACTTTACAGGGTAAGAGTACAGCTCTAAGTACATTTTATCGTATTGCACGGAACACTGCAACCCAGTGGCAACCTGATCCTGCTGGGTTAGAAGTGGATGAGAGGTACTGGTCCCTGGTGGTCAATGGTACCCATCATGTGTGCGTTCTTTCTGCTAGCATTGACACTTCAGAGCATGGTTATGGATTCCCTAATCATCGATTGTCACCGTTGGCAAAACATCCATGGAATTTGAAAAACCTCTGTCAAAATCCTAACTCCATTTTAAGAAGTATGGGAACAATAGTTGGTAAGTATGTCATTCATGGAGGAGTCTTTGTTTTGTTATCTGTTTGATTTTGCTGATGTTACTTAAGGAAATTTTATGGTTACAGATAAACTACTATAATTTCTAACATTTTAATTCATAATTTGACTGAATTCATAAATTCCTAACTTGAATCCATATTTAACCTTTTCTGAATCATAGCAAATGTCTTGAAATGGGCTGTGTTCCACAATCAATACTCAACCACACCAGGCCCATTTCTACCACTGTTTCAAGACTTTCAAATAATAATAATTTTCTGAAATACAGTAATACCCATTTGAAAGCTCAGAATGCATTCCTGGAGAAGAACCGTCAGGGAATCAGATTTCTATGGGGTCATTGCAACATACAGTTCTTGATACGGAGTTACATTCCAGACATTGTAATTTTTTTTTACCGATGAGTTATATATTATGGCTTAATTGGCTACTGGTACACATAGACAGTTGATTAAAGAATAAACCAGGGTATATGCAGATGCATAGTAATACATGGCAATATCATTTATTGAGTGTTAAGACATTGTTGTTGTAGTAAGTGCCAACTCTCAAGTGATGACAGCGCTTGAATCTGTCGAGTCATCCTCTATTGGCCATAAATGTATGTATTCACCTTCTGCCTTGAGGTGGTTAAAGGTGCTTCTTGCTTTCTCCATGATGATAAGCATTAAGCTGACTTACACAGATATGGTACCGAGTCTGGTCTTCCAGCCTGCTCACCAAGTGTAAAAAAAAAATGGCAAGAGTGCCTGGTTCATTCAAATTACCAATCTTTTACTTTATAGAATTAAAAGAAAAAGACATTGAGTTTAAAAATGAATCAACTTTCAATGGGGCAGCTTTCAATTGGGTGAAAAGTTTTCAAGAGTTTAAACTATGCATCTCGCACGGACAGACACTATCCCACATCCCTGGAATTTTTCTGGGTGCTGAGGAAAGTTATTCGAGAGTCTTAAGAGAGTCTAAACTATGCATCTCATCATCTCATTTTTACATGGACAAACACTCTCTCGTTACATTTAAGCCATGGGCACAAGCCAAAATATTTACATTAAGTAAAAAAAGTGTATGAACTTTTATTCACAACATCTGTTTTAATTGTGTTAGACAGATGAATTTGGTACAATAATGATTCTGAATAAATTCTCTGCAAGATCCTTAATACAAAATATTTTGACATGATGTAATGATGGAACTTAACAAAGCACGGAGTGGACTTGAGGGTAAACTCACATTTTTAATACATTTCTTTCTGATTATTTGTGAGAGGATTTTCCCATTATTATTTATTTGTATGTGTGTGTGTGTGTGTGTGTGTGTCTACACACACACACACACACACATACCCCGATATATACAATACAGGTAAAAGAAATTACTGACTCTAGAATGAATGGCTCCCTGTCCCAGCCGTGAAAATGCCAGTAACTTTAAAACTACCCTTAGATATTCTTAGGTACATCCAGGGTGTCATCTGCGAATTAAAAATATGCAAATTGTCAGGGCATGCTGTACTATCATAGTAATAATAACAATAATAATCATATTATTATTATTATCAACATCATCATCATTATCATCATCATCATCATCATCATTAATATTATTATCATCATTATTACTCTTATTGTTATCATTATTATTATTATTACGTACTATTATTATTTTGGGTTAATATTATTACAGGTATTAAAAAAAATTCCATGGTCTATTTTCTTCAATAAATGTTGTCAAAAGAGTTCACGACACGTGCATCCGGCATGGTCTTCTGTTGTTTTGACATGATTGGCTTATGCCTCCTACTCTAATATGTATGAGTCACAGTTACTAGCTGAGAGGAAAATTAAAAAATACATACCACTGCCACCTGTCAGCATTATACAAACTAATGCCAGAGTTTGTTAGGGGATCACAGCAAAGTTACAAACCGTTTGTGAATCATCGTTCCAATAATTCGTGTGGGCTCAGATATCCTGGCATTTACGAACTCTGTATCTCAGCAGTGTTAGTGAATCTGGTCTCAGAAACATAATTAATTTGTAAGTAGTGGAGCACCTGTATTATATTTTGTGTTTCGCAAGAAAATGGAGGTTGGCAAGATAAACGGTATAGACTTCTTCCCCAGTTTTTGAACTCAGTGTTCTTCCTGATTTTCCGTTAATGTGAGATTTTCTTCTGTGTCTCAAAACTTGTGCCATACTTTTGGGATTCCAATAAGTGAATTTCCATAAATTGAGCTTCAATAATTCAAGGGATACTTGTATCTGAAGGGGAAATTTGTTCTCTTAAAGACTGAAGCCAATGTAATAGTACAGTACAAGCTTCTAGCAATATCTCTCCTACAATGATTAAAAAAGATCACACCTCCTAACTGTACTTAGCTCACATGTAAGAAGCTTTACCTCCCCAGTGACATAAGTAATGCTAATCTAAAGTAAGTTCATACAAATTTGAACTGTTTGGCTAAAAAAACAAAAACATTAGACCTTATAAGGTTTACAGGGGATATGTTTGCTAGTTTGGGGTGTGCTGCAGAAGTCCATTTGTAAGACAACTTCTTTCTTTCTTTTCTCCTGAACTTGTTTATGTGTAACAGATCATTTAAGAGGTTCTGTAGACCATAAATGGACAAATAAAGTACAAGATTCTTTCTTATGGGCCAGGAGATAAGTAAGTCGGCTCATTCAATCTCTTCCTCCTCCCAATTAGCAGAAAATTGATCGGTTGTCTTATTGAAGGAAATTGAAGGTAAATGTAAGAATGAGTAAGGTAATGGCTTTTGAACAGAACGAGTTTGACATAGTTGATTTTGAAAACCATAAATACTGTAATAGATAATAGAATCTTAAAATTATGATAAAGAATGAAACACGGAAAGAAGTAAAAGAGTTCATGTACTGTACTGTATTTTGGAGTGATATTCAGTGAGAATGATACAGTGGAAAGTGAAAATATGGAGCAAATGATACACTGGAGGAGGGTGATTGGAAAGCTGGAAACAATCATTAAGGGAAGGAAGAACTGTAAGCTAGGAGGTAAAGACTGAAGTCAGAGATACCATAGTTCTTCCTACCTTAATCTATGGCAATAAAACATGGTTTTGTATTTGAACAGAGTGCTCTAAAACTCAAGCTATGGAGATGAGTCTCTTGAGGTTTGCACTTGGGTTTATCGGAATGGAGGGGGTAAGGATTACTAAAGTGTATGTGTCATTTGGAGTGACAGAGAAGGCAAAGTGAGTACATTGTTGAGTGACAGAATGGGTAAAGAGAGGTTTGCTGAGATGGTATAGACATGTGAGAAGGATGCATGGGGAGAGGATACTAAATTGGATGTATAGGTGCAATGTAATAATAATGTTGAGTAAAGGAAGTCTGGCTACATCATGGGAGAAAAAGGTGTAACATTACATTAACCCAAGAACTGCTCAGTTAGGTTTTCCGGGGCATACAGCCCATGTGCAGTGAATTACAGTAAAGTTTTTTTCTCCAAAACCAATTACTCTATACACCTATGACATTAAAGTTTGCATGCAGAAGTATAGAAAAATAAAACAAATATGGGTTCACATGCTTCCCCACACCACCTCATGCCCTCTACGTGCCTCCTCATGTTTACACACCTTTCATATGCATCTTCACACCCTCTACAGGTTTTGCCTCTCCATGCCCCTACACACCTCCCCATGGCCACAACCCACGCCCTCCACATGCCTCCCCACACATGCGAAGTTCTAAGACTTGTGTTCCATCATATGATCTGTATCGCAGTTCTCGGGTTAAGGAGACAACAGGAATAAGGGGAATATAAAGGACAAAGTATAGATATTTAATGACCAGATAACCAGGAGGCTCTTTTTTCTTGGCCACCCCCTACAGATGGTGGCCCCCTGGAGTGAGATGCCACGCATAAGAAGATGATTTCAATACATGAAACTCATTACTGCTTCCAACACATAATGAGGCCTGCTTTGAACCTCTCTTGACAAAGCTTACTTTGAGAGGCTTGCACATGTTGATTTGAACTTTCAGACTATACCATTGGTATGCCACAGACTGACTTCCCAGTTGAACCCTCTTAGTAACTTTCAATTTGAATCACATAATTTTTCCTTTATGCCATAAAAGAAACTTTAGTAAGCTCAGTGCTTTCTAATTCAATATTTGTTATAAAATGCTCAGAAAATGCAAGAGGGGCTGCATCTTTTATGAATTATGCAGTTCATTTACTCATTTACTATACTTTCAGGTGTAACTGCTCCCACCTTACATGTTGGGATGTTATTTTCTACAGTGTGCTGGTATCGTGACCCACACAGTCTACCTTGGATTGAGTACCTTCACACAGGGGCATCCAAGATATGGTGAGTTATAATTTCAAGGTGTTTTATATATATATATATATATCAGTGCATATGCTGTTTGCCATCTTGCTTCATTCCAAATGATTTCTTCTTCATGTGAACATCAAGGAAAGTATTTCTAACATTCCATGGAATTTTATGTCCAAATCATTGACTTAATATTGCTTAGGGTTTTGTTTCTCTTTCTTTGGTTCCTACCATTACATTTTTTTCTTCTAATAACCATGGAAGAGGCAAAACCTTAAAGTGTGGAGGCCCAGAGGTAGCTTCCCTATTAGCCTCATGGTAAATCCAGCACTGCTCATACCACTGTAAAATTTAATTCACATGCCAATTCTGTTATAAAAAATATTATAACAGCTTCCTATACATTTCCATACACTACCTTATATAAGTTACCAGTTCCCAAAAGATTTTCTGATTTACTTTATTATTTACTCTCTTTAAGTCTTTACATTTAGAATATATTGTCATGTTCTCTTCTAAAATTCTCTTTATCCTCAACTGAAGTGCCGATACTTTGTAAGGTTATTTGTTTGATTATCATCAGGTATGGTGTAGCAGCTAGTCAAGAAGATAAATTATGTGCTGCCCTAAAGAAAATAGTGCCAGATTTTGTCAAGGACTCTGCTATTTGGCTGCCATCTGACACAGCAATGGTAAGTATTTTTATGACATATTATAACACTAAATTCATGGATTGAAACCCTTAATTATCCCTAAGATATTAGTGGCTTGGACTGATTTATTTATCAGCTATGCTGCCCCATTATAAGCAAGACCTTAAGAAGGGATTTTTAGTTACAAAAGTCCTCGTTTTAGAAAAGAAAAAAAGTTGTTACTTTATATAATGGGGAGAGAGTGGATATTAACAAGATTCGGTTTCGATTCATGCCTGGTAGGAGGACTACAGAAGCAATATTTATAACCAGGCAACTACAAGAGAAATATCTAGGGAAAGAGAGAAAGTTGTACTTCATATTTGAAAACTTAGAGCAGACATTTGACAGAGTATGATGTGAAGAATACACTACTTTGAACAATGAGAAAGCTAGGACCACCAAATAAGAGGCAAAAATTTATTACAGTACTTCAGTACTTCAATGTTCATATAGAGGAAGAAATTTATGAATCTATGCCTGTGTCACATGCCTATCAACAAGAACAAGGCAGTGACCACAACTCAGGCCCCACGCAACAGGAGGAGATTTTTTACAGTGATATCACCTGATATTCATGATAAACAGTCATGAATGTTCCATCATTTGCCCTAAGTGTTTTATAAGCCCCCACACCAACCACTACATTATTTATGTTATTATGATTAATACATATGCTTAAAAGTATTGTTCCCACCAAAAATTGCTTAAAAATTTTTATTTTTACATCTGGGGACTTTTTTTTTTTCTTATATGAGCCCATCTCCCTTTACATAATGGTAGTCAATGGGAAAAATGACTTCATTATACGAAAACTCTATTTACAAAGTGTTTTTCAGGAATGTATCCGATTTGTAAAACCAAAGTACTCCTGTACTGTAGAAATGTAAATACTGCATGATGGAGAATAAGTGATATGAAGAATTTTTATTTGGTTAAAATATGCCTAAGACATAAAGCAAACAATATGACTGAAAATTCATCGAAAAATTCTCCAAAATAATAAAATCATGGAATCTGTGCACAATGTAAAAAATTTAAGTGGTGAAAAATACTCCAAAGGGCAATTTGAATTTTGTTTTCAAACCATAGAAAATAATGAAAACAGAACGGTGATGTAATCTTTATTTCAAAAAATATATGAAACATGTATTCAAAGAAATATATACAGATATGGGACCATTTATCCAGTGGTCTGGTATCCAGAACACTCCAAAAACTGGCTATGTTCTAGAAGAAATTATTTACAGTAAGTGCCAAATAATTCCCATGTTATGTTAGTTTTTTCAACTCAATTTCTTGTAAATATATGTTTGTTTGTTTTTGTTTTTTTGTTTTGTTTTTTATATACATATAAGCTCAGTTACATTCACACACAATCATACATACCTGTACTGAAAGTGAAAACAAAAAATGGTATAAAGTGTTTTTCAACTCATAATTTAGGGTAGATAAACTTTTTTTTTATACAGGTACTCCTTGACTTACGACATACTCGACTTACAACAACTCGGGCATATGGCCGCCGTGGTTGTATAAAATATTTTTCAAATTATGTATTTTCTAGTACCGACGTTAGTGATCGCGCTGTGTACTGACAAAATTTTCATTTGTAATTCCCTTTAAAATGGCTGGCAAGCATAAAAGTGAGAATTCTCGTGGTGTGAGAAGAAAGGGACACCCATTTTAGAATTTCTATGTATTATTTTCGCCTTTTCAACTTACGACTAATTTGACTTACGACCTGGTCATCAGGACGGAATCCCGTTGTAAGTCGAGGAGAGACTGTACTCGGTTTCATGTATGCAATCCTACACCCAGAAAGTGAAAAAAATATATAATAAGGTATAAGGTTTTAAATATCTACGGGTTTCCACCGTGAAGCTGTGTAGCTAGAATGTAGAAAGGTTAGAGCAAGGTGGTAGAGAAAGCAGCCAGGCTTCGTCCCAGCTGGGCTAGTTGTCAGGGTGAGTGTGGAGGCAGCCTGCACTCCTGGGACTGTGATGCAGTGTGTACACTCACTTGTAAACGCCTTCTGAGCGTTTAAAGGTTAATCAGACTCTTCACATTAAACTCGAATGTTATATAATTCGGTCAAACCTGTTGAATACAATTCATTTTAGTATTTCAAATAAATCATACGTAGGCAATCATACATAAATGTTTAATCCAATATATATTCACATAACAATCATAGCTATGTAATTACAGTGATCCCTCGGTTAACGAAATTTCGGTTAACGAATTACCTTCCAAAAGAATATTCAATTCGGTTAACGAAAAAAATTTGGTTAACGAATCCCTTATGAATTTTTCCCAACATGTTTTCGCCTGCTTTCGGCTGCTCACCAGCTGTAGTATTACGTAGTCCGCCAATACAGTAATCGGTTTTAGGGCTTAAAATTCGTTACCATTTGAGTAAATATCAAGAAGGTTGTACTATTCAATAATTTTCCAAGTCTTATATTAAATTTTTTAGTCATTTCAACAATTATTTAACATAATTGAAGTACAGGGAACTAGTTTTTAGCACGCCAAACAGCCACTTGACTCACCCAGAATGGCGTCAGTTTGTGTCCCTGCTCAGTGGAGGAAGCATCTTGCTTGAGACTCTCTTGAACATAAACTATTTTTATGTTTTTACAGTACAATTATTGGTCATTCTGAAGTTTATTGTACATATTGACAATATATAATGCAGTGCAGTGTTGATGCAAAGAAAATCTTGAATTACACCAAGCGAACTAGAATTTTATGGGTGAAATGGCGACATGAAGCATGGGGTGACTTCTCTTCCACCCCAATGCCTTCTCTTCTCCCTTATCCTCCACCCCCATTCTAATTTCCATCATCATCATCAACCAGGAACCTTCTACATGCACACCTCAAAGTAAGTGTACTTTACTTCATTTATTTTTAGTTTGTATGTAACTTTCGGTGAGCTGGAACTACTGTAATTACCCAGAATCCCATTGAAACAATGGTTTCAGTTAACGAAATTTTCGGTTAATGAACGACCTTCTGGAACGAATTGTGTTCGGTAACCGAGGGACCACTGTAGTCTAATCTTAACACTTATAATGAGTACTTAATTTGCCATATCTCTATGTTGTCACAATGATAACCGATGCAATGGACACAGTCTACCTGTTTAAACTTAAGTACAGGTTAAACTTACGTGTTGAAAGTCTCAAGAGAAACAGGTTAGGTGTTGACTCTATGATGGGGATAGCTACTCTGGCAATACCCTGCCCGGAGTCGCCTGCCAGCCCTGGCTGGTCAATTTTGCTGCATCAGGAGTTTATACACAAACAAGTTCTCCTTACACACTCCAACCTCCTCTGGGTCTCTCATCTCCACCATCTCAATACTCTATATACAGTACTGTATATGGGCAGGCACACCCAATAAACATGACATGACTTACAGCCTAACATAATGTTTGTTTATGTGTCATCCTACTCATTACTGCTTGCGGTAACAGACTTGTATCATTTTTGCCCTTTTTCTGCTTTCATTATTGCTAATTTTTATATGCTTTTGTTGCTGTTTATATGACTTTAATTTTATGTTTTAATTTTGCAGTTTATAGGTTATACGTGTTTTCGGGATGCATCTAATGATCTGAACAGAGGCTACACAGAGTTTCTACTGTACATTTTGTAAATTTTAGGCCTGGTGCTCCAAATTCCAGAAACAAACCCTATCCAGTAATCCCAGGTCCCAAACATGCCTGATGAATGGTCCTTTAAGTGATAGCCCCGTTAGCCAGAACAATAGACACAGAGTACAGTGGTCCCTCGGTTAACGAACTCAATTCGTTCCACAGAGTCGTTCGTTAACCGAATCCATTATTTCAATGGGATATTGGGTAATTGGTTCCAGCTCACAGAAAAGTACATACAAAGTAAAAAAATTGCAGTAAAGTACACTTACTTTGAGGTCATTTCACCAATAAAATTTTAAGTTCACAAGGTGTAATTCAAGATTATTTTATTTGCGCTATATGTTATCAATATGTTAACTAAATTTCAGAATGACCAATAATTTCAATGTAAAAATGCAAAATTATTCAAGACCCCAACAAAATAGATGTTCATTCCACTGTCAACAAAGCCCAACTGACGCCTGGTGATTGAGTCAAGCGTCTGATGGGCGCACAAAAAAATAGTTCCCTGTACTGCGTATATTATCAATATGTTAACTAAATTTTAAAATGACTAATAATTTTAATAAAAAATGCAAAAATATTAAAGAGCACAACTTTCTTTATATTTACTCCACTGGAAACGAATGTAAACATAGAACTGATTACTGAATTGACAGACTAGCTGATCAGCTGATGCTCACAACAAAACGTGTTCGTAAGGATTTCGTTAATCGAATTTTTTTTCGTTAACCGAATTGAAGATCCTTATGGTAGGTAATTCGTTAACCGAGGGACCACTGTACTTCCAGGGATGAATGAATTCTGGTTAACCTGACGGCTTTCTCACACACAGGAAAAATCCCCCATCCCTGGAAATTTTTTCGGTTGCTGGGAAAAGTTTTCGAGTGTAAACTACTGGAGTCTGTAAAAGCAGTTCTAATTAAGTTAGAAACTCCATTTCTTTACTAGAATAATCCAGAATAGTTTATCTAAAAGTTTGGTCAAATAAATATATGATACGACCATGAGTGACGTTGTGTGTTACAGCAAAGATTGGTATTTTCCACTCCCATGGAGCTGTGGGGGATTAGTGGGTCTCATGTAACTGACCTGACCTGACACAATGTCAGGTGGAGGTAGTGTGGGGATTCGAGATCTCATATTACTGACCTTCTGATGCAATGTCAGGTGGAGGCAGGGTGGGGGTTTAGTGGTCTCCTATTACTGACCTTCTGATGCAATGTCAGGTCACCCATTGTTGGATGGGGGGATACAGGTATCACTCATTGTTGTGGGGGTTAGGCTAACATTATTCCATGTCCGCAGCATGTTCACCTTTATCATAACGGTTTAAAACATCCCTTTTTGTAAAAGTGCTAATGGTCTGGCACTTCTTCTTCTCAACACTAGTATCACTACCACTTGAAGGACACTTGTGGGTTATATTGCAGTATTTGCAGCAAAAACACTTAAACACGTCCTTATGCTGTGGAAAATTAAGAAAGGCTGAGAAAAAGATGCTTGGGAACTCCTTCATGTCCACGAGAGAGAGAACGTAAAGTAGGACACGAGAGACCATATTCTGAGCACCATGCAAAGTGGTCTGTGTTGGGTGATAATGTTAGGTTGACGTTAAAACTAATCGGGAGAGTCATAAAATAATGTTGTCTGGGACAACGTTAAGCGAGAACTTAGTGTACTGGAACGCATTTGGTTGGACATCCAGGAAGCAGGAGTGTGTTTGCATTACCAGAAGGCATGATGTCATATGTTTATTGAAGATGGTTATGCTATAGATAAATATGTGGTGCTGGGTTTTATGAAGTGACAAAGATAACCTAGATGAAAATCTTGGAACCCTGTTATGGAAAGGGAACACCAAATGAGAACTTACTTGGGAAGGCAGTTAAAGAGAATGAATGACAGCATATAAAGATAGTCTTAACGTTGCTTGGGAAAAATCCAGTTCCCCCCACATACCTGTATACTTATGGGGAATTTTTTCATATTCAGAAAATATTTTCCTTAAAGATTATGTTAATTTATTTACTTATATCTGTACTAAGTTTTCTATTAATTTGCAGTACATGATTTTTTAAATTAAAGCCACATTTACTAATTCACCTCATCCCATAAATCATGAATAAAATATATGGTTGCAGCATTAGTGTACTTAAATCTAGCCTATGACTAGCAAATGCATGGGAGTTAATTTGCTTGCACAGTACTTTATACAGTACAGTACTTAAAAGCTTTATTTGAACTGACATTGGTACACATTTTTTGATCTGTTTTAACTACATCGTTACATTGTTGTGGCTGGAGAAAGGTACTTATGTGTGTATGCATGCATGTTTGTTGTCAGATTGAATGTATAAACTAACCCCTCTCCATGTGCAGTGTTGGCACTACAGTTGTTTGAATTTTGCTTTGAATTTCAATTTTCTGCCTTATACTAATAACTTAATATTACCTACATTATTGCTAATGTAGGTTAACAAGTGGAACAATATAGTATTTCAAGTTCTATGTATTGTAACACAGGTTCCTCCTAGTGAACTGGTACGTGAAGGAGTTCGAGTATGTAGAGTGGTGCAAGATCCCGGCCAGTTTGTCGTGGTGTTTCCTGGTGCCTTTACCTCAAGTTTATGTAAAGGATATCTCATCTCAGAAAGTGCATTCTTTGCTCGACCTCAATATTTTGAGCGAGCAATCGCTGTAAGTATACTCTGTGTATGTATATATATATATATATATATATATATATATATATATATATATATATATATATATATATATATATATATATATATATATATATATATATATATATATATATATATATATATATATATATATATATATATATATATATATATATATATATATATATATATATATATATATATATATATATATATATATATATATATATATATATATATGCAAGTAAATCACTGTAGGTGTGCATTTTCTTCTTTTTTGAAAGAGTTAATCAAAATTGAACACATGGATCTATAGGACGCATATTTATTGTCCGTGTTTAATCAATTTATATTTTTTATAAAAATACTGTTTCTCCATTATGAGTTCTCAATGTGGTATTCATTTTAGTCAGCACTTCAATATTGCATCTTTTTTAAACGTAGTACTGTATCTGTTTTCTGTTGAAATAACACCATTATCCAGTTCTTATTTTATTTATTTCTCAGAGCATATCTTACAGAAGTTACACAGTCATTCTCAACCTCACCCACTTTCAGGATCATTTAAGAGTCAATTGCCAAGCTCTGTTAACCACTTTGCTTATAATAAACCTTTTGCCAATACACTTACATTGGTATGAACCATCATAGACTGTGATTTACTGGAAAAGTGTTTATACTATGCCATTTTCCTTTGGCCAAATCAAAATTTATTAATAATTTTGCTCTCTTAGGTGTCCATTTAAGACATATTTTCCAAATAGAAAATACTGATGGTGTTGGCTTTGAAATTTTTGTTGTTTTTTATTTAATATACATACTCATAGTATAATCCAAGATTGTGTTACACATGCAGTAATTAATTAGTCTCAACAATTTACAATAACTACCATAATGTACATCCATATATTTTCTTTCCTTTTAGTCTTTCAGAGCCCTTCATGAATGTTGTGAGCCATCAATGTTTTCACTGGACCGTCTAGTACTATCAGTTGTCAGTGACCCACGAGCAACGCTGGATGGTCTGTTGAGGGCTAGAGAACTTGCACTACAAGTTGTGGAAAAGGAAAAAAGACTCAGAGCTCAGTTAGCTGAGATTGGTAAGTTCTTTCTTACTTGTTTTTCTTACTTGTCTTCATTTGTTGATATTCAGCTGGGCATTACTGATAATATTGATATTGCAACAGTTTATTTGTCAAGAAAAAATACTGATACAGTGTGGACAATAATAACAATTACAGTATTGTAATACAATCTGAGTAGAACCTCGAATAAAGACATTTTGCTTTAAATTAAATTACTTTTTAACATTTATTAAAACCCTTCCAATACAGACTGATTAAATCAACTGTGGATGGTCTGATAAAGTAAAACAAAAAATCTATATTGGAGCAACATAACTTTAAATTAAGTTAGTTTACCATAAACACAAAGATAATTAAAACTATCTAAATAAATAACTCAAACAGGGAGGTACTACCACCTGGGAAGATATTGGAAGCATAATGCATTGTCTAATGGTAGACCCTGCTGCCATATGGCATCACAAAAATTGTGACCAAATCCCAGGTTGCTGATCTGACAGACTTTCTTCCTCATTTACACATAATTGCAAGGTTACAATTATTTCCCTTTGACAACATATCATACGTATATTGTTTCTCACTATTGATTTTTTATTATGGTCCTTAGAGTTCATCAATGAAGGAGACTTCATTAAAAAATCTTATCATTTTATTATTGCAGGATAATCATCATGCTCACTTTTGAGAGAGAGAGAGAGATAGATAGGAATAGTGAGTGAGTGAAACTGTCACATTGTAAGGAGTTGGGAATTGATAGTGTGAGATATATATATATATATATATATATATATATATATATATATATATATATATATATATATATATATATATATATATATATATATATATATATATATATATATATATATATATATATATATATTCTGTTTTGTGCTTGTTGTTGGCTTGACATTCTTTTTTCTGTTTTTCACACGTCACACTTGAGTCTGGAATCAGTGGTCTGATCTGGATTCCAACAAAGGGTGCAGTTTGAGACAGATCTAAATTTGAGGTTTATGGGTTAGAATGGTTATAGTGTATCCCATAGGCACTGTTTGTCTTTCCTTTTCAAAACTCCTTGAATAGACTTTATCTGTTACGTGTGGTGAACTTCTGATGTAGTCCATTTTTTATTCCTGGAAACTTGTAAATTTAGGATACATTATGGAAAACAATTGTGCATTAAATAGTTCCAAAGGTTTTAGTGTTCAATTTGTGGAACTGCAGAAAATATCAAAGCATGTGCTAAAAGTGTTGCTCCATTATCTGCTACAAAATTAACTTGTAACAGAAGTGGCATTATGGAAAATATGAAAAGAATGCTGAACATGTGGAGCAAGGATCAACTTCAACAAAACTTTCCATGTTTGTTGCTCTCCATGCAGGCAAAAGCTCTTAACTTTATTTAAAACTTTAAAACAAGAAGAAGGTGATATTGCTAAAAGAGAAAATTTTTGTCCAGAAATGTACCCAAGGAACATAACCCCTATTTATACAAGTGCGTCTATCATAAAATCGTTTTCACTTAACGTCGTTTCACTTGAAGTAGTGGTTTTCATTAACCTAACAAGGATGTTAATGGGGGAATTGGTGTGCAATCCTCATATTTTACACTTCTGATTAGTATGGTATGACCTTAGTCCTTCTCCTGGTTCTTAATATTTTGTTCTCATACATCTTATATGAATATATAAAAATATTATGCAGTAAACTCCCTCTAACATGGACTTGCTTAATCTGGATCCCCTTGCAAACCATACTGAGGTCCAGCACTAGACATATGTATTCCCAACCTGAAAAAGCACAACCAAAGTCCAGTAAGTACAGGGAAAAGTTCACGTAGGCAGGGGCTGCTACTGTGGTGGCACAGGAGAGTAACTCAGCAGCTGCTTTTGAAGAGGCAGTAAAGGTTTCTTAAAAAATTGAATACAGTAAACTTTTGATATATATTGTCTTGCTTAATCTTTGATTGGATGTCATAAAGTATCATAACAAGAACTTGGAATGTAATCCAACTTTATAGCATTATTTCCTATTACAGAAAATTTCCCTTTTTCATTACAAAAGTGATTTTAATTATAAATTGGAATACAATTTCCCTTATTCCGTTAAATATTATGGGGGAAAAATTACCTACTATAGTATTAGTAATTTCAGTATTCTTCCCTATTTTTAGGTCATAATTCAAATGAATATTGGGCCCAACTATATTGAGTAAGATCTCATAGCTTAACTGCCTTAATAACAATGGGAACTGATTTCTACAGGAAAACATATAATGCTCATGATTTGTAAATAATTTTGTCCTTTTCCTAATTAATCTCTCATCTGATTTTTTTATTTCTGTAAATTTATTCATTCTGTAAATAAGAACTTTCAAATAACTTGCTAAATTTTACATTTTAGCATTAGACACTGATCATTGAATGACCAAACGTTTTTGTTCTTTTTAGGTCTTGAAGCAAGTGAAAGGTTGTCAACTCCTGACTCTCATCGAAAGAAGAAGAGTCGGTTTATTGAAGATGAGGAGGAAAACATGTGTGAAATATGTCGACAGAATCTTTATGTATCATTGGTAAGATGGATGGTCAGAGTTTTCATCAATGATGTAGATCTCTATACCATTTTTTCAGGTCTCAGTCTGTCTCAGTTCCAGCTGCTTAGGTCTTGGTGTCAGTCTTGGACACTGTGGTCCCCAATTTTTGCTTGAGACCTTTCAAGACCATAAATTTATTTTTTGATTATCAGGTCTGCTGGGAGGGAGTTATCAACTGGTTAAGTTTGGGCTTAGTTAGGAGAAGTTAGCTCACCTATTCTTAGGGCACTACCTATATCACTAATTCTCTATAAGTAGGGATATCCTGGATCATGGTCAATTTTCTTAGGCAAGGTGACCCATGTAACAGATATTACTCAAATTCAGTTCTGTTCTTCCAGCAAAACAAGGCTATGTTTCCATCACTGGTTTAGGGACAAGGACTCCTTAGGGTAAGGAAGAATTCTATTGATTTTGAGGATAGAAGGTCAGAGGTTAAGGTCATGCTTTGAAATTATTGGAAAATTGTTTCGCAGCATAATTTTGAGCATCATGTACATGTACTATAAATAAAGGATGGATCTTTCTTGAGTTGAGACAGAATACTAATTGTACTGAGATCATAAGATCAAAGGTCAATATCATTCTAGGACTTACTGGAAAGTGACTAATACAGCATGATGGATGGGGTCAAATGGTCAAGTTTGCTATATGACTTAATTTTCCTGTAACCTGTAACACAAAAAATTTTTTTGCAGGTACTTTTAGGATTTTCCTTAGGATCAGGTGTGGTTCAATATTAACACTATAGTATTTCCACGCTAACCTGTCTGTAAGCCACGCCCCTTTTCTATACTAATTCCTGATTGGTTCATAGAAAATTCAAGCTAAATGTGTTCACAACTGGTAAGCAGACCTGTTACTCTCCAAAATAATGTTAAATATCTGGACTATTAAAATGCATATGATTTCAAGGCATTAGCACTTCAGAGAGGATGTTAAAATTTTTTGTTTATTTATCATAAAAAGTCAATATAAGTATGCGTTATTTACGCACAGTCTGGGGAACCAATCGGCTATTTGTAGATATAAATGACAGGGCTTACGGGCCAGGTTAATGTGGAAAGGGTATAGTATTGTAGCAGGGTGTTTTGTACCATTCAGAGATCTCTTGTTATATTTATGTATCTTTGCAGAGTAAATTTTGCTGTATACTCAGTATCCACGTATCCACGGAAGGAACTACTGTCATCTTGATTTAGGAGGGGAAAAGGATGCTTGAATCCATCTTTCCTTCTCCCTCTCACAGGGTTGTTATAATTTAAATACAATTATTTAAATAGTGTGATTGAAATTTATTAAAGTCAATGGGAAAATATTGATTTAAATAATTTTTATTTTTTATTTTTTTTTATTTATTTATTTATTTTTTTTACCAATACCCTGTAATTTAAAATTATGTTTTTTCCTTTAGGATTCTTTGTGGTAGTATAGCTACAGTGGATCTTATACCGTTATTTATAATATAGTTGGAGCTGCTCGTTATACGTTGTACCAATATATGTAATTTCATACATACAGTAAGTTCTCGCCTAACATCGGGGTTACGTTCCTGAAAACGCGACATAATATGAAACAACGTTAAGCAGATCAATGTTCCCCATAAGAAATTGATAAAATGTGGGAGTTACGTTCCTGATCCTCCCTTCCCTTGGCCCCATGAAATACATTACAAAAACAGAAAATCAGTGCCATTTCTATAGAAAATAGTGCATACATATACAACTACTAAATTTGTATTGGTACTCACATATGGGCAGAAGTGGTAGAGCGAGTGTGGTGGGTAATGAAGCTGTGGAGGCGGATGGCGGGAGGGGAGGAGGAGGAGGGTGGTGAGTCACTGAGACTCTGCGGCTGCCTCCTCCTGCTCTGACTGGGGTTCCTCCGCGGCTGTTTGTTCCTCCTACGTTGTTGTTTGCTCCTCCGCGGCTGCCGGCTGTTGTGAAGAAGTTGTTTCTGCCATCCCGCGACGAAAAAATGAATCCAGTGTTGACTGCTTGGTGCTGCTCTTCTTCTTCTCCTTATAGATCTCAGTGTAACAACCAAGACTGTCATCAATGCTGTGTTGAATCTTTGAGCTACATTCTCTGTTTGGGTCGTCATCTATAAGGATTTGCATTCCTTGCTGGATCATGTTGAACGCTTCTGCCATCCTCTTGCAAGTTAGCGTTCGTTGGGGTTCTACTTCATCGTCGTCGTCTTCAACGGGACTGTGTTCTGTTACTTGTTACGGATCTTCGTTGGTGAGCTCTTCTGTATGGGATGCCAGGACGTCCTCAATATCCTCTGATTCCAGCTCATCAAAGCCTGCCTCTCTAGACAAGCTGAGGATATCCTTATTCACAGCTGGGACTAAGTCCGTGAATCCAGTAAAATTGTTGGTGCACTCAGGCCACAGTTTACACCACAAGTCATTCAGGCAACTTTCTGAATCCTCTTCCCTTGCCTTGCCAATGTTGTCAGTTGCATGAAGAATGTTGAAGCCACGCCAGTATTCTCGGATAGTAGGTTTATTTTCCCCGTCTGTAGCCTTGAGCAGCTGGGCCATGGTACGGCATAAATAATACTCCTTGAATGAGGCGATGACGCCTTGGTCCATAGGCTGCATCAGTGCTGTCGTGTTGGGAGGCAGGAATACAACTTATACACTGTCATGCAAGTCGTCGAGGTTGGAAGGATAAGCTGGAGCATTGTCAAAGATCAGAAGAATTTGGAAGTCAAGGTTCTCCTTGGCACAATATTCCTTCGTTGCAGGGACGGCATACACTTTCAACCACTGGCTAAATATGGCGCTGGTTATCCATGCCTCCTCCTTATTTGCCTTGGGTTGGCAGCGCGAGAAATCAACATCTGCTTCAGCTTGAAGTCGCCGGCAGCGTTTGCGCCAAGCAGCAGCGTCAAGCGGTCTTTTGCCACTTTAAAACCTGGCACTCTTTTCTCCTCCTTGGAGATATAGGTCCTCTCAGGCATCCTCTTCCAAAGGAGACCAGTCTCATCCACATTGAAGACTTGCTTCGATGAGTAGCCTCTTTCCTGGATCATCTGCTTGAATTCAGGCGGGAATGTCTCTGCAGCAACCGTATCTGAACTAGCAACTTCACCAGTCATCTTTATGTTGTGTAAGTTATAACGACGCTTAAATTCTTTGAAACCAGCCTTGCCTAGCCGTAAAGGTCTCTTCCTTCGATCCTTCACCCTCTGTTTTCTTCATGTCTTCAAACAAGAATCTGGCCTTATGCTGGACAACCATAAGGCTCACAGACTCATTGCATTGATTCTGGTCCTCCATCCACATAGCCAGCATCTTTTCCACGTTTTCTATCAAAGTACTTCTAGTATTGTACGAGTTGTCTTAGTAACACTCAAAGTAGTACCACTTCCAGCACTAACCTTAATCTTGTCAGCGTTTGTTCGGATAGTATTCACTGTTGTGGGGGTTAGCCCTAGCACAGCGGCTATGTCCACAGCACGTTCCCCTTTTTCAAATCGAGTTAATACATCCAATTTTGTAGCAAGGGTAATGGTCTTACGTTGCCTTTTCACTACACAAACATCAGTAGCACTTGATGGGTGCTTGGAAGCCATTTCGAATTGGTTAGAGTACAGTTTTAGAGCAAACCACTTAAGCACACACGAATGATGCAAAGTTGTAACAAAGACTGGCTTGACGTCGCTTGAAGACGCTGTGATGTTTTGCGAGTGAGGGTAGCACGCCGAGCCAAGAGAGCGTAGTACGGCCAGACGAGAGCGGGTGATGTGCCGTAAAAAGTAGTCTGACGATGCAAAACGATGTTGTACCGAGTCACCGGGATGCTAAACGAATTTTTGGTCTCTAAAGATTAGCGACGTAGTACTGAAACAACATTAAGCGGGGACTTAATGTACTGTACGTCGCTAACAAATATAGGAAGAAATATTAATTTTACTTCTTTTGTTTCACATCTCTATAATTATGTTGTCTGCATTATCAACTGTCTTATACTAAGCCTGTGTGTATCTGAATTCAGTATGATCGCATAATTTATTTCAAATCTTGTTTCTCATTCAACTAATACATAATCAAAAGAAAATTTTGCTTGTAAATCACTAATAAGGAATGTTAATATTTATAAGGCTTATTTTTTGGTTATCTTACCACAAAGTTGAAATGCTAAATAGTTCAGACAAATTTTGTTACAGAAACATGTTTGATCAGATTTATTTCAAATTCCTTTGGCTTATTATCTCTTTGATTAATTAAGATATCAGTAGCCTGTAATCAACCATTATATTTTATTAGTCTTATGTCTAGTTACATGGGTACCTCTGTCTTAAAAATGTACGATGCCTAAATTTTCTTTTATTTAACCGTCTATAAGCCTTACATATATACTGTTAAATTATGATGAAGAAAATATATATATATTTAAATTAAAAAAATATATATATTTTTAATCATGATTTTTCAAACCCTGCCCTCTTTTGATTGTTGGCTTTAACTGTCAATCTTGCTCCAGTTATCAATTACAACCTACAGGTGATTGTAATCACATTACTTTTAGTCATCTTTAATAATGTGCCAGATTTACCTAGTGAATCAAACCAGTAGTTTTCTACACAAGAGAATTTATTTATTTTTTTTTAAATGTTTAACATTACAGTAATGATATTTTTGGGAATATGGAAATTTGAAAACTGATTTCCTTATGAACCTATTATTAATGTTATTACAGGTACCAGACCCTTGATCTGGCAAGCTTGGGATCAAAGGTGTACTGAATTTTTGGATTTTCCGTCTTTCAGGACAGGCCGAAATATATACGAAGAAAAAATGTAGAAAATTAGATATACAATATACTGTATACAGTATCTAAAATTAAGAGTTGAAAAATAACCGTAACAACATAATATGTCATATAGCTCACAGGTGGGGAATAGTTGGAAATATCCTCGCTCTGCCCAGGAATTACTTATGGTGCTCATTTTCAATAATTTGTTCAAGAAGGCAGCTGGTTTTTTGAGCATTCTGGATACTGGCCAGATATATAGTCCCATACCTGTACTGTACAATTGTTTTTTTTTTGGGGATTAGCCCAACTGGGCAGTGCACCATAGATACAGAAATAAAAAAAAATAGAAACAGGCAGAAAGTCTGTCAGATCAGCCACCTGGGACTTGGTCACAATTTTTTAATGCCATATGGTAGCAGGGTCTACCATTAGAAAATACATTATGCTTTCAGTATCTTCCCAGTTGGTAGTACCTCCCTGTTTGATAGCTGCCTACTACCTGTGTACCCTCTGCACACTTGCAAATACTGTCCACTCTATGTACAGTATATGTAACTGTAATCACTTTTTACATTTTAGCACCACTTTAATGATATTCCTGGCTGACTATAAGTTGGTACAGTAATGAACCATACTGCACAACACAGATCGTATGCGAAAATAGCAGTGAGCGAGCGAACAAGCTTGTATAGTGGCCGCAAACAATGTACTAAGGGTGTCATGATGCAAGAGCTTGAGGAGATACACTGTGAGATACATCAGCCAATCATAATCATCCTATGCAGTTACACAGTAGTAGTGGCCAATTGTAGCTCACGAGCACTCTGAGCCTACTCACTCACATGCATGACACGCATCCCTATTTTGGAAATACAGTACGAAGTAATCTCTCGGAAATTTGTATGAATGTCTGGAACGGAGAGATTTTCTAGAAATGCGTATGATGCAATCTTCAGAAATTCGTTCCCTTGTCCAGAATGAAGAGATTTTTCCTGGAAGTTTTTGTCAAAATTTCTCCTAAAAATTTCTGGCTATTGGAGAGTTCCAGGATCACAGATTCTGGCTAACGGAGAGATTACTTACGTACAGTATATGTTGCAACTCATATACAGTATATTTAGGAAAATATGTAGTAACAGTTGCATATGTTGCCTCACATAAGCGTTTGAGTGTTAATGGGTCTATGGTTCATCATAAAACTTTTCCATTGTTTTGTACCTTGTATAGAGTTGTTAGGTGATCCTGTACAGTGGTCACACACCAAGGTATACCAATAGTTATTTTTGAATAAAGTTTCAAACCTAAATTGTCTTTTATCTTTTTATTATGAAAAATAAGTATGCACAATTAAAGTGTGATATCACGATAACTACACCATGAACAGGTAGCTTAGAAGAGTAGGGAAGCGATTATAGGGAGCTTCAGTGAATACTAGTGATCCGTGTCAGATACCTTTGGCCAACTGGGAGTAACTGGCTGGTTATTTGATGACCCAGGCTGGGTACTAGTGCAGGGAGGTCATTTGAAAGACAATGAGGCCATGTATCATAGCGCCACCTGCACCAGTATTTACTAGAAGCTTATTCATAGTTTAATTACTGTGGATGATGTAATTATAAAAAAATATGTATGTAACCCATATATATATACTAAATATTACTGTCTTTTAGTCAGGGGCTAATACAGTTCGAAGAATCTAATGTGAAAGGTATTTTAGTTTTTCTGAAGTGGTCTTTCATTCTATGGAATTCCATTTCTAAAGTTTATTGTCCCCGCTCATCAGATGACTTAGATAAGGTAATAATTTTTATCTCAGAACTAAAATGGTTTTGTACTTTCAGGTGACAAACTCCCAAGAAGAGGCTGTGTATTGCCTAGATCATGCTCTAATCTTGTTGAGCAAGAACCCCAGTCACCTAGAATACTGCAAATTGATGTACACCTACAGTTTGGTAAGCTTATCAGAGTTAGCATATGTTAATTCTAGTTTTGCTGCTATTGGTTGGTAACATTTTAGGGAAGAAGTGTTTGCTCAATATGAGACCTTAACTTGATATCTATCTATCTATACAGTATATTTATCAGAAAATCATTCCCTGTTAATCATGACTGAACTAGAGACTATCTCGTGAACTACCATATTTCACACCATATTATATGCCCATGGATAAAAGTTTGTACAGGTACACTTTTTTGCTTGTTGCTGTAGCCTGATATAATAGGAGAGTGATAAGAGAATTGCATAAAGTGGAAGAGTGTTTCTTGTGGTATACATTGTTACTGCATTATAATACAGTAGGCCCTTCAAATTCGCAGGGGTTCGGTTCTCAAAATGGCCGCAAATCGCCAAATCCGCGAATAATATTTGCTGACCGGGCGGAGTTACATTTTTACTTGTGTACAAAGAAATGTGTATTCCCTTTATGTGTTTACCCTTAGGACAATTATTTCTTTTACCTCTATTGTATACAGCCACTCATCGACTTACAATTGGGTTAGGGACCCAAATCCAGGTCGTAAGTCGATAATGCGAAGATAATGCATAGAAAATCTAAAATGGTGTCTCATTTTCTTCTCAGCACCACAAAACTCTCACTTTTAAGCATGCCAGCCATTTTAAAGGGAATTACAAACGAAAATTTTGTCAGTACACATCGCAATCACTAACGTTGGGTCTCGAAAATACGTAATTTGACAAAATTTTGATACGACTGAGGCGGTCGTATGTCTGGGTGGTCGTAGGTCGAGTATGTCGTAAGTCGAGGAGTACCTGTATATGTATATGTGTGCGTGTGTGTGTGTGTGTGTAGTCAGGTACACACAAAACACATACAAATAAAAAAATAATGGGAAAATTCTCTCACAAATAATCAGAAACAAATATAGTATTGAAAATGTTGAGTCTACCCTCAAGTCTACTCTGTGCTTTATTAATAACAAAGCACGGAGTAGACTTGAGGGTAGACTCAACATTTTTAATACTATATTTGTTTCTGGTTATTTGTGAGAGGATTTTCCCATTAGGTATTATTTATTTTTATGTGTTTTGTGTGTGTGTGTGTGTCTACACACACATACATATATACAAAACAGGTAAAAAATATTACTCTCTATAGAATGAATGGCTCCCTGTTCCGGGCAAAAATGACGGCAACTTTAAAACTACCCGCAGACATTCTTGGGTACATCCAGGGTGTCGTCCGCGAATAATAGAGGACTGTGAAATAAAAATCTGTGAATTATCCTGGCAGTTGATTCTTGAGGTGATTGTTTGACTCTCACAATGTATGCCACTGAAGATGGAGCAGAGGTTATGTTTTCAATGCTAATTCCATTGACTATATTTACTGTAGACTATTTGCATTTATTAGACACGTCAACCTCTTCCTCAGAGGCAGCTGTTAAGTTCCCTCCTGTGCCACCACAGTGGTAGCCCCGCTTACACGAACTTTCCCTACACTAACTGGATTTTGGCTGTTTTCTCTCGGATTTGCAAGGGGATCCGGATTAAGCGAGTCTGGGTTAGAGAGAGTTTACTGTATTATATACAGTAAACTATAGATTATAGAAAACATATGAATTACAGTTTTAAGAAATTATATTTTAATCAAGCTTTGTTCATTAATCTATTGTTAAATTACTTATGATAGGCTGAGCATCAAATCAGTGACTAGCAACATGCTCTGTATAGGAAACTCATTAATTTAGGCAGCTGAAAAATAAATTCATTTAAATAATTTTTTTGAGAAACAGCCTGTGGCTGCTTTATGAGGTAGCTTGAGACATGTTTATTACACTGTAACATTATACTTATTTCAAAATTGCTAAACCTTGACTGCATTTTCTTACTTTTCTATTACTATTTTTGTTTTGTGTGGTAATTTCAATACAGGTATGCTGTGGTAATTCATTATTATGTGCTCATTTGATCAACTCAGGTCCCTGTTCATATCAAATTAGCAAAGGTTCAGTATAAGTGTTTCTTCAATTACTTTATAGTTATGAACCTATTTAGACATGTAACATTTCTAAATGTGAATGACACACACTTCTCATTGTGGTTTCTGGCTCTGGTATAGGCAGAGGTACAGTCCACACCACTTGTAAGCCACATAGACTATCGGCTGACATGTTCGGGGGCAAGCGTTGACTTTACACCTTGGCTGTCCACCAATTAATGGCCAGGTTTGTCTGTTTTGCAAGGTGGGAAAGGGATGAACCCAGAAAATTTGCCAGTTAGGAATTTCGAGGCTGCCAGTCTATGTAGCTTATAATTAGTGTGGACTGTACCTCACCACTGAAATTAACTAATTTAAAGAAATCATAGGTGTGAGATAGTCAAACACCTTTTTGATAACCAGTTATGCATTGACCATATCCAAGCTAATAGGAGCTACCATATACTGTATATAATTAATAATTTGGTTATATATGAAATAATATACTCACTTCAGGTGTTTGTTTTATTTTCAGTCGGAGCTTGACAGTGCAATAAAACAAATGGATGAGCGTATTCAGCTGAAGAGTGGAAAGAAAACATCACCCAATAGTAAGAGGGCAAAAGCTCGTGAGCATCATGACTCATTTAGCAGTACAAGTAGCTCAAATCTCTGATGGTAAATTCAACAAAGAATTTGAAGGAAAAGAATCAGATTACATAACTTCCCATTGCTGCAAAGTTATATGTTGTCTCCTTACTTGAATTAATGGGTTGATTGTCAATGTTTACCAATATGTTCTTCGTGTGAATCTGAAGAAATGGATTCTTGGCAGAGTATAGAAACATGTTATGCCAATAATCTTTGAACTAGCCTTAAAGCATACCAAGTAGATAAGGCTGGTAAATATATATACAGTAAAGAGAATTTCTATGTTTTAAGTTTAAAGAACAATACTAAATGTTAGACAATCAGGATTAACATATAAAGAGACCAACTCCTTTTGGGAATATTTTTTCCTCATTGTCATTATTGTTAGGTATTGTTGTATATTACTGGATATAAATCCATTGTAGACAAACAATTACATCCTTGGAAAATTTTATGATACTCAGTACGGTAATTACTGTTTGGGTATAGTCAGTCACAAAGCTATAGCTCTTTCACTGAAGATGGCAGTGCTTACAGAAACTTAGGTTCTCTTTTTTTTTTTTTTTTTACTAAATATCAGTGGCAAAACAGTTTCTTACTTAAGGTTTCTTTATGACTGAAATATAGTTTATTCCAGTCCCATATTTTTGTTTTCAGTTGTTTGAAATTATGAATTACTCTGTTGCATTTGGTCACTGTCAGGGATTTTGGTCATAGATTCCTAAGACCTGACAAATATTTTTTGCATGACAACCTCTCAGAAGCTAATAACTCAAAAGGTTACTTAGAACTTTTATACCTGAAAATATAGTATTTTTACAGCTTCTATAATTTTTTTTTTTAGTTATTCAGAGAAGTTTGTGTAGGCAGCATGGGAAAAAGGGAACAAGACAGTCTTATGAAAGTTAAAATGAGATAAATATCACTAACACTGTAATTGAAGTTGATAATGTGACTTTTAAATTGAGGTCACATCATTCTTACAGCTCAGTACAAGATTTGGAAAGCTAGGAAGCTTAATGAATGTCAAATCTGCATTTCCCAGGGTCTGAAAATCCTGGAATTTCACTGAAAATAAATAAGTTAATTAATTAATAAGACAGGTTTAATGAAAATTGAGCATTATACAAAATTTGTATGAACAGCAATTTGTACACATTCAATTGGGATATGATATTGAGTATTTACTGTACTGAAATAGTTCATGTTTATATGTAGTAAATATTTTACTGGTCTTCTGATTTCTTGCTCCCTCCATTTGTGATAGGGAGGATTAAGTTTTCACTTTCCTGTTTTTGTGTTCACCTGTCTGTCCATCTAGTTAAGTTATTCATCTAAAGGGACATATATTTTATAATTTGTTGTTATATCATGAATTCCTTTATTATTATTATTATTATTATTATTATTATTATTATTATAATATATATACAGGTATATATATATATATATATATATATATATATATATATATATATATATATATATATATATATATATATATATATATATATATATATATATATATATATATATATATATATATATATATAATAAAGGAATTCATGATATAACAACAAATTATAAAATATTGTCCCCTTAGATGAATAACTTTAATCATAGAAATATGAAATGGAATGACACTGAACTGAGTTAGACCTGGAATGTGAGAGTTCAGTCTTACCCATCTTCCCATGAGTATACTGCACCAAGTGTCTACAGATAACCAGTTCACACATTAATCCTTCTCTCCATCCAAGAACATTGTGTACTCACAGTTTTGTAAATGTTGCACACCCTTATCCAAAGTTGGTTAGAAAATAGGTTTCTCTTATTGCATATAGGCTTTAAAAGTAATTTATGAAAATTTTTGGATAATTCATTAAAACTGTTGTTCGCAATAATTTGTGCATGCTGGAGTACACCCAACTGTGACACCAAATTGTTAAGTTTTCTCAGTTTTCTAGAGCTTTTGAGATAAATATTAATTTAATTACAATTATAAGGTATTAAGGTTATTAGGAACCATTGAGTAATGCTTTGAAAAATTTGAGTAAAAATATGAACATTAATAAATTAAATTACTTGTGAGAAGAGTATAACACAAAAATGGTAAAATTAACCTCTTGCCAGAACCCAGAATATTGCTTTTATTTATTGAATAAATTGTGTATTAGTTAATTGAAAGGGACTTAATTTGCCAGTGTTCATTCCATATTATTGATTACAAAACTCATCTCCCAAAATTAAGGAAAGGAATATGCAACTTTGTCGACTTATATTTTACTTTATATGAGATGCAGTATTATATGATTATTCTGTAAGATATTTAAAGGCAGCATCACACTAGCATTCTTTCGTCAAATTTTTTGTCAACTTTCAGAAAATTTTCAAACTTTTTCTTGTGCACTGTCACACGAGTTTAGAACCAACTCGCTAGTTCCCTTGTTCGACAACTGTCAACAAACGAGGTGGATCCGACTGACGAAGGTAGCGCAGCAAATCTAAGTCTTTTTTGGTGTATGAAGAGTCCTGGTAATCCCAGAGACAGCGGTGCTGCCTTATCTGGTCCACCAAGAGCTCCTCAGAGAGGCGTGTCCTTACTTGGGAAATTATTTTATCTGTTGGCTCCGTCATGTTGTTATTCTCACGTGGTCAAAATGTAAACAACAAATGACATTTTATTTTATTTTTAAAATCACAAAATTAAACTAATAAATAATGAGTGTTGTTGGAAAGAAGAGTAATAATTACTTCATCATAGTTTTAGCTTTCTATTTTAAGTAAAAAAAAAAATTTTTATATCTATTTTTTGTATTATCAATTACAGAATTTGATTTGACTACGGTAAGTTGTCGTATGAGTCATCAGTGCAAACGGTCTGTATCGTTTGACAAAAAGCCAACAACAATGCCGACGATTCGTCAGAAAAGTCAACAGTAATGAAAAAGTTGACAATAGAAATGCTGGTGTGACGCCTCCTTAACTTTAATAATCCTCTCCATTTTAAATGTATTGAAACAATTCTGATTACATTTGGTAATGATATAAATCTTTGACAGAAATTAAGAATTGGAGAGTAATTTTTAAAACTTATATTCTTCATTATTGGTAAAAATGAAAAAAAATGTCAAGTTTCCATTTCTTTTTTTATTACAAGTTTTGTGTTCTTGTCTTAAGGCTGCATCACACAAGCACTTTTTTATGATGTCGTTTTTTCACAAGTTGTCATCCTTCTGGGAGTGTATTGCTCAGATGAATCATATTGTTTCCAGCTGATTGGCTTACACCAATCTCCATGGTGAAGTCAAGATCCCTATTCATTAATGAGGACAGTTAAATGAATGAAATGGCAAACCACAAAACATCTAAATTTAATCTTAAATGTATTATTGTAATTGCTAAGTGAAAATTTTTTTTCTTGATGTTGATATTCCTTAATACGTCTGATATGTTTATTTACATTAGAAGCACCAGGGTTTACAGTTTACGAACATTAAATGACATGCGTTGGTTCTATATGAGGGTGTGACTGAAAAATGACAATCCTTAGGAAAATTGATGCAAGAAAATTGCGCAAAAAATCGTATTGTGGTGCCGCCTTTAGATTTTACACTAGTAGATTTATAATTAAACAAGAGATACATTAAGAGTTGTCAGTGTCTTATGTTCATTAAAATGTATACTGTACCAAGAAACTCAAGTGAAAACCTTGGTTTTACAAAGGAGAACATTTACAATCGCTGTTTGTTAATAATTTAATTTTTTCTCAGGACTATAGACATTTAATTGTGTAAATGGCATCATGGACTAAAATTGGTGTTGTTTGTAATGTATTTAAGTTTGGGGAATGTATCACTGATGACATTCACATTCTATGTTTATAAGAGATAAAAGGTGGCTGAAGAAATATTTTGTTGCTGAACTGGTAAGGTACTGAGGATATGTTAAGGATGTGTCACTCTGTATAGTAATATCATACAAAGACTATCAGGGTGTAATTTATTTTCATTTTATCTTAAGCTCTGTAACTAAGTTGACATACAGAGTTTGCTGATGTAGTGTATTTTGTTTTCTGGCAGTGTTATAATATGCAGCTTTGATATAATTCAGCATAACAGTTTCATGTGTTACCATATGGAGTATTTTACCACCATTAATTTTTAGTGAACAAAAAATTTCCATGATTTTTTTCTCTAGCAGTTGTTTACTGTTTTGTTTCTCATCTGAAGCAAGGTGACATACACTCCCGTTTCCCAAGTCTTTTTATTTACAAATCTTTCCTCCTTCCTTTCCAATTGACATAGGATGTTTCTTTTTTTTTTTTACTTGTTTTGTTCAAACTTTTACCTTGTGTGTGTATATATATATATATATATATATATATATATATATATATATATATATATATATATATATATATATATATATATATATATATATATATATATATATATATATATATATATATATATATATATATATACACACATCGATTAACAAACACAATTGTTTCCAGATAATATATCTATTATTTCAATGTGATATTGGGTAATCCAATCACAGATATACAAAGTAAAGCCAAAAAATGCATGAAGTCAGAAACACTCCTAAAAATCTCCTAAATCACATATATATATATATATATATATATATATATATATATATATATATATATATATATATATATATATATATATATATATATATATATATATATAATCTAAAATGGGTCTCTTTTTTTTCTCAGTACCACAAAACTCTCACTTTTAAGCTTGCCAGCCATTTTAAAGTGAATTACAAACGAAAACGTTGGGACTCGAAAATATGTAATTTGAAAAAATTTTGGTACGACTGAGGCAGGTCGTAAGTGAGGGTGGTCGTAAGTCGGGGAGGAGCTGTACATGGCTGGGATTCTTGTAAGATAGTGATTAATTTGAATATAAACAAGCTATAATTTGCACTAAACATAAAAATTTTAGTACTGTAATCATTTAGTCTATGTACAGGTTTGCACTTGGGTCATTTATTTCTTTTACGTTTCTTTTGGTATGGTGTGTGCATGTAAATGAATAAAAACAAATGAAGAAATTTATGTAAATATACCCAAAAATGCAGTTGAAAAAATTTTACATTATTAAAATGTACTAAACTAATGTACTAAAATTTTTATCTCGTGCAAAATATATGATGTCCAGATTCAAATTATTCACTGTCTTTTAAGGATTCCAGCAATGCAAATTGCATTCTCCTAACATTAGTCTGTGATATTATATAAGATAAAACTTTTAAGCCTAAAACCACCAAACCCTGGGGAGGGGGGGGTGACATATTTGACAGTTGGCACCGAAGGTCTAGTGAAGTATTTATTTGTTTATTTATGTCCTTTAGATTAAGTTTTTGTCTTTTTGCTTATAAAATGTCACAGAAGTGACCGGGGAGATTATAATTTACATTGGTGGAATTCTTATAAGATAGTGATTAATTTTGTCTAGTTTACACTAGACGAAAATCTTAGTAATCATTTTGCACATTACAGTATTTTGAGTACATGTACAGTACAGCTTTGCCTTTTGGACAGTGGCACACACTGTCCCAATGAGTAAAAATAAATGAATAAAGTTACATATCGAGCCAAAAATATTAGTTGAAAAACTTTATGTAGACAGAGCTTGGATGGCTGAATTTAAGAATGACCAATAATTTTAATATAAAAAATGCAAAAATATTCAAGAACACAACTTTCTTGATATTTACTCCAGCTGATACGCACAACAAAGCGTGTTTCTACTAAGGCTTTTGTTAATCGAAGTTTTGTTCGTTAATGGAACTGAAAATCCTT